GTGAATCCGATTTTTAGCATGTTCATTGATATTTCCCTCCAATCGTGGGCGTTTCTCACATATCTTTGTGGCAATTATTCTGCTAACCTTCGTCCCTTACAAGTTAGTCATCAAAATGCTGCAATCGTAGCATAAAATCTGACGTTAGAATTTGGCTTTCGTCTGGAATCTATCGACGGGTTTAGCAATTAACGTAATTACTATCCTACCTTATTCAAGTCATATGGAAATAAATAATCGTACTTCGGGATGCGACCTTGTAATTCTTCTCTCGGTTTCTAGATCAACATCAAAAGAGAATGATCCTACATCACGTTATTGCGATGTGGGGTTTACTATCGGTACTTATGCATCTAAAAACAAACTATTGAAATTCAGACGTGCAACAAATGGTAGACGGCCGAAAGGATTCAAAATCATTGGATAACTTATAGGGACTTACTGATTGTATTAAGTAAAGATAAACTATTGTTTAACTCCAATTGAGGATGTAATCACACCTGTCGTGTATAGTGTTCAGAGATTTCTCGTGTAACGGAAAGTCCAATATTGGATTGGTTACCAGCCTCTATATGCATGAGTTGAAAGAGTTTATATCAAACTTTTCCTAGACAATAATCTCAGATTGCTTCCATTTCTCCATGAGAAATTCACAGCTCATCTAGCTCGTCTAGAATATGAAGGTCTTGTTCAACCCGGCCTAGATATATGTGGAGTTTGAATGATACGATGTGGGGTAATCCGAATCCAATACAATGGCACATCCTTGGGGATATTGAAGTATTAGACAGAGATATTGAAAGTATGAGACAGAGGTAGATGCTATGTAGCTGCGGTAAGGATAAGCTATCGATATATAGTTGTCCAGAACTCTAAAATAGAGGTTGTTGTCGGTTTTGGTAGAACTTGAAGGACGTTTAACCCGCCCGCAAGGATGATTGCTACTTGTCCATTTTAGGTTCGTCCTCCGAACAAAGCAACCCGACGTGCATGTACATTCCCCACATGCGCTTGTCCATCTAACCGCGGGGAAAATTTTGAATGCCTCTTCGAAAAGGTCCCGGAAGCCTTTGGCTTGAAAGAAGGCTGTCGGCCTGCCAAAAGGACAAAAAAGATGCAGATTATCATGGATAATCGTATTTGGACTAGCGGCGAATCGAACGCCGGACCTCTCCCATGCTAAGGGAACATTATACCACTAAACCACAAGCCCGTGTTATTTGTTGGATGAAGAGAAGGTTTTAAAATATATAAATTCTCAGATTTTCCCGCTTGAAAATTCTTTCACATGAACCAAACTTTTGTAACAAGCGAAAGTGGGCCCATAAGCGATCCGTGCATTCCTTAGTAATAAAACTTAATTGTAGAATGAACTTTTGAATCATTTTCATTTTCAAAGACTCCTCTTTCATTAAACTAAAACTTTGATTTAGGACAAATATGAATAAAGTATCATGAACCCTGATGCCAATAAGATCTATTGAATAATAAAAAGCTCATTTCCGAATTTAAGGGGATAAATACTTCTCGGTTTAATTATCCATCCAAGAATCCAGGCTAGGGAAATAGGATTCCTTTACTCTCTGGGAGATGACTGATCAGCTTCCGTTCAATCGTGTTGTAATCCTGTATTCTAAATCCTATCTATAAGTCTAGTACTCTACTTTTGGACCACCCTAATATGGACCACCTTTTTACACCAAAAATCGTGATTTTCAGTTATTAATAACTTTACAATCAATCAATAAAATTTGATGAAACTTGAATCGTAGATTTATTATATAGTTATAACTCAATTCTGGAAATTTTAGATTTTTTGGAATTGATTTCATTGAGATTTATAATTTTAAATTTTGTGATTTTTGATTTGTATAGGATTTACATACAAATTTACAAAATCTTTAAAATTTTGAATAACTTTTCAACAAAGATAATTAAAAATAAATTATAGGTTTTTTCTAAATATTTATATCATAAATAATTAAATAGATCAATTTATTTTAAAAAATATTTTACAAAAATCTTTTTAATCAAAATGTTATGATTTTTAATTCTTATAAAATCTAAAAATATCAATAGAGATTCATTTATATTATTTAAAATTCAAAATATTAATTTATTATATAATATTTAATCTAAAAAATCTTAAAAATTTTTATAGTTTATTTTTAGCAATTTTTGTTGAATAGTTATTTAGGATTTTCAATATTTTCAAATTTGTATATAAATCTAATACAAATTTAAAATCATAATTTCAACTTTCATTTTTTTAATCAATAAAATTATGAAAAGTCTAAAAATTTCAAAATCTATTAATAATTATATAGTAGATCTATAATTAAAATCTCAATAAATTTTATTTATTTGTTGTTGAATTATTAATAATTGAAAATGATAATTTTTGATGTAAAAAGATGGTCCATATTAGGGGTGGTCCAAAAATAAAGTACTAGACTTATGAGTTCAAATGTATATATATAAAAGATTGATTATCGTGGAAAGAAGAGACAAAAGCTTTCCTTTTATATCTAACTACAGAAGGTTATGTGATTGACTGGTTAAAAACCTCTATGTATTTGGCCTATAATTCCAACTTTCTCACAATATTGAAAATGATACAAACTCTAATTATCAGGGGGGAGATTATGATGTTAAGCGAGCTATAGCTTCTGCTCAGGTCAATCGACTATCTCGGTCAGTCATTGCAAGTTAATACATATTAAAATATACTGGAATAGGAAGAAATTGAGTGGTAGATTACTAATGGGAACATCTACTTATATATACTTGGGTGTCGTATTGTTGAGATATGAGGAATCAAGATGTGCAAACCAGCAGATGGGATCAAGTACCGAGCGATCTATTCTTGCTAAAGATTATTTACTAAAATGATCTGTGCAGATGAGCGAAAACCAATTATCACGTATACACGTGATACTACTTATATTTGTTGCATGTCTGGATAAGGACTATTCAAAAGGATATTGAATCTAAAGACTTGAAGGTAGTTAGGAGGTGTGTGAGTAAGGTGTGTGGTCACGATTAATCTGTCTACCACAAATACTTGATTGGGAGGTTCTGACCTAGTATATTCAAGGTTAGCATAGCAAGGCGTTTGGGAAATTTGTCCCATCCTCACAACCCAAACGATAAAAGGAGTCACTTTTGGGCATTTCTTACACGGAGCTTATGTAGACATATCCTCCAGGGCTCCCCATCATTGCAGCAGCTCGAACCCAAATGCCCATTTGGAATCATCGGATACCAGATCTTAATAAAGTGCCCTATAGCTAGTTTCCACACGCCGCGGCAGCTTTTTGGAGGGCATCATATTCGGGTGATTGGAGGGCTTGCAAAGCCGAAGGTCTATTCGCCGGGTTAAGAGCGGCCAAAAGGCGTATAACGTCTAGCACTACCTTCGGGATGCCGGCGTTCATAGCTAGAGCACTCCATACTTCAAATGAAGGAATCTGCAAAAGTAATTCGTCCGAATCCCCCTCTGCTTGTGTTTTCGTAAGGTTTTGGGCTAACTTGAAATAGGCCTGTAAAGTCTTATCCACGTCAAAAGGAGGAGGAATCGAGGTACAAGATGGATCGAAGAGGAGTATAATCTTCGCTAAGCACCATGCCATTGGTTGAATAAGCGTTTTGTTGATATTTTCGGCATTGCTTAGGATGTTGGGATCAAACCGTTGTAATAACTTCTATCTTTAGTTTGGATAAGAATGAGGCGTTGGCAACTAACCATAGCAGCAATAGACCATACATCGGCTTTATGGAAGCAGCTCACTCCTGTCCAGACCTCAGGAGCACGAAATGCTTCGGGCTGAACCAAGCGTGGATTGCGGTCCTCTGGTCCTGCTACAAAAAATTAGCATAAATCAATTCTGTAATGTATGCTTCGTCCCTAGCCCCAAGTCTCCAATTTTGACTTTGAAAAGTCCGCCATTATTAGATATAATAACATTCGCAGGTTTCAAATCTGCTCTGCTTAGTGAATGGCGATAGAACTCTTTAGGGGTGAATGGCATACCTGAATAGACAAGGTGCTCTTTTTCTAGCTCGACAAATGCTTCCAAACATACCTTCACAATATTTGCGACTAATATAGTATCTTTCATATGTTCCTCGAAAGGAACCTCCGCTAGAGTCGTATCCATCCATTCAAAAGCTAGACAGAAGGGCTTTTGAACCGTCCAACCTATAGGGTCGTTGATAATGTCACATAACTTTCTAAAATTCCTAGACGATTCGATAGAAGGCGTCTTGTAATACTTGTATTCCTTTACGAGGCAATCCACCTGAGTTTGATTTTCAAGATCGGCGCTTTTCACAACAGCCCTGGTATGATAATTAGCACAGACTCTTACATACAACCGAGTTGTAGATGTACCATCGATTTTTTGGAAGAAGAGGTTGAACGCCAGGAAAGACCTCGGCTTTGAACAGGGCTGGAGACTGTCTTATCACCAAGTTTTTCAACCAGACGAAATGAGTACTTGCTCCCACGAAGAGTGGTCCCAAGATGTAAAGCCATTGTCTTTGATGGAAATATGGTGTGTGAGTGATGTCTAGAACGGAATAAGTTGTTAATAAGGTGGATAAGCCTAGTACCCCACTTCCGGACCACCACCTCTTTTGGATCACGATTTTTGTTTATTAATATAATAAATAAATTAGAATAATCAAAATTTTAATTATAAATAAATAATATATGATAATAAAGTTTAAAAAGTTTAAATTTTTTATAAATTCATTAATTGAAATATTAATAATTAAATTTTTATATCAATTAAAAACACAAAATTTAATTATTAATATTTCAATTAATAAAATTATAAAAAATTAAAAGTTTTCAGAATTTATTATATATAATATAAATATATAAATTAAAAAATTACCCTTTTTTAATATATTTTTACATTCCGGTATTTATTTTTGTAAATCAATATATAATCTATAGAAGCAATACTTCAGTCTATAAATTGTGACGGCGACTACTCCTTGAACCCAATACTGAGGAAGAGACCGCCACTTCTGTTCAATCAATCTTTTCTTCTCACTATTAAGTCTGAACTCGAGCATCAAAGATATTACTGTGGTGTAGTAACATATTCCACATCACCACACTCAATCTCTCCATCCAATACCAATTATTAATGCGCCCTCCTCTCTGACCCATATCTCTCCGTCCTCATCGCTAACCCCCAATTGAATCCATTCCCATATCCAACTCTCCTTTTTATAATTATTTTCATTTTCAGTACCTTCCCTCCACTGATGCAGTCCAGGCCTTTTCGTCATAAGATCGTAGATCTTGCTCCCAGCTTCACGTGTAGCAGGCCATTCACGGCGCTCAGCCTCCGTCCCTTCACGAATAACTCTTCCAATTCCTTCACCTAACGGTGTTGCGGCGGGTATATCATGAAATATTCTTGACTTGAAAGTTTCTACTTTTGTTAATCCTGCGGTGTGCATCAAATTCTTCAAATTTTTCATTGCCGAACCTTCCGAGCTTCCTATCCAATTCCGCGGTCCAAGAACGGAGATTCCAAACTTGGGGGCTAACTTGGAGAAAATTAATAAGCCGATCATGCTACAGGGATGGGGTATATCGAGTACTAATCTTCCACCGGGAATCAAGGCAGCAGTAGGTGAGGCAGGTTTTAGATAAGGAATCCACGAGCGTAAAGATTCAAGGGGAGTGGGTAAGAGTACGAATGCGGAACAGATTGTTATTACATCGAATGTTCCCTCCTTTTCGGAAAGAGATGGGAGAGCAGAGAGAGAAGTTATATCGTGATGTTCGAAAAGCACATCTGTCTGGGGAAAATCCACTGGCTGGAGGATAATACCTTTCCTATCAATATGGTTTGAGACTGACGATATTTTGGAACATGCAATGTCGAGCATTCTGCTGGAAATGTCGATTCCATGAATGTAGGAAAGACGCGCGTGAGAATTCACTAGTTGAGATCAGCACACGACGTTGGGGACAGATGTGTGATGAGGGAGCTTGATGTTTTCAGGACTGCAAAACGAGACAGGATGAGGGACAGGATATATGTATGACTCGGACAAGCTGCCTAGTACAGGACAACGAAGTGTATTCGTGTAGTATTCCAAATGAGATATTTTTTATGGACTGAAAATCAGAGGCTCATCATTTAATGGAGAGTGAAATACCACCTGGGTCTTTGTCCGTCTCTTCTTTGTATTATTCTGCAGTTTTTTCTAAAGCTACACCCTCAACACAGAAAAACGGACTGACCACTTTGAATTGTACTAACAGGAGAACAATAACCATAGACAACATAAGAAAACTTACATGCAAACGCTACTAATCCCGTTCCACAAGCTAAATCTAACAAACTCTCGCCAGCAACCGGCTTCACATATTTTACGTATTCCTCCGCGAGCGATTTATGGAACGTTGTCGCGTCGTCGTAGGAAAATGCGAGCCTGTCATAATGCTCTGTAAGACCAGAAGGTGCGGGAATTGCTGCTCTTGAAGATGATGTCGGTGTTGGCGAGGTAGGAAGCTCTTCAAAGGCCTCCATTTTGCCCTATAATGGGACAGTTCAAAGGTCGGAGCGTGTAACTTCGGTATTTGGTGTGTAAAACAAAACAACTAGAGTTCCGGGATTGGAAGGAGGTACTCGAGTGTCAAATTTCGATATTAAAGGACTCAATATAGCCAGAGGATGCCGAATTTCCACTGGAAGAAGATTATGTGTGGTGAAAATGTCGACGGAAACAGATGCAGCTATTCTATGATATTGAAATTTGGGTTTTGAATGGCCCCAATGCAGCAGGAGAAATCCGCGGGTTATATTGAAAAAGTGTCGCGACTCAAGAATGAGATTAGAGGAGAATAGCCACCTAAGCCGAGGACCGAGATATTCATGTGCTGTGCAGGAACGTAGATTTATTGTCAAATCTCCCTGATTCTTTCGTAAGGATCGGAACTGATGTTGGATTTTTTAATCCAACCCAACCTAGATGAATGATATCTTCCATCAAAATCGGCAGATTGAAAACTGGGAAGATCATGAGATTGATAGAGTTGGAGGGGTAGTGACGATGGCGCTGCTTCCTGATACGACCTGCATGATATCACATGTTGACTTTTAGTCATTCTTGGGATTCGTTCTCATTGTATTCGCTCGGGTAACATTATGTAGGAGAACTTATAGTGTATCAAACTTGTCAAAATATTTATTCGTTTCTCAGCCCTCTCGAGAGACTGGTTCTAAATTACAAACAGGGACTCGTGGACCACAATTGTGTTACCATCCAAATGATATTAAATCCAGAATATTACGTGAGTATATCCAACATTATACTTCTATATATCTTTCAAATCCTCCATAAACGCCAAACCAAATGATCGCACAGTATCCGACCCGGGTATCTAAGAAAAACATTGCGACTCCAAGTACTTTCAAACAAAAGCCTCCTCCCTTCCCCTTTCAAGCCATGGTATCTCTCCGTTGATAGGATCCATCAAACACATAAAATGCGTCCGAGTATTACCAACCGGCTTTGACCTCATCCAACTCTTCACGTCCTCGATCTCCGCTGATCGTTTTGTACCTATTCCTTCCGGGATAGCCATCCAATTTTCTCGCAGAGAATTGTACCTATCTATGGAATCTTTGTGACCCCAGTACGCCTGGTACTTTTCGTACATTCCGGGATCGCCAAATGCGGAACCTGTAGGAGGAGCGGGGTATGGATTGGGCTGAGGAACAGGAAATGGGTGTCCATCATGATCGGCTAATAGGTGTCGCGCTTGCCAAAGGAAAACATCGTGATTGGTTTGGACAATGAAGGAAGAAGAAGAGCGCACATACGATCTGTCCCGGTACTTTTCCATGATCAAGGTGCTGAAACCATTGCTGAGGATGATATAGCATGGAGAAAAGGTATCATTGCTCAGGACACGGGCTGCTTCAACTATAGACGGCAATGTTGATCCAATTGGCGCAATTATCAGAGATCGAAAGATGGTTGCGATTGATGGGCTAAATCCGGCCAGGACACGGAACTGATGGAAAAGTAAGGGTAATGTAGGCCATGAAGATTCTGGACGAAAGTTCATAGACAATGATAAGTTTTCCCTACATTTGATTAGCCAATGATTACACTGTTACAATTTATTGTATGGAAATTCTCGTGGAACTTACCTCACACCAGTAAGAATTCCCACGTAACCAGCATATGTGATACTTCTAGCAATGACTCTTGTGGGAGTTGATGAGTTGGAATTGACATATTCCAGAACAAGAAGCATATCTCTCAAGCCATCTAGGTCCCAATCCAAAAGCCTTAAATGCATCATACTCTGGTCTTGAACATCATCATCAGAGTTGACAAGAACTCCGCCACCAGTACAGCACATTAATGAATCAAGCATTACGTTCAATGCCACCAAAAATCTGACGTTGGCCCCCGAAATCTTAGCGATCCCTTTCACCTCTTCCATCTCTTCAGCAGAATATAAGCGACGGATGAATAAAAATGCAAACAATTTAAACAGGAATACAAGGAAGGAATTTTTGAGCCAAAGTCGAAGTGTTTCATCTAGCTCTTTTGGCAAACCACATAATTGTTCTTTGAAATCTACGGCAATCTTTTCATATCGTTTAGAAGCAGGTAGGGATAGATCAATGGTGTAAGTTGAGATTTCACCACGAGAAACCATGGTGGATTTAATGATGAAAAGAAGAGATGGCCCAATGACTCGAATATAGAAATAAAGCGAAGCTTATGAATGAATTTGAAGAGTTAGTTCTAAATATCAATGTATATAAATAAAAGGAGAAAGAAGATTAAGATGCATATGATTCCTGTAATTCTAGGTGCTCTGCTCTAATAATGCATCACAAAAAGTTTATTATTTGAGCTCTACTGTGGGAAAGCTAGTCTACGGGATTTGGTTTAACCTTAGTCAGTCTTGATGTTCGCCATTACTAGCTCAACGACCGGTATTCTACTTCAGGCCAGACTGGCTAGAAAAGTAGAAAGCTAGAAAGCTAGAAAGCTTATTCTTTGTAATGACTGGACTCATGGGGGTGAAATAGACGCCAGGAATGATAATTATAAGACAATCCAATCCAGGGAAAGATATTGAACCGGGCTGCTCATATTATACAACTAGTATAAAGGTATAGTGGCAGACTACCATCAATAGCCCAAGGCGCCACCTCTGCTTTCCTATCATCATAACCAAATCTCGCGCACTTGCACGTGGAAAGGTTGAACTTTAATTTCACTTTCTCTGTCTCAAGTTAAAAAAAATTAGGACTTTAAATATAAGCTTTTGAATTCCGAGATCATTTTTGTCATCACCAGTAAATCAAGATACCATGAGATTATTCAGATGGTATTTTCATGATGTGGAATTTTAACAATCAAGTCTAGTACCCTCTTTTCGAACCACCTTTTTACACTCAAAATAACGATTTTCAGCTATTAATAACTTTATAATGAATGAATAAAATCAATTGAAATTTGAATTATAGACTTAATATATAAATATTAATATATTATTAAAAATAAATTATAAATCGTTTTCAAATATTTATATTATAATTGATTGAATAAATAAATTTATTTAAAAAACAATTTACAATTTACAATTATTGTTTTATTGATCTTTATATTTTATTCTATAAAATTTTTTAAATAAATAAATATTCAATTGATAATAAAATAATAATCACAGACTTTTTTTTTTCAAATGAATTAATTTGTTTAATCAACTATAATTCAAATATTTTTAAAAAAATATATAATTTATTTTTATTCAAAAGTTTATTTAAAGTTTTTAAGATTTTTAAATTTATATATAAATATTATATAATATGAAAATTACAATTTAAATTTTTAATTTCTCAATTAATAAAATCATTTAAAATTTCTAATTTTCTAAATCTATTAATAATTATATAATAAATCTATAATTTAAATTTCATTAAATTCTATTGATTTATTATAAAATTATTAATAAATGAAAATCACGATTTTTGATGTAAAAGATAATCCGAATTAGAGAGTGGTCCGAAAGTAGAGTACTAGACTTAAGTGATTAGTCCACCAGTCTCTGTAGCTAACCGTTACACCAAGCTTCAAATAGTATAGCTAGCGTAAATCATTGCAACGTCTTGATTAGGTTAGTTATCACATGATTTATTCCTCATCACACATATCAATATGAGCATCATCGTTATTTATTTTGTAGAGTAGGAACGAACCATGAATGGAAAAGAAAAACGTTTTGAGAGAAGCAACTTCCAAATAGAAACTTGACTTACTAAAATAATCACTTCTTTCCCTTTCTTCACTTAGGGTCATTCCATAACTCAACGATCAATCAAAGCCATTCTTTTCTATTTCACGATAACTTCAGATCAGACAACAAATCAAAAATCCGACATCAAATCATCATCATGGAATCGAATGCTGCAATGGAAAATAATCCTATTCCAGCTGCTGCACCACCTGAGATGACACTCAACATCAAATCAAGGCTTTTTTCTCCCATAACCTCCATACGTTCCATCGGTATTCCACAATTAGGATTTGGAGTCTATGATTGTCATGGACAAAAGTGTATCGATGCTGTTTCCATCGCATTAAAGACTGGATATAGACATATTGACACTGCTCAGTAAGAACTCATTCCTATGCTTTACCATACATGCTACGCCATACATGTTATTCCACAAAGGTTACCTCTGAGATGATTTCGACAGCTAATAATCACAGATACTATGGAAACGAAAAGGAGGTCGGGTTCGCGATCAAAGAATACATGAAAGAGTCCGGCTTAAAACGCCATGAACTGTTCATTACGACCAAGATTCTCACACCTGGTGGATCGGTGGATAAATCCCATGAAAAATGTCTAGATAGCATTAAAGCTCTCGATGATAGTTTACGTGGTTATGTTGATCTATTTTTAATCCACAGCCCAAATTGTGGAGCTGATAGTCGTTTGGAGATGTGGGAGGCCCTCGAAAGACTCTTCAAGAAAGGAAAAGCACGTCTGATTGGCGTTTCAAACTTTGGTGTTGGCCATATTGAGGGATTGAAACGAGGATGGCGACCTCTTCGATGGAATGAATTTTCCGAAATTATTTGGCCACCCCATGTTAATCAAATTGAGGTATGTGTTTCACTTTGTAACCATTTTCTGCAGGTCTAACTACATCAGTTGCACCCATTTTGCCAGCAAAGGACTGTGGTGGAGTACTGTACGACCAATGGTATCCACGTTGAAGCTTATTGTCCCTTGGTCAGGAACCAGAGGAGTGATGATACAGTCCTTAATGGTATCGCAACCCTCTACGACAAGACTGTGGCTCAGGTATTGATACGATATTCCATGCAAAAGAAATGGATTCCTCTCCCCAAAAGCGAGACCCCTTCAAGAATTGCCGAAAACGCCGATGTATTCAATTTTCAACTTTCCGATTGGGATATGTATCAAATCGATAGCTTAGATGAAGGCGATAGAGGTTCCATTGTTCAAGCCGTTACGAATGAGTTTGAGGATGAAGTCGAAAACCGTGTTATCCCTGAGTTCAAGGTCGAGGTTATGAACATGCCTGGGATCGAGTAGCAATGTGATTGGGTGGGATCTCCCATTATATGGAACGAACTTACTGGATAACTTGCGACTTTGATATTTGAAGCTCGCCATCCAAGAAGGTTCAAGGATATTAATTGAACATACGTTGCACGAAATGAGATACATCGGGTGGGTTGTTCGTGAAATTACACTCTGAGTTCACGCCTACAAGTTAGGCGATTATTGAAGTATGCGTTATACCAAAGCATCAGTTAGCAAGTTTCAAGTCAAAAATTTTAATAATTTTCGCTCTCTTTTTGTTCCTCCTCACTAGTTCCGTCGTTAATTATGAATTATCCTAAAGTTGCTATGTAGATAGCGCCTGTTGGATTTGGATTGTTGGTTATGATCCTACGTCTTAAGCGCCGATATGTTCCCAACCATGAGGTGGGATATTTACTCATGCTTCTCCCACAACTACTATACGATTTATTGACTTTTGCTCAAACAACAATCATCTTTATTTCTTTTTGATCTGTTTCATATTGGAATGGAGTTCAATTGATGCCATACGCAATTCAGATGTCGGGTAGTATGCGACATAAGTCATCGAAGGCGTCCATCAACAAATTTTCCCTCCACATCAGCGCCATTGGCTAAGGGTTGGTCCTAGTACGCCAGCACCTATACTCCTAATCGACCTCCAACTTATATACTTTATATCGAACCATCTGTCTCATTTATACTAAGTTGGCAAGTAAAAGCCACCTTACTGTCATTAATGCATTTGATCTGTTGCAACTCTCCATATATCTCATATCCTTCACTCTTCTCAATTTATTGACAGCGAGTTTCAATCCTGAATCTACACTAAATATTACAGAAACAATGTTTCAAAGTAGCAAACATTCTAAAATTACTCTCCATAAGAAACTTTTTGCACCAGTTTCGATTACTAGCGCTATAGGTTCTAGTTCTTCGACACAGCCGAAGGCGACCATACCAGTTTTATTACCACCGGAGCCGCATTTGGAAGTAGAGGTGCAAACTAAACCACAAGTACCAGAACAAGAACTGAGAGCTTTGGCTCAATCATCAAATATAACTCCTTCAACGCCAAAACCGGATTTAGCTGCATCTTTAGCTGCTGTAGCGATCCCCATTCCAACTGCAAACAATACCCTTCAACCAAATCACCATTCCACAGAAACACAGGCTATTCAGTCCCGAGCCCAACCTCAATTCAACTCAAATAATATCCAAGTTCTTCCTCCTAGCCCTCCTAGATCTCTGTTCTACTCCGCATCGTCCTCCACTTCCACCGGTACCTCATCAACACAACAGATGTCAAACCACACACGAAATTTCTCCTCAACCTCAACGACAACCTCAAACTTTAGTTCTCCACCACCTTCATACACACCTTTTGTTACTCCTTCCTTATCTCCTCAGGCTCCCGGATATCGGTTTGGAGATGGTAGTGCATATGGAAACACAAATGGATATGGATTCGGGTATAGAAATGGAAATTATACAAATGCGAATTACAATCAACATGGATATGGTAGTGGATATCCATCACCATCCATCTCCCGCTCTCCAAATCTTCAACTCCCGGATCTTGTGGATGAAGTATTGAGATTGCGAGATCGATTGAATTTCTTAGAGTCGGGATCGTTATCAGATGAAAGAGGTGGTGGTAATAGGGGAAATAGTCAAACTAGAAGTGCAGGCAGGAACAGAATCACGCTTGAAGAGGAAAGAAAAGAGGAAGGCGACAAGAAGAGTGAAAATGAAAGAGAAGAACAAATAGAAGGAGAAACAAAAAGGGCAAAAGAAAGGTGGGAAGAAATCGAGAAATTTGGACTGGCTTATGAGGATTTCCTGGAGGAGTTCTATTATGATGATGAAAAAGAGGTTCGTTTAGAGTTGAATGAGGAGTCTTTTGGTGAGCAGCTAGAGTTGGAGTTAAAATTTGCCGAAGACCAAACTTGTGGTAATGAATGGGGAGGGAAAGAAAGTGATGGAAGTAAGGAGGGAGGTGAAAGAGAGACTCGAGAGGAGACAGTAACTCTACTCCCTTCGGTTTTTGTGAACGAAAGTCCACTTAACCCTTTAGGAGGTCATTCCTCTTCCTTTTCCTCTTCTTCTTTAGGCTTCCATTCCAATACCTCCTCCTCCTCAGCATCGCCAATCTCATCCTTACTCGTAAAGGATTCCACAAAAGAATCTCAACCGCCGCTTCCCGAATCCGGTTGTCATTATTTCATAACCGCAGGTTCCATCCAAAACATAACGATCATTTATCCTGCCACATCTTTACCACACAATATGGATGCGTTAAAAGGAGAAAAGGAAATAATTAGACGTGTGTTAGAGGAGTGGAATCGGGGTGTCGTTGTGAGTGTATTTTGTTTTTATGTTTTCCTTCAAATATTCTATATGATTGCTGCTGCTCAGCTAGACGGTCTACCAATTTTCTATGAGCAAAAAGATAGGAGAGAAGAAATGCTAACATGTGGAACCATAGGATAAATATGGAATATGTCCGACGAAAAGGGCTTATGCTGCTATTATTTAGTATGTCGCTCCTAATTTTTACTTACCTATTTTCCACATCCCCATATTCCCTTCTCCCTTCATCATATACATTCCTCCCATCAAACACAAACTAACAAACCTCAGTCCCGAGCTACAGACGCCTCTCCCACACGAAAAATTACGGATAGCACTTTCATTCACTCCCATCTATCCTTCCCCATCAAGCACAACTTCCTCAAAGCCCATATATCACACTCCAACCAACCCGGAGGATATAATAACAGATAAAAATATATACATTAGCACCACAAACGAGTCTTCTTCTTTCTCGCAGAATGAGAGTAAAGAAGTGATGGATTATAAAAGGTACAAAGTGAAATATGGAAATCAGGAGGTCCATGAGAGACATGATGGGATTTTGGAGGTTGGAAGGTTAAGGGCGGCGTTGGAGTCTGAGGTTTTTAAGCAGGAGAGAGTTGGGGGAGAAAATATGAGAGAAGATATAGAGCAGCAATGGGGAAAGGAAGAGGTACAATTGATTTGGAAAGATGATGGGAACGATCAGGCAAAATGGGAAGATGGAAAGAAAGAACCTGAGCTAGAGAGAGGGGTTCAGGTGCTGGTAAATACAAAGGGGGATATTGAAGGTGGTTGGATCTAGATCTTTCATTATCCTAGTATCGATATCATCCAAATCACTCCCAACCACTTTCTTCACTCTAGCAGAACAAAAATAATTGGAAATAAACATGTAATAGCGGGTTCTGCTAGTGGTCACCTATCCCACTATAGCTAACGAACCATCGAGGTGAAGCTTGTATATGGGTGGCAGCGTGGATAGGATATTCAACCATCATCGCTTTAATTAAATATTATTCAATTAGTTCAAGCTGTTTCTGTACTTTTAGATATTCAATAAAGGCTTATTTATTTATTATTTTCGATTGGAGGAGTAGAGGATTTGTGGTTTTGGATATGAGGTTATATGTCTATATATCTTTGGTTTCATAGTAGAATCTGAGTACCGATGGCCACTTACAGACAGTCCTCTGATTGTTGATATATAGCAGTTAGAATGTATTCAATACTAATGGCTGGATATAGAACATGAAACTAATCTGGAATATTCGAATCTAGTCTGAGATGAATTTGGAGTATCCATTTTAAATTAGATTCTGGGTTGAGGTAGATTTGAAATATCCACTCTTAATTAAAATCTGAGTATACAATATCTTCTATATAGCATTCAACAACGTTCAACTATTCAATATCCGAGATATTGATATCAATAGCTTTTACATACATATGCAATCATTAATATAACAAACCTGGTAGCTGGCGTGCCATCGATATATAGGTACCATCATTTTCCCAAGTGCACTGTCTGGTATTCACCAGTTATTTGGATGAATACATACATACATACATACATACCTACAATTCTATCCCCTTCCATTTTATCTGTCCATAGGTACAGTAAAGTAGTAATATGATTGAGTATGCTATAGAAACTAGGGAGGTAATTTTACTAGAATGAAGACCAATTGTGCGGCGCTCTCTGGAAACTCTGCACGTTGCATGCGACCCACACGACGCTCAACCTCTACATCGAAGAGCTCTTCTCTTACATCAGGGAAGGCCAAGAAATGTATACTTTGTGGATCCTCAGCTTGTAACTGCAGACTATTTTGAATTCTCGATCTGAGGATTTCTGTTCGTTATCGTTGCTTTTTTGATTTTGGTTCTGTGTGGCAATATGATTCATGGTTCACATGAGGCACTATTCAGGAAGATTTAGAAATGCTTTGCATTTCAGGCAGATATAGCTCAGCAGGACTTTACAAAGATGCCTGAGATATTAGATCAATAGGGGCTTATTGCATCTGAGACACATACAGACTTCTAGTTCGTCGATCAAAAGCTTTATCACCCTTACTTTTATGAATTTTTCTCTGGAATACTGCTTCATCTAGACTACCTGCCGAAGTCTGCGTCACCGCATAGCTTCGTTATAACTAGGTGGTGACATTCTGAAGTAGGATTTGCTTGGTGAAGGAAGTGAGTCTCTGCTAAGAGAAAAAGAGAACAACCTTACTTCGAAACCAAGGGACTTCGGACTGGTCATGCAAGCATCCCAAGACTTTTCCTTTGGCATATATAGTTGAAAATTTGATATACATATTTTTGTGGGCTTGGCGTTGTAAAATATCTTGTGAAGAGGAAATATATTGAGGATATCTTTGTGAAATATGGAATACTAATTGCTTCACTTGAGCAAGAAGTTCCAGTATCATCGGATCTAAACTCCATGACTACCAAGTGATTTTTATGGGCGGACAACTTGGAAAGTCATATTCCCTTGCTTCCAACAAGGCCACCAAAAGTCCGAGGGTATGATCAAGCCTCGCATTATGCATACTTTAAGGTATCAGTCAAAGTCTCGATGCCGTGGCCATTAATTAATGGCACATTACAGAAGCAACCCGTCGAAATATCCCATCCAAATTACACATAATACTATGGCCGCTAATTATCCACCTTCTTCTCCACCGGTTCCCTCCTATCAAGAATCTCATCTACAATCCCCATGTCCAACGCCTCCTGGGCACTCAAAAACTTATCTCTCTCCATCATCCTCTCAATCTCTTCCAAACTATGTTCCTTCGTCAAATGCCTCTTGTAAATTTCATTCAAGCTTTTCCTCACTCTCAAAATCTCCGTAGCATGGATGGCAATATCCGTAGCTTGTCCTGAATATCCTCCGCTGGGTTGATGTATCATGATTGAACTATGCGGTAAACAGAATCTCTTCCCTGGTTCTCCGCCACAGAGAAGTAGAGAACCCATAGATGCGGCTTGGCCGACGCAGACTGTCGATACTGGAGATTTGATATAGGTCATTGTGTCATAAATGGCGAGACCGGCGGTTACGGAGCCCCCCGGCGAGTTGATGTAGAGTGTTATGGCTTTTTCGGGGGCATCGGATTCGAGGTAGAGGAGCTGGGCTACGACTGCCGCTGAAAGCGAGGAGTCTACTTCGCCGTTTAGACAGATGATTCTCTCCTATTGTGTATCAGTAGCATATTCTAACAAACTATCAACGAAACCGAATGGCAATCTGAACATACTTGTAACAGTTTGGAAAAGATATCCGCTAATCCTCATCTCGTCAGTGACGGGCAACTTCCCAAACAATTCAATTCCCCATAAATATACATACAAGTGCGCCATCCACCTCCCTATCTCATTAGCACATATTCGCAAATTCATAGGGTTCTATATCCTGCTCACAATCGTCTCTGTGATATATGGTACGGGAGTCCATGATTTATTTGGTTCAGATCGCGATGGTAATGAAGATATGGATCTAACTCCTGCAAAGACAGCTTTGCGCGCTGCATGCGATCGAAATAGTCGTGTTGCGAGCATCGTGAAGTTTGATTGATCTTTCTATGATGTAAAGGGATGTCTGTGAGTGGTGGGGTGAAGCTTGGGGTTGGGAGACGCGATCATCGCGTTTTCGCTTGCGCTCTGATTGATTGATTTTATTTTGTCCAACGTCCTTTGACTGATACCCCGCCAACTTTTTCCGGGCGCAAGACGAGAAGTGATATGTGGTATGAAGGGATGCAGAATCTTTCATGGCAGAAGTGCTGGAAGGTACTTGAAATGCTCTAATTGGAATTATTCAACATCGGCTTCGGAACCAATTGCGAAAGCTAACGACCTCAAAAATGTTTCTTCGAGCTTTGGTACTACAGACGACCTGAATCTGCAGCAGAAGGACAATGGCACGCAAACCACGGAGATAGACGGAGAAAATGGGGAAAAGAATGGATTCAGAAAACAGATCAAGCAGCGTGAATTACCTTTTTCACCCCTCATGGATCCCTCATTTCACGAAGCCAGAAACAGACATTCAGCTCCCAAACCACAACCCAGCAAAGAAGAGCGAACACCTTTCCAAGAGCAACTTGCTAAGAACCCTTACGGTATGCACACCATGATTCTTTTTACTACTCAATAACTTACAGTCCCCAGCTCTCGCCCTCACAACCCCAGTCCGTCAATGTTCCGCGACCCAGCTCTCTCTCCCCAGTTTCTTCCTCCAAGACTTCACCCTAATGGCGCATCCAACCACATCCCACGCATGGCACGTTCCTCGGAGTCTATCCTCTCATTCATCCAGTCTCAAATCCTCCTCCGAGGAAGAGTCATCCGTCCACAACCCTTCCCTAGGGTCTACCACCTACGTAGCCATGCGCCAACCACTCTTCCAATCATTTTTCAAAAAAGGTTCGGGATACACAGGGATTTACAAGAAATTCGGGATCGCAAATGCAAAAAGTATCGCAAGGAAGCACGTTACGTTACAAGCGGTTTGGAGACCAGATATGGATACTTTTTTGCTGGAATTGATGAGGAGGAGAACGGTGGAATTATTGGAGTACTTGTGTAGTAGGGATAATCGATATATACACAAATGTGCGAGTTGGGAAAGAGTGGAATGGAGTGAGCAGGTTGGGTGTGTGTTGTGGACGGGACAAAAGGTTATTTCGGGAGAAGGACAGCAGGGAGAGGAACAGGAACAGGAATATGAGCGAGAAATCCCACCCGGAGAATTCGAAACCAAGAGGATTGGACCTGGGGGGAGAAAAGTTGTACCGGTGTTTAATCTAAGAACGATGATGGGAAAACATTGGATTCAGAAGATGAGGGAAGGGAATCGGATTTTTGAGAATCAGATCTTGGTTGTCAAACATAAGAATGCTACGAAAGAGATACAGATGAAGTTATGGAAGTTGCAAGGTTATGTTGCTACGTATGGGGGAATGTCTGATGAGGTCAATTTCGAAAAATTGCAGAGAGCTAAGAAGGCCAACTTCAAGTCGGTCGATATTACCGACTCCAAACCAAAGGGGAATTTTGTAGCGTTCGGTAAACGTGATAGATAATAACAGATAAAATCAACTCAAATTAGCTCTATTGCACGGGTATTGTGCAGGTCTTCTAGTCTCCAAAGTCTTCTGGTCTTTAACAACGCCAATTCCTTCTCATTAAATGTCATGAATCACAACTTCGATTGTCCCACCTTACTTCCTTCCTCCCCATCACATCTAGCCAAAATCCAATCCCCAACATCCTTGGCGAAAATTTCGCGATCATCAGGCAAATCCGCATGCAACTGATGATACCACCCCTCATATCTCTTAAACTCCTTATCCGTCAAAGCCGTCTGTTGGTTAAACCACTTCTCACTCCCCTCAAAACTCGTCCCTTTATCCTCTGTCCCATGTCCCAACCACAAACTTCTTACACCTGGATTTAACTTCGTCTTTCCTTGATTCATTGCAGCAGTTCTATCCAACATTCCTGCCAGCCCTTCAAGTGTTCCCGTATCATGCATTAAGGTATCCTCATTTATCGATTTTATAACCTCTGGATCTCTGGTAAGATTCTCCGGTGGAAGTTTATTCACCATTTGTCTATGCGGCAGAAATTTCCCTGCCAATCGCCCCAAAAATACAGTAAGGAAACTCGGTTCAAATCCCTTGGGAAACGCAATAAAAGGCGCCTCCAAAAGAAATCCTCGTATACTATGCATCAAATCCGCATACTTGGGATCACTAGCCAAAGTAATCACCTCGCCTCCACCCATCGAGTGACCCATTAGGAATATGGGAACGGAAGAAGGTAATTGTGCTTTGATGAATGAAACAATGTCGGATATTACGAGGGAGGTTGGTCCTGTAAGACCTTTTTCGGAAGGTTTGGTGACGCTGCGACCCCAACCTCGTTGGTCGAAAGCGCGTACTTCGATTCCGCGAGAGGCAAGCGTAGGAAAGAGAATATAGTAGCGGTTTATGTGATCGGAAAAGCCATGGATGAAAATTAGTGTTGCTTTGGGAGGTGCATCAGGCTGGAGTTTGTGTTAGTTTGTATTGGAGAATGAGCTGAGAGGGAGAGGGAGGGGTTGACTGACTTTCCAGGTTTTGGTGTAGAGGGATTGGGACCCAATTTTATGGGTTCCTTCGATTTCTGTATACATATTGGATGGTTCTGTAAGATACCAAATTCAGGAATAGATTTCTAAGAAATCCAATGATATATTCAATGATATATACTCGTATGTTGTTGAGAATGAACTGAGATGTTCCTGATAGATAGGTTGCGTTGCCTCGGGACCTCAGCCCCTGCAATTCTGCGGCCGCTAGCGTAAAAATATTTAAAGTTTTTATAGTTACATATGAAAAGCAGGATGGTCGATGGTCTCGATATTGAAAAATAAATTATTCGACATTATTCGACATTCACAATGTCAACAATCCAACGCACCATATTTTCTGGTGCAAGAAGGTTAAATCCTTCTAAATCCTTGAGCTCATCATATAGTCTTCGTCGTTCTTTTACTCAGAGATTAGTCAAAGGTAAAATCTCACTCGGTCAATCTTTACAGCTTTACTAATTTGGATAAAGTCAATGATGTTATTTTGTTGAAGCCCGAGACAAATGAAAAGTCTTTGCCTACTTTGACAAAGCCTTTGAAACATGGTGATTCTCTTGTATTTAGAGATCACAGAAAAGTCAAGGCAGACGATGTCATTGGAAAACCATACAGATCTGTAGTGGCTGGTGGTAGAAGGGCTTTATTCCGAGTTTACGAGCCTACACTTGGGGAATATTGTGATAATGCTCCGAGAATTGTGACCCCTGTGAGTAACTCGTACCAAAAATCGTATTTCATATGTTGACCTTTCGAACAGATCTATTCTCAAGATGCAAATTTGATCGTCTCCTTATTGGACATCAATTTTGTAGCAGTACCATCTCCTCAATCTGAAATTGCTGAAGAGAGAGAAAAATTTCTTCCCAATCGACCACTTGTAGAATCTGTCGTTTCAAAAAATGAAGAAACTTTGGAGAAAGCGGCAATCCCCGAGGAGAGTGAGACCGAAGAGAGTGAGATTGAAGAGAGCGTTAATTGGAAGCCAGAAATAACAGCCGAAGAAAGCAAGACCGAAGAGAGTGTTGGTTCAAAGCCAGAAATAACACCCGGAAGCGAGAGTTCGGAATTTGAAAACATTTCCGACGAGGGTGACCTCTTGGAGGACTTCAAGGAGCTTCCAGGGCCATCCAGGAAGCTTACTGATGCGGAATTACTAGAGGACTGGGACTCCGTGAAGCATGATGAAAACAAACTGGAGATTTTTGAGGCTGGCACTGGTGCCGGTTCCTTAACATTACATCTTGCACGAGCAATTCATGGGGCGAACACAAGGGCTCCACCAATACCAAAGCTTCCCAAGACAAAGAGTAAGGTTAATCCAGATGATGATATCTATAGATATGGCGGTAAATTCGGTGAGAGAAATGATAAGATGAATGAGCTATACAATGAATGGCGCTCGCAGCGACGGGCTGTGATTCATTCCCTAGATTTAAACGAGAATCACTCAAGGCATGCACAAAGAACTATCAGAAATTACCGCCATGGAGCTTATTTCCCACACATCGACTTTCATGTTGGTACCATTCATAGTTATCTTTCAAAACGATTGGAACAGACCCAGGATGTCTTCCTTGATCACGCTATCTTAGATATCCCGGCTATTCAAGACGAAATGGAAATTGTCGGCAAATGTCTTAAGCCTAATGGGCGTTTGGTTACATGGTGCCCTAGCATCACGCAACATATGAAGTGCCTGGAAGCTGTGAAGTCGAAGAAACTGCATTTTGTTTTGGACAGAGTCTTAGAGTTGGGATCGCAACTCAGTACTGGAGGGCGAGAATGGGAGGTTAGATCGGTAAAACCACGAGCATTAATTAAAGCCGAGATGAAAGCCAATGAGGAAAGAATGGCGGAAGAAGACATAGCCGAAGCAGCCTCTGCTGTTGACAAATTTCTCGCTAGAGTTTCGATGGATGAGAAGAGCAATGAGGAGAGCAAGGGAAAGAAGAAGGGAAAGGGGAATGGGGAAATTAAGTCATCCGCGGGTATGGAAGACAAACTCGAACCGAATGAAGGTGTAAAAGAACTCGCTAATTTCATAGATATGTCAAAATGGGAGACGATCTGCAGACCCAAGGTTGGAGACAGGATAACAGGTGGAGGATTTGTTGGAGTTTGGAAGAAAATGGATATGAAAGTGTAAATTTATAATATGGAATTCTCTTTGTACTATTGTACCAATACATACGCATATACGTAGCAAAAATAGAAATCTACTCTTCAAATCTTCGTTTTCAGCTTTACTACGAGTATATGGAACAGCCCCGTCATATTTCCCGTCCGTTTTGCTCCTTGCACCCACCACATGTCAAGGAAGTGAAGTGATCGTCCAAATTCTGGAAGATGTGGTCACTGTGATGTTGTCTGGGGGACTTGGCGCTAGTACCCAAGAGGTTAGCGTTATTTATACCCCAGATCTGCCATCAAAGAACTTAGCGGGAGTAAAATGGAGATGAATCCAAAGATGTGCTGATACAAACATTTAAACTCAAACTCTCTCCACCATCTTGTTAACCCCCATTTTATACATGCTTGAGTCTTGTCAATGAGAGGCCTGAATAGTGAAATTGAGATGTCCTATCAAATCTCACGGATGGGATAACCAATTTCATTCCTTCAAGCCAAGCTTAACGACTGCGTGAGCTAAAAGCTGTTTGTAAATAGCTCAATAGAGCTACGGCTTGTCAAGATGACCAGGAGAATTGTGGGTATAACTTTCCCATGTCTTCCTTTTTCCTGCTACTGATTTCTGTGTAGGTCCGTACGGCAACACAACTTGGTGCTCTTGCTCTATTTACCATCATCATCCTGTGGTTCCTGGACAATCGATATCGAGTCCTCCCTACTGCACTTCATGATTATATGCCGGCACATCATCCGGGCGTAGTAATTACAGATATTACTGTCACGAAGTGTTCAAAAATCAACCTATTCACAAGCTGCAAGCTCGATGCCGAAAAATGGCATCGTATAGAGAAGGACTTGTATTTGGGACATGGCTGGATCAACAGCGCTTATATGCATGTGCAGAGGAAGAAAGAAGAGGAACTTACGTCGGAAGATAAGGTTGTTGTGGATGTTAATGTAGGGAGATTGGATCCAGCGACTGCTACAAAAGGCGAAGGCGATGAGAGATGGGAGTCGAGACCCGCTGGATTATGGCTGAAACGATCGGCAAAGCGCCACGCGAGTGACTCTGATAAAGCGGTTACTTCTGTGGATGTATTGTTTGGTGCTGATGCTGTAGATCCGAGGGATGGGTGGGAGATGAAAGGCACGCCATTGTTACTGGATTCTTCTGGAGAGGTGCAGGAAGCCAGACTTAGCGTACGGAGAGGAAAACTCGTCAAGCCAGCCAAACCGACGCCTCGCATAAGGGACAATGGCAAATTCAAAATTTTACAAGCGGCAGATTTACACTTGAGTACGGGGACCGGACACTGTAGGGATGCGATGCCGCAGGATGGTGGGAAGTGTGACGCTGATCCTAGGACATTGGAATTCGTTGGAAGATTACTTGATGAAGAAAAGCCAGATGTGGTCATCCTTAGTGGTGATCAAATAAATGGAGAGACAGCGCCGGATGCACAAAGCGTAAGAATTTTTCTTTTGATTTTTATCGCTTACCATCTAACAGAATTAGGCTATCTTCAAATATGCCGAGTTATTTATTAAGCGTAAAATTCCATTTGCGACAATATTTGGTAATCATGATGATGAAGGATCATTACCTCGAGATCAACAAATGGAATTAATCGAGTCTCTTCCGTACTCATTATCTAAAGCGGGGCCAGAAGAAATCGAAGGAGTAGGGAACTACATCGTTGAAGTCCTCGCACAAGGTAGCTCAAAGCATTCTGCTTTGACAATCTACTTACTAGATACCCATTCATACTCACCAGATGAGAGATCATTTAAAGGATATGATTGGTTGAAAAAGAATCAGATAGATTGGTTCAAGCAAACTGCCGAGGGGCTGAAAAAAGCACACGAAGGGTATTCCCATATTCATATGGATCTTGCCTTTATTCATATACCATTACCTGAATATAGAGATGATACCCTTTATAAAGAGGGAGCATGGCGCGAAGGAGTCACTGCACCAGGTTTCAATTCTGGTTTCCGAGATGCCCTTGTAGAACAGGGTGTCGTAATGGTCAGTTGCGGACAGTAAGTATCCACTTTCCCCACTCTTCTGAACTCCCTTGACCGGATATAGTGATCATGCAAATGAATACTGTTCTCTTTCTCGAAGAGAGGACGAAAGTCCCGCTCTTTGGATGTGTTATGGTGGTGGTGCAGGATTCGGAGGTTACGGAGGATACGGCGGATATCATCGCCGAATTCGTCTTTTTGAAATCGATATGAACGAAGCGAAGATAGTAACTTACAAGCGGCTCGAGTATGGAGATATAGAGAAGCGAATCGATGAACAGACTATAGTTGAGGGTGGGAAAGCCATAGCCCCACCTCTTTGACCAGTTTCCGGGTTGGCAGATCAGCGTTCTTGAAGACAGATTTTTATAACCGCATTTGGATTATCTTGCCTGTACCTTTTTTAAGTTCTTCTTTTTGTTTCTAAAGGCCGCACTACCCTATAAAGTCGGATAGTGGTTATTGTACTCAATATTGTACAGTTATAGTCAATAAGGGTTACATAACTCTTCCCACGAAAAAGAGTGCCGCATGGATATGCTATATTTCGTCCACTTTACATCTTTCTGATGGCTGGAATCCATGCCTACACTCTATCAGTTGAAGATTTTCCTATCATTATAAACCGCTTTAGTAGCTTACCATCCCATATATTTCTCAAGTAAGAAACATTATCTAGCCTCAAGTGTATTGTCAAAGGATTTGGTAATAACTATCTGACCTTTATTCAAAACGACGTATTCGTCGTGACTTCGCTATCCCGGCTAACCAAGCTACCTCTTAACTAACCAAGGTCGATCTGTTTGACTTCCACTAATATTTGACGACCTTGAAAATTAACTTGTGAGCAGTGACAAATGACACAATGTTCGGCGCTTGAATTTTCCTCTCTCCCTAAACCAAAAACGTTACCGCGATCTACTTAGACTCCGCATTTGGTGCAAGTAGTTAAACTAATACAACGTCTTTTTTGCTCCAGAGTGATACGTTTATTTGAAAGGAAAAAATTCCCTCTCTCTTTTCTATTTTTATTAACATTTGTTATATTACATTCATCGACAGTTTCCGGCTATGCAGAGAGGCAATATGGAGTCGAATTTGACCTCTCGAAGACAAACCTCACGTGTTCCTCTTGGTCTCGCACCTCCTGGTCTCGCACCTCCTGGTCTCGCACCTCCTTGCCTCGCACCTCTTGGTCTCGCAACCGGTCTCAGAATTAATCGTGCTCCTGGATTTTCTCCTGGTATTATGCTTTCCTCCTCTGCTGACCCTTTTCAATTCCGTAATTTGAAGTTTAATTACAGGGAAAATTAATACTGACAGATTTTCGCAAGATCGCCACAAGGGTACAGTATTTGCCCATCAAGCTGGTCTTTTATCTGGAGCGTCTCTTCCGCAAGTTGTTCTTTACAGCTTTTGGAATGAATGCGGTAAACGAGCTTGGCGAAATGAAGTTTTGGGAGAAGAGAATTGGTGTGTATGAGTTTAAATGCATTGTGGGAGGTTGTGATGTCCCTGTAAGTCACTTTAATATTTAATATTTTGAGGCGAAGGACTGCAATGGAAGTTGAGCATAAACTTCAAAGTTAATGGTAATACTTATATTGCATATAGGTTGAATCCGGCGTTTTGAAGCTCGTCGGCGATCATATCTTAATGATAACGAGAGGAGGTTCACTCTTAGCGGGAATATAGTCTGTGCGTGCGTGTAGAGTCTCTGCGAGACAATGACCTTATAATGGCCAGCGAAACTAAAATTCGAAGGATTATGGAGGAATGACGGAGGTTCCAAGCGCTCTCTATTGACAAAAGATACAACTCATTGGAGTTGGTGAGTAAAGACATTCTTTTGAAATTTGATGCTGAAAAAAATAGTTGTACTGTCATTGGAAAATATGGTGTTCCCAGCATAAGAGCTTAATCGGTGATTTCGGTCTGTGCCTTCTTCCGATATTCATGGGAAACTGTTAGGGCTTGTTATTGCGAGTCTAACTCGCATTCGAGAACTCGAATTTGTATTATAGATTTTACAATAGTACCAGCCATGCGGTCATGATTGGCACAATATAAAATACTTTTTGGAAGAATAATACTGAATTAGTTTTGAATTAAAATTCTTAGTTTTGAACTAAAATATTAATACCGAACTAATTTTGGATTCAAATTATTAGTTTTATATTTAATTTTTTAAATAATTATATATTTAAAATAATTCATATTATTATATAATTAAAATATTCTTATAATACAATAATAAAATAAATGATTTTTAAAGAAAATTATTATTGAATAATTTGTAATTGGATATAATTAGATCAAAAGATGATTGAAAGAGACAACTAGTGATTATGATCTCACTTCTATCGAATTTGACATATTTATACTTCCTATACATACTATACTTCATATTTCAAGAGTTTGGTTTTTGAATAGTTATCTAATAAATCTATATACATAATATACTCCATATATAAATTTAAAAAGTCCTTCCAGAAAGGATTCTATACTTTCTTAAAGGACTATATAAGATTAACCTTGAGGATCTAGACGCTTCACTGTCCGCCGGTGATTGAAATAGTTATAGATCATTCAAACGGTCGATTAAAGTTTTTGGTCCTGCGGGAGCTGGTAAGGCTACTACAATAACTTTATACGCTTTCACTACGACGCCCTCGTCCTATATTTGAATCTATAGATGCTCTCTCAATTATCACATGCTAGTCGGTATTTGAAGTATAGTGGCATACCTATGAATATCATCGAAGTATTCCAGCGAAAAGAGATCACAAGATGTGACCAAGTCTCGTCCAAGCTCGCCCCTCTTAAAATTGTGCCAACTTTCTATATTCCAAAGTATCATATTAGTGTTCTTAATACGTATTTTATTATATACGTTGAGGAATGATCGATGAACTAATATGAAAAATAAATAATAGATTTTGGTAGTGATGAAAAAGCAGATTTTATGGTTCGTATTTATGTTACCTGATGTGTCAGTGGAGAATTTGGATAGTGATATGAAATCTATGATGGCAATTGAAGAAAGTGACAAGATCATTATATTATTGAATTAAATGTTAGCATCAATATATCTTGTTTCTTATAGATTATTTCTGTAAATTTATTCTCATTTGCGAAGTCAAGGAAATGCATGATTGGTCTGATGGGCAGTTTTGAAGAAGTGAGAAAGAGGTCTTGGATTATCTCAATTTCTGGGTTCAAGACACTATTCGGTACGAAAGTCTTTTATTGTGTTTGCAAAAACAGCTGATTAGATGGTTCCACTGGTTCTCAGTATTCCGCTTCTTCTACTGGCGGAGAAAACTACATCGGGATGTCGTTGGATAGTTCTTGGTATATTGAGAATTCTCAGCCTAGCGCTTTACTTTTTGATGTTGCTACTTTTTGTTCTGGCTAAACTTTAAAATAAGAGATTTTTTAATTATAGTATCATTATTTGAACTCATCATTCTATTTATATTCTGTCTCTGCATGCATTCTTTAGAATATCTACAATATTTATGTGATCTAAATGCTTCGACTTCCAAACTTGATCCGCTTGGATCTAACCACCTAATCGTCGTGACCGCTAATGTCTAATTGTGGTATGTCAAAGTCAGGAACAAAAGAACAGTGATAAAAAATCGAACAAACATATCGTTGCTTCGTATATTTCTGACTTGTATGCTCCGTGTCAAAAGATTATGAAAAATCAAAAACATGTAGTTTTACAAGACTCCGGATTTTATAAGACCAAAAAATCTAAGCTATATCATATCTATATAAGGTATATCAATCATTCCAATCTACTTTCAGAAGCAAGCCATCCGATTGTGAATGCATAGCGTATCGATCTCAGATATCACGTTAATAAAATCATGTGGCCCAATGGAATCCCTCCATGGAGATCCTCTTCGTTTCCTTTATTCCTTCATTTATTCTCCATAGGCAAACCAGTTACATTACTTTACCAAATAGCCCCCTAAGTATCCTTTAAAGATTGGCACCATAGGACTCAGTCTTGGCCCCAGTTAGATGCTACGACCAATCGTAGGCGGTCTACTCAGCGATTCTTCGGCGGCGTGGCGGCGGACCCCCTATATCAATGTTCCAGTATTCACCGCTATGAGGTTTCTTATATCTCTTTAGAGTATCTTCAGAGTCATATCGAAATATCGTGGTACTTTGATCATGCCAGAGGAGAAGAGAGTTAAATGGAATGAATGGTTGCGGGCGAGCTTCCGTAACTGACGCTGGAGAATAATGGGATGCGAGAAGAGATGTATATAAAAGCAAATTCATCTGGATGTTCTAAATATTATGAGTTAGTATGATTTGAATAGAAAATCTCTGCTATCCTCATTTCGTATATTGAATATGCTTCATGATAGTTGTGGCCGAGATTGGCTATTGTGATTATACTCCCAGGTTTTCTACTTACAATGAAACATCACGGAGCAAAGATTTGATATTACAGTGTTTGTTATGCCCCTTTGTAGGGCGTACACCCATTATTTTCATCTGTCTGCTACACTCAGCTCAAAATGTAGTGGTCTCGTTTGTCCTCCTTACAGACCAGTAACTGAGCAATAACAGCTCAACATTATGCCATTATCTCTTCTTAACCAACTCCCCAGACACAAATGGAATCACAGCAAACCCTCCAACGGTCTTCAGTTCTACCTTTTCCCAACCCCCATATTGCTCTCCCGCTGCTTTCAAGTACTCATCCGTCCTTCGATCCAAATGGCAATTGCCCATGAAGAAGCTCCAGCCAGCCAATTGATACAGAATCTGCGTGCATCTAGCCACCAAACTACCAGTACCTTGCCACCAGGGATTTTTAATATGTTCAAAGACGATTAGTCTACCGCCAGGCTTCAGCAACTTGTATAAGAAATCAATGGTATCCATCGGATTATTCACAGAGCATAAAACCCTGATAACAATAATCGTATCGAAAATCTCCCCCGACACCCCTCCCTTCTTGTCGTCCTTCAACAAGCCCACATTCTTCAACTCCTCACTCAAACTCTCCCTCTCAGCTCCACATCCCAAGACCTTATATTTTCCCTGCAACCCTGCCTCCCGCACCGCCTTCTCTAATGGCTCATGTAAAACCTCGCATGGTTCTACTCCATAAACCATCTCCACATGTTCATTTGTAAGAAATCGCACTTGTTCGCCTGAGCCAGGACCAACTTCGAGTATTGTACCGGAGGCAGTAGAGAGGACGGGGAGAATGTTGGCAAGTGGACCGGAGTAGGGATCGCCTTCGTCGATGGCGGCCCATGCTTCGCCGAAGGATTGCGAGGCTATGTTGGAAAGAGGGAGGGCGCGAGAGGGGTTGTGGAGGAGGGTACGGAGGAGAACGAGGAGGAAATCTGTGTGTATTTAGTGGCTGTATGTTAGAAGTTGCTGCGGAACTGGAGGGTTGGAGTTGTAGTTAACACCCCAAAAAGCAATTGGAGTGAAACTTAAGTGGAGTATGGAATTAACTCACAGTAGGCAGTCAGGACATAGAGGTAGAAAGGCAAAAAATAGCTCACAGCATATTCTTTCAAGGTTGCAGACGCCATATTTTTTGTGATTGAGTCAAGTAATGAATGTAATCAAATCGATAACAAGTCGGAAGTTAGATGGGAAGGAGCGATTGAAATCCATTATATAGATATTTATCGAAGGGAGGTATCATTCCAACGGTTTATGATGACATCACTCACTTAGGAACCATATGGTCAAAGCGTCACCTTTAGCGAGGGATAGATATATCACAAATCCATGAAGGGGGCAAGTCTTTCGTGAGAAATTGTTTTCAATTGAATACTAAATACCCTCTCGTGTCCTCAAAATGAATAAATTACCATTATTGCATGTTATGAGGGGTAAAAATATTTACAAATATGAGGATGAGAGTACATTCTAAATTTCTCGGTCTAGTGAGTTTCGCTCCAAGCTAATAGGGGGTGGACTCTTTAGCGGTAGAGCCACAAACAAAAATGAAAGCGAATTAGTTCTAGTCAGCCCGAATGTAAATTGATGTTTGCCCCGATAGAGATAAGAACAGGTTTTCTCTTACGTCTTCAAGTTCCTCGCCGTCTCGACATCTTCAAATTTGGTCCAAAGAATCAAACGTCGATATAAACTCATTCATACTTAATTGAAGCAAGCAATTATAAACCAACAACTATCATTATCTTGCAGAACAACAACGGCGACAACAACCAGACTCACGGCCAAAGAGGCAAGAAGACAAGCCAGACGGGCCAAAAGAGAAGCCGAAAGAGCCGAACGGGCACGAACTGGTCTTAAGATCATTCTTTCCACACGCCCCGGACGAGGCTGCGCAACGGGGTCCCTCGGGGCGGATTATTGCTTTGATGGGTAATCCACGGATAACCCATTCGCGGGGCGAATTATTGCAAAAGCGGATTATTCGCGGATAATCCATCAAAGTGCATATTCGCTTAAATATTGAAGCTATTCCCACATTTTTTAATCATCTGATTCTATACATAGGTACCCACGGATTACCTGCGGATATCCGTTTGCAAGACGGATGACTTTAAAATGCCAATAGATAATCCGCAGAATGGGTTGTAGATCTAATGGGTAGCCCACAGGGCAGATAACTTATAATTATCTGCAACCCTCAGATTATTTTTGCGCAGCCTACCGCGGACAAAACAAAGCCACCCGTTCTACACCAAAGATATCCTCGGCCCAGCAACATGTTCTTGCTAAAGCTGAGGACCCTACCATTGCGAATGAACCGGAGGAGGAAATTGATGAGTGGGACATTCCTGCCAGTTATGTCTTGGCCTGTTTGCCGGAATACAGGCCCGTCAAGATAAGGTTCGACTTTGCCGCGAAGAAGATGTCTGCATGCCATTAAAGCTCCTACTCGATTCTCTTCCGAAAAAAAAGAGGATACGATAGGTGTTTTGCAGTGCGGGCAGGGTAATGATGAACGGGATAGATTGGGGATAGGTTGGGGATGGAGAGGGGATCCACAACACCGGATTGCGATACATCTTGAGAATATTTCATCACAATCTCGGAAGCAACAATCAGAGACTCAAATTTTGTGCTTCATACTTAGTTGTGAATCCTTCTGGATCACAACAGTCCTATAGATTGAGATGTTCAAATAGATGTTCTTCTTTTCATTTTGCCTACTTCATCGTGAAAATTTTACGGTAATAATCGTAATAGTTCTGATCGTGGTTAGACAATGAGTAACCTTATTATCGTCTTACATGAATAATCCCAAAGAATTTGATTGGAAATTGCCAGGGATCGACGATGGAAGTATATACTTCGAGGTAGAATGTGTCTTTTCTGCAATCTATCTCGTGACTTCTTTTAAGTTTTGGATAGCGTATCTATTCGGATTATAAAATGATCTTCAATTTCAATTCGAAATTTCGAAGGATATTCTAAATTTTTAATATTATATTATCTAATCCGGAGTTTTCTATATTGAAACGCCCTCAGCATCCCATCTAATCCAATAAAATCACAGATCAGAGATCGCAAAGGCCGTCCGTGCCTAGTACAGTAAAACTATTAGACACAATGACTATCAAGGATGCTAGACGAGCCGCCTCGAAACTAGCACGAAAGAGCAAGGAAAGGTCAAACACCGAGAAGCCTAACCTTTTAGGCACAAGTCTGTGAAGCTTTTTTATACGACGAAGGTCGAAACCGACAGACTCCACCGCCATAACGAGACAACGACTATTGTAATTAAATAAAAGAGTCATATTTATACATCTGTCATCATCGAGCGACCATCATATCGAAAGGCCGTTATCATATTCAAACACCAGCTCTCATAACTATACAACAACCGTTGATTTAGAGAACGACCTTCACAATCCGAATTCACACAATGTCATTTCTAGAACCAAATCCGAAGCCGAACGAGGCCTTAGCCTACACATCATCTAGCAGAGCGTCTATTGCCTCGGGAACAGATGGCGATAAAGTAGGCGGGAACACTGCTGCCGAGAAGTCAAGGAGCGGGCGAAGTTTGACCAAGTCCGTGAAAACAATGGAATTAGAACTAGTGCAGAATGCAAAGAGAAAACGAAAGGCAATACCAGCTGTCACTACTTCGAACAAACGGGTCAAGACTACAGAAGCATATGAAACAAAAAATGCAGAAATGAAGAGCGATGCATCCGAGGATTTTGCTGGCAAACAAGAACCTCAAAAGCGGAAGCATATTCAGAAAAGCTCGAATATAAGTGTACCTGTCCCAGCTGCTCCAGTCGCTCCACTTGCTCCATCCGCCATAACAACGGTTCGGCTTAAACTGACATGCATGCCTCCAAACGCCCAGCCAGAGCTTCAGCTAAAACTCAGGATCAAAAATTCATCCAGCAGTTTGAAGGAAGATAAAACAGCTGGCAGGTCTGGACAGGAAGGGGAGAGGACTCGATGGGAAAGGAAAGAAGCTCTTCGCATTCAAGAAATAGAGAAGGAAAAGAGAGTTCTCGAGGATATGAAAGCAAAGTATAGAGCTGAACATGCTGAACGGCATAAGATGAGAATTCAAGGGGCTCAAGAATCACCGGAAAGAGCTCGCGAGGTTCAACAAGCAAGGAAAAAGGCTTTCCTCGCTCGGCGAGCAGAGGAGAAGAGGAGAGCTCAAGTGGCTGTACAAGCAGAGAAAAGAGCTCGCGAGGCTCGAGAGTTAGAGAAGAGAGCTCACAAGAAGACTCATGAAGAAGAAATGAAAGATCTCAGGGCTTTTCAAGAAAGAATAAGAAGAGTTGTCGCGGCCTGGAAGGCTCAAGAAACAAGCAAGGAAGTTTCCAATGCTACGAGTGCGGAATGAGCCGAAGGCACTCGTACAATTGTGTTGTTCTTTCTCAATCACCTATAGGCCTCATACCACTGAGCATGGTCCATAGAACAAGAGGCAAAAGAATAGGAAGAATGATTGGTCAACACTGTACGACTGCGATTTAGAATTTGGTTAGAGCTTGGAAGCTGTTATTTTTGAAACATCTTTACCGATACAGTGGAGGTGGCTTTTTCGGTGGTTATTTGTTGCTGTTGTTTTGGGAGGGACATATAGTATTACTCTCCAAAAGGATTTGTTTTAATGTTTATCGATGTTGTTTTCCGAGGGATTTATTGTATTTGCTTTCCATTCATTCTCCGAAAGGATTTGTTTTATCACTTGTCGATGTATGTCCTTAAAGGACTTACTATCGATAGCTTTATTTGGAAATTTGTTTATAAGATACCAAGGGATGGAAGTATAGGAGTATGGAAGTATAGGGGTATGGAAGTATAGGAGTATAGAAGTATAGGAGTATAGAGTATATGAGTATGGGAGTATGGATGTATTGATGTATTGATATATGAAAGTATATATATGTATGTAGGCATATATGTATGTATATAGGCATGTATATATGCTTCTTGTTTTCCGAGTCAATTGAAGCTGGAGGGCATGAATAGACAGATAACATAGATTAAGGTTAAGGTTAACCTATATGTTTGTATTATGTAAGCGAGGCTGATCGCACTTCCAGCGAAAGGACAGCTTTTGTTTGAACTACTTAACATTTTAAGGACACACACACGTAAAGGTTACACCATCGTAGCCACAAATAGCCAAAAATCCTATTACCTATCTGAAAACTCGCGATCACAATCAACATAGAAGTCGAATCAAATTATTACAATCGCCAAAATGGAGGAGACTGAAACTTTTACCCTTTTACCTTTACATATCGATCACAAATCAAAAACCATATCGACTTCCTCCAACTCTAAAGCCCTCAATGAAGAATTAGAAACAATCAATAACCTCTGTCGCACACTCATCGCGATGGAATCACCGACGGGAATTCCTCCTCCACCCGTCCCAGTGAACCCCAAACGTTCCGCCAATATCACCAAATTGCGAGAGTCGGGAAATGGAGAGTTTCGCAAAGGCAGACATGGAGAAGCTATTAAAATGTATACTCTTGGTCTACAAATGGCCCTCAACAGACCTCTTTGGGAACCTTGTGGGTTGGTGAGAGATGAGGTGTCCGGGTTGTATGCGAATAGAGCGCAGGCGCATATGGCGTTGCAGAATTGGGTTGAGGGAGCTATGGATGCGGAATGTAGTGTTGAGGCTAAGAGGGGTGGAAATGCAAAGGCGTGGTGGAGGAGGGGAAGATGTTTGATGGAGATGGGAAGGTTAGAGGAGGCGAGGGAGTGGCTTGGAAGAGGTTTGGAGATGGAGAATAATGAAGGGGATTTGGTGGCTTTGTTGAGGGAGATTGAGGCAAGGGAAAAGAAAACGTTGCATGTTTAATTTGGAGGTATAAGTATGGTAATGGGATTTGTATGAATTAGAGGGTGGAGCTGAGGCGTTTTCTTGGGTTCACGGGAGTATCTGCAAGAAGGGTCAACCGCCTGTTAATATCGAAATCAGAGGGGAAGCTCTCAACCAACACAAGGCAGGCATTTGAAAGGAAAGAATACATTTCATTCGTTTATCGGTGGACAGTATATCGACGACTTGAATGACATAGTGGCATGTAGCATACACATGGATTAAGGATTGTTTTCACTTGTCTGGTAGTCCAGTTATGCAAAGTCGCAGCAATCTATGCCAAATACTTCAATGGTCTGGGGTTGAAAACAATATCAACATTTACTCCGTCTGATTATTCAAAACTCGGCGATGGATTTACAGATATTCATTACACTTACTCGCGAATGGACCTTTTACACTTACATGCATAGGGCATTTGCATAAAACGTCGTGATATTCTTAAATCCAACGTGTCATTATGGTAGCTATCTATTTATTCTTTTAAACCAAGTTGCCCCAAATCTGAATATTCGATCAAATCTCCACTTCAAAATTCTCTCCAACCTGCTGATCATTAAGCATTTTCTCTTGTAAACGCTTTCGACTCTGCACCTCATCTCCATCTCTCGTCCTATCCTCCAAATAGCCCCACTCCGCTCCTCATCCAATTCCACCTCCCACTTGCTTCTCACCTCTAAAATTCTCTCCAACGAGACCCCTCTATCAAACGCCTCACAAATCAAAACTCCGTTCCTCCGGCATCAAAGATCCCTCCAACCTATCCTCTACCAATTTATGTTCAACGCTCATTTCATTTCATCCGCAAAAAGTGCTTAATATTCCCGTACAGTTAATGCGCCGTCCGGACCTGCAAGTAGCAGTTCTTCCACTTTAAGTCTTTCGAAGATTTCCCTACGTTTTGCGTTCTCCGAGTCATCGAATGGCGGCTTGAGCTTCACAGTTTTGACTTTGACGCATGCCAGAGCGAAATTTGTTGCGAGGCGGAGTATGCGTGCTGTGGAGTAATTTTTATCTCTCAATAATGCTAAGGAATTCCATTCCTCATCAAGAAGACCGAGTCTGGAGCCAAAATAATCCCGAAGGCTCTGCGCAGTTACGACTTCCAGATTCGCTCCTGCAGTTAGAAATTCCGCGGAAGGGAAGGGATAATAATTAGTTCTCTTGACAAGATATTCACTACATTCACTTCTACACTTCCTGCTCATCTTCCAGTCTCCCCATCCCTTATCCAACCCCTGCATAATCATCACCAGATCCATCGGCACTAACCCATGCTCATCATGATATTTATTCACCGGCCAATCCAAGATAAACCCTTGCCACAGTATTAAGTAATGCCATGCTTCTCTAACAGGCATCCCATCCTCTACCACCAATCTCAAAATCTCCTTAACTCCATCAGATGCAGAGAGTAAATACGCAGTAAGAATTTCCGCATCAGAGCGAGTGGTACCACTAACGTCCTCGATGGAAATGGAGCTTGAAACGGGAGGGATTAATGTGTATCTCCCTCGTCGATGCAACCATTGTTCGGAGAGCCAGAAATCTTTTCTCCAAGTGGACCTTTCAAGGTGGGATTGCCAACTTGCTAGATGGTCGTGCGCGGTAATGGGCGTCCGTGATGGTATGCGGTTTAATCTCATGGCGTCGAATTGTTGTTCGGCCGTGGGAGATATACTTTGTTCATGTGATGGACTTCTGTGGTTTCTGTGGCTTATATGGCTTCTAGACATGGAATGAGGAGAAGAGGTTTCGGTGTCTGGTGCAATAGTCTGGGAATTCATAGAAAGCGCGCCGGGAACTCGAGATGGTGGAGATATATTCGCATCAGGATCTGGTTCTGAATCAGTGGGATTCCATTGTGAATGCGAGAGATGTTCACGGGGTGCAGCTGCCATTTGAGATGTACCATAATTTTGAGTCTCGAACGGAAGAAGCGCAGCAAGTTGTCTCTCTAAACGGAGGTTTTCGTAACTGGTACTTGGCTGTAGGCGCGGTGTACGTGTAAGAAAGTTCATCGTTCCACTCATATCATTGCTTGATTCTCTACTCATCTGGTCTGGAACCCGTGGAGTACTTCTAGAGGCGTTTCCAACATTTCCTTCGTGCGGAAATATCGATCTGTTGGATGTTGGTGGCCTGGCTGCCCATTGCATCCGAGCAATTTCATCCTCTATTCTCTCGGCAGCAGCCCGATTTCTCGCTTCGACGATAATTGCGATTTCATTTACGAAGTCGGATATAGAATGTTGATGTGGATGTGGAGATATATCACGTCTCTCACGGAGCGATACATTTCGCGAACTATCAGTTTCCGGATTGGATTCGTTATCCCGTGTATCCGTTTGAAGAGTAGAAACCTCTTCTTCTATCGCTGGGACGGGCTGAACATCATGATGATCTACCCAAGTACTTGGGGACCATGCTTCCTCTCCATCATCCTCTCCCTCTATCAACCATATACCTCCCGTCTCGCTCGAAGGAGAAACCGATCTCGTCTCCGCAGTCCTATGCACCTCCTCTCTAACTCTACTAATATCCCTCTGCAACCGAATCAATGCATCCGTAACGTTACTTCGCGCAAGAGGTGATGTACTACACTCTCTGGCTTCGGATGCGAACTCATTCCAACTTTCTGGTCCGAATGTGGGGATTGGCCGAAGGACTTGTCTTGTAAATGGTGAGTTTTGTGTTTCGGTGGGTAGTGATTCAATTCCCACCGATCCATTCGTAAGCTCTTGTTGAACTTGAGAATTGGGAAGAGGGGGGGCAGCGGCGATCGATGGGGTTGGGTTTTGGTCTGGGGAGAATGGGTTCAAGGATGAGTTGTTGATCGTGTTAGGAGGTAATAAGAAGTGGGGAGATGACGAAAAGTCTCGCGATCTCGTTCGTAGACGTCCTCTTTGCTCATGCTCATGCTCATGCTCATTATTTGCATCCAAATCTCCATCCAAATCTCCAGCTGGCTGATTCTGGCCCTGGTTCTGATACCCAGTAGCAGACTCCCGGATCAAGAAAGACATGGAATCAAATCCCATTCCCAAGTCTGTGAGCCCCTCTAATACTGACACCGACCTCTCAGCTCTGTGATCGGAATCTCTAATGCTGTTACTGCGCCCTGGGAGTGACATGATGGGAATGTAAGTCTTGATAAAATTTTGTAAGTTGGTGAGACAGATTGTTGGATGTGATGTGATTTGAAGTATTGGTGATGTTGAATTTTGATATTTTGATATTAATTAACCTTTCCAGTAAATTTTATTGTTGAAATATTGAAATTGTTGATACTTGTTTGATTTTATTCGCAGTAGCAGTTTTGATTCTGTCTGATATACAAGAAGAAAAGGAAAACAGAAAAGGAAAGAGTGGAAAAGTAATCTCTTAAGTAGATCTTGGGGGGCGCTGGAGCTGGATGTGAATCCGTTGTTTTATTATATATTTACTCTTATTCATATTTGTATTCACACTATTATTCACAACTTATATTATAACTGTATCATGACTATCCTAATTATTATATTGATTATACTGAGTATTAATACTCATCATATCTACACTACATGACACATAATTACCATTGAGATCACTACTCTATTACCATTCACAAATATCTAATTACTCTCTACTCTCTACTCTCTACTCTCTACTCTCTACTCTCTACTCTCTACTCTCTTTTTTCTCTAAAAAAAAAGACATAACTTTTACCAATCATCCCCTCTCGTCCCATCCCACTCCAACCCATTCCTTCCTATCCCTTCTTAATCCTCTACAGCATCAAAAAACTTACATCACTTATATTACTTACATTTACAGCCAAAAATTACCTCTTTCCTCTTCTTCTTCTACCTCAATCTCTATACACATCACAAAAGACATACAATAAAATAATATACCCATCTACCAACCTATCTACTTAACAACACATAAAAAATCGCATTTCAAAAAACCACATCTTCAAAAAATCACAGAATTCAAAAATATAGACTTTAATACGATAAAACACAGTACAACACAACGCAACAAGTATGAAAAATAATATACATCTCATATGCATAGATGGTATAGTACGTGTACAAAACCAAAAAAAAAGACCTAAAACCCAACTCATTCTTCGTTTCCACTCTATGTCATTCATCAAGCCGAAATCCCAATGCCCCTCCATTTCTCACCCCGACTCCGATTCAACTCCCACTTTCATTCAATAGAACACCTTGACCCCATGAACCCGCCTGCAGGCCAACCTTTCCTGATCGAGCTGCATCTTCTGTTCCTCAGACTTACGCCACATTTCTCGTGTTTGCATCACCCACTAGCCATGATGAGTGGAGTCTCTGTACTTCTCCTACTAAGTCTCGTCCTACTTCTGCTTCTTTCCGTATTTCTATTGTCTTCCCCTGGAATCTCGATTTCATCTTTAATTCTACTAGTTAGGTAGGCGGCAAATAAAGTACTGAAACCTCCTGCAGCCATAACAACAGCGAAACTTCTATCTCCAGGTACTCCACGTGGCTTTTGCATAAATTTGAAGATTACACTGCTACCGAGTGTAGCGATGATTTGAGGGGCTGCTACCGACATGTTATGAATACCAAGAATGATGCCTGAGGTATTGTTAGTGATTAGAAGCGAAGATCAAACAGTATCATGAAGAAAAACTTACCAGCTTGATCTTCATCCAAATCATCCTCACCAACCATTGATTGTTGTCGTGCTCTACGGACAGCATCACGTTTACTGACTTCGGCGCTAATAATAGCGAATGGAGCCCATAATGTCATAGCCCATGATACACCAACCAAAGCTATCAAAACGGTAGCTCCTGCAATTGATCGTACGATAAGAGTGGAAAACATGCATGCTGCAAATAGCAGATGACTTATGAGCCATGCACGACGAAGATTCAAACCAGGAATGGCGAGATTGTCCATGAAGCGCGAGAAACGTGTTGTATAACTCTTGTGAGAGTATATAGATGCACTGGACGAGGGTGTATCGTAGGATGGGGTGATGAAGAATGGTAAAATAACGTTGACGGACAATGACGTAATAGCGTACATCAAAAGAGCAAAAGTTCCAACACGAGTGGCTTTTTCGTAAAGCTTATCGATTTCCGCTGGAGTCATGTTTGGATTTTCTCTCAGATATGGCTGAACATAAATATCGCCGACATAAGAGCTCGAATAAAAGAGTTGAGGGAAGAAGCCGATCCAAGCAAAGAATTCCACTTCACAAACTTGACGAGTCAAAGGGGGTAAACGCCGGATAGATTTGAAGACTTGCTTAAAAAATGCTAGAAGTCCCGATTTCGCTTCGGGTGGAATTGGTTCATTGCTTGGATCACGTTCCTTGATGGTGACACTGCTTATTGTGACGGTGGTAGAAAGAGCCACGCAAGCCATCAGAGATAGAATTTTAAATTGCGTATTTCCGAAGAACCATAAATACTTTGTTAGGTCAATATAACCAGCTAGGTATGCAACGATGTTGCCAATACCTATGACGCGGCTAGCGAATGAGTTTGCAGTTTCTATCGATGCATATTAGCTTGTCTGCAGATAATAGGAACTTTGAATGACTAACCTTGTTGATGACTTGGGGCACAATCGAGAATGTAAGCTCTAATGGCAGCTTGTACTAAGGAAAGTTAGTGGGTTCTCTAATGTTAGTAAGTTGGCACAAACCTGTAGCTATAGCAAAATCTAGAATATAAACTAGTAGAACAGCAACAACGATGATTGTAACTTTGACGCCTTCTGATCCTTTATCTGCACCAAATAGGCCTAGAAACCCTCCAACTATCTCTCTTACCCAGGCCAAGAAAACTAAAGAAAGGACGGTAGCCGCGGTACCTACAGCCATGAATGGTCGTCTTTTACCCCAGGGTGAACGACATCTATCACTTAATATACCAATGTATGGTTGAACCAAAGCCCCTGACATTGGTCCTGCGATCCATACCAAAGCCATCAAGGACTTGCTCAAACCCAACGATAAAAGGTATGGAGTTCCATTGGAGAGCTCCACTCCCCAAGCGACTTGTAAGCCACCTATACTGAGGGTCAAAAGTATCATATACCATATTCCCTTTGTTTCCGAAAAAGTATCATGTTCATGATTTAATATGTTACCGCCGTTCATGAGGCCTTCTTCTTCCTCCGACTCTGACGGGGACAAAAGCGGTGACTGCTCATTGGCAGGTTTCGGGTCGTCCATTCGAGTATCTTTGTCCCTTTCCGAGTCTAAACTTTGTACATCGCCTTGTTCCTCCCCTCGGGAACGCGTTGTGTCATTTCCCGCCATATCTTTGTTGTAGGGAAAGGCCGCCTGGCCTAAGTTCAAAATTCCAGTCAATGATATCCAAGGCTCCTCTTTCAGTCGATCACACAGGCGTGGAAAGTTAAAGTTCGTTCGCTTATGATTTTGTTGAGGTTGGCAGTCAGACAGAAACTTCGATCGATGGGATACAAAGGTTGTTAATAACGTAAAATGCAGGGCGTTTGATGTTAATAATGGATTCGGAAACGAGTTGGGTCCTATGGACTCTGGGCATCACGAGGCTGAGGTAGGCTGCTGTGCATGCGGAACAGCTTCGTCTGCTGGGATGGTCTGGTGGATCAGTGCCAGTGCGTAAGAGTCAAATGGGTATGAGGTGCATCGGAACATTTGAGATCTGTACATGTGCTGAAATCAATACGATGTAGCACAACTCAAAATGTTAGAATGATTGGAGATTTTGATAGTGGAGTGGTTGAAATGTATTTTCCAAGTAGCAGCGAGGCTGCTAAATGAATAAGTACCTAATACTCGTAGGTATGTAAAGGTTTGAATCGTTTCTTGGTCGACTCATGCGATGCGACGTGAAGGTTGATGATTAGGTGAGATACAAGCAAATGACATGAACTTATGTAAGCTGAAAACAAGTGGCCACGAGTAAGGCTGAGAGTGAGGCTGAATGCTAAGGACCAATGAAAAGAACGAGAGACTCTCAGGGCATTTGGATTTCTCAGATCTGTAGATGATGCTGGTGTGCCTATGGAGATGGAGAACTCATGGCTATGGGTCATAGCTTACAGCATCGCAGGTACGCACGCATACGTAATGAGAAACAAACGCGACAGACTACAATCGATTTATGTAGCTGCCCCCGCTATGGTCGAGTATATGGCATACGGCTCGTAACCGTTACAGCATGGGAAAGAAAGTATATAAGAGTACCAGGCGGACGACGGTAATAGGATCAAAACGATATAAATGCTACATAAACTTAGGTTCGATAAATAATTACTCGTGCAGAAGTTACAATGAATTCTATAATTCTTTCTTCTTTCTTCTTTGTCGTATAATCAACAAATGATGAAATAAATATGTTTATTCTGCACCATTCACAGACAATTTGACACTTTGTATGTTTCATACCTATCTAATCTGATGAAATGACAACCTGGCCAGAGATACTTAACTTAACCTACTGGGTGTACCTAAGCAGGCAGCATTAGTTAATCATGACTACTCTGTGGTTCCTTCCAACTTCCAACCTTTAACCTTTCTCCACCAGAAACCCACGAACTCCAGTATCGCATTTGAAGCACCTCCTCTCCACTTCCATCCAACTGATATACATGCGTCGTTCTTTTACTCTTCTCTGCTCGTCCTTGAGCGACTGTAACGTCTTTCGCAAACCTACAATATTACTTTGATACATTTCAGATCGGATCATCTCATTGCAACAATCAACAATCCTGCATCATGTATGCCGCAATCGCGGGCTCGGCCTTCGAGCTTCTGAGTATGTTTGCGACTCCAGCTAATCCACTGTATTGCGCATCTGCTAATGTTTATCCCCCGACAGAGAGGCAATCTGAGGAAGAGGATCCTGATGGTATGCTACAGTTCATTCGATTCCAAAGGAGATCCCCAACTAACAGCTGCCTTCAATAGCACCCGATTCATCGCAGAAGGAAATATTCGCATCATGGGCCCTCTTCATCTTAATTATGTTACTCATCGTAGCTCTCTTCACCAGTTACTTGCTTCAGATCAAGAAAGTTGAAGCTGTTCACGAAACCTCCATTTCTATCTTTGCTGGTAAGTTATATGTGATCAAGCTATATGTAGGGTAGATATTAACCAGCTAGGTATGACCATTGGTTTGATCCTTCGGTTCAGCGTTGGAAATTCAATACGAAATCTTGTGAGCTTCGATGAGCAGATATTCTTCAATCTACTTCTGCCACCGATTATTCTAGCGTCCGGGTACGAATTACATCAGGCGAATTTCTTCCGAAATATAGGGACGATTCTTACCTTTGCGTTTGCCGGGACTTTCATATCAGCAATTGTGCTAGGATTGGTATTATGGTTGTATACAAGAATTCCCCTTGACGGGGTTAGTATGACATTCGTTGATGCCATATCTGTTGGAGCAACACTTTCCGCCACCGATCCGGTTACAATCTTAGCGATTTTCAACACCTACAAGGTCGATCCAAAACTTTATACAGTCATCTTCGGAGAATCGATTCTCAATGACGCCATCGCAATTGTATTATTCGAAACAGCACAAAGGTATAAAGAGAGTGGAAACGCAGGAACTCTAGGCTTTCTAAGTTTATTCGAAGGTATCGGCATTTTCTTGGCAGTGTTCTTCGGAAGCTTGATTATTGGAATCATTATAGGAATCGCTACAGCTTTGGGATTGAAGTATACATATGTCAGAAGATTTCCAAAGATTGAAAGCTGTTTGATTGTATTGATCGCTTATGCCAGCTATTTCTTCTCCAATGGCCTCCATATGTCTGGTTAGTATTTCAACAGCTGCTTCTTCCAAAGTAAAATACTGATCTAAAGTAGGAATCGTCACACTTTTATTTTGTGGAATCACTTTAAAACATTATGCATATTACAATATGTCTCGCCGAACACAACTAACTACCAAATACTTATTTCAAGTTCTTGCGCAATTATCGGAGAATTTCATCTTCATTTACCTTGGATTATCTTTGTTCACAGAGGATAATCTACAATTCAAACCGCTTTTTATTATAGTTACCGTCATTGGAATCTGCGTCGCTCGATATGCAGCTGTTTTTCCTCTGTCGAGACTCATTAATTGGTTCCTTAGATATCGCGCAAAGAAGAGAGGACAAGAGGTCGCAGATGAATTACCCTATAATTATCAAGTAATGTTATTCTGGGCCGGGTTGCGTGGAGCAGTTGGGGTCGCATTGGCAGCTGGAATGACCGGCGAGAATTCATGGGCTTTGAAAGCAACCGTCCTTGTGGTTGTAGTGCTTACTGTGATTATTTTCGGTGGTACCACAGCACGTATGTTGGAAATCCTTGGAATTCGTACTGGGGTAGTCGAGGAAATTGATAGTGATGACGAGTTTGATATTGAAGCTATCTCGGGAGGAAACTATTACAAACATTCTGGATCCGGAATTGGCAATGATCCAAGGCGAAGTAATGGTTCAATGCAACTCGATGGCCTTGCTAGATCGGGAAATCGTAGAGGAGCGGAACGTGGAAGTTATGCAAGTGGTAACGCTAGCCCAGATGTTAGGTCAGCAAGCATGAGTCGAAAGGGTTCCAGTGGAAGAAAAGAAAACGAAAGTGAACAGGATCTTCTTGGTAGAACTGGTAGTACAAGTGATGAAGAATTTGATAGCGATTCATCTGATCTTCCACCACTAGCCAATCGACCACCGAAAAGAAGACCACCACCTCAAGATAGTAGTGACATGGGAACACCTTACCCAACTTCAGGCAGTACGAATCGTCCTGAAGCACCACATATTACAGCTTCAGGTGCAATCAGTCAATTGTTACATGGAACAGCTGAGGATCATGCAGCATGGTTCAAACAATTAGATGAAGGATTCATCAAACCAAAGTTACTTCTTGATGGAGGTAAAGGTCCACATGGTGGACCAAGCGGGAGTTAAAACCAATGTCATCAGGATGAACAGACGATATATTCAAAAGGCAGGATAGGGCATGAGAATGGCGTTTATTGGTGTATAAGAGGAGTTGGATTTCTGGCACCTACCACTTTAGTATGCGTGTATGAGATATAAATAGACTTTTCATGAGATTACTCTTAGGAAATAATATTAAGGAGAATAGGAAATAGTGTTGACACTCGAGTCCTTTTATTCATCTGTTCTTTCCGTGTAATCATGTGCTAGATTTGATATATCATGGTCAGAAGGATCTATATGTATACTCTCATCAATTATATAAATAATTAATAAAATAAATAATACTTTTCATAGATTATTTATAAGATAGATCACTTATAGATATCTATAAATAATAGATGGGTGAATAGTAATGTATAAGGTTTCTAGATTAAAATATCCAAATAGAAAGTGTGATTTGAGATATCAGATTAGGATTCGTAAATTAATCCTCAGTCGGTGATATATATCTCTATCTAGATAGATAGTCTAAGATAATATATAAACTCGTTTAATAAGTAGCAAGATTACTACAAATACCTAAAAAACCAATCTATCTTTCTTATATCCCAGATGTCATCTAAAAACAATCCTGACACATTTAAGATTATATACCCAATTCGCATATCTCATATTTCATTTCCCATTTCTACTTTTATTCCCATTTCCAAATAACACGCTAGAAATAACAATCCAGATCATCTCCTTCTCGACTCACTCTTCTCCAACTCTAAATGATGCGCATTAGAACTAGTCGTACCTTTTTCCTCCCAAACTACACTACCTTCTCTCTTCTCAACCGCCAAATCCGCTCCCTCATATCCAATCTTCGTCTCATTGAAACCATCCAATTCCTTCGCACAAACGGTATTCAAATAAATAGGGAATGCGAACGCGACGAAAAATCCAATAAGTGGAACGGTCATGGAAATATGATAACCTTTTTTATCTGCGAGAAGACCCGTGAGAGAAGGGAATAGAGCACCACCAGAGACGGCGGCTACGATCCAGGATGATCCACGTTTAGTGTGGCGGCCGAGGCCGCGGATTGAGAGGGCGAAAATGGTTGGGAAGATGCAGGATTCGAATAAACTGGTTAGATTTTATTAGTTTTGGGATATTAATTACGAGAAGAAAGGAAAGATGAGAGGAGATAAAAAAACTTACAGGACAAGAGATAACATAGCTACACCAGCTTCTCCTTTTACTCCAATAGAAATAGATATAAATAGCATAATAGCAGTCATGAATATCATGAGTACATAACGTGGTTTAGTAATCATCATCAAACCCGCAGCGGCAAATCTGCCAATTGCAAAAAGACCCTGCGCAATCGCAAATCTATCCGTAGCAGCTGCTTGACTAAGTCCCGCGCTTTCCTCAGCATATCTGATAAAATTGGCCGCGACACCAACTTGCGCACCCACATAACAGAATTGAGCCGCAACACCAAAAATAAGTTTATATTGTCTCCGCATGGGTTTTTCTTCGTATCCCGTAAGACCGGCGGATTGTTCGCTCTGTAGCGCCATATCGGCATCTGTTACTTCAGGGAGTTTGCTAAAGAAGAAAACGACGGCGAGGAGAAAGACAAATGCGGCGATTCCGAGGTATGTCCATTGGACTTTAGATAAATCCTGTCCATCGCCCTCTTTGAAAAAGACTCTAGAAGCGAGAAGTGGAGCGACGACGGAACCAACCGCTTGGAAAGCCTGCGAGAGTTCAAGACGGAATTCTGAAAGACGCGGAGGTCCACAGGTGGCGATGAATGGATTTGCGGATGTTTCAAGTGTGCTAAGTCCCGAGCCGACAATAAATAAACTTCCGCAGAAACCGGGGAATGATCTATAGACGGCCGAGGGCCAGAACATCAATGCTCCTACACCGTAAATGCAAAGACCAACAATAAACGTCCATCTGTAACCGAATCTTCGGACGAGCCATCCGGAATATGTCAGGGGACCTATAAAATAAGCTCCGAAGTATGCTCCTTGGAGACCTCCTGCCTCGGCAGCAGTAATATTGAGAGCGGTTTGAAATTTGGCATTGAGGACATCTAAAAGACCGTATGCGAAACCCCAGAGGAAGAATAGCATGGTGACTAGGGTGATGGGGTAGATGGATTGTCTGACTGTTAGGGCTGCGGCACCGCTTAATCCGGTGTTTCCTACACCTGCGTTGGCCATTACGTCTTCGCTGGAGGAACGACGTTCTTCCAATACGTCTTCTGTTTTTTTCCCGAACATGGTGATGTTGAGGTGGGTTTGAGGGAGGATATTGTTTGTGGGAGGGATTGAGATGGGAAATGTAGAAGTAGGTAGGGAGAAAGATTGATTAGAGAAGGAGAAGGGAAGGAGAAGGGAAGGAAAGGGGAAATATCAGTCAATTGAGACTTGAGTAACTAACTGTCTGATCTTCAAAAAACAGAGGACATTCAGTATCCCTTTTATCAACATTTTGAAATATGCCAATATCCCCACCCCACGATATGAAATTTTTGGAGAAATGATCCTTGACCTAACTGTCTAGGTAGGTAGGTAGGTAGGTAGTCACTAATGACATACACACGCTTCTCCATGCACGATAACTTTTCTAGGAACTATCCCAATATAGATGGCACATGCTTTGAGACGTTACTATTCCACTTATAGGTTAGGTTAGTCAAGGTCCAGCGGGTCCCTAAGAAATATCAAGTCCGTCTGGAAGAAATAAACACATGAATGGGATTTTATCCCGTGTGTGCTCTAAATTCTAATCTAATCGTCATGATCATGATCATGATCATGATTTGGTTCATATCATACTCGAGTAGAAGTGGAATGAAAAGTTTATCTAGAGTAGGTACAGAAAGTCGCCGCACGGCGCACAACAAGCACTAAGGTTTCGCTTCCCCTTGGCTGAAGAAAGGCACTACTTCGGGAGTGTATAGAGTAGAAATTTAGACCCCTCATTAGATCCATATTGGAGGCTGTGTTTGTCATTGGCTAGATTATCTATTGAATCAGATTTCCCCCGCACCCCCGCGGTGCCCCGCATTGCGTTAGACTTAGACGCTTGGTGAGAATTTCATTTTCATTCTTTTTTGTGATCTTCATTGACTTATAAGTTGTAACATGGCATTTCACTTCAATCGGATCTCAATAAGTGTAAACTAATCGGCTTCGTCCTTTCGGTTCTGTCCCTACCGATATTCGTGGCTTCTTTTCTTCTACGCCCCCACGGCAACACCGATGCCAGTCAAAAGACTCGCTACCGAAGATTTCCTTGGCCTTCATAACCCCGGGCCAAGAGATTCACCTATTCTCTTGTTACTTCTTGGCTGGAGATATTTAAGATTTATGTCGGCGAAATTATGGAGTCGTGAAGCTCTCAATACATCGTGACTCGTGAGGCTTGTTAGGATAAAATTGGCAGTTTGGCATGCATACATGCATCAATTGAAGAATGGAAAATAATCTCGAACAGTCAGAACAGATACCAATAACACGGCACGCATCGAGGCTCTGTTTTTGACAAGGAACTTACAAGTTTTCCAAATCACCATGTCTAGCTGCTATTTCATGAGCTAGAATACGCTAAGAATGGCATTCGGAAAGGCCAAGTCATTACTAAAGGTGGTAAATGATGCATTTTGTATTAGCTTCTGTCCAAGATGATGGATCCAATTGATCAGAGATATGGCCACCACAATGTCAGATCTAGAGTTGTTTTTGTCAGTCATTTGACCTGACACATGACAAAAAGGCGAGAAGAGATCCATATTGGGTTGAGTGTTATCAAACAATCTCCCAAACACCAACTCCAATCTACTCATTACCCAAGGACTTGACCAAAATCCTCCCTCAAACCCCCGTCTCTAACTCCATGTTTTTACCCCATGATTTTCATCAGATTGCCTCATTTGGACCAAAGCTTCGCGACGAATCCACAAAGGTTCTTCTTGTGATCTCTCCTGATGAAATCACGATATTTTTCCAACTCGGCCTCATATTCATCCTTCATATCTTGATATGCGATTTCTCCTTCCTCATCAGTTCTGAAGTATGTCTCAAACTCCTCTCCGGACCACCTTCTCTGCTTCACCTTCATTTTCAAGCTCTGACGTGCGAAAAATGTGTACTGAAACTTCTCCTTCTCGTAATACGGCTGCTCGTAGAAGAAAGCCATAGTACGACGCCAGCTGAGTATATTTAGAAAGCGAGTGCAGTCCTTGCTGGCCAGGATGAAATCAGGGTGAAAACCAGCGTACATACGTTTATAAACCTCGACATCTGTCCGCTTATACTCCCCAGCGATATCTTGATACAAAAGTGCGTCTGCCATGGCGTTACCAACGTTGAGTAATTCCTCCCCTGATCCTGCGAATTTTATATTTGTCGTTGAGCCCATCTTGGACTTCTCCGTCGAAACTTTATGAGTTCGCAACTGCATGCCTATTTTGAGGAATGGCTTCATGAGAATGGCTTCTTGTTTCATAGTTTCAACTTGAGCTTCTAGATCGCGGACCTTCTTTTCGCTTTCCCGAAGTTTGTGGTCTTTGTTGCGCATTCTTTCATTGTGGAGATTGTGGAAGACTCGATCTGAGGCGACAAGACGGTCCGTTATGGTGCTGCAACCTATGCATGGTCCGTCTGCTAAACCAGGAGGATCCATGTTGAGAATGAATGGGCTTGTCACTGGTTTGTGAGGTGGATGGTTATCTGAGACTGAGTTGTGGGAGGTTTATGTTAGAGGTGCTGATACGACATAAGGGCAGATATATCAAAAGACGAAATAAACCACTTATCGAATGCGTCGCAGCGACTTTATGAGCGAGGAATCTTCGTAAAACTGGAAGGTGAATCAATACATGTGCGGAGATGGAGTTAGAACCAAAGATGGCAGAATTCCTATAGAATGATCAGGCCAAAGATGAAGTTGAGTGAACTGTGATCAAGGCATTCTTGCGCTTCAAAATTTTCTCAGGCTCGACTTAATCCTATACTTTTAGGGTAATGACATCGGATGGTATAGCATTCAATGTGCGAGTCGTTAGTGACATCTTGATTGCCTTGAAGACTTTCAGATGAGAACCTTCTCAGGTCTTGGTACTGCATTTCTCGAAGTCGAGGCTGTAAGCATATCTTACGAATCTCTTACATCGCATTCGCTATTAAGGACGAGAATGCAGGATAAAAGAGAGAAGGTATTGCTCCATTCCAAGTAAAGGAGAAATACTGTTTTTCACAGAAGGATATACGTGTAATGAACTAAGGCATTAATAAATACTTGTTCACTCCTTCCTCATTAGTTTGAAGTACAAACTCCTGTAACGGCTAATGTTGTATCCAAATTTCCTATACTCAAACCCAGACCACTCTTTTCTAGGGGCACGAAGATGTGTTATCTGAATCGGTCAAAGAGATATAGCAGCTTGAGTTCATTTCGAGGTGTATGGGGGGAAGATTATCAAAGGTTCTTCTTAACTATGGTCATAAAAGAAGTTACACTCGTTGTAATCTTAGTTCCTAAGTCCATAATTCATATACCTATTGTGATATGAGTGAATACGGACACGGCATTATTCTCTGGCATACTACACCCTGCAGCCCTCTTTGCTTCAACACTTGGATAGTATCGTCAATTTATCTCGACACTATATAGGTAATCAAAGACGCCATTGTCGCCGCAGCGATGATATCAACCATTCTTCAAGTGTTGCTCTTTACAAAGTATTCGGATTAGACAGTGTCTGAACCACCATATTTTTCCAGCATGTAGTTAGCATTGAATGTATGTAGTTTGACAGCATGACTTCGCAATTGGATCATATATATCAACTACTGTTTCTTGCAACCAGTCGGTCTGCGAAGTTACGGATCTACTTGCCGACTTCCCTTTCATGCCATTCTATTCAGCGCCCGTCATTTTCATCCATCCAAAAAATGAAGACAAATGCCCTACTTTCAACAATCAGATATGCTTGCAAGTTAATTATGTGAAGATCGATATTGATCACTTCAAATTTTGAACACACGGATAAGAATGTAAAACTCAAAATCGTTTGACTGTACTGCATTTAACTACTGTTTTTCTTTGGAAAATATCTTTGATAAACTATCCACATCCAAGGTAGACGGACCTGGTTTATTCTTTCTTAAAACAGTTAGCATCAGGTACATAAATTTGGATGGTGCTTCAACTTACAATCCCATCTTTCTACGCTTCTTTTCATTCTCTGCTGTGCCATGGTACTCCTTACACATTGAGTTGAAGGCAGATTCTAAATCTCCATCATCATCGCTAAAGCTCCCCCATGACTCCCATGGTTTGCCACTGGAAGTTTTCTGAAGATGATCTTTCTTGGTAAGCTGCGTCATGACATACTGAAAGTTCCTTTCAAACTCGGTTTCAGCAAGTTGAACAGTCTTAAATTTGCTCATCTCGTATCGCATATCGAGAAGCCTGCGCATCTTCAGGGAATCTTGGTACTTGGTAAAAGTTTCAATGCTAACACCGTACAAAGACTCGAACCATTCGTTGTCGTCAAAGTTTGGGCTTGAAGCTATTCGTTTAGATACAGCGAGACAGCTACGTAAAGGAAGTATTAGTGAACCTTTTCTGATAGTTGACTCTGGGATAGGAACTTACTTTCCTCCATGAGCGGCGAGGTTTCCCTGATCCATGATCTCCTCGCTGCGTTCTTTGGGAGGTTTACTACACTCACGCTCACGGGCCAGGATTCTTTCAGCAATATCTCTATACGGGCGATGTTCTTCCTCGAGTTCCATGATTCTGGTTTCGAAACTTGCTTTCAAGGCGTTGATTTCTTTTGTATGAGCTTCTTTAAGATCGTCTTGATTTACTTTCTCTTGTGCCAGCGCCAACTCGGCTCGTCCTTCCATACCAGATACCACCTTGGCATGAGATGCGATTAGGCTTTCTTGGCGTTCTAGCATCTTCATTTTCTGCTTCGACAGCTCGGTTTCGAGAGCAATACATTTTTTCTCGATCACTAGTACACTATCGTCCATTTGAGAACAGGCCAAAATTAAGTAAAGCGCCATGTCAAAGTTATCCTGACCAGTATATGTAGCATGCCACTCTTCTACGAAAGCTCTATGTTCCTGTTATAATATCAGTATGCATTTCTTCTACTCGATGCCCCACTAACCTTTTCATTTTCGAGTTTAGAATTCAGTATTTGAAAGAGGGATTTCTGCCAGATATCTTTTCTTTCGATCTGGCTCCGAGTGAGAAATATAACTGGTTCCACACTTTTCGTGTTTGGATTCACCCTCGGATGAATGCTATCGTAAACTCCAATAGCGCTCTTTTCAACTACCCGATTTTTGATAGCCAAATCCTGCTCCGATGCACCTGCTCGAGCTGATTTTGATATGCAGGCATTGAACTCTGCCTTACATTCACCTGCCGGCGCACTAGCAATCCTGTGGACATCTGCCCGATCTTTTGCGTCTCTCATGATATCCTCTTTCACGATTCTTTGATTCAACTCAAGGATCACCCTTTTCAGATTTTCCGTCTCTTTCCAATGATCTTGGCGGCGTTTCTTGATTTCCTGTTGTAAAAGTGTATTTGCATTACGCCCCATTCGCATCACAGACTGCAGCTCAGTTAACTCTTTTTGGAGCTTCTTTCTCTCTGACTCCGATGAACGTTTCTCGCTGCGATACTTTGTACGCTCATCATTTAGTTCCTGCTCGATTCGTTCTGTAGTATTGATTCTAGTTTTGGACTCATCTCGAAGTTGCTGTAATTCTTGCTCGAGATTTTCGGATCTGGTTTTTGATGCGCGCGCCTCCTCTTCCGATTCCTGGAGTTGCTCTTTGAGAAGCTGCGTCTCATTCCTCAAAGCAGTTGAATTCTTTTCCTCTCCTTCAATGTAATTAGTGAGTTTTTGGATTAACAACATTGGGCTATCTGCGATAGGCGCGTTTGATATGTCTATCGGGTAGATTTTGCTGTCGCTAGGCTTGTCAGCGTTGGCATGGCTGGCCTCCTTGTTCTTACTGCCTTTCCCCATCTTGTATACTTAGAATCGCCAAAATTTCCATGAGCTGAAGGGAGTATTGAAAGTATTGAAGGCATTAAGAATGATGGAAAGCGGATTATTGAAAGAATTCGTTCAAAGGCAGAAGTTGGCTGATCCTCTTTGGCAAAAACCGTATTAAGTGTTGTAACCTACGGTAGTAAAAGCATAGCGCTACGGCCCCTGAGTTAGTCGACCACTTATTTCTTGTACAGATACTCGATACAATAAATGAGATTTATCTACACAATAATATACCGGAGAGATTTGCAGTGATTCTGGCAGCTATATTCTAGGATATATCTATATCAATCTGTGTAGTAACTCTACTAGCTAGTCAGGGTCATTTCTCCCGCACTCAGGGGATCAAATAAATATCGCATGGTTTATTTTTACCCTTGTGAAAATATAGTTAAACGAAAACATTGATACGGTAGTAATTGTGCAATCCTGGTAGTAAGATCCTAAAATTGTGAGCAGTTTCAAGCTACCTCTGGCTCTTTCTGATTGGCAAATCTGCTTTGATGCTAGCAAACCATGTTGATTCATTCAAGTTCATTGATAATCAACACTTGTTCTTTGTAAAACCTTTCAGCTTCATGTTGATATATGCTTGCGGATACATAATAACATATCTGATGCTTCACTTCTGAATCCATAGACAGGAGTCTAAATTCAGCAAAAGCCAGCTTGGAAGGTGAAAGGAATGACAAAAGTTCCTTATGAGTACTTTTTCTTGCCTGCGGTTTCATAGATCGGGGAAAACAATAAGAATAAAGCTAACACTTTCATGGAATATAATGCACTGTTGTATTCAATTGACTCACGAATTTTATGTGAGAAACTTGGAAAGAATAAGGAAAAATAGTAAGGGTGATGAGAATAAGTGTTGATAGTGTGGAGTGATATATACGAACGGAATGTGACAAGCGGATGCAGAGTATGCATCTGAGATTGAGAGAAATTAACGAGTTAACAACTCATTCTTGAAAGTATTAGGTGGCAAAAGATCATTAACCTATGAGATTATGGACTGTAAAGAAATTTTGGTAAATTAAACAATTGGAAATTTCATTAATTGCTGTCTAAGATCAAGGATAGATAAAAACAAATAAAACCCTCGTCGCGTAAATTCCCTCTTACGCTATCATAACACTTAGATTAGAGATCTTTTAGACACCTGGTGGTAGGGCTTCGTAACTTTGATTCCTATAGAAATTCCCATATCTCGGATCTTGCCATTTAGCCCGGGGTTTACCCCAGGGCATGGCGTACTTTGCAGAGGAGAGAATGTCTTTTCCATATTCCTCAATATTGTCAAGCTTACTTCTTCTCCATGTCTCTCCACTCCGATGGGAAGTATTAGATTTTACGCTTCCTCCAAAAAACGATCTTTTAATCCTATCACCAGTTAGTTTTGTTAAAAGTATGAACATCAAAGCACTTACGGATCTCTGCTTTCTTGGAACCGTTTTCTTTGTGTGGCTGTGGCGGTATCCCAGATGCCACACAGCTTTTGAAATGTTTCCTTCGCCTTTTGATTCTTGAGAAGAAAGCAATCAATTGCCTCTGTAGTTATTTTTGTGTCTCTCTCCAGATCTCCGATCAGTAAATCCTGAAATCCTTTTTCGAATTCCAAGAAAAGCTTTCGTTGTCCGGGCCCGCAGTTGCACATGTCATATCGCATATTCACAAGCTTTGCAAATGCAGCGCTTCCTGCATGTCTTTCGACAATGTCTACAGATACGCCGTATCGCTCTTTGAACCATCGGGAATCGTCGACATCAGCATTGGACTTGACTCGAAAGACGTCAGCAAGACAACTAGATCAGTGTTAACATGTGAGCTGAAAGGCTATTGTAGTATTGACTTACGTTCCACCATGTGCTGCGATGTTGCCTGTTACAATCACATGTTCGCTCCGACTTTCGAATGGTTTCATCATCTCTCTCTTGCGGTTTAAAATGCTGATGGAAATTTCACTGTGAACAGCTAGTTCCCGAAGCATTTCCTCCATTTCGGTTGCTGATGCTATTTTTTCTTTTTCTAGTTTCGCGATAATGCTACTTTGTTCTTTTAGCTTCTCCTCGTACTTACTATTCGCGTGAGATATCGATTTCCCTTTCTCTTCGAGATTGGCAATAATTTCGCGTTGCTCCTCCAGCATTTTCTCGTACTTAACTTTTGTCTCAGCCGCAAAGATCCTTTCCTTTTCCTTCAAACCTGCGATTACGTCTTTCTGTCCCTTCAGTTCTTTTTCATGCCTACTCTTCATTTCGGCTGATAAGACTTTTTCCCTTTCCTGTATGCTTGCAACAACATCCTTTTGCACCTTCAGCCTTTTTTTGTGTTCGGTGATCTCAGACTCAAGTGCAGTTACTTTGTCCGTTGTTGCTGACAGCATGCCCGCCGTCATTCCTGCCGTTTCATGGGTCATTACCAACAAGGAAATAATTATCTCTATATCGTCCCGTCTAGTGTATGAATCCCTCCATGACTTGATTGAGCATTCGTAGACCTATTCAAGACCATTAACATCGCTGTGGATGAAATACATATCGGGAATGACTTACATCTCGATGAATATCCGCGCCACTAGCATCAAAATTCAGCCTACTTCGGATGATCTCAGTGCCTTGTGCCATCCATGATTTCCTAAGTTTGGTCTGAGCATCAGTGAGGTGCAAAAAATAACTCGCATCTAATTTTTCGAATATGCTAATCCTGGTCTTAGTTAATCTTTTTTCAGCCCCAGCCTTCGTGTTAGCTATCTCCAATTCCTTGATCGCAGTGCGAAGTATTCTATTCTCCCAGATCAACTCGCCGATGGGCTTTTTAAATTGATCAACTTTTAGATTCTCGGACGTCTTAATGGGTATTTTCGGAGTGTCATCTTGAGATGTGTGCTGGGTACTATTTGGTGCGCTTGTGTTCGACATTTTAGATTTTAGTGGAAGATCCTGTAAGCCTCGATTCTTAGTTGTGAAGATGCGATAAAGTTTCTCGGTCGCAGTCAAACGCCATGGTATATCTTGATGCGTTGGAAAATTCATGAAAGGTATTCTATGCGACACGGAACTGATCTATCTTATACACGAAAGCTAAGCGAGAAATGCGAGATTCAATACGGTTGCTTTAAGCATACTAAAATTCCTTGGGGGCATGCTATTTGCCGAGCCTTGATAGAACTGTATAAGTCATTATATTTACAACTAAAGTTTCTGTTTTTATTTCAGAAAGATAAAACATAATAGTAGAGATCACAGAGGATACTTCAAAAAACTATCGGTACATCAAAACAGCTCAAATTATTATTAATTACAAGACATTATACAACATCGGCATTTAAAAATCAAATTAGCTCATTGCTGAAATATATCACATCGTGAAAGGAGTCGGTGGGTATCTAAAAAGGAAAAGGAAAGAGCATTTATAAATGAATTAGATTTAAATAAAAATACAACAAATTACTCTCTTGTTATAAAACTTGAGGTAAATTACTTTCATATTAGAAAAATTGATTGTATCATAAATACATTATTAATACCTAGAATGAAGAATGATATAAAACTGGTATACTACTGTTTTCCAATTACCTGCAGTCCTTGTTTCATACCATGTTCCCACAGGACACAAAGCTTAGAATAAATACGTCTCGAACTTAACATTTTAGGGTGATCTCCCACAAGAAGCTTTTGGACAGATTCGGCAGTCATACTTGTTTGCTGCGCCAGAATCATCTCCAACAGGTTCTGGAAACCCTCTTCAAATCCATCAGCGGTCGATTTAACATGATTTTTGTAGCTATAGAGATCATATCGCATATTTATTAGCTCCAAAAATGCTCTACTGGTTTCAAACTTCAAAAAAATCTCGGAGTTGTTCCATAATGTTCTTTGTACCATCCCAAGTCATTGTTGCTAGTAGACATGTTCGGTAAGCGTCTGGAAGGCACCTTTGAATGTGTCGGTACTCATTGTCTCTTCAATGTATTGGATTGAATAAAATAGCTTACGTTCCGCCATGCGCAATTTCGTGCCTTTTAATTATGATGTTCCTATCGCGTTTTTGACGAGGTTTGCTCCATTCTCTCTTTCTGCTCATAATGTGAGAAAGTTGGAATTATAAGCCAAATACATAAAGGTTTTTAACTAATCAATTATATAATCTTTTATAATTAAATATAAAAAAAAAGCTTTTGTTTTTTTTTTTAAAAATAATCAATTTTCTATATATATATATTTGAATTTATATAATATCAATCCTAAAACTATTATAAACTTTGTTTTCTTTATAAGTAACATATTACAATATAATCTAATTCAGCTTTCTCTTTCAATTCCCTCCTCACAATATGCTATCGGGACATACGTATCTCGACCTACCACTTTTACAATAATGCTTTCCACTACTACACTGTAGACCTCAAGCACATGATTTAGACCATTGATTTCATCATAGCTTTAGAAATTGTATCCGGCAGTTCCTGCTTCTCCCGCAAAATATTAGCAATTTTATCATCTAGCTCGATCCATTTTTTGTGCAGATCTTCTGTCTTCGCGCCTATCTCTTCTGATAACCGTAGTAATATTTTTTGAAGGCTGGAGGTTAGATCTTCCATGCGGCTACTATACTCCGAATTATCGCTCTGTAAGCCAGACACCTGTTGTTTTAGACGATCTATCTCTTTCAGAGAAAATGACCATTCCGCACCTAGCACCTTTGAATCGTTCTGCTGAGATCGGGATAATGTGCCAAGAACCTTAATAGCTCTGCGCATTGCTAACTTCCCTTTGCCAAGCCTATCGCATTCAAGACGATGCTCTGATCGAAGTTTGCTGTTTAGAAGTCTGGATCCGAAGTATAAATGTTGCCAGTCAATAGTATCATTGCCTGCATTTAGCACTAAAGTGTCCAGTGTCATGGGAATTCCATTCATACTTTCATGGCTAGTAAGATGGGAGATGCTGGGCTGTGACTCTCGTCGAGGTTGTTTGGGCTTCTGGAAAGCCGCCATCTTCTTTCCCTAGGACCGTTTTACTCTGGGAACATGTGTATGTACTTGTGGTGCTTATTTTGTGTAGGAATAGTTTCGTGAGACACGGAGAAATCGAAAAGGGGAGAGAATCTTAGTTGCAGACAGACAGGGAAGTTTCGGAAAAATATGGAGGTTGATAAGGAAAAGAGGAAAAGGAGCTCTTCATTGTAAACATTAAGAATTTATGCTGACAGATCTTTGTTAAAAGCACCTTAGCTACGTTCGTGGGAGGAAGCGTACGTGAATCACGTGTGGTGTCTAGGTCAATAAGGAAAAACGTCCATCACTACTGCTGTCCGAGGCCGAGCGTTCTAGACTGCATCAGATCAATACATACCTTAATTTGCGGTACGTTGCGGCTGTGCCATATTATAGTATTTGCATATCTTTTCTCTTCTCCTTTCTGGAGGTTTGATGTCTGTCAGTAGAAACAATCCACTTGTGCCACTGAGACCTTTAATCAGGGCATCCAATAACCTGGATTGCTGGACGTACTAGATTTTGCACTATAATTAATTACTTAAACTTTCAATTTGTAAAAAAGTTAGATTAGCTGCTTAAAGATATTGATAATTTAAATTAACCATCTCTTAATCTAGCCTTCTCTAGATCAAGAAATTGTATAATATGTTATTAATAATTTATTATCAACTTTCTAATTCAGTTATATAACTGAATCATAAAAATATTGTTTGAATATTATATAAATATTATGTGATATAATTCGTTTAGTTCAAAACTTTGAATGTCAGTCCGAATTTTTGGAATTTAAAGTAGCCTAAATTAGACTTTTTGTATCAATCTTATCTTAATATTCGGTATCTAAGTAATGTGATCAAATCATAGACTAACCGTACAGCTTGTTTTATAGATAAAAGATTGCAAAACTATTAGACACCCTGCCTTGAATTAACTCCTTAACGAGACTGTCTCTTGAAAAACACTCATTCATACCACACGATTCGTCTTTCAGTTCTCGCATCTTGCTAGTACGCGCTTGTTAATATGAGTCTTTACTTTCCGGAACGCAGCCTTGAGGTCCTTGGCAGTTTGCTGATCGAGAAAGTCGAAGTTTTACATGCCAAGAGCTTTCAAGAAACTGTCATGAATTGGATTTTAAATTTATACCATTTGAAGGATTTTACGCAAGCATTGAAATCTAAGGTATATCATGATTAGGCGAGGTGAATCAGGGGATGGTAAAATGTATGCGGGGCCAGACGTGAAATTGCGCACAAACTCCACACATCGTCAGCGAGAAATTTTTATCGAGGGCTTTAATCTGTGGAGCTTCTATAGGATCGATCCAATATCTGCACCATGCGCAGCAATGTTTCCAAGTTACATGATGTTTTCCCTTGGCGCGGAACCTGTTCTAGCTGCGAGATCAAGCTCCATCTTGCGAGCCCTAATCCCGAGACCCAGTTCGTATGTTGGCTTTTTGAGGGATTGTGACACTACCAGATTATCTTAGGATGCTTTTACAGCTTTGTAACCATGATAAAGCAACAGTAGTAGCTAAGCGCATAACTTCGTGATGAAAACTCCGTTAGCCGCAATCAATGTTACAAAGCAATCATACGGTGGTTTAAAGTTCTGTGATAGGCCCATGCAATATTCTTAGCTTGTGAGATAATACGTCTGGTTGTTTTATTTGAGCATCTTGATGCTAAACTATAGACCCGTTCCAAATAAATGCAAGCGAAATTATCACAGAGATGTTTTAACGCCGCTATGATACATATCAAGTCCAACCACCATCATCTGATTGTGCTCCCCAACCTTGGTAGCTGTCCGCTACTGCTTGCGGAGCTCGACCACCATGATCATATAAATCCGATTTTTCCAGAGCTGGCACTAGAGAGTCATCGCCCCCTTCAGGGCTACCCCCTCCTCTACAGTTGTTAGTGGTTCCAGTCGATGGTCCCCGGACCTCGCCACACGTGGCCCAATCATTATCAGAAGGCCCCGAATCTATTCTCCATGGCCATTTATTAGCATCTCTATCTTCGGTAGCCAACTTAGAAGAAAGTCCACCGTGGGAGTTCGGATTAGCTCGAGATTCTCCTTCAGAATAGCACTGATCGTTGATTGAAAATTCCTGTCTAGGAGATTCCTGGTTCCGCGACACCCCTACAACAAGATTCAGCTGGTCAGGCTTGGTGAGCGGAAGCGAGTCTGGATTCCGTCGTTTATTTTTGTTATCTCTCTCCTCAGAAAAGTACAGCCTTGCTAGAGTTTCGACAACCAAATACCAATCTGGTGATACACTAGGAGGCGACCAACTTTCCCAATCTTGACTCGGAGTCCAATCTGTATGGAAATACTCACCTTGAGGGACAAATAGATCAAATAATCCATAACTTTCCCACTTTCTGTAGAAGTCAGTGGAAAGAAAATCATGACGATGCCATTGCTTCACACGAGTGTACCAGTTGATCAAGTCGATCAATGACATGTGGCTCTGGTACATGAGTAAGCTTAGGCCGGACGACCTTTCCACAACTAGAAATTTATCTTTTGCTCGACTTGAACTCACATACCCTCAATCATCACCATTTTCACTTTCACTCTCACTCCTACTTCCACTCACACGCACACTCTCACTCTCATCAGTCTCACACCACACCTATCACAACAAAAAAGCACAGGTAAACTTCAACATCACCCCCTAACCACATTTTCATTTTCATTTTCTATTTTCCAAATTATTTCCAAATTTCTTCTCCTCTCTTTCTCCTCTCCTCTCATCTCCCCCCTCCTCAAAATTATTCCAAGTTTTTTTGTTCATCTTTCTCCATCTTGAGCTCCGAGACCCAAATCCTCAAATCGTCAATAATAAAGCTATATACACAGTCAAGTAAAAACTCCTAAACCATTGGTTATTTTCTGTTTTTTTGTTAAAGGAAATTCGTGTGCAAGTGTTTATGCAGGTATATCTGTTTCGTCCATCCCATCTAATATATATTTCGTATTTCGTGTTTCGTATTTGATGTTCCGTGTTTCGTGTTTAGTGTATAAAATTTCGTTATCATAAGCGTCGTAAATCCATCCATTTCCATATCCATATCCATATTCATGTCCATATTCGTATCCATATCCATTCAAATTCCCATTTCCGTGTTCCAAATTGATTCTGTCATGCCTTTCAAGCCAGCGAACTTACACTCGTCACATCCCCAAACAACTTCCCCCTTTGCTTCTATTTCCAAAAGCACAAACTGCGCAGGGAATGCTCAATGCGTGAAGAATTCCAATCCCAGTTCCAATTCCAGCCACGGCGATGTGCCGTAAGTACTGCACACTCACCCACCAACCAACCCAGCATCAATCCCGTTCGAACACAAACCAACATATCTTCCATCTCCAACTCAAAGGTTCCTAAGCCGCACCATCCGAGATCAAGCTCAACATCGGCATCAAGCACATCTTCCAAACCCGAACTCAACCAATCATTTTGCTCCACCCACCACACCATCCAGAGCATGAATTGACATAGGACAATCAAGCCCAACATCATCCACCTCATCACACCCTTCATCACACCTCCTCCCCACATCCCCACATCAATGTCAAAAAACAAACCCGAGTCTTTGCGCAATTCAGTAAACAATATATGGTAAGATGTTTGATAATTGATATAAAAAATGTTTACGATACAGTATCTCGCCTGCCAAACGGCAACCTCGACACCCGTGTGGACTTCGACTTCGCAACAATAGTTCTATGCGGAACCTGAACCTGTCCTCCACGTTCACAAGCACAAGGAAGATAATCAGACTTACCATTGCCTGATCCCAGTCCGACGCTTCGTCTAATCTTCATGTTTCTTTTCTTCTCATCCAGATAACATGCCTTGAGCTTCTTGCGAGTAATATTTGTGCAATATTCGCGCACGGCGGCGAGATCCATGTCTTCGAATCTCGTGTCGATGTTTTTGGTCCAGGTTTTGAAAAATTCCGTCTTCATGTAATCTTGCCTGCGCCAAGCTTTGACCGAGGAATGCCAGCGGAGCATTTCGATGAATTCGGCGCAGTCTTGGAGCCGGAGCACGGTTTGCCAACTTGCCCAATATAACTCTTTGAAAGTTTTCTCGTCTGTGCGTTTCTCGAATACGACACCCTGGACGTCAGTGAAGAGGGTAGCATCAGTGATAGGACGGCCATTAAAGACGCTTGAATTTCCTAGTTCGTAGATAGCGTTGCTTTCCTTGACTTTCGGATCGTATGCGGAGTTTCTTTCCAGGAATCGGTTGCGGACGCGTTGGCCGACGAAGAAGAGATGCTTCATTGATTTTCGTTGTTCGCTGAGGGCGGAGCGAACAGCTTCGGCGATGAACTCTTGGAACTTGGGGTTTTCTTTCCACTCCGAAAGTTGCTGCTCGGGATTGACGAATGTAGCCTCACTTTGCAATTCCTCGTGTGGAGGTGCACCATAGTCGAAATCTGGGTGAAGAGATGCCGTTTCGAGCTTGCGTTTCAAGTCAGAGTTCTCAACTAGTAAGGCGCCCACATCGATTTTTCCTTTATCGTTCACGGATTCTTCGTAGAGTCTGATTTTCTCCAAAAGCTTTTGGTTTTCCTCAAGCAATTGCTCGCATTCCAGTTTCTTCATGCTCAAAGACGATTCTAAATTGAAGAACTTGATGTTTGTCTCTTCCTCTCGGATCTCAGTTGATAATTCCCCATTCCTCTTGATGAAATATTGGACAATTTCATTCTTCTCCAATAATTTGCTGTTGACCTCTTTCAGTCCTGATTCTATTTTCTTTGCCAATGCAGCAAGAGCAACAGCTTCCGAGTGCTCGGAAACCATATCTTCAGCACATTTCTTGAGACTCATTTTTTTGACTGCGAGACGGTCTTCTGGACTTTCTTCCGGAGTGCCCTCTTCATCTTCAAAGCCGACTCTGGTTTCGTCCTGAAAGTTTTCTTCATCTGGATTGCTTTCCTCATCTTCGAAGATAGCTCCGAGGCGCTCTCCTGGAGTTTCATCTGGAAAGTTATCTTCGTCTTCAAAGGCAACCCCCGAGTCTTCCATTAGGTCATATGCGGGACCCGAGGAAGTGGGTTCCTCTACGTTGAAATAACCGGATTCCGACATTGTGGGTTGGTATGATGTTCAAAAAGAGTGGAGTAATTTTTTTTTATGGAAATTGAAAGAATGGGTGGTCAAATGAAGAAGAAAAAAGCAAGTAGGATCAACAACGGTACTCCACAGATTGGCTTGGTGTTGTACGAGGTGGAAACAAATAGAGAAAGCTATAACAAAAAGTTTATTGTGTGAAGAAAATGATGTAAAGAAAAGAAAGAAAAATTCAAGAAGCAACTGAATGACTTGAAAATTTGGAAGATAATTTATCTACGAAGTGAATCGCAGACTGATGAATTGGGTTGAGATGTGAAGAGAAAGAATAAAACGGCGGAAAGCAAAGTACATGTATAAAAAATAATGCAGGTACGAAAGGTACAGTCATACAGTCATACAGTCATAATAGGAAAACTTGGTTACCAAGCGTCCCGACAGCGAAGCAACAAACAATCCGGGGGAGTATTGGGCGACAAAAAAAAGCACTTCACTCCTCTAGGTAAAGTTTCAAGTGTTTCTGTACCTAATGTGCTGATGCCACGTGTTTCAGCCCATTCGTGGTTAAAAATGAGGCGGTGGATATGATCGGCCGAATTCTTTCGCAACCATAGGGCCAACAGATCTTGGGGCATACGCCAATGATGCATATCAGAAGGGTAATGGTTCTAATGCATCATTCCCTGGCCTCGACCTGAATCGGACTGGCCATAGACTCGTCGAGCCTCATTTTTCCATATTCAAATTTGTGAATTTTAGAACTTGGCTATTTCATTCGACTGGCGATTCGACGAAAAACGAAGCTGGAAAGTTGGAGGAAGAGAGAGGGTTGGGAGATGAAAGGTGGGAGGAGTCAGGGCCAGGTATCCTATGAAAGAACCCGATAAGGCGGGAATGCTAATGGTCGGCTAAATACCAATTTTTCCGATGCTCACTCCCAGGCCATCAAATGATATTTGCGAACTGCGACGCGATTCCCCACAACCTCATGCAGCAGGAAAGTTTTGCGAATGAACCTATGGACCCAACGCAAGAAATGCATTTGAATAGATTAAATCGGATAGGCGAAACAATTTTTCTCGTTTATGCAGATAAATCAAGTGAAAGATAATGAATGCAATGCACAGGGTCAGAAGAGGTAATGATCACGAAAGCTTGATAGATCACAAAGTTGAGGCAAAGACGACCCAACAAGAAGGATGATTGATACATGGTACCGGTATCCAGGTTGCACTCGGGGTACAGCAGTAACGAGATACTGGGACGCCCCATTTGCATTTACGCATTTTATGAAGAAGCAACTTGCTTCTGGTTCCATTGTACACATTCATCGAATGTGACCCCAGAACCTCCGAAAACATCTAGAGCACTTCCAATCGTAAGGTCAACCTTTCCATCACTCAGTCTCTTGACATAATCAAGATCTTGAAGGTTTCTCCCGCCACCAGCATAAGTGACTGGAATACTACACCATTGTGCCAATTTCTTGACAAGTTGTTCATCAATACCCTTTTGCAAGCCTTCGTTATCCGCTGCATGAATTAAGAATTCAGAGCAATATGGCTCTAAGGATTTGATAGATGCTGGAACATGTATAAGTTTTCATTGGTGGAATAGAGGAAAGTGAAGAAATACTTACTCTCGTTTACCTCCATATCTGTTATGGTTTGCCATTTGTTCATAGCCACAAACCAAGTATCATCTCTCTTTCGACAACTCAGATCAATGACAAGTCTTTCTTTGTCACCACCAAGAGCTTCCAATACGGAATCCAGTCGTTCTTGGGAGAACTTCCCATTGGGAAATAGAAAAGAAGTGATAATGACCTACTATTCCAATCAACATCAATCCTTCACCCACCAGTAACACGAAAGAAACATACCCTCTCAGCACCCCAATCAATCCATTGCTTAGCATTTTCATTCGTGATACCACCTCCAACCTGAAGACCATTTTCCCACTCTCCTACAGCCTCTTTAGCTGCCTCCTCATTTCCAGGTCCAAGCATAATGACATGAGCACCAGTAAGACCACTCTCCTTGTAGAGTTTTGCGAAATGACCAGCTGGTAATTTTGAGACATAGTTGGTTTTCAAATCAGAAGAAGCAGTTGTCAATGTACCACCTACAATCTGCTTCACCTGACCAGAATGCAGGTCTATACAGGGTCGAAATTTCGTCATTATGAGGAATTCCTCAGCACCGAAGTTCGTATTGTTAAGATATCCACGAACAATCTCTATTTCGAGTAACTTCAAAGGAAAAAGAAGAAAAAATCAAAATAATGGCCGAAATGCGTTGTTGACCTCCTGTCGTGTTAACTTCACCCAAAAGAGGGATTTCCTATCCACCACCCGGCAGAACCTCGGCATTAACCTTAATTTTTCCCATCCAGAACATTTATAACATTTATAACATTTATGTTCTGGGAAACTTCAACTCTCTACTTTGCGAAAACCACCAAATCACATACAAACAGCCTTCAATATGCCCGCCTCCCTCGGAAAACGAAAGCGCACATCCGCTACTATTCCAATCAGCTCGAAACTTTTAAAAGTCTCTAAAACTACGCCCATAATACCAGAACCTATACCCGAACCACAGTCAGAAGAAGAAGCTTCCGATAGCTCTCCCGATGACGACGATGATGAAGATGACGAAGACGATACAGAACCCCTCGATTCCCAAGAAATATTCCGTCGTCACTTCGAAGCACAGTTTAAACCACTTACTCGTACAGTTATAAAATCTAAAGCTAGTCAAACAATCGATGATGCAGAAAATGAGGAGGTAGACGATTGGGAAGGCTTATCGGAGAATTCCTCAGGAGACGACGAAGAGCAGGAAAACGGGGTACAAATAGTCGAACATGTAAAGAAAGTCGATTCACGGATCGCAGGGATGAGTAAAGCGGAATTGAGAGCATTCATGGTACACACATCCAATCCCCCCTCTAGTATCTAGTATCTACCAAACATCTCCAAGAACTAACCTCTCGTCCACACAGTCCTCCAAAATCCCCAAATCGCTGCCCACACCCTCCCTCTCCAAACTCCAAGAACCAATCCCCGGCTCCGCAGACGACCCCGGCGCAACCGAAGCACTGAATCTGAAAAATGATCTTGCGCTCCAACGACTCCTCGATGAATCGCACCTCTTAACTTCCTCTTCCTCTTCCTCATCTGCTAATTCTCATTTAAGCCATACGTTACAAGGGAAAAATCGTTTAAAAGCCTTGGATTTACGTGTGCAGGCATTAGGTGGGAAGACTAGTATCCATAAACAAGAAAGTATGCCGATGGCGATGCGGAAGGGAATAGTCAAGAAGGCGGAAGAGAAAGAGGAGAGGAGGAGGAGAGAGGCGAGGGAGAATGGAGTCGTGCTTGAGACGAAAGGTGGGAGGGGAGGGGGAAGTGGTGGGAGGGAAAGAAGAAAGGAGAGGAGTGGAGGGAGGACTTTGATGGGGAGGTGTGGGAAGAATGAGATGTGGATTGAGTTGAGGAAGAGTGATGTTAGGGATTGAGGGAAAGAGAGGTGGAGGAAGGATGGGAAGAATGGAGAAAGGAAACATCAGACAAAGCAGACATAAAATAAGGCAAAAACCCTCAGAATTCATAATGTACAAATCTCCCATCCCCATCCCCATCACCAAACAACCAAACATACAGTTTCACCTTCATGAATCATGATTCACCAAGACCAGTTCACCACTGTACAAATATTTATTCCATGGTAAGAGTCAAGACTCAGGTAACGTTCAGGATCCCTTGCTACTGCGTCAAGTAAGTTACACGCACAATTCAATTCAATTCGATTCGATTCAATTCAGCCAAAGCGCCCCTCTCCGTTGAACTCCATTCAGACCCTCCAGATGCCAACGACCGACGAAAACCAAGGAATGGTAATTTATTTTTAAAATTCTTCCTCCCGGCCTATAGCGTAGCTAAACAATACCGAGTGCTGTTATGATGGCAAAATCCTATTTACTGTTTATTTGCATATTGAAAATGGCCAAAGGAACCACCGCCATTACTTGGTGTTAGTGGACCTAAACCATTTCCTCCATTATTATTATGCGCAGGCGTGGTTGCTAAATTAGCATTTCCGTTATTTGGGGTACTGGGTGCACCATTGGCAAAAGATGAGCCTGAACCGTTTTGATTCGGGGTTGTGTTTTCTTGGTATTGATTGTAATGTTGCGGTGTAGTCTGTTGCGTGGTAGCCGCCGTGTTTGCTTCTTGTAGGTTGATACCAAAGACGCGACCAAGGTGCTCGTCTCCGATTTCACCGTCAAAAAGACGTTCGCGGAGTTTGAAGAAGACCCGACCGTTGACGAGGGAGTCGGAGCCAGCCTGGTGAATTGCACCTAAGCGTTTTACTTTGAGAACGTCGATCATGGCTTCGAGGTTAGGGTGTCGCTCGTTACGTTGGAGAAGTTCTGCGGTGACGGCATCGACGTGCGAAAGTTGGCCTAATTTGTTCATAATGGTTCCTTGTTGCATGAGATACTTGATATCATATACACTTGGAAAGAACTTTTTCATAAGCATATCGAACTCTCGTTCGTCATCCGGTAATGCCCTTTGCAGCATGATTTTTGTAAGATATCCAAAATCGTAGCCCGCGTGCCCTGAGATCCAACGTTTCTCCTCATCACATACAAGTCCAGAACTAATGAGTACCGCGCCAAACTCAAATGGATCGATGCCTTCCTCCTTTAATCTGCTGAAATCTGTACCGGCAGCCTTTCTTTCGTCAATACCCTTTTCTGCATACATATCGTCCGAAAGAGAAAACTTAAAATTGAACTGCCATGTACAAGGCACCTGTACCACGCCGTTGCCTATTCTTCGTCCTGCTGAGTTTCGATCCAAGCCCGAGTCGGAGTAAGGGGTCGCAGGTAATGATTCTCCATCTTCGGAAAATAAAGTTATGCCCAGCTGTATAAGTTTCAATAGATCTACGTTGCATCGTAAGCATTGATAGTGATAATCTCCCCTGCCGTTAAAAGATCCCATTGGTCGAGCAACGATCCCAGGAAATTTCGCGTCCTAGCAATGTTAACTCTGGCGTCAACCATGGCCAACAAGATAGCTCACCATAGAAATATAAGGGTATTTATCCACCAACTGCCGCAGAATCGCCATCTCCTCGTGTAGGTTTCCCTTCCAAACATCTCGTATTCTACCCTTGTCACGCATACCCCGCGTCCCTGAATCTGCCATTCCGTTGTGCCCTTGTTGTTGTAAAGGTGCCGCAGCAAAACTCATTTGTGCAGCTTGGCTTGCTAGCCCACCACCTTGCAGAGGAAGGCCAGGTGCGGAAAATCCTCCCGGTATACCCATATTAGCTCCATTCGCAAAAGCATTGCTCATGGAGTTGGCACTCATAAATTGATTTCCGATCGAGCCTGGCGGAGGCAGTCCTGCAGTATGTGGTTGTGTATGTGGTGGGTATTGTTGATAATGAGATGCCATACTATTCGGGGCACCCCCATAGCCTTGCATTCGTGGAGGCATCTTGTTTTCGTCGGGTATGTATGTAGGATATTGAAGGTGGATTGATGGTTTTCATGGACGCAAATTGCGCAAGGAGGGGAGAGGTCTTTCTATTCGTAGTCGAAGGAAAATACAGTCTTGGACAGGAAAATCAGATAATTATCACTTTTCAAATTGTTATTTGTTTTAAGATGCAAAAAGTCTCAACTCCAAGCCTTGTGTTTCGTTTCTTTACTTCAAGCTGGCAGCTTTGAATGAGCATGAGCATTTGCTGCGGCCGGCGCTTAATTTAGCCGCTTCGGCAGTATCCGCCATTGATGAAGCTCGACCTCAGTAACGGGGAATACCTCCACATAAAGTCAAGTGAACTATTAATTTCTCACCATGCAGTGCACAAGGTATGTAAATAGTAAATAGATGCTAGGAGATGGTTGGATTGATTATCAATAACTGACATTTTCAAATAGAATACTCAGAGCTGCACAACGTGCAAACCTTACTGGTTTCGACCCAAAGGCATTAGCTGCCGCAACTGGCAAAAATGCAGGTGACCCATGGGCGAGACGGTAAGATCAGAAGCGCACAAATGGAACACGTAGATGCACCGTACTAATTTGTCCGATTAGTGAGGCTTGGAGATATCAAGGACAATACTCGAGATGGAATCGATTTTCAAACTCCTTCCCCGGATTGGGCATTGCGACGGTAGCATTTACGGTATACTGCGGATACGAATACTTCTTCATTCCGGACGATCATCATTCAGAGGGAGTTCATGGCGTGGGACATCCTTGAAGAATCGATGGTGGGAGGGTCGATGTACATATGGGTTAAATTTTATCCTTGGGGCTGATCACCCCATTTCAAACGAGAAATGCGCACACTTCATTCATGGTTATAACTTCTCCAATTCTATGGGCAAAGGCAAATCCTTCGTGACACACTTGCCATGCAGTGGGTAATATATGGGTGATTTGCTACAAGGGCAAGCGTCCTACATTTCCAAAGTTTATGGGGCAAGTGTTCTATGGTCAACTTGTTGGCAGTATGCTATGTCGTCTCACCAATACCAAATTTGGCGCTAGATCAGTTGGAGTTTTGGAGAGATGGTGTATGGAACTTTACCTTGAATGACGAAGGAGGAAGGACGACGGAATCTTCTGGAAAGGGTGACGGAATGCATTACATATGGTTGATAGCATTAGATGTGATGGGTAATTGCGGCTTTGAATAACAAGGACACGCACAATGTGAGAATTCAGAGACAAAACCAACTTGAGTTGGTATAATGCAGTGATATACTAAGACATAGGGAACCGGATTCGTAATAGATGGTTAATGCATGGCCCTTTTTAACATTCCGGCACTTTGGCATGAAGGACAACTCTTCATCATTCTACCAGTGATATAGTGAAAATATGTTATGTCGTTCAACCAGATTCTCGATAGCAAAGGGTAATGGCTATCTACCTAGTAGCGCGTGTGCTTTTTACGATCAGTAATACAGCTTTGTCATACACACCGAAGTCTAGCCATTCTCATGGATCGCTCCGCATTTAGTGCTACTATTGCCCCGAAGCTAAAGAGGCCTTTGATTAGCCGTCCCTGTCCCGAGAATGAACTCGAATCAATTAAATACATGTGAAATCGAAATGTTTTACCATTTCAACAGGAGTGTATAAGTAGAATCACCTAGTAGGCGTACTTATACTGCGAGCAATATTTCGTAGGATCTCTACAAAAATAAGAAATTTCCGCTCGCTAACATACACTAATGACGTCGGCCTAAGCCGTTGAACGAAAGCTAAAACTTTAATTTAAGTGTTCTATTGCAGTCTTATTAGTCTTAGCCTCTTAGGTTATTTATTTCCAGGGAGAGAGCAAGTAGCAAAGCAGCCACACATGACTGAATCGACTGAATCGACTGAATCGCCTGAATCGCCTTAACACCGTAAACGCGTTTTCTTAAGGTTTCCAAGGTTGTTTATTAAAACCTTAATTTTTTCATTATTTCTCCTCTATGCAATTATTAATATTTTGTTATTTCAGCTACTTCTCTAGATAACCCCTTTAGCTCTTATTATTCCGTTGTTAACGTTTGAAGTAAGGTGTTTCCTCAGGAATGAAAAGTCTGATATAACCTTATCCTCTCCCACTAATACTTATCCGGTTTTCATCCATCATGGAATCCGTGAATGGGTGCTCCAATAATGGTGCATTTGTTGGACCTGATGGGGAACTCCAGAAACCCCCATTGACAACACAGAAGGAAAAAGACATGTATGCTTCGCAGCGTGCTCTTGAACTAAGAAAGTAAGTTTAAAGCTTTTGTCGCATCGTTCTTTTTTTCCCTTATCTGAAATCTCTTGTTCAGCCATCTTTCACGTGCAGCATGAAAGCAAACACTCGTGACTTTACTGATAAAATCACTCCTCTTCCTTAGATTCTATGACCCTTATCAAGCAGATATAAATCCACACTCTTCTAAGGACACCTTAAATGGTCGGCTCAACTCTGATGGAGCACTCGATTCTTATGCCGAGGTTGCTATATGGCGGTTAGGGGGTGTTCATTCTATGATCAGGTAATATATGAAAACCCCAATTGGTGAGATGCATTTCCATGAATCTAACGTTCAATAGTATCATTGATGGCACTACCCAATACTTTATTGCAGGAGCACGGCGCGACAAATCTACACCCGATGATGATATTGTTAATGATGCATGGTTCGGTTGTTTTCAAGTGCCAACGCCAGGTGGGCTTTGTGAAGTTAGAAAAATTCATCACGATCCCTAGATCTTTGTTGACTTGCATCTTAGAACACCTTGGCCATCAGTAATGCCGAAAAGGATCCTTATCCCTGTTTCGTTATCGATAATTTGACCAAGGATCCAAGGTTTGCCAATTTATCAATAGTCGATGGATCTTTAGCTTCATATGTTTGGTATGCTGGAGCTCCAATTACTACCAAAAATGGTATAAACATAGGTGTTTTATGTGTCTTCGGCGATCGTCCTATCACAGGGTTGAATTTGGAGAGGAGAAAATGTACGTTCCGGCTACTTGGCTCGAAAGCTGCAGCTAACACAATCCGTTATCAATGCTAATCTAACGATTAGTTCTATATCATCAAGCAAAAAATATCATGAAATACATGGAAACGCAACGAGAGGCTATTGAAAGACATCGAGTTGCGCTCATGTCAAAAGGGATTGCTACCTTTCTAGAAAGAACTTCTCGTTATACCAGCAATGCTTCTGATGACCCATACGGCTCAAGGGAAGTAGTTGCCAATATGATCAAGAAATCTATCCCTGGGGACCCTGATACCCAAAGAGATGATTGGCAGAGTGGACATTCTGGCATGTCGAATCAACCACATCAGTCTTCGGAATCTGTACTCGATCAGATACGGATAACTTTAGACCATGCTGCTGAGATCCTTCGAGAATCGCTTGAACTTAACGTCGGAGGTGTTGTATTTTTAGACACAGCCGCCGGTCATAGTACAGCGAGAAATATGGATGCTTACTTGGATACAAGCACTGATTTAGGTATGGAAGTGAAGCAGGCTGAATCGAGGAAATCATCCGTCCATAATGAAGAACGGCTGAATCATGAAGATTACCGAAGAAGGTTATCTCAAGGCACAATACGGGCTTCGACAGATAAGCATAGAGCGGCAAAGATTCTTTCTATGTCAGCAGCGAAAGTTGCAACTTGGGACTCGGAAGCCCATGTTTTGGATAGCAAAACCCTTCAATCATTGATTAATTCCTATCCAAAGGGAAATGTTTGGTATGTTAAAATTTGGAGAGTCGCAAGATTACAACAGTTAAAGCCTATCCAGCTAATCCCTATCATAGGTACATTGATGATAATGGCTATTTCTCAAGTTTAGAGCAAATTAACGATCGGAAGCACGTGCCTTCCAACAACAATAGCCCAACCGAAAAACCTCGGACATCTAGTAACTTCGACGCTACGAAGCAGGAAGCTGAAGCAACTATGCTTGCCAAAGTATTCCACAAAGCAAGACAAATAATATTCCTTCCTCTTTGGGATTCTGCTGGAGGTTGGTCATATTCCTGCATTATCACAAAACCCTTCTGTTCTCGGTTAACTGGTTTACTACAGAAAGGTGGTATTCAGCAACATTTGTTTGGAGTCAATCAGCAGTTCCTGTTTTTACAGTAAATAACGAGATATCCTACCTATCTGCATTCACAAGCTCGGTCATGGTGGAAATTAGTCGATTGGATGCACTAATTTCGAACAAAATGAAATCCGATTTTATTAGCAGCATTTCTCGTGAGTAGCCTATCTTTTATTCCATGAGTTTACTGACATGCCCTAAGATGAATTCCGTTCACCACTTCATGGAATACTTGCGTCTGCGGACTTTCTACGAGAATCAAATCTTGATAATTCACAGACAGAATTCGTCTCAACAATTCAAAATTGCAGTGGAACTCTTTTGGTATGTCGACGGATTCCATCCAATTACCCTCGTAGTCCTCCGTCTGCTTGCCCCCTAACCCTATATTTAGCTGCATAAGTCATACGCTGACGTCATAGGATACAATCAATCACGTTCTGGACTACAGCAAAATCAATTCCTTCGAGAAGAAAGAGGGTTCTTTACAAGGTTAGTCTTATATGTCACCTAGTTGGGCCTTTATTTAATTCTAACTGTCGTAGGATCGTTCTCGAGCGAGCTTCATCAAGTAACTAATGTTGCTTTGCTATGCGAGGATACAATCAATGGTATGATTGCTGCTAATCACTTTAGAAGTGTTGCTCCAATGTATAATTTGGCACTTTCAAATGGTTCAACAAACGACCAAAACCACATTTCGCCAAATGAAAATATAGCACCATTGCAAATTGTTTTAGATTTTGAAATGCGGGATTGGACTTACAAAGTACATGCTGGTATGTTTTGGTAATTATGCATGTATTATCTCACTAATATGTTCAAGGTGCAATTCAACGTATTTTAATGAACGTCTTTGGTAATTCGCAAAAATACACAGACAAGGGCTATATTCAAGTACAATTACAATTACAGCAGCGGACAACTGTTACAGATACTCCGGCTCCAACATCGCACCATACGGGAGACTTCATGTGCTTGCGTATTAAGGATTCCGGCAGAGGGATGTCGACCGAATACATGGAACGTAAACTTTACCACCCCTTTGCTCAAGAGAATAGTTTTACTCCTGGTGTTGGCTTGGGACTTTCTATTGTGTGAGTTTCTCCATCTACTCTGCACGACTTAGCTAAGAAATGGTACAGCTGGAGTATCGTAAAACAATTGGGTGGTACTATCGTAGTACATAGTGAGTTAGGCATAGGAACTGATGTCGAGGTTCTTATACCCGTGGAAAAAGCAGAGCCTCCTTCGCATGATGATATAATGAGTGGAGATACTGTTGATACCACCGATGTCAGGATTGCCGCCGAAAAAGCCATGAGATCACTTCGCGATAGAGCACCTGGGAGAGTAATCTCTTTCGATCGTGGCAAGCTTACACCCCCACAAAATCATGCTTGGGATTGTATCCAAAAATACTGCTCCGAGTGGTATGGGTTTGATATAAGAAAATCTGTTGGAAGTCCACAGACTGAAGATTTACTTCTTATTAATGAGACATGTAAATTTCCAGAATGTTCCCCTTGTCAGAGAATATTAGTGATTCCCGCCGCAATGAGTTATCCAAGTATTAATAGGCAAGATAATCAGCATTTTATTGCCCATATTTCTCAGCCAATAGGACCTTACAGACTCGCTCGATCAATTCTTGCTTTGCTTGATCAGACGACCGGCGAACCACGGCACAGGGATGCCACTACACAAACACCCCTTGGATCACCAGAAGAGCGTTTTGATGATGAAATGGGAGAATATAATTTCTTGCCACTACAAGAGCCAGAACCAAATGCAAAAAATGAAGTAACCCTCAGCTCAGCAAATCAAAAAATCCGTGATGAATTTGCTGAGTCCTTGAAAAAACTTGAGCAACTTCAACTACAAGCACCTCCTATTGTTCCCCTTGAGTCAGTACCTGGACCCCCAATCCCTCAGCGTACATCTTCGAAACAAGCACCTCCAATTTCTCCTCAGCCGCCTCAAGCCCCTAAAGTCGCCCCAGAAAACACGCCCCTGCGTATCCTGGCCGTCGATGACAACACACTCAATCTTCAATTGATACACCGTTACCTCCAAAAACGCAAAACAGACACCATAGTCAACGCGACGGATGGTTTAGAAGCAGTCGCGGCTGTCAAGTCATCGGAACATGGTTTTGATGTTATATTCATGGATATCTCAATGCCTAACATGGATGGATTCGAAGCTACGAGGCTGATTAGAAATTGGGAAGCGGAAAGCGAAATCCGTGTAGGGTTAGATGATTTGGTAGCTTGGGGTGAATGGAGAAAAGATCAAGGCGAGAGGAAGGTATACGAGGGTAAACAAAGGGATAGAGCGTATGTGGTTGCTATGACGGGTTTGGGAAGTCAGAAAGCGAGAGATGAGGCGGATAGGAGTGGGTTTGATGATTTTTTGACAAAACCGGTAAAGTTACCGAGGGTGGGGGAGTTGTTAAAGAGGTTGAGTTGCGAGAAGGCAAGCAGGTTAGATGGGAATGGGGGTTTGTAAACGGGTGCCCAGGGCGTCCGGGGTTATGGGGTAAAAAGAGAATCGATGCGAATTGAATGATGATATGCGTGATTGATATACCTACATGGAGGGCAAACGGAACCGGATGGAATTGGATTGGATGTGATCGGATGGGATGCCATGGCCCATGGGATGAGATTGGAGTGTAATAGTGAAGTTGTATAATATTTTTTCATACTGTACGAGAGAGAATACGATAAATACCTCGGTAGAAAATAAGAAGATAATATCAAGAATTCTTTAATTATTATTATTTATTTATTCATTTTTTTATTTTGCTGAAATATCTATCATCCTATTGTAATATCAGAAGAGTATTAAATCACATTTGCTTTTTTCGGATTTATAATCTATTTAATATTAGATCTAAATATTAAATAGTATGTAAAACTTTAATTAAATAAATTTTAAAGATATATATCTTTTATTACTAAAATTAATCTTACTTGATAATATTTTTTATTATTTTTTTATTTTTACAGTTCTAAAAGGGAGGTATATTATATAACGGTCCTTCCCAATTAATAATTCATTTATTCATATTAGATCTACTTATTATAAGATCTTACAACGTTTCAAGATGAGTATAATTTCCCGCATAGAATTTCCGGGCACAAATTCGACATCCAATGAATACATCACGTGCGCCAGGTCCATTTCATGCCCCGCCACTGAGATTATTGAACCCCGCCATGCGTCAAGCTCTCATTCTGAATTTCTGAACCTACTAAGATTAACAAAACAAAATAAAATAAATGCGGATTATCTACATTCGACTACCCATATAAGCACTCGCATCTCAATACCTGATTTTATACAGACGTTACACTGCGTTACAACTTACTCATTATACTTCAGTTAAAAAAGCAAGGCAAGCAAGGCAAGCAAAACAATATGGAATTCGATACCAAGACTCGTAAGTTTATTCTCATTTCATCTCATGTTTGTTTGCAAGCCCCCTTATACTCCGAGTTCCCTCATCTCCTGGGGTTCAGGATGAGAAGAGAAGAGAAGAGATATAGTATATGGGGGGAGAAATACTTATGGAAAGACTGACGCTTTTGTGGATGATTAGCTCTTTATTATACGAATGATAAAACGTCTTTTGCGTATGTTTCTGCGAGGGATCGTTGGCCGGTTATTTTGGTATGTTTTGTTTTTGTTTTTCTTTTTTGAAGGGGGTTTTGGGAGGGGGTATTGTCTGTGAATAAGGAGGGGAGGATGGAGAGGACGGTATGAATGGGGATAGGGATAGAGGACCTGTCTGCGCTTGAAACTTTTTCTATCCACATAGTCTGCCTCCACGGCAGTGGCCCCCGGAGGGCCAGCGGAGCGTCTTTTCAATCGATTGATTATTATTCCTCGACCTTTTGCTGATAATTCCACAGACTGGTGCAATCGATGATGTACATAGAGCAGTATCCGAATCGACAGGTAGCAAACACGAGGAAGGAAAACGTATAGTCGAGACTCTTGCAAAGCTAAAATATGAGCTTCAACATGATAGGAAGTTAACGTATGGAATTCTACTCTTTTGAGAGTTCCTGCGCTGACCTGGATTCTAGTCCTCTTCTTGATGATGGTCAACCAGATATTGAGGGTTATAATAAGGAATTGGAACAATTGGGTTATCCATCATGGTTTAATGTTCCATGGTTATTTGCAGAATGTTATCTCTATAGGTATTTTTTTATTACACTATCCTCACCCTGACTTAACTAACAATTATATTACAGACGCGTAGCAACCTCCTTTTCCTTATCCAAAGAATGGAAATCCCACGATGTATTTGCTCGCCAAAAGATGTCAACATTTCGTTCCTCCCGTCCCGCTGTTCTCGAACTCGCAAATCGCTATCACGAACTTATAACCCAAATGTCAAACAACAAGAATCAAGATGAAGAGGCGGAAAAAATACTCTTCATGGAAATGTGCGAAATCTGTCTATGGGGAAATGCAACGGATCTTTCACTCTTAACATCACTTACCTACGAAGATATTCAAAAATTGCAAGGTTCTGAAGCACGAAAGAATTCGGAAAAGAATATCCTCATCAATGATTTGGGTAAAGTTTATGATGTTCTTAAGGCTGCTAAGAATGAGGGAAGAAATCGTCAAGTCGATATCGTACTTGATAATGCTGGATTCGAGCTCTATGTGGATTTAATCTTGGCCGGATTTTTACTCAGCGCAGGTCTTGCTACAAATGTCGTTTTACATGCTAAAGCCATTCCATGGTTTGTATCAGACGTTGTACCAAAAGACTTTTCGGATTTATTAAATGCATTAAATAATGCTCAATCCTTTTATTCTACACCATCTGAAGATGAACAGAGGGATGAAAAAACACCAGAACCACTTTCCAAAAAGGAAGAAGAAGAATTAGATTTCTTGTTTAAGACTTGGAGCGAATTTCATTCAGAAGGTCAATTAACATTAAGAGCTAATAGATTTTGGACTGAAGGAGGGAGTTATTGGAGATTGCCTGGTACGGCACCTAGATTATATGAAGATCTTAAGGAAAGCGAATTGGTTATTTTCAAGGGGGATTTGAATTATCGAAAATTAACGGCCGATGCCATATGGGATCCTACAACACCATTTACCAAAGCCATTGGACCATTGGGACCAGGGTCTGGTGTTAATGTATTGGCGTTGAGAACTTGTAAGGCGGATGTGGTGGTTGGATTGGAGGAGGGAATGGATGAGAAGTTGAGGGGAATGGATGGAGGTGGCGGGGATAATGGGGAGAGGAAGTGGGCATGGAGTGGGAAATGGGCTGTGGTTAGTTTTTCTGGTGGAAAGTAATGGGTATGTAGAGGAGGGATTAGATGGTTGGGATGGATGGTTGGGATGGATGGTTGGGATGAATAGTGAGATGAGTGGAGGAATACATACCTAGAGTATAAAAACAGAGAGGGGTGGTGTTTTTTTAAGTATTATACCTATTCATGGAAATTCAAGAATACACAATATTGTCTACTTATCCCATGTCTCTATTCTATTGATATATTTCGGAGAGATAGACCAACATATTGAAAAAGGTGGGAAGATGTAGAGCTATCGCATGTCATCGGTGAGATGGTTCACCCATTGATCCCCAACCTCTTTTCCTGCTCAATTTGGAAGGCGATAAGAAGTCACATGTTACAGGATTCAAAACACCCACTCTGTGCTCTGTGTTACCTGTCAAGCTTGTTACAGTAATTGAAGTTCCATTCCTCCTTCTTTACAATCTACTTTATTGCGGTTCTAGTAATTACTCGATTTACTTCCTTTAAGGCCAGTAGTATCAACATCTCAGATATCCATCAGATATATATATATATATATATATATATATATACACCAGGTGAGTTTATAACATAAATATCCAGAATTATGCCATCATTTGATGGTAGATGGTAAACGTTGAGTCATTAAGTCGATATCTAGCAACCATTCCAATGGCTACCGGATCCCTCTCACCTTCAGAATACCGCTCACAATTCTTCTCAAAAAAATGGACAATTACCATTCCCTCAAACCCATCTGTGAAATTCTTCCGCGCAACACCATCTCACTTTGACATCTGGCTCCCCATCGCCACAAACGCCGATAACAACAAATTACAGGACAACAAAGACCAAATCTGGGACGAGGCCGCCATCTCAAAATTAAAAATAGACATGTATAATCAATACGTCAAATCTAACACTGATTTCCACTGTCTAAAAGTTCTAGTAGAGGTTAGTGGGGAGGTAATCGGATTTGGGGATATTTTTGTCGTCGAACCAGGAGTTGCGAATATAGGTGTGGTTTTGAATAAGGAGGCGAGGGGGAAGGGATTGGGGAGATTAACGGTGGGGTTTTTGACGCAGTTGACGTTGGATTTTGGTTTGAGTGTTGTGGCGGGTACGATGGGGGATAATGCGCCTATGCGCTTCACGTTGAGGAGTCTGGGGTTTGCGGAGGAGGAGAAGATTATTGAGATTTTTGGTCGGGGGGTGGTGGCGGAGTTTTCTTATAGTCTTTTGAGGGATGCTTGGGAGGAGGTTGAGATGAATGTGGAGTTTGGCGAGGGGGAGTGAGTTGGCGTGGCTGCGGTTTCGTATGGTTAATATCTGTGGTGAGGTTATCTTTAAATTAGTTGCTTTTATATTGCATCAGTAGTCATCACAAGCTTTTTCTCTTTCGTTGTTTAGGTGGGATGAACTTGTGATTGAGATTTTCATTTGTCGAAAAGAATATATCTAGCTTGCATCTGGAAGTCTACGTCCTAGGCCAAGAAGTAAAGGACTGGGAGTGTTTAAAAGTATACATATTAACCATCCCATCGTAACTTCTCAACCCATTTGCGTGAAAGTTAAGCCTTCCAATTTATGACTGCTTCCTATCAATTTTCTCACCCTTTACTTCTACTGCGAGATAGTGAGAAAAGTAAGATCTTACAACTTCTATCCCCTAAAGATCACGAGTTTTCTTTTTCATTTTGAACCCCGAGTTGGGGCTTTAATTAAGCTTATATCACATTTAGAAACAATTAGTATTTAAGCTGGGATATGTAACCTATACCGTGAAAATATTTGGCTCTGACATTGTGTAGAGTTTACTAAGTATATGTGCTCAAAATTAACTTAGAGAGTAGTGGGTATTCTCGGATTCTGGATTTCTGGCCTATAATTATAATTATAATTATGTAGTATATGTATATCAATAAATCGAATAACAAGATTTGATATCTCCATGCACTTTAACGTGTATGATGCATGATGCATGATGCATGATACATCGATAACCAGCACTTTCCACAGCAAATAAAAAACATAAGCACAACCCCATCAATCATGACCCCCATGACTCCCATGACCCGCATAAGAATTCCTCGAGCTCCCCAAAGCACCCCCATCAACATCCAACCTAACACACCTTCCAATCGCCCTAAACGCCCTCAGCGGCGTCAACCCACTCGTAACCCTATCCGAAACCAACCCATTACAATGCGCAATATGCGCCCCCTCCACCGCATCCCCCAAAACCCACACATTCCTCTCCCCTGCAAGAACCCTCCCAATCGCCGCACTAGTCAATGCCCAATTATACAAACAGTGCGCGATATGCCATTCGTGCGTTGTCCAGATGAATGGGTATTTACTAAGTTGTTCTGCATCCTGCGGAACGGGCTCTGTGCGGTTGGACCACCGGTACCAGGGGAATGTACCGGCTGAGTCTGGGGGGAGTGTCGCGTGGGAATTGGTGAATTGCGGGAGGAGGGTGGTGTCGGTGCAGCCGGTGGGGATGTAGGAGAAGGACATGAGGTTGAAGGTGCAGTTTGCGGCTTTGGCGGTGGTTTCGGTGGTGCCGCAGTCGAGGGTGGGGTTTGTGGGGTTGTTGTTTGTGCTTGGTTGGGTGGATGGAGTTGGGGAGTTTTGATGCTCGTGCTCGTGCTTGTGTTCGTGTTCGTGGTTTTCTGATCCGTGGTTTGAGTGAGTGTGCTGTTCTAGATTTGTTGGTGATTTGTGTTGAGGATATTGATCCCCGGCGTGGCAGTTGTGTTTCAAGGCTTGAAAGCGCATGGTGGAGTATGTCCCAAATGTGATGGATGCGATGCAAATGAGGATAGCGAACGCGGCTACCAAGTAGACTTTTTGCTTGTGGCTGTGTTGTTTTTGGTGAGAGGGAAATTTTGACCGCTCGAAAAATGATTCTTCTTCGTCTGTTTTGGAGTTATCATCGTTGTCACCTTTCTCTGATTGGAATTCTTGGTCTTCGAGACCTTCTTCGTAGTGGATTGCTTTGGGAGTGTATGAAGCTGACATAGTGTGTAGACCGTATGTGGATAAAGAAAGAATTTTTTTTGGAAGATTGGATGTTTAAGATTGAAAGCCAGAGGTTGAAGCTTGAAACTTGAGGGTTGAAGATTGAAGATTATCAAAGACACAAAGAAGAGAAGTATTCGTCTTTGCAATATAACCAAGTAAGACTTCAAATATCTGGATATATCAAAGGATGTGGGCGATTGGATTAACCCTGACAATATACAAGAGGAAGAGCTTATCGGCTCGAATCAATTTTAGTAGCACAGCACTTGCTCAAAACATGATTGATCCCCAAAATAAAATTATTTGACTCTCAGATATAAGCATATTCTTCATGATCAGTATAACCGCACCTGCGGAGAACCTGATACAGGTCCCTCTGCAGGTTCATCTATCGTACAAAATCTCGTTAACATTTCTGCAACCCCCACCATCTACATGCCCACTTGCAGCATTCACGTTGTCGAACATAATACAGAAATAATTATATGACGTGTAGATGAAAGGTTGGACTATAAACGCGGGGATGTTAATATTATCGTCAGATCCAAACTATTGGTCTCGAGTCCTCGATGCATAACCCGATATCGATTATCTGATCCGAGTTTTTACAGGGAATTTAGTTACCAATAAAAGAATAAAGGCTCGGCTCGGTAACCTAGCTAGCTGCCTCGTTTAATGTGGTTAAACCTACTGTACGGACGCGACATGCGCTAGAAATTAGATATTAACCTAGCTGTCTTCGGGAAGCAGGGATAGTTATCGTAGGGTTAAATTTTATCAGTAGCTAGATAAACTTTGCCATGATAGAGTTCGGAAGAGGTTTCTTCGGCAAAGTAACGATTGATATAGATCCCGAATTGGTGTTTGAGTCTCTTATCGTTTGATTATGATGATTGCGAGCTTGTAGTCGATTCTCTAGTCATATAGTAACCTTAAGTAGGTAGTTGATATACGATCATAGACTAATTTAGTGATGTTACCCGTTTGATTTATTACCATTTAGGTTCAATCCCTAACGCCGGCTTTCTGGTGGAGTGGTAATAATATCGTTTATCATTTTGTAGACCTTACTAGTGACTAAACTGCATTAAAAGATAAAGGTTTTATGATTTATTTTTTATTTTTTATTATAGAGGTCTAGAGGCCCGGAAACTAGATTATTGAGATTAATAATAGTTTTAATATATTTTATTTAATCTATATTGCCTTTGATAATCAAGAGATATCTTATACCGTGATTTAAATAAAAGTTATAAGGATTATTTATTGATTTTATAAATCTATAAAGAATTAGGTTTAATACTATATTTATTTTAGGAGAACTGGACTTATCACAGATAAAAAGTTTATTCTAAAATCACTTGCAAAGTGACGTTAAGACATTAGCGCCAACTAAAAATTCACTCAAAAGCCGATGCATACTCTTTTTATTTACATCACACTGGAAATTTACCCGATGTCAGGGTCTGTCTCAGATATCTGCTCCGAATGACTAACGTAAGGCCTATACCCTTATCATAGAATTCAAAGGCAAGGCTGATAGAATGGCCTCTTGGCTCTTCCAGCTATAAAAATTCTATATCTTTCATTATGCTCTAAATACTCGCTTGCAGTTACATATTCATCTGAGCATAAAAATTCAGATAGCTTCCCATCGCCCACTATAGCATAAGGCCTATCACATGTAAGCCTCGTTCCTCACCTTTTGTATCTAGGAAAATATAGCTACCATTCCTTCCCACCTTTATCTCTTGCTTTCTGATCATAGTACTCACAACTTTACAGCCATACCATTGCCACTATGGAGAACAAATACAAACATAAGACTGGCTCACATCCTCTTCGCTTCGTCTTATACACGATATTTCTGTCTACAGCAATTATATCGACTTTTGTTCTACTAGCACACAAAGAATTACTTCCATTCATCGCCCCAGTACAAAAGCTCGTTGTGTATCAGATCTGTCCCGAAGCTCAAGGCAACACTGCTGGAGCCACAATTCAGAACCTACCAGCAAGTGATCTCTATCCCAAGGTTTTTCAACCCATTCCAGCGCTTGAAGCTGCGATTGGTGATGCTGAGGACGTGAACTGGGATGAATATCTTCTTACCCCAAATGGCGGTTTCATCATGGTCGATGAAGGAGATGGAGTTATAAAAGGATACGGTGTGACTATGTTTCATCAGTTGCATTGTCTAGGAATGATCAGGACGATGTTGTTCGGGGGGGCCATGAATCATGATCATGAAGTCCAAGGGGCCGAATGGTCTAAAAATCCGCTTCATTTCCTCCACTGTCTGGATTATATTGCCCAGGTAAGTGGTCTAGATCTCTGATTTTTTCACGAAAGTATGATGATGCTGAAATTGTACTATCTATCAGGGAATCATGTGTACAGCCGACGATACTCTTGAAGTTCCCAAACCAACTACCAACGCCATGGGTAAAGTGGTGGATGGAATAGATGGGATGGGCCACGAGCATCAATGCCGTAATGCTAGTGCTCTTCGGGAAAAAGTGCTTCTTAGTGAAAGTAAACCAGTCTGGAGAGCAGCTCTTGGTCGGACTAGTGTGTTCAGTCATCGCGCTATTCCGGTAACCTGAGTTTCGAGCACAGGAGACAAAGAAGCCGACTAGTGGATTTATGTTGTGGGAAATTAAGACCGTGTTCCAGCGAATATTAGAAAGACGCAGATTGGAAGATATAGTATGCTAGATAACGATGAACCTGAGAAGCACTTTGTTCTGTTAAGCCCAAATGGTCTACATCGCAGGCAATCCAGTATTTTGTGAATTGATGATAATACCCACTCCGCCCGCGTAGTGCCAACAGACAATTCACTAGCATTTACCCATTCCCTGCTATGGTTCTCGGATACAATCCCACTGAACGGTTTTTAGATTCAATTACATTGATATTGGAATAACTAGGTTTTGAAAGTTGCCCGGTCTGAGGCAACGATGATGACAATTAAGCTAATCGTTGATTAACAAACATTTTGCTTGAATAATGACGCTCATATCGCACCTGCATGGGCTACAAATGGTGAGAGAGGAATACTGATATTGTTTACAGATGCCTTTGATGACCTTCGCATTGTGAAACGGAGTGATCTCAAACTTCTAGGCAGATTACTTTTGCTTCTCTCTCACCCATAAAACCACAGTCTTTAGTAAAAGGTCACTTTTAAAGAGAATTCAAATTTCCAATTTACCAGTTTAAATTTATGACTTTGAGGTTCGGTAATTAAAGCTTGAGTATTCAAATCTGCTGATGCTGTCTACAGATATTCAACTAGAAAAATTCCTACATTCTTCTGAAGTGTTAAACTACCAGTTAAGCCTACCCAATCACAAAATCTCTGTTCCATCTTGTCCATTATCTGGGTGATTGTCAAACCAGCGAAAAATCTCCTTCGCCTCATGCGTCATATGTCTGACCGGTTCTCCTTCAGGTCGCCTCAAAGCACCAAACTTCTCCAGCGGTATTGCAATCTCATCGTGATACCGCAGTATAGCTTCAAAGTCCCTACACTTGTGATTGATATTGAAATCCGGAACAGCGTTTTCCTGCATATCAACCCAGTAGTGTCCGTACGTATCGACGTTACCCTGACACATCAGATTCTGAAGCAAGGCGTACACGCAATGAGAGGCGTGAAGCTGGTGATATTTTCCCATCTCTTCATCTGGATAATAGTATTCCACATTCCACCATAGATGCATCCGCAACCGATTTAGACAGTGAATCTGGTGAAAGACATCGATTCTTCCGATGTAGGCGTCTGGGCCGAAGCCGAATGACTCTGGAAATTTGGCATACATTTCTGGATCTTTGCCTTGATTCACGAGATCCTGTCTTGACAGAGGGATTGGATTCTGAGTCTCAATACGAGCCCAAGCTGCGTCAACTTCAGGAGAAGGAGGCTGACGATAGATTGATTCGCCCTCCCTTTCCAAAAAGGTGCCATTCAATCGCCAGGTAGAAAGCGGAATGTCAATCGCATCCAGAACCGGAGCTGTGACATCCTCAGTAAGATATATCTTCAGTAGAGGTAATAATTTGACTCTTACATTTCTCCGATACTTGCTTCAGCGCCCAGTTTCGCTCCTCCCCACCTGGAACTTGCTTCCAATTGACCATGGCTGCTGTGAACAAGTAAAGTGACAGACAGAAGAAAAGTCCATTTAGCCAGCCCAAACACCTCAAAAATGAGTGATTCTTGTGGCAGCTGCTAGGCTGTTCCTTTTCATTGTGTTCGAATGAATCGGCGCCAGCAGAGAAGCCGTTGAGAAGTCTATCCTCATCCTGATAATCGCCATCTGAGTTTGCGAGTGAGGGGCTCAATTCTGCATATGTAAATGATTTATTGTGGTTGAACATTTGTAATATGCGTTGATTGAAGCCCATTTTTGATAATGGAAAATGTTGACGATGGAAGAAGTGAGAAGGAGAATGCGGATACAGAAGTTCAATGATAGAGTAGCTGTTTTGGAAACGGAATGCAGAAGACGGGGTCTTTTCTAAGTTGTGCAGCTAATGGCTAGAGATACATCATATACCCGTGCTCGCGTTGTCCGTCCTTTGGACAACGTTCAACTGATGAAGTTAACAAAATCGTAAATTCTTCTCTCACTTCTATATTTGATTCACTTAAATTAGTTTACTACCCTTTTTAAGTGGGTATTGTAAAAAACAAAATAACAGTAATCTTACATTAAATTATTCTAGAAAAAATAATAAAAATATTTTCATAGTATAATATCTGCACACATTATATAGAGTTAAAAATTTGTTATTATTACTACATTGATATATTTTAGCCGCTAATTTTAATAGCTAGTTGATTTTAATTTACCTTCATTTAGATAAACGAGGGTTGACACCGAATTCATGTTAGGTCCCCCGCAGTCAATTTGTAACCTCTTGTTTGGATAGGAGAAGAGTATGGTGTTGTACTCTCTTTCAGCCAGGAAAAGATGAGCCTGCTTATGCACGATTACCTAGAACCACTTTATGCAAGAATATGCAGCCAGCTCATGCAGTAACATGCAAGACGACAACTCAATCTCGGTATCGTAGTTTCGGGTTACTCTCCCGTTCCCGTGGCAAACTTTATTTTTTCGGCCGGTCGTACACATAATAATTCGACCTTTATTTGGGGAGAAGAGATTATACAGATACTTATCTAATAGAATATTATAGCACCATAATTTGTAAAGGCTATCTTCATGGCGTGGGTAAGGGCTCTGAGTCCAGAGTTAAGCGGGCTTTACCATTTCGGGCTCAGATTTGAATATGGAGTTAGCATGGGTAGGTAGATCAGCAGTGAGGAAGGAAAGATTAATACACTTTTGCATCTTTATCCCAATTAGCTCTTTGCTAAACATAAAATTTGCGTCAGTAGTACCTCATATAGACATCTAAAAGTGGCATCATTGTTTTTGAGGATCATATTTTATGCATGGAACAAATAAACTGAAGATAAATGAAAGGTTTATTAAGATACTCTCCAGTAGTAGTAGCAGTAAAATCATAATCAATTTGACCTAGTCCTAGCTAATGGTACGAGACCATGCAAAACCTGTCTCCTGTCCGGGACATACCCAGAACACCTTTAGTAAAGGCTCTTGCGGTAAGATAATTTTAGCCGGCAAGAGCTATGCATATGAGGAATTACTTCCGATAAAATTACTTTTCCGAACGAATAAACAAGTTAGATCAGTGTAGCTTTGCCGTGCCATTGTGAGCCCTTACCCCGCCCCTTTTTCGATCTACCGATCTATTCTATCACCCCGCTTGCTCCCCCACATAATTCCCGCTTGCGCACGCACACGTTTTTCGTTGATACCACAACATCTTCCCATCCTGCCGTTCTTACTTTTCGGTATGTAACCAGATTCATCCATACATGCAGATACAGATGTCTGAAAGTGACTTATAATACTATTTGCCTACACAGATTGTCAAGCATAAACCATTGACTGGTGATAAATCGAAAGTATACTGAGGCATTTTTTTCGAATATTTACTTCGATAAGGTTTTCGTTGCAGCGGAGATTTCTGTATAGCTTCATAATTTCCTAATTTAGAATGTAACTTTTTCGACGAACTCTGACTTGCCGATACATTCTACAACGATACAGGGGTCTAATTAACGATTTTGCACACCTTTCAGATTCCTCAAATCGGTCTCGGGTTTGAATTCGGTTGCCAAATTCATAACCTCATAGACTCACCGAATTGTTGTCAGAAATCACGTCAGTCATGCACACGATGTGCGTATCGCAACACTGTTCTTTGTTAGGACTATCTTATCTTGTATGAACGAAAAGCAAAGGTCGGCGACAAGATAACGATAAGTTACAATACTTCGAGGCATGTAACTCTATAGAATGGTCTTGTGCACCATCTTCGGATCTTCCCGTCAGCTTCCCAGGTAGGCCCGAAAATTCCATGCCTCTTTCATCCTCTTTGAACGTCCAAGATAATCTATATAAACTGGCTTTGGCTACAAAGCTGGCATCATCTTTCACTAACCATTCAGTCCAACATAAATCTTTTAAGGCAAGCTACAACAAATACACTACAATATTCCAAAGACTCCTCTCTCAAAATGGCGCGAATGACCGCAATTTTGGCTACGGCCATTATCAGTCTCGCTTATGCTGCTCCTATGAGCCCTGTCCAAGGTCTGCATCCTCCTTGAGAACAAAAATATCATCACTGACTTTAAGCAGGAGAAGTTGAAGCTCGAGGTGTGTTAGATGCCGAGTATGCTCAGCTCGATTGGTTTATGGCTAAACGTAACCCAGAACTGTCTTATGTGAACAGTCGCGCACCGGAATTGAGCTACGTGGTATGTTTCATACAGGCATGGCTTAGCAATTAGCTTACCGAAGTATAGAATTCGAAGCGAGAGCCTGAATTGAGCTATGTCAATTCTAAGCGAGAACTCAGCTATGTCAATTCCAAACGGGAACCCGAATTGAGCTACGTCAACTCCAAGCGTGAACCGGAGCTTAGCTACGTAAATTCCAAGAGAGAGCCAGAGTTGAGTTATGTGGTGTGTTTAGGACTTCCTATTCTAAAATGTATCTCTATTGACAGATTCACAGAACTCCAAGCGTGAGCCTGAGCTTAGCTACGTCAACTCCAAACGCGAACCCGAGTTGAGTTACGTAAATTCCAAGCGAGAGCCAGAGCTGAGCTATGTGGTATGTTCAATAATTCTGGTTCAACAATGTAGCTATTAACAGATTTTCAGAACTCCAAGCGAGAGCCTGAGCTCAGCTATGTCAACTCCAAGCGAGAACCTGAACTGAGCTATGTCAATTCTAAGCGTGAGCCTGAATTGAGCTACGTCGTATGTTCAGCAAATTCCACTCTCCATTCTATCCACTCTCCATTCTATCCACTCTCCATTCTATCCACTCTCCATTCTATCCACTAATCGCTGCCTAGAACTCTAAGCGAGAACCTGAGCTTAGCTACGTCAACAGCCGACATGCTCACAAAGAATAAGTATAAAATGTAGAGAGGTACCACGAGGAGACAGAAATAGAAGTTGAAACTTGGGCATATGTAGTTGAAGAAGTTTTCTTTGGTTTACTTTCATTCAAGGACCGAGGACATGCACACAAAGTAGCTGTTGCGAATTCAAAATCGACATCCTATGATTCTGTTAATGCATGCATATGTTTGGATAATATAATGTATGCTGAGAGCAGACAGGCTCGAATCTAGGTTCTTTCCTTTTATTATTTACTTTCAATATTTCGCTTTCAAAGCATCATGAATTCCGAAGGCCCAATGTCTACTACATTCCTTTATGAAAGACATATTTGCAGCTTAACTGCTTAGATACAACGATTAATAAATTCAAGTTATCGATGGTTATGCCGAAAGTAGTCTTGCTCCGCAAACAGAACTAGAGATGCGAGTGATGGAAATCCGAAATTCACAAAAATAAACTTAGAATGAACCATCGTATATTTCTCATTGAACAAAAGATATCCGTTGATCTTAAGTCAACTTATAGTTGTGCTGCTGAACATATCTCATGAACAAAGCTCCAAGACATCACTTGAATGTACCCCAAATATATCTTGATGTGTTGACTGTTCAGGCGCCGGCTTTGTATATCTTTCTTCAGTCTACATCTTTTGAGAAGCTGCTAATGGAAACGACAGAAGAGCCAATTTTGAATAACAGATCAACACTATTTGAATATTCAATGTCCAATACAATTCAGATAGTTATCTTAGATTAAGCATTACTATCAACTCAAAAACTTTGGTTTTTTGGAAACCATCATAGCAGAAACAGCGATGTAGCAAAATACGAAGCTAATGCTTTTAATTATCTAGTGTTTATATGCAACCCCCTTCTAAGCATATCTAGAGTCAATAAATATACCACAGATTCACAGAATTACACCGCAAAGTCTTGGAGAAATCTTGCCAATGTTGATTGTATTTAGATGGGATGAGCTGGACACTAGGATACAACCAAAGGGGTCCCGTCTTTCCGATTCAATTTCGCAAATCTTGTTTCATGGTTAATCTCAGATATTAAACTCTTTACTCCATTGCTAGAGGCAGAACCTCACATACCGCTTTAAAATTGACGCTGAATGAGGCAAAAACAAAATTAGTTTGTGGAAATATGAACTCCCAACCGATATGGACGGAACTTCCTTGTTTTGTGGCTTCATCAATTCAGTACTAGAAGAAAATTGAAAAAGCCAAAACAGGAATTGACATGCAATTCTCCGCATCCAGCAGGTCACCAAGCTACCGATTGACCACACACCCACATGTACAATCTAAAAAGGAGAAGTCATCGAAGGCTCCACAATGAGTAACTAGCCCTCACGCGTAACGACCTTGCCTCCGACTTGAAGATGAAACAGTTATTCCCCTTAGAAAACCTGAAGGCTAGTATCTATATGAAACATTTTCCCCAAGCATATGCCCGCAACATATGTAATCTTATATTAGGCTCCTTCACTGAATCAACCGCCTTTAACTACTTAGGTCTTGGAAAGCCAATAATGAGTGCAGGCAAGCTTGGTGGTGGTCAATTATTCTTGTTGTGTCGATATCCGGCATCGTCGTCAACTGCCTACAAAATTAAACTTGTTACTGCTAATAGTGTAGTAGATCAACAATCCATTTGTTTCGCTATGATAGTAATTAAGAGCCGATATCAAAGGATCAAGAAGTAAAATCGTTATTCGGAATTTGTAGCCCTGGGCTACCATTATGACCTTCTAACAACTCCAATGAGTATGCTTTGCCTGATCAGCCTGACCATAGCGCTAATCTCCAAAGGTTTCTTTGAAGCCCTGTTGTTGGGCCAAACATAGATTGCATGAGTAGGGCCAACTACCAATCTTCGGGCTAGAGTTACTCTTCCTTGCTAATTATAGGAAAGATTTGTTTTAGATACTGAAAATCTTCCAATCCTAGAGAGCCGTGGCAGCTTTTCCCTCGCTCCAATTGCAAACTCAAGAGATGGTGTTTTCGAGGGACATTTCATAATTATCATACCCATCTAATTTGCGATGTCACCACCGATGAAGTGGATATGAATCATCAATCATCATGTAGTACTTTTGCAATATCGGAAGTGTCTAGGTACCAAATCTTCCTAGCTATGTACAATAACCGAACCATTTTCGACGAGCCACCATCGCTGCTCAGATTACCTGTAGTTCTGCTGTGTTGGATGAGAAGTATATAACGGAGTAACATACTTGCATAATGGCGGCTTATTCATTATACACTGAAGAGGAAGAGTCTTCCACAGACTTAAGCATAATGGTAATAAAGTCAATTAGCTCATCGTAGTCCTTTGTGAGAAGCAAGGACCCCAAAGCTGACAGTCAACTCATTCCGCAACATTGGTCTCAGAATAGCCAAAGCCTCTCCAGTTTTGGTATTATATTATTACCCAGCAGCTGGAATCTCCCTATCCATCGCAGCACCTGGATGAAATCAACAAAAAATTTCATCGCCTTCGTACTCAAACGGCCAATTAGATTGAATTACCACTTCTCTCTATTCGAATTCCCAAAGCGCAAAGATAAGTAAAGTGGTTAAACATAGAGGAGAAAAGAAATAACGCGAAATTTCTAGGCTAGATAGCAGTCGAATTCGAAAAGCCATGTCTAGTCCGCTAAGACTCGTGTCTGTCTTTGTGGTCAAACTTGTACCTGGCCAGAATTGACCTAAGACTTCGTTCAATATCGCGAGAGCAATTAAAGTATTAATATTATAACCGTAGTAAAATCGCGAATTTTCTAGCGGAGATGCAGATATCATATGCATTGAGTTTGCGGTGGCAGTTCAAATGTTTGTTTATTCTTACATGTTGCTAATTCTCTGGTTGCATCGTGCTCCAGTATTTGGACTGGGTGATTTGTTTTATATTGGGCTATTGGGCTAATAAGGCCAGTGTCTTGATCCAGAAATATATCTAATCCATCAACATAGGTCGCCTTGAGGAAAATGTAATTGTGTGAAGAAAGACAAAAACTATAAGAAGATATATCAAAAAGATGAATGAATATATGTCAACTGTAGCCTGATGATTTGTTTATATCTTACAAAATAAAAACACAATTCTCCAGTAGTAGATATCCAACATCCTGTGCTCTTATATGAATTTAATCAGACGTCTTCACATCGTCGCGTCGGCGCGTCTTCACGTCTTCACATCGCCGCTTCTTCACTTCTTCACGTCTTCACGTCTGCGCGCCGTCGCGTCTACACGTCGGCACGTCTTTATATCATCGCGTCGGCGCGTCTTCACATTTATATACCGTCGCGTCTATGCATCGGCGCGTCTTTATATCGTCGTGTTTTTATATTTTCAAATTATTATATATTTTATTTTATTTTTAATAATTTTATAATCTCAAGATCGATTTAAAATCACATGTGTATTTATCTAGTAGGTATTATTAGTATACTTTATAAAATTATAATATTATTTTCCTATTTATAGTTGTGCGGTGTTTCTGTTTTACAGATATCTATGATTTGATGTGATGTGATGTGATGTGATTCTTGATTGATTGATGAAGGAAGGATTTTGACAAGTTTTATAATTATCTTCCATCGTGAGGATTTGAATCTATAACTGCTTTCCAGAGCCTGAGCTGGGCTTGAGCTGTACGATACGATTTATCTATAGATCCATTAATATGAATGAAATCAAATACTCGCCTCTTACTTTCTTACTCACTTTACCTCTCTCTATCTCTCTCTTCCTTACTTCCTGATACTGAAATCGTACAAAATCCCATTATATTCCAAGCTCAAAATTCCAGACTGACACTCACATACGGAAAATATAAGAAAAAATTATTTGTTGGTGGCGCCTTATACATAGGTTAGTATCCAAGTCGTAAGTCTCACAACCTTACAACCTCAACGGCACAACCTCTCGGATCCAAAGGATGCAAGGTAAGAAAGAGGATTATGAAAACTTCCGGATGTGTATTGGAAACGAAACGGTTAGAAATCTGGGAAATACGGGATTGTGATTGATTGATTGATATACGTGATAAGGCTGATTATTGAATGTATACTTTATGGATTATATTGGTTGATCTTGAGGTTTTTATTGGTTATTAGCTTGGATGGGAGATAAATGAGGTGTGTTTATTATTTATCTATTGCTATGTCTATCTGAATATCGAGTGATATTGATATTGATATCTAATTCGCTGATCGCTGGCTTATTGTCTCTGTAATCGAAATGAAAGATTCACGTACAGGATCGCCTCCTTACCTACCGCCTACATACTATCAGCTTGCTTGCTTGCTTGTTAGCTAGCTAGCTTACACAATATCCGAAATATTCAAATCCGTACAGCAAAGAGGCGTCCTAGTACCTTCTTGGTGCTGTAGATAAAAGGGGAAAACCCATGTACTTATGTACACAGCCGGCAGCCAGTACAATTGTACGATTCTGTGCTTATGGTTACACCAATCCCTTTATGCCTTATACGCCTCTTCGTCCTAGAGAGCGCCGTGTGGATTTTTCGGTCCAGTCAATGCTGAATGCTAAATGCTGATCGTGATATGGGCGGTATCTGGTTCCGAGAGTGCATGGAGTACTAGATGACTTGTTGTTAAGATTACCGAAAGAGATGGAATGAAATTTGAGGAGCCGAACCGTTGTTTTAAATATTTTTATTTAGGAAGTCTAGATGCTGTTGATCTTTACTTGTAAATACTGTAATGAATATTGCTTTATTATTGGCCCATTCTGCGAACATCTCATCTGCATCTCACCATGTGCATCTACGTCGGCGTCGGCGTCGGCGTCTGCATCTTCGTACAATGGATGTGAAGTATCATGTGAAAAGGAATGAGCTATTTTGAGACCCGTCCCCAACATGTGCATATATATGATGGCATTGAAGACACACACACACAGCACCCCACGCATCGCCTTACCTTGCTTACCGTCCGCATTACCCTTACCAGCCGTCCCGTACCCTTCCCTTCTTTTCCCACCTCTCCACTTCCAACCCACAAACACAAGTGCTCATTTCGGTCAACATCTCAAAAGACTCATACCAATCGCGCAAATTCGTCAGATGGCGTGGGCTTAAAGACTTTTCTGAACGTGCGACCGGGTGTTTTACTTGTTTGGGGGATTGAAGCTGCATTGAGACAAGAGTTTCTTGGGAGAGATCTAGAATTGGTCGGCTGAGGGTCTGGGCTTGTGAATGCGGGAAAAGTGGAGGTGGATCGGGAATGATGAATGAATGGATGAAGGAGGAATTTTATTTTTATTTTTATTTTTGTTTTTGTTTTGGAACATTTGGGGGATTTATATTTATAGAGAAGATAGAATAGAAGATGAAGTTGAGTATTATATATCTTTACAATGATACAATAAACCGAAACGATGACAATCCCACAGGATCTCTTTCACGGCAAACTAATCGGTGAGCACATCCGTCCCGTAACCATGCCTCACGCCCAAAATTCAATATTAGCCTTACTCGTCTAACTCATCTGGTTACTCAAGTCCAAGGATGGCGCATATAATGGCACATACTGGCACATAATGGCTTGCAATGGCTTTTCCACCTTGTATTACGGTAGTATCTCATCCCAACTTCTAATCGAATCAAGAGATATGTATGTAGTTTAGATGCCAAATTTAGGTTTTTTGGCTGGTGCAATGGGGTGCAATGGGGTGCAATGGGGTGCAATGGGGTGCAATGGGTGCAATGCCACATGGGGTTCCCTGGATACATACATCTATCTATCGACGGATAAAGAGGAGGTTGTGGTTGGTGTGGTTGAATGCAAATAATCTTAATAGGAAAAGTTTTAAGAGTGGATGATGGATATGTGGAAGTAAAGGAAAGCCCAAGGAAGATCCAATATATCATTCGAGCACCCACCCCCGCAACATCAACATAAGATGTGAGCATTTTCTTCAAAGAGTTTATCAACGGCTTCAATTTATATACCAGGGATTTTTGGGGGCCTCCTTCCTTTCCAACTACCGTCATTCTTTTTTGGGTTTTGGATTTGTTTCGATTTTTGGGGATTTTATCTACATTCTATTGTGAGGTCTTTGCGATAATTACTTTTTACATACACTTCGGATACGATACGAGAGGATACGAGAGGATACGAGAGGATAGGATAACTCACTGGGTGTAGACATTGACGAGGTAGGAAAGGAAGGGAAAGGAATAAATCGAATAACATCAGACGAATACACTTGGCTATCTATCTCTTCGACCTTTAAACCTTCACAGCTTCATACCTTCACACCTTCAAACATCTAAACAATCACAACCATCTTCAATCGTTATCCGGACTCGGGACGAATCTTTCGGAACGGAAAGGATATATTACTTTACATTACAGGAACATAATTGATTGTTCGCCGGTTCCAGATCAATTAACACGACCCTCTTCAGCAAATTGGATCAATTGAACATCCTTCCACCGACGACTATACCAGTTGTCGATTTGCATAGGAAAAGTGATGCTGGAACCACGATTATAAAGATATACCATACCGTATATATCTTTAATTCTGAATCAAAATGGATGGAATTATGGAAAAGGTGAAGGAGGTTTCCATATCGAATTGGAGATCTTCACAATTGTCCATCTCTTCGCAACTATTCATGTCGCACGATCCAACGGCATCACTTATTCCTATCCCTATCCTTATGCACATCCCTACCATGACGAAAATGATACCGCTATCCCTCACAACCACATCATCGACATTATCTTTCAAAAAATACACATCTTCGACATCTTCGACATCTTCTACATCTACATCCATTAGATATACAACTTCAAATTATACATTTCTTTCTCCAAATAATATAATAATACTTCTCACCATATTGTTATCCTTTCTCGTTCAAACATGTTCGGCGGAATTCTACATTGAAGAGCAAATGATGGAAGTGAGAGAAGATATCCCCGAATTATTCGCATCGACATTGGCACGACTAGCTAGATCTGGTACTATCTTAGTTGATCAACAACCTGATCCATCACTCCCACGCGATTCGGTACCAGATTTTGAGACCTGGGAAATTACTCATCATACAGGTATTAGCTTGGGTTCAGGTATGGATGGAGAGGAAGAAAAAAGCGCAAGAGAAAATAACAATTCGATTCAAAATCAAGACAATCAAAAAACTCAAGGGAATCAAGACACAGATCAAATTGGGGATCTAGTATCAACTACCGATGAATTCGACTCCGACTCCGACTCCAACCTCGGTATCGATAAAAGAAACGTAGCAACAATAACCTCTACAGCAACCATCACTCCACCCAAAATTACAGGTACAGCGACAGCAACAGTTACGGATTCTTCCTCTTCAACACTGGCTTCCTCAGGAACAAGTAGTGGACAATTGTCCGCTGCGACAGCGAGACCAAGTTTACCTACTCCGTTTGATAGTGGGTTTACCAGTAATGTTACTTCAACATGTTCGAGTTTTATGATGAACTTCTTGGCGGATGACAGTTTTAAAGCTTGTTTACCTTTTTCGTTGTTACTGCAGGTAAGGTTATTACTTTACATGTTATTCTGTTTATTCTCATTCAATCATCATTACCCATTGCGCCAATTAAGCCATTCCCGTCCACGTCCAATTCATCCTTTCATCACATCCACCCCTCAAATCAATTGCTTAATAAATCCACAACTAATCCAAATCGCAGAACTCCAATTCCTTCTTCCAAGCTTCCAAATCCATCGTCCGTATAACCCAAACCCTCGATGCCTCTTGTTCCGCAAACTCCCAATCATGCTCCAACCTAATGAACTCCATCGCCTCAAACATCACCTCCCCAAACGCCTGCTCTACAGACCTCACTGCCGCCAATCCCCTCGTAACCCAAGCTCGTCTTGGTCTCCTCGCCTACTCAAGCCTATACACAGCATCATGTCTCAAAGATCCCATCAACGGCGCATACTGCTACGCACAAGCCGTAACCAATACCTCATCTCCCACCGATTCCTACATCTACTATCTACCCGTCAATGTATCCCTACCAGGCGGAAGTCAACCAACATGTAACTCATGTTTAAAAAATACCATGGCGATTTTCGAACAAGCGGGTGCAGTGAGATCGAGCGCTATTGCGGGGACTTATGAACAAGCCGCTGGTATGATTAACGTACAATGTGGACCAGGGTTTGTAAATGCGAGTTTACCTGCTGCAGCGGTAGTTACGGGGACGGCAACAAGTGCAGTGATCAGAAGTGGGGCTATAGAAGGAATAGTAGGGTTATTAATGTTTTGGATTATGGTATTAGGAAGACTGATATGAGAGTATGTTTTATTTTCTGTATGGTGATCAAAGAAAAAGAAACGTACGTATAAGGCCAAGCCAGGCCCAAAACCTCGATTTAGAGAGGAGGCTTAATATACATTTACATTATATTATATTATATTATATTAATATGTAGGGGGATGAACGAGTAAAATTTTCTCTTTTTAGGGATATGGAACTTGGGTTTGGAGCCTTGGGGTTGTAGTGTTGGTTGATTGATTTGGTTTAGATATATACCCTGGATTTGGATTGGTTTGGATTGGGATGGGATGGGATTGGTGCTTTTAAAGAAAGAGAGAAAGAGGGTTTTTAAGGAGAAGGAGAGGGGATTAGAAGAGATTAGATTATAATTTATTTTTATTTTTTATATAAAGAGAGTGTGTGTATGTTTTATTAGATGAATGTATAGAGAGGTAGAGAGGTAAAGAGATGAGGGGATGAGGAGATAAATAAATAAATAATTATATTATATTAAGAAATCAAAGTAAATAATTCTTTTTATTATCTTATTTTCTATTTTTATAATAAATTTTCTTTTTTTATATATTATTAGAAATATTTGTTTTCGATGTTGAATTATTTCTTTTTTTCAAAAATAATATTTATAAATAACTCTTTGAAGAAATATATAAAAGTATTATATTTATTTAAATAGGATTCTGAAGCTCAAAGATTATAATATTAAATTATAAACGAAAAGATTAAAGAGTAAGTAAAAGATATTAGAGATAATTATTGTATTGAATGAGTAGATGATGAAGAGTTGACAGTGATCTACTCTCCGAGGAGGTAAACAGAAATGGAAGTTGCTGTTAGATGATAGTATATCAAAGGTAATGACAAAACTGTTTTGGTGACAACGACGAATGAAATAAAATATAAAGATGATTCCGAACAATAGTGTAAAAGTGAGAGGTTTAGATATGTGTATCCCAATAGTATATCGTGAGAAGAAATAGAAGAGGAAGATTAATTAGATTACATTGTAACGGATCACTTATAGATGAACGAGGTTTCACAATGGATTTGGGATTGAAACGAATTTGAATTCTGAAAGTAGTATATAAAGAGTTGATTGATTTTTGAAAAGAAAGAATGAAAGCCTTTCCTTATATCTAATTACAAAGGGTCGTATGATTGAGTCGTCGAAAACCTCTCGTGTATGACCTACAATTCAACTCTCTCACAATAATTAGGAGATGTGATGAACTAAATCAAGAAGTCTCCAGCGCTCCTTCCAATATCACTATAGCGTGAAACTCTATTGGAAACACTTCGATTATAAGATCTTATATCATTTGGACTTTTGTGACGAATCCTACGGATGGCACTTCACCAAGCCGTGTGGTATAACAGTTCAATCCAGTTTCTTCATGTAATCTGACGAATTATTCCTGCTTTCATCTCCATCCCCTTAGACTGCAACAGTACCCAATCCCAAGCGCAGTGAATGTGAATAACTTATTTCTTAATAATTAAAGGATTTCAAAAGCTTATTATACTACTTAGTTTGTTATGAGTATTAAATTATAAAGTTGAGAAGTTAAATACAAAAAGTTTTTATTATATTAGTTTACAAAGAGAATATCTCAAGAAAATAAAAACTATCAAAATAAATCAAGAAAGTTATAAAGAGAATTTATAAATACAAAATAAGATTTTTAAAGATATTCGATAGTGTTATATTGTGAGAAAGTTGGAATTATAGACCAAATACATAAAGGTTTTAACTAGTCAATCATATAACCTTCTGTAGTTAAATATAAAAGAAGAGCTTTTTGTTTCTTCTTTTCACAATAATCAACCTTCTATATATATACATTTTGAACCTATATAACATCAACCTCAAAACTATTATGAACCCTGTTTTATCTATAAGTGATATATTACAATGTAATCTAATTCAGCTTTCTCTTCCAATTCCCTCTTCACAGCGTGCTATCGGGACGCATGTATCTCGACCTACCACTTTTACAATATATAATAAAATTAATTATAATATATCATAAGTTTTATTATTGATTTGTATATATAATCAAATAAAGTTATTATTATCAAAAAAAAAAAATTCTGATTTTTTTATAACAATAAATTTTTTTTTTATATATTAAATAAAAAATATTTCAAAAAATTTTATCAATTCAGTTTTATTTCTTGAAATTCAAATTTAGAAAAATAAAATTAAATAATCTTAAATACAATTTTTAATAATCTTAAATTCATTTTTAATTTTTTCAGTTTCAGTATTGAATTATTAATATTTTAAAAATTAATTTAATTTTTGATATAATTTCAAATTTTGAAATAAATTTTTTTTATAATATCTCATTCTTTAATTATAAATATATACAAATAGAATTTTCAATATTATTAATCTACTTTCTCATTTCAAGACTTAAGATTGGTTAGCTGTCTCAAGTACTTGTGTAGAGCCTACAGAGCCTACAGAGCCTCAATTAACACATCAATACAACACAAGGCAAAATTAGGATATACCAGCTTAAATGCTTCTTTTAGAATACGATAATGTTTTTGAAGAAATTCAGGAGGATCTAATTAATATTTAAAAATCAGAAAACTTGTCAAAGGCTTTATACTAGTATAATCTGAATTAGTATTCTCATTTGAGAGTTTAATGATAAGTTTTATAATTCAGTATATTAAGATATTTATATCTATTTCATGAGAGCTTTTTTAAGATTAGAATTTTTTAGTTGAGTATGTTACAGTTCAGCTAGAAAGCCTTATGGTTTTGAGAATTGAGCAGTCAGTAGGAACTCTAGGATGAACAAGCAAGTCTTATAAATATATAAAAGACCAAAAGAAAAGAAAGAGTTTGTTCATTGAGATTTATGATTTTGTGACAATAGTTTGAAGGGTTATAGTTATATAATGATTTGATCATTTCTGATTTTGATTGACAGTAAAGGAAAGTAAAGAAGTAGTTTTAAAGATGAGGGATGATAGTTGAGAATGGAAAGTGGAGAGTGAAGAGATCTAGATTATGTATCAAGAAAAGTACAAGAAGCGAAAAATAAGAAGCAAGAAGATCAGACTACCTAGAACAGGGAAGACGTAAATAGCTTCAAACCCCTCTCCGCATCATGGACAACTATATAAATCCCAGCTCAAATCAAAATCTCAATTCAGCTTTGAAAAAAAGTCAAATAATTTGACTATAGATAGGATTCCAATTAATTTCCCAAGTTGACGATCTCAGCATCTTGAAATATTTGATGTATTGTCTATTGATTTTTGAAGTCAATCTGTTCAATTTTTTTTTTTTCGAATATCTTCAGATTATAGTCGTCTTATTGACTATTAAGATTGTCATCTAGACACTATACCATCAAATTTCTCCATCTTCACTACCAACCCACTTGAAACATTCAATCAATTCAACGTCAGAACTTTCCGCTCACTAGTATATCATTGATACAGCTCACACTCCTGCAATCCCACCCACAGCCCAAAAAAAAGCTGCGTTTCAAAGTTCCTGTTTCTTCCACTGCTTCATGGTTATGGTGATCTTCTCTTCTTGTATACCAGTAAAGAGTTGAATATATAGATCCCGATTGAATCATAAACGCTACCTATTCTTTGAATATCTTTATATATCACAAGTAGAATTTATAGTATAATTTACTTTTATTTTTATATATATTCTTTTATTTCTTATCAATAATTTATTTTTTATAATCTATAATCGAGATTAAATTTTAATTATTATTTATAAATAAATAATAAATTTTAATATTTAAATAAAGATAATATTATTTATTAATAAAAATAAATGAATAAAATAAAATAAGATATTTATTTAATAATAAATTTAAAATTATAAATAACTAAAAAATAATAATAATTATAATAATTATATAAAACAATTAAAAGAAAAAAGAATTTAAATAAGATACTTTTAAATTAATAAAAAGAATAGAATTTATTAATATTATAAAATTCTAAATTAAAAGTATATTATTAAATATAATAAAATAATTATTTAAAGTCTTTGAAAAAAATTTTTATTTTTTTATTTGAAGAATTTCCCGATGAGAAATAGAATTACCAAAAAAATAAAATAGTTATTAAAATAAAATAATTATATAAATATATTTAGATATATCTATTATTAAAAAGCTTAATAGAAGATAATATAAAATTAATCAAAAACAAAAGAATGAATTCACTATCTAAGAAATTATTTAATATTTATAAGCGTTAATCCACTAGATCTTCTCCAGTATAGGAAAAATAAAGAACTTTGTAGATATTTAAAAGCTTCCTGTCTTCTAAATAAAGGGTATAGAACGTAAAAGATGGATTTCTATAGCTGTCCGATGGCCTGTTTTTTTGAGGGGGAAGAGATGGAAAGTGCGTTGCGGCGATCTGTTGATTTCCGTATGGTCTTTTGGTCTCGATTTTGAGTGATGTTGAGTAGTATATATAGAAATGACAGTAGAGGTGGCAGTGAAAGTATTAGTTTTCATTGTTTCTTTTAATACACATCATCGTTGTCACTTAACATAGATGGATTATCAGATAGTTTTGACCCCTGTGACGCAAAAGCACTTCCCTTATTAGCACTCCCTATGGCTAAACTTTTGGCTCACATCTTTTAATCACAAGAAACTTACTCTATCTGCATTTTCACACGGGGCTTCAAGGAGATAGTGTGATGGGCAAACAGGGCAAAAGCAAAAGCTACAAACAATAAGACAGATACCATCCACAAGCGAAGCGAAACATTCGCCAAGCCAAAAACCATTTTCTAACCCTCTCCAAAATCAAGCCCCCTTCAACCCCTCCGTCAAAGTTTTCGACCTAACAGCCCTCTGCTGCGCCCTCTCAGTACCCAAACCCCAACCTCTCAAAAACGCCACCCTCATAGCAGCCCCAACATAAACAAACCCCACATTACCCCACGCCATAACATTCCAGCGCAGCAAATTCCAATAAATGCTCGATCCTAATGCTCTCACACTATAGAGATGGCCGAAATCCGCGACTAGCATTGCGGCGAGCACGACTCTCCAGACGTGGAGATCGGAGGTGCAGCGCAGGATGAGTGCTTCGTTGATGGCGAAGAGGAGGTACAGGTTTGCGAGCTGGGTGAGGATGATGCTTGTGGAGAGGGGGATTGTGGTTTGTGTGTATGGGGATGAGAGGGAGTCGGTTAGTTGGAGATAGGTCAAGGGGCGGAAATGGGCGTAATATGCTCCGATTAGGGCGGAGATGGGTTCGATTATTAGGAAGAACCAACTGTAGACTATTGGGAGACGGAAATCGGGTGGACGGGCCATCTTTGCTGGAATTGGTGGTTGGGTCTTTGGAGTTTGATGTTTAGTCTTTGGAGTTTGGAGTTTGGAGTTTGGAGTTTGGACTTTGGACTTTGGAGTTTGGACTTTGGACTTTGCGACTTCGGAGAGCGGCTGTGATTTTTGACCTTTGAGGTTACGATCTCGGTATTGCAGATGCTTTGGATTGGAAGTTTATGTCAATGACTCTTTCACGTTGAATTATCAAGCACTTCATCCCACCCACCGATAAAAATTGGTATACTAAAAAAGTTCAAACACTAATGAGAATTTAGTCTGGGGGATCAGCGGCTAAGGGGTCGGCTGCTTATTGCGGCGAGCTACCAGTAGGTACGTACCTGAACGCTGCTTTTATTATTTCCTCCGATGAATGACTGGAAATGTGTTGATGATGTCCGGTAAGCTGAGTAGTTTCGATGCTTGAACATTACATGAGGCATGCGGAATGCTCTTCAATAGTCAAAGCGGCGGCATATTTCCATACTGTGCGGATATCGATCCGATGGATGTATCTTGTATCAACCATCTGAGGTAATCCCCGGGGGTGTGATAATAGCCCTAGTGTGCCGTGATTGATTCTAAACTGGACGCCACCAGTTTAGATGAACGGGATGTGGGCATGTTGATCACAAAAGAGAGGGATGGGGTTGTTATGACAGCAGTGGTCCGATAGTTTATCTGAGGACGGTCGGTAATCCTCATCAACAACGAAAGGACTCTTCTATTCCAGGTACGGATATTTGTGCCGACCTATCTAGCACAGACTGGACGTATGCATATTTCGGAAAATATAATTCCTTCTTTGTTCTCTTTTCGGTAGTCGGCGATACATACATACATACATACATACATACATACATACATACATCCATCCATACATACATCCATCCATCCATCCATCCATCCATCCATCCATCCATCCATCCATCCGTACGCAAACGGCCCTTCCGAAGGTTGACGTGAGATCTCTATCCTTTGTGCTTTTCGCTCGGTTCTACTATTCTAGCACCTTTCTAGAATATCACTCCCTACACTAATCAACCACACACATTTCCCAAAATCGGAATTTCCTGCAAGCCAATTTTCTTGTTAAGATTTGCCTTTTCCTGATTAGGTTTATCCCTGCCTTTCCAAACTCCCTTTGGAGAAATATTACAGCGAACCAGAGTTAATTAATGGCATTTATTATTTTGGTCTTTTTATGTAAAAAAGGGATTCCTTGAGTATGTATCACATATTGCAACCCTTCATTTTCTCCATAATTGAAAAAGAAAAACGTTCATTTACACGTTTCAACTCTCAACTCTCTACTCTCTATTCTTTACTCTATCATTTCCCTCAAATTCCCCTCATCCTTTTCCTTCTTCTTCTTCATCATCACATTCTTTTGATTTCATAAATCATTCCTCGTTTCATCAATTGTTTTCATTTTCACTTCTTTCTCTTGTTAATCTCAAAAGTCAAAAGTCCACTCGGAAACCCCCATTCACACCGCCCATTGTTTGCTTCGATCGACCATTCTTCCTTTCCCCAGACAGCAACTTCATCCTGCAGGAACCACAATTTTTTGGTCCAATTATTCAAAAGACCCAGAAGACCCAGAAGACCCAGAAGACCCTTAAGACCGTTTAAACCATCTGCCAACTCTTCAACGGACATTCATTCACCCACCATAATTCCTTCCACCCGCAACGACACAATGACTCGAATCTTTCCAAATAACGAATTTTCATCAGCTCAACAGGCCGCCAGTGGTCCTTCTACGAGATGGGATCTTCCCGAAAATGAATCCGGAATAAATCGTACACCTTTTCGAAGAGCAAGACTTGGATCCGTTCCCATGGAAGGCGACATATCAGAGCAAATGTTAGATTTGTCAGTTGGGGAAGATCTCGAAGAGACTTTGGATCCGAGGCGTGCGAGTGGCATAAGAGGTTTAATCAGACGTGCTTCTGTATCTTTGAAGAATAGAAAGAGAAGACATTCGCATGCTACAGAAGAAAGGCCAACCTCTTCACCTTCACCATGGCACAGATTACGACAAGCTGCAAGTTTCAGTAGGAATTCGAGGATGTTCCCACCTCATTTCAATCTTGACGGTCCGATAGATTCTTGTTCAGAATTAGCATCACCAATCCCCGGATATGGCGGGGCACCTCCAATAATACCCGTTGGGACCGGTGGAGCCGCTAGAGCTACCGCCGCTGCCCAGAATCTCTTCAAGAATAATCAATCCCTAACTTCTGAGGATACACAACAAAATGATAGGGAAAGTGCTATTGGAATTGCGCTTAATTCAACCGTCGACCCGTCACAAACCCAGGATACGTCAATTAGTAGAATAGACTTCATAGGGGGTCTCCCAATGGAACTATCTATTCAAATACTAGCTAATCTGGATTATCGCTCTTTACTTAGAGTGGAATTGGTTTCTCGCAAATGGGCATCTATGGCAGGATCACAACATGTTTGGCGTGAAACTTTCTTGAGAGAGAAATCCAAGGCTTATGCTATGAGTCAACCGGTTACTCCAGGGTCAGGTCAAGGTGTTCCAGCTTTGAATCCTTATACAGATTGGAAAGACATGTATCGCATTAGACAAAAGTTGGAGAGGAGATGGGCTGCGGGTCAGACGACGTCAACTTATCTTTTGGGACATACGGATAGTATTTATTGCACACAATTCGATGAGTAAGTAGTACCACACATTGATTACACTACAACCATTGCTAACATCTTCATAGACACAAGATTATTACCGGTTCTCGAGATAGGACAATCCGTGTATGGGATTTGAAAACGTACAAGTGTACTTTGGTTATTGGACCTCCGGAGATTGTGAACAATCCTCTTACCATAACTGCTCCCGGAGGGCTTCTTCAACACCACGCGACAGGTCCAGTGGAAAATCGACATGCATGCAGTAAACCACGAACAGCCTCTTTCCCAATTCATCACAACGCATCGATCTTGTGTCTTCAGTACGACGATGAAATCCTTGTGACTGGTTCATCAGATAGCACATGTATCGTGTATGACATCAAAAGTGGATATACACCAATCATGCGTTTGCAACACCACACTGCAGCTGTACTTGATCTCGCATTTGATGATCGATATATTGTTACATGTTCAAAAGATGTTAGTATCTGTATTTGGGATCGTCGCTCGGGTGAGTTGATCAAACAACTTCGTGGACATTCCGGACCAGTCAATGCAGTACAAATGAGGGGAAATACAATTGTTAGCTGCAGTGGAGACTTCCGAGTCAAGTTATGGAACATTGACACGGGAAAGAATATTCGAGAATTTTCCGGTCACACCAAAGGTCTTGCTTGTAGTCAATTTTCCGAAGATTCAAAATTCATCGCTTCGGCTGGTAACGATAAAATTATTCGTATTTGGGATGCTAATACGGGAGAATGTTTACAAACCATTCCAGCTCATGAAAACCTGGTTAGATCTTTACACATCGATTCGGTTAGTGGGAGATTGATATCGGGTAGTTATGATCAAGATATTAAAGTCTGGGATATGGAAACGGGACATTTATTACTAGATTTTCCAAAATGGCATGCGAGTTGGGTTTTGGGAGCAAAGAGTGATTATAGAAGGATTGTGAGTACGGGACAGGATCCTAAGATTCTTATTATGGATTTTGGTCTTGGAGTTGAAGGAATTGAAAAGTTGGAGAGTGTGGCGAGGATGGGGAGTGAAAGTGGGAGTACGAGGCAGAGGGGATGGAATGGAGTTTTATAGAAACGTAGAAGGGATGAAGGGTGTTTGGTTTAGGAGTCTTTTTGAGGGGTCATTTTTGGGAGTGGGGAATTTGATTTGGTTTAATAGTTTTACAGAGATTGGGGATGATTGAATTTATATTTGGGGTTGGTGTTGGAATTGAATAGATGGATATTCTAGGAGAGTGGATGGATGGATGGATGGATGGTTGGTTGGTTGGTAATGGATTTGGTTGGACTCGACTGGACTGGACTGGGATTCGGATTCGGATTGCTTGGGATGGAATGGATTGGAATTGAATGGATTGGGTTTAATTGATGAGCAGGCGTTCATACACTATACAGTCTATACAGCCTATATATGGGTATTATTCTATATTGATAGTGATAGGGATATGAATGGATGTTGATATAGATCTAGACTTATTCAAGCAATGAAAACAAGGAAAAATAACTTGATACATTAGAAATGTGGGTATTTGTTGAGTGTACACTGTACAGGTTTAGGTGTTTGAGAGAGGGAAAGAGGGAGAGAGGGGAGAGAGGTGAAGGGAAAGAGGAAGAGAAGGAAATGTTTTACATATTATCGACTGATTGATAGATGAGTGAATTGATAAACATATAAAAAGAAAAAGTTTAAGAATTGAAAATTAAAAATCAAAAATCAAAAATAAAAAAATTGTTTTTGAACGAGTAAAGAGAAGAAAAAAGATTTAAAAATATATAAGGTATTAATTAAAAAGATCTAAAAAGAATAATAAAATAAATTTTTAGATTAAAATTCTTTTAAATATATAAGGAAGTTTTTGGTTTTGGGTTTTTCTTTTAAATTAAATATGTGTTAAAAAGAGCTTAAATTTGTTAAATTAGATGATTTAAAAATTAATATTTTATTTTATTTTATTTTATTTTTAAATTATTATATAAAAAGATTGAAAATTTGTTTTTATCAATAAAGATTTTTAATTTTATTAAAAAGAAATTAATCTTATAATAATTAAATAAATATTTATAATAAAATAACATTAATTTTATAATTTTTGATAAATGTTTTTATTTTTATTATTTTTAAATTTTTTTTAAAGATTTAAAAAACAAATTTCTTTTTGAATAATAAATAGAATCTTGAAATGATTTTGATAATTTGATAATTTGAAAGGTATTTAATATAAGAAGTGAAATCTGAAAGACTAGGTATTCTATTTTATAACTAAACAGTAATCAGATTTGGATTATATCGATCGACCTTCATCGACCTTCATCATTGCTGTCATTGCTGTCATGCTATCATCGCTATCATCGCTATCATCGATGATATCATCCTCGAAGAATAGCCTACCATTAGATTTGTCAATGCAAAACCCAAAGGTAGAAAAACCGCCCTCAAATAAACTTGACAGGAATAATCTGACCGACTGAGAATAATATAGCATCTCAAGAAGATCCGTAGCAATAGATATCCAAAGATAATATTTGCTAGTTATAATTATAACAAATATTCGCTTGATTCAAGTCCATGTCCAAATATTTGATGAGCTGGTCATAGGAAGATTGGGTGCTGATTGAGGGAGAAATGTCTATTGATCCAGAATCTTCCTCTTTCTCTTCCTTCTCTCCAACTTCGTATTTCTCTGTGTCTTGATGAGAATCTACTCAATATCATTTTAGTAATTAGTTTTCTCGTTCTTCGTCTTTTTGACTCTGTTTCTTTTGACTGCTTTTGGTTTTTTGGGGGGGGTGGTGTTGGATAGTTTGTAGTAGGTTATATCATGTTGTGATATATATAAAGTTTTCTTTTATTGCAGGAGTTATTCTCTTCTTCAGGGATGGGTTTAAGTGTGAGTTGGATGTCAAAATAATATCACAATGATATTGTTTTGATTTGATTTTCAATTTTGTTAATTGGGAGGTATTTATTTTGATGTTCTAATCTTACAAGGCAAGACAAAAAGTTAACCCCACATTACATTCTAATCCACTCTAACCTAAAACTACTTAGTGTCTCGCTTCACAATCCGCACAATTTCTAAACTTCCTTCTATCAAAATCCTCAAAAACTTTCCTCTTCATTCCCATCCATCACGACAATCGACAATCGCAAAAATGTCTGCCCTTAACAAGATCGTGGCCACCAGCACTTCCCGCGCCAGTCCATCTGAGCTCGAGACCAGCATCGCTGGTGCTCTTTACGATCTCGAGTCAAACACTCCAGACTTGAAGGCTGCTTTGAGACCTCTTCAATTCTCTTCTGCTAAGGAGGTTAGTTCATTTTTTTCTTGAGTTTGTGATGATTAATTGCAGATGATTCTTTTGTTTCCTGCCTTTATTTGAGATGGATCGAATATGCGGAAACGAAAGAATCCTGCGAAAATCTAGAATTGGAATGCAGCTTTCATCATCATTCGATATTTTTACGATTAACACCGACATTTCGAATTTCATTTCGTATACCGTATACTAGACGACATTTCATCAAACAAACATTGGATATTGGTATCAATTTCTTTATCGGAAGTTTCGAAATATAAACATACGATGGAAAATGATATTCTTTGGTCAATTGGGAAAAAGATGAAATGAAATTGATGAAAATACATTATACAAAATTGAGAGTTGAGGATGTCGGTGTTGATGGTGGAATCGAACGGGCTGCGGACCATGTCAATTTAGACTGGAGATCGCATGCTGACTTTGATCAAATTTTTTAGATTGAAGTTGGCCACGGCAAGAAGGCTATTGCTATCTTTGTCCCCGTTCCTTCCCTTCAAGCTTTCCACAAGGTTCAACAACGGTATGTTTTATTTTATCCATTATTATTTATAATACACTAATAAGGAAAATAGTCTTACCCGTGAGCTTGAGAAGAAGTTCTCCGATCGTCACGTCTTGATTCTCGCTGCTCGTCGTATCCTTCCCCGCCCAAAGAGATCCAACAGATCCCGAACCTCCCTCACTCAAAAGCGTCCTCGTTCCAGAACTTTGACTGCTGTCCACGATGCTATCCTCACCGACATTGTTTACCCAGTTGAGATTGTTGGAAAGCGTCTCCGTACCAAGGAAGATGGAAGCAAGATCTTGAAGGTTATCCTTGATGAGAAGGAGAAGGGAGGTGTTGATCACAGACTCGATACCTACTCTGATGTTTACAAGAAGTTGACTGGTCGTGGTGTTGTCTTTGAGTTCCCACAAGGAAGCTCTGCTGAATACTAAATTATTCATGCATTGGTAATGATGGGATCTACTGAGGGTTACAAAAATGGGAGGCGCAATAGATAGGCTTTATGAATGAAAATCAAAAGCGCTTTGTGTCATACTGATATACCAATTTGTTTGAGATTTTAAATGGAGTTCATGGATTTATGAAACTTTATTATTTGATGTGTTTGTTGTGTCGTGTATGTTGTAGTGCTTCGAAGGTGACTTCAAAATGATGTTCTACCACATATCATGCCCAGTAATTCCCTGTACATCAAATATCACCAACACCATCGACTTCCAATACTCCATCCTTAACCCCATACACATCTCCATTCATATCATATTATTATTATATCAATATCCATTCGCAATCAAAATATTATACACTATACATATCTAACATACCATACATACACCGTACATTATACACTCACTCCCCTTTCCAAAAACCTATCTTCAAATCTTCAAATCCTCAATAAAAAATAAAAATAAAACCACTAATCAATAATCAATTGTACTAGAATTCTATCTATTTATTCATCAAAAGTTTTTCAATCCTAAATCCTAAATCCTAATTCCTAAATCCTAATTCCTAAATCTTAAATCCTAATCCTAAATCCTAATCCTAAATCCTAATCCTAAATCCTAATTCCTAATGCTGTAATAGAGACAGATATATTCCCATTCCCATTCCCATTCCCGTCCCAACTACTATCTTTTATTCCATTGATAATCTTGCGATTTATGTCTTTTCAATCAATCACTATCAAACCACCCAAGACCTTATTTCCTCTTCCCCTCCCCTCCCACAAAAGCATCAAGAAAACCTACACATTTCAATCCTGTCAAAAAAAGAAAAGAAATTAAGAAAAAAAAGAAAAAAAAAAACAACGCCCCCAAAAAATAAGGATCTCTTTTACCCTATAAACCTAGTAGTATATCCATCCCATGTATATCATCCCATGTATATCCATCCGATGTATATCCATCCCTAGCAAAACCCTTCCTTCCCTTGAGTATATTCCCGAGTATATCCCAAAATCCAGCCAATCCATCCATATCTATGATAAGATATCCAAGCATACCATGACCTGTCAAAAACCACCATCGCCATCGCCACCCAAAATGACACCATACATCAATCGCGAGAAACGAATAATGAACGCCTGAGCTACCGCCAGCCCGCCACTGTATCCTAAGATCACCGGAAATTCCACCCATCATATCCATAAATATCTTCTCCCCGACTCTCTCATCTTATTCCCCCCTACATCCCATACCCCATACCCCAATCCAACAAATGTTAACGAATATATATATCCCCACCTTCCCCATCTACCCACCTTCCCCAAGCAACCTCATACGCCTCTTCCAAATCCCTCACCCATCTCCTCGTATCGAAAAGGGCACAATCATATCTATTTTCATAAAGTAATCTCCTTAGATCACCCAATCTTCCTCTCCCTATACCATATCCCATACTCGTATCATAATGAAAGTTTTTCGCGAGTCTTATTGCGAATTCTTCATATTGTTCTTCGTCCTTGGCAATAAGTTCTGAAGCCGCCCTTTTCCCTTCTTCGCTTCTCGGTAGGGCGCCTTTCAGGATAGATGCTGCCATGCGAGAACACATTTTATATTTGTATCGTGGTAAAGTAAGGAGAGGTGTACTGGACCAAAGAACATCCGCAGCTGTTGTATGGGCGTTACATTCAGGAGTATCCAAAAAAAGATCGCAAACACGTGCCCGGGAAATATGTTGATGTTTGGGTGCGACATCTGTGAACCAAATTCGTGATGCAACACTTTCTCCTGCCCAATCTCGTGCTGTGGCTTTCAAGTTACTTTCTCCTAAATCAGGAAAGCGCAACAGCCAAAGAATAGCTTTTGGAACTTTATCCAAAATTCTCAACCAAGTGCGGAAAGTAGTCGGTTCAATCTAAAGATAGTAAGTACAAGAGCAAGGAGGAGATCTAAACCCATCAGACATACCTTGTAAAGTTGATTGAAATTTCCAAGAATGATAGCATCATCAGATAAACTCGGAAATAATTGCTTTCTCATCTTCCATCTAGTAGTTTGTTCTTCTTTCCATGATGCTTGTTGATCCCGTGGTTCCGATTGAGCATGGTCACAACAAAAGAATGTATCCCTACAAAATATAATGTTCTCAGAATATACCCAACGATCTTCATTAATAGATTGTTCATCCTCGATTTGATCTTCTAGGTCGAGGTTTCGTCTCCAAGGTCGTAATGTCTCGGGTGGAATAGCGGTCTCATCAGCCAAAAGATAATCACACCACTCAGCTCCTAGAGTTCCAGCAAAGCCCATAAAGGACATTTGAATAGGAGCAGGACGAGCAGCAAATACTTCATTACGAGCACCTCGAGTATATCCATTGAGATTCACTAGAATATGAATGCCATCCTGAACAATTTGGTTCACTAGACGATCAGCAGACCACGAACTCACATCACGAAAGACTGGAGCCTCGCGTTCAATTTGTTGTCTATGAATAGAGTTATCGCTTGCGGTTGTAGCATAGCAAAATGCTTTTGCTCGCGAGGGATTGTGGAATCCAAAAACAGATTGCATCCTACAAAATTATTAGCGTGGTAATTTTAATGAGAAAACGAAATACTTACAAATGTGCCAATGGATGATTATTGAAATCGGAAGAAACATATCCAATATTAAGATGAGGCTTTGGAGGAGAAGGAGGTGGAAATACTGATCCCTGCATCCAAGGAGACCGCAACGTAGAACAGGATATCCTAAGGGCGTTTCGCTGAGAGATCAAGCGTATATCTTTTGCAGATAGCGGGCAAGTGAAAGTATGGAAAGGTAAGACGGTAGGTGCCGATGGTATCGAAAGGCTACTTGGGAATTGAGGGCGAGGATAAAAGACAGCAGAATATTCTTTCTTCTTGACATGTCTGTCCTGGTACCATCGATAAGTCGCACGTTTCGTGGCACGTTCAACCAAACGTACAATTCGAGCTCCTTCCCAGCGATGTCCAGCCCAGGCGCCAAGGGCAGTCTGAATACTTTCTCTTTTCTCCTTTGGCCACTTACCCTCACCACCGCAATCAGCAGCTTCGAGATGCCGAAGGAATTGGAAAAATGCTTGGCCTTGTAAGGTTCCTCGACCCCATGTTGACCCTTCTCTCAATTGTTTCGCAACAATATCAACAACTCGTTTCATTAGTCCTCCTCCATGTTTGTTCGGATTTGCTTCTGATATCATTCCATCATCGTCTACATGCCATCGATCTCGTTTGCCACCATCTAGAATAACCCCGCCTCGTCCTTTCCAATCACAAACCGAATTCAAAGCATTCGAGAGACCGCAAACTGCTTCCGCAAAATCTGGACTTGCTTTTACAGCCCTTTTATAGTACTCTATTGCATCACTCGTACGTCCTTGATCTTTGACAGCATTTGCTAGATTCGCTAAAGCAATGTCAAAGGTTCCATCGCAGTGTACTGCTTTCTCGTACATCTTGATCGCAGCAGGAAGCTGGCCGATATCTTTGAGTAAGCTCCCTAAATTAGTGTAAAGATGTGCATGTCTTGAATCTAATAGTAGTCCATAGTTATAATAAGCAAGTGCTAGAGCAATACCACTGCCAGGGATGACTCCAGGTATCGCGGTAAGACTCGTGGGATCTCGAGACGGAATTGGTCGATGAGCAGCCGGTTGTTGCACGCTTGCCAGAAGAATACCAACGTTATTAGCTGTTGATGGACTTGGTTGCAACGACAAAGATAGATAGTACAATGCGAGAATATCTCCAACGCCGGTAGGCATCCTTGAAATCCGATTAGATGTACTGTTGGACATAGCGTCTTGAAAGATCTTGGCTAAAGACAACAGAGAATTACTGGTAGTAGATACGGCAGCTTTTTGAGCCAAACCTGGAGGAATATATCGAAGACCAGGAAGTTCACCGTCTCGGCCGGCAAATACCAAGGATTTAGTCTCCAAAGCTTTATCGGGCGGTAAGAGTAGGGGTGGTTGATTTGATGTGGAGACATGGAGAGAGGGGAGCCCGTTGCGCATTCCAAAAAAACAGTTGACGGATAAACTATGGGTGATCCTGCGAATAAGTCCTTGTATTCCGCCTACCCCTTTTCCTGTACTTATGACGACTGCATCCTCGAAAGCTTTAGATGCCGCACTAACATCGCCGAGAGCGTACAACATATTGCCTTTGGCATGTATGAGGGCTAATATTCGGCCATTCTCAGATCCAGGTATTGCAAAGCCACTTGAGCCAAATCCAACTTTATCAGAACCATCTTCAAGCCTATCACTAAATGTCGATGTAGTGTCCCTGTCGTCGTAGTCGGCGATTGTATCAGATGCAGAGCTCGCGAAATCATGATATTCTCGGTCTGTACTACTCGAAGTCTCGCTATAATGATCATAGTGGTCGTCCGATTTAGAAATCCGTAGAGAGCGTTCCACAAACTCGATGATAGCAACCGCTTCTTTACCTCGATGATCACCACAAAGGAGACCGATGAGATGCTCGACGGCCTCAAAGTAATTGGGACGAAGATTAACAGATTTCCGCCAATTTGCCTCCGCTTCATCACGTCTCTGTAAGCACAGAAGGGTAGCCGCCAGGTTTGAAATCGCTTCAACATGTCTAGCAGCAAAATTAGCTAATACGTCCTAGTCATGACAACATACAACATACCTTGGATCTATAACTATGATTTTCTCGTACCAGTCTCGCGCTCTATTGTAATCCTCTAATCCATAAGCAAGGCAACCTCCCAATAACATACCATCCACCCAGATCCAGTGACTTTCCTCGCAAAGACTCGTAAGGAGATCCAGCGCTTCTTGAGCGTTAGATAGGGGGGATGCTGCGCTATGCTGTGAGGATTGAAAAGGAGGCACATAATGTGGGGCTCCCATCACTTGATTCATGGACCGCGAGTATCTCCCTTCCGGCGAGTCTGTGAAACCATAAGAAGTACGGTGGCTGAGACTTGGACGATGACTTCTCGGTGTCGCATTTTGAGAGTTCCCCGGTGAAGAAAAACTGGAGCTCGGCTGCCTCGGTGGTTTGGGATATATAACACTTTTCGCGTAGGATTTGGAGCCGTGGGATTGCCGATTTTGTCGATTCTCCTTCTTCGTTTGATGTAGATGAGCCAAGAGATCTACATAAATAGTATGCGCCCAGGAAAGAGTCTTTTCCTTGAATTGCGCATTCCCAGCCCTGCTCAGCGCTTGGACGGGAGCACCTGGAGGATCAGAGAAGATGACATTGCTGCTGCCACCAATTTGATACAAGTTTTGTTGCATAGAATCATATGACTGTGAGTGGTCATCCACGCGCATGAATGGTGTATCCCTGTGAGCTGGCGGGTTGACATTATTGAACTCGGCTTGCAGTAAAGGTTGCGCCCCTCCAAAGTATTCCGAACCATGCCTTACATGCTGAAAGCCATGTCCACCATACGTGTGATCTCTGTAGGCCGCTGGTCGATAGGGGGTATAACTTCCGTCCGGCCAATACGGACCATACAAGCCTCCATCATTTGATGCAGTAGGACCAGGGCCAGGCTGGTAAGCTGGCTGTCGCGCAGTTGGAACGGAGAATCCAGTTGGCGAGAAGTAAGAGTGGATTTGGTGCATGGGCGATACAGGGCCCGCGAAATTGTAAAAATTGTTCTGAAGAGGGGAAAACGCTGTCCAATTCTGCGACGATGAATTATTTACTCGCTGATCAAGATTATTGAAATTATTGGGCGAATTGAAGGTCCATCCAGAACCCGCCATACCATTCAACCCATCTGAGAATGTTGAGACTCCCGGGGCCTCGAGTACAACGTGCTTCAAAGCAGGTGCCTTGCTAGACCACTGCACAGGAGTTCCATCATACCCCGCGGCTAGTGTACCATTTGGTGTTTTCCGCCTCAGCATGTGCTCTCCACCAAAGTCTTGATCTGATAAACTGCGACCAAGAGCCAGAGGTCTCTGATATTCATTGCTATCGACGGGATATGCGCGATGGAGAGGGGAAAGCGTGGATGAGGAGCTGAGATTTCTCGAGTTTCGATATGGTAAGGGTGCAGGTCGGTCTGCTCTTCCACTCTGCGCGGAAGATTCGAAAGAAGGGTTTCCATATCCCGGCGTCGCGCCCAACTGCTGCGAAGGATAATTTCGAGCAACTTGAGGATTCATGTTTCATTACTTTGCAGATTTTAGTACTTTGAAAATAGCAAATGGGTATATATTGCAAAAAATTGGGGCATAAAATGGAGCTGATGGTTGATTCATTAAAATCAAGGTGTGCCAATGCCTGCACGAAGGAGGGGAACTGTTTCTCTTTTGCTCATTTCTGCTTGTAATATGCAGTAGCCCGAGGGCTGTAAGTTATCTCGACGGCGCGACAGTAACCAGGTGTTTCTCTATGTGAGCCTTTCCTCGAAGAATCGAAGTGCGGGAGATAATATCTAGATTTGTTGATGAGAAGCCCTGAGGGCCCTGCGAAACGGCCGAAGTGGAGCTTTCCTGCGTGCGTAGTGGGCGAAAGTGGTGCAGGTGTGCAGTGTGCAGTATAAATGATGCTGATGCGTTGCAAGGCTTATCGTAACCAAAGCTTTTATTCTTTAATGAATACGGATATTGGGGAAATTTGACGGAAAGGTAGTGAAGCGATAGGCAAAGCAAAGGTCAGAGCAAAAACTAGCTAGGTGTAAAGAGTGGGATTATTAATAAAGAATGAATGTCTGGTGGTGAAAAAGGAATGATGCTTTGAGGAGAAATGTTTCTATGATGAACTCATTTTTTTGTTTATTTTTTTATTATTATTATTAATTTTGATTTTTTGATTTTTTTCGATTTTGGATTTAGAAAAAGGTTTGAAGATGTATTTAGTGGATCAGTTGGGTTATGTTGATTTGAGTTTAAGTTGGGATGGATGGATGGATGGATGGATGGGTGGGTGGATGGATGGGTGGGCTTGGTGGGTTTTGGTCGGGATTAAAGTTGTAGAGTAGAGTAGAGTAGATATAGAAAATGAATGCAGAAATGCAGAAAGAGTTTGCCTAGGAAGGATTAAGGTTACGAAAGAAGTACTAGTAGGTACGTCGTATGCAACTGTTTTAGATAAATAGTTAGTCTAAAACGTAGGAGGCAGACAGCTATGTCGGCAGATAGAGATAGCTATCAAAACCTGATATTGAATACGTATATTGAATCATTGAAAGCTTCATCCAAATAAAAATGAATGTAGGTAAGACGGACGGTAAGAGTAATAAGTAACATTACAAATATTACAATATCATACAAGAGACAGGCATTTTTGGAAATCATGTTGGGTCGGATCCAGTCCTGCAAGAAATGAGAAAAAGAAGGCAAAGCACAGGTAAAGGACAAGGAATACCAGAATACTATCAAGGAATTGATCCAATCATATCATCATGTCATGATACGGAAGCAAGCCTTGAAGCGCCTCTCAGCTACAGTTTGGTACTACTACCCACTCACACCAAGAAAAATCTCCTTCAAATCTTTCCTTCGCCGTCAGCAGGAGTAAGCATAACATACCTAGGTAGGAATATACGATTCTTCAATGCCAATCTACGAATTACAGCTAGTTACCTCGACCTCTACCTAGAAATCAATCTAACATGAAGGACCTGCAATCTACAGTAGAATGCCTCTTGTCAAGGTAACTAGAACGGTTTGCTTCAATCTACGACATCTTAATATCACGATTCAAGATATTCAGACTACTCTACTCGGCCAAAATCACAATCGTGGCGCCTCGGAGCCGTAGAATGCCACCCCCTCCACCCATCATCGAGCCATTAATGCACTCCCCCTGTTGTGATCACCACTGCACAGACCAATGAGATGGCGATACAACCCAATGGGTGTATGCAGTCCTAATGCTATAACTACTATCTGTAGAGATGACTATGCAGTCACAAACTGAAGGCAAAATTTCGAATAGCCGGACAAATCAGTCCATTGTTAATCAGGTTTTTATGGACCATTACAACCATTTCGGAAGAAGGATATATGTTGTAGTAACTTGCTCGGCCATTCCTCTCTTTCTTTTGAGATTATGCTGATATTACAGATCGAATCATGATCCTGAGAGGAATTACTGGGCCGAGGGTCGACAAGTATTGCCGGTATCGTCCTTGTATGGAGTGTAGGTTATTTGCCAGGGCGTTTGACAAATACTGCTGGCTAGTGCCAGTATCGACGCGTCCCACTCGAGAATACACGATTTCTCGGTCGCTCTCCTGTTTACTTTTGGGCATTCTCATATATTGGGACATTCACATCAATTCACGCGTAAGTTAACTGTAAATCGAGGAATCACCATGTATGAGAAAGCAGATTGGTTTGTTGAATCATTGACATTGCCCCCAGCCTATTGTGAAGTATGTAGCCCGTGAAACATTGCGAATAACGAAGTAAATTTTGATTTATTCCTCAGGGACTAATCAGTTTGGTTAGCAAAAGGACCGCGAAACTTCCCAAGCAATGTTACTCACTCTCGATCTCTCCAGACTCGATATCGTCGCTAACATCCTTTGGACTTCTTCCATCAACCTGGCAACCAACAGAGAAAGCGGTACCCAAGATCTCCTTGACGGTACCCTTCAACTCCTTTGCGAGGGACTTGAATCTCATAGTTCTGGCGATCTCAATAACCTCATCGAGAGTAATGGACTTGCTGTGCTTGATGTTCTTCTCCTTCTTACGATCACGGGGAGGCTCCTTCAGGGCCTTGATGACGAGGGAAGAGGCGGATGGAACGACGGAAACAGCGGCTTGACGGTTTTGGATGGTGAGTCTGACAGTGACTCTCAATCCTTTCTAAATAGCACGGATCCATTAGTTTTTGCTCCCAATCCTATCCATTGTTTGCGGTGCGCATACCCAGTCTCCAGTGGCCTTTGCAATATCTTCTCCGACCTTCTTTGGTGACAAACCAAGAGGACCGATCTTGGGAGCCAATGCTGAGGAAGCACCGACTTCACCACCAGTGGCTCTCAGGTGGCTATTAAATTATCGTTAGCATGTCTTCTGTACGAGTGATTGAATATCGAGGTTCGCATTTCGCATCATGTTGTTGATGTTGATGTTTTTGTAGGACTTTTGATTTTTGTCGTGAGGGTAACGTACATGATCTTGATCTCATTGGGGTCCAACTTTGGAGCTAAATTGAAATTGTTAGTTACAATAAATGATCATGGAGACGGATATTGAGCACTTACGCATGGTGACTGTGAAATGGAATCGGTTTGGTGGGAATGGTGTCGACGGTTGATTCTACCAAGATCAAAACTCTTCAATTCACAGTAATTCTTCAAATCTGGATGTGTGGGAGAACTTTCGGTTAACAAAGCTAGTATCTTTTTAGACAAGGCTGGTGGCCTTGGGGAAAATAAGTTCATGCCTGACCGAGAAAAGGAAAATCGCGGGGCTGATTAGATTTCTTTTACATTAAGATTAAAAAGTCACTCGATCATTTTCATAGTTGAACGACTGTTTCTGATGATCTAATAGCTATTATTGTATACCTAATCAACATGGCAATCAAGTGAATGAAATTTTTGAAATCTCATCGCAAAACTGCGCCACCAACGCTCCAAATACCCATCCCTCCATTTCTTTTTGATAGAATTACTTACTCATCATCAATTCGTTCCGCTTACAGCCAACCTGCGAGAGAAAGGGAGTCAGTTTTGTGCTCCTGAGGTTAAAGATTAGGGTGTTAAGGTGAAATAACTTACTTCATTAGATGATCCATGAAAGTTTGCAAAGAGACGTCGTCAGTAAAGATTGTTTGTGCTGTTTGAGCACCCACTCCACCATATGCACCTGTCGTATGTGTAGTGGATGGGTTAAGTTTTGACAACAAGAAACGTGCTTGAGAGCCACCAGCATCGCAAACGATGAAACGTGGCAGAGGGAATCGGTCAGTAATCAAATCCTAAACCGGTTAGTATTCTGATTTCAATTACATGTGACAAGGAATACATACCCTAGCATCCTCTTTTGGTTGTTCTAGAAGAGCGGCAAAATTCTCATAACCTTCTTGATCTTGATAGCCTGCTTTCCTCCATTCCGCAACGGTCTCTCCGTGGAATATCAGGATGTGGAAGAATGTATCCAAAAGAAGAATGTGAGTTGGTTGAATGGAAGTAGAATCAAGTAGTACCGGTTGGCTACCATCTTGGTCGAATGTGTATGAGTCTAGAGTAGGTTGTATCATAATCAAGGAGTTGCTGACATCCTCATGATTGAGTACATGTCTATAAAATGCAGTCTCATCAGGCGAGTTATTGAAAACTTGCAAGAATTGACTTCTCCTGAGATGGAACATGAATTGTGGGTAAAGTGTGAAGTTCTTCTCAAGTCGGAAAGATGACGGATCATCCTTTCGATAATCGGCGAATCTCGAACACAGGCGGATGAGCATTCTATCCACCCATCGTAGAACGTCCGGTCCATCATCAACTTCGGCTTTGAATACAGCTATTCTGGACATCAAAACTGCGGCGGCTTCTTGATCGAATGATTGTGCAATGGCTGGGTCTCCAGCTGGTCCACTCAGGTTACGGGAGATTGTCGTTACACGGAGGTGGAATTGGCCCGAGGAATGCTGATAGTATGTAAGAAATTGCATCATACCCTTTGCTTGGGCTTGGTGTTGGGCAGGGCCAGCTTGACCAGCAATTTCAAAGTAAATTCCGTAGCTAGAGTTTGGGTCGATACCACACATCTTCCATGAACAAGTATTGCCAATGCCGCACTCTGTTTCTCCTACCGAGGTAGATTTCTTGTTCATTGACACCGCATGACCGATCAAACCAGTGACCTTCAACTCTTTCGTAGTCAAAACTTCCAAAGAAGCATTGAAACCCATTAGTAGATTATCGTCGCCGTCTTTCTCAAAGACACGGACGAATGACTGCTTGAACATAGAAGATGTGAAACTATCCGTCAAGATCATATGACCACCAGTCGAGTTTGAAAGACCCTTCATCTCAAGAAGACCTACTTGATCTAGACACCCAGCAAATATGTCTATGATGTGTCCGTTATGTGCTGTTCTCTTGGCTAGATTGTCGTAGAACTAACTGGTTAGAATTGAACGTTGAAAATAATCAGTTGACATACCTTAAGAGCCTTCTTATAATATTTGATGTTGTCTCTGTCGATATCATGATGAGATCTGATGGGCTCCCTCAATTCCGGACCGACCACCAAACCAGGGCCTTCAGTAGCAGGACCACCCGCGAAGAGCATAATACGGCCACCAGCATTCTGGAATGAAGACTCTAGTAGCCCAACCGCCACACTCAATGCTACACCAGTACATCTTAGATTTCTTCTGTCATTCGCGACCGGCCATGGATCCTTTTGTAATTGCTCGAGGGCCTTCGTAAGCTGGAATTCGCATTGCTGGACGGGTAGCAAGAATCGAGCAGCGGGCCCCATTGGCGGCATTGGTTTACCAGGTTGCGGTTGTTGCATTCCAGGTCTCAATCCAGCCGCCGAAAGTCCAAGCATCTCCTGGATTTGCTTGGCTGTGTAGTCCTTGCTGCCTCTAAACACATATGATTTTGGACATTCCGTATAACCAATTTCATGTACTTGCGCCTGCAAAGGAAAGGTTAGTATAAAAGACGAAACTCGAGATTTGAGGACATCAATACCATGGTTCCGAATGTAACCAAGCCGACCAGTGCATTTTCTGGCAGGAGACTCAAGCTCATCACAAGAGATTCCTTGAGCGCAGATAGACTGTCCTCCTCTTGACACGTATCCACGACATATAGGAAAATGGGAGGACTTGGAGCTGGTCGCGAAAGTCTGTACTCGATCGTGGTATTCGCAGGGTGAAGTTCGGGGGGAATTGCTGCGGGATTTATATCTTTGTAATGAGGTGGAAGAGGGTTTCGAGACAGGCAGAATGGACAGATCCAAAGACGTGCCCTGACATCTACTTGACTATTGACATTGAGCTCGGTCCGAAAATGTACCTCCAGGGCAAGACTTACCAGAAAGGGTTCAAGACTGATCTACATGGCTGTTTGCAGATGACTGGTTCGAATTGTAAAAGTGGTGTATCTGGTTTCTCTTTAAGAGGCGTATAAAGTGCGCCGATAGGGACAACGAGCCTCGAGGCTTCCTATATTGTGTAAGTTCGTGTACCCCGCGAACTGAAATCTGCCTGACGAACCATGCGAGAGCTTGGAAAAACATTCCAACTAAGCCGGACTCCATCACGATCCTCCACTTCACTCCATTGCTCCTTCAAAGCTTCGATATCCATCGTGCGCAAGCCTTAAAGCTAGGTATTGTGTATTCTAGATTCGACCGGTCGGAATGTGGGATGAATGTGAGCGGTCTGGGACAAGGTGACAAACGCTGAGGTGCTAGGCGATTCCTAATGAGGGGCAAATCAGAACGGAGGAGAATTAAACGATCTCTCTTTGAAAGACAAGAGAATGTATTTTGAAGGTTTGTTGTATGTCCCCAGGCTTGTTTGGATAATGATGCCAGGTAGTTAAAGACTTACCTAATCACGGTGTTTCCCCAAAAAAATAGCCGAATGACAAGTAGCAAATACCATCTACCGGGACAGCAGACCAGCATATATGGATTTATAGCCTGACTTCAATAATCCTCTGGATGGGATGATTTTGGAGGGAAGCACCGGCTATCACAAACTGTCTGAAGTCCTTCTTCCTTAAAGTGGAAGTGGATGTATAACTTTACATTTTGATACCAAAGCAAGGAGTGCCTAATGGATGTCGGATATTCTACGTATAAAGATTATTGCAACAATCACTTCAATCAATTTCTACCCATTAAATTCACCATCATGAGATTTGGCACGTGAATAGGCCCACATTCTCCAGCTGCACCGAATAAATTCATTTATTAACCAATTCCATTCTAGTCATCATCATTATTAGTTGTAATCTTACAATCCAGCCTGAGATATCCCTGATAGTCAAATCTCAATGCCCTAGCACAACTCATGATCTCCTCCAAGATAGCTGGTCAGTCTTCGATCCACGCTTTGATTCACAAGTCTCGAATATTATCTAATGCTATTTACATATGTAGTCCTTTTTTGCCAAGATGCACCTGCTCCCAGCTCCACATTACTCGCTCCCTTGCTTCGGCTCAGGAACTCCAAGACGTTGCTTGGCCGCAGAAACACTTGTGACCTGACCCATAAGCCCATGAAGCAGATCTTTGACGGCCTCCTTACTCTGGACGCCATGAGCACGCTCAGTCTCGTAGTTGGCATATTGAGTTTCCACCAGTTCCTCTAAGAGATTGAACATTTCCATGACTTGTGCGACTGTAGTTCCCGTCATAAGGGGAAGGAGCATAGCCTCATATTCACCCATCTTTGAGGAGGAGAAGAAGCCATGGAATATGGTAGAAACGTACTCGAACCCTTTTTCGCAAGCTTCCTCAATAGACTCTTCTGTATATCTCTTTCCAGTAGCTTGACGTTTTGAGAGACCGGGAAACTCAGAGAAACCTGGAATTTCTGAGAGACCTGGAAATCCTGAGAGACCTGGTAATGGGAAATCCTCGGCATGGACTTCAGAATCGTCATTATCCGATCTGGATTCCAGAGATCGTCGGACCTTAGATTTGCCAGAAAGTTCTTTCCTTACGGTTTCGAACTGAGCATCAGCTTCACTTTTCAACGCTTGAATCCTTGGTTGGTGAGAACTCGTGGCTTTTTCATGGAGAGCGCCGTAACAACCATCTACGTTCTTTTGCAATTTTTCAAGTTCCGATTGGAAGTAAGATTGGTATCGTGTACCGATAATCATACTTTTCTGTTATATTCATTAGCACTGCGTTCAGATATTCATCACACCGTAGTGCGTCATGGGAGCGATGGAAATTGTGAAAGAGAGAGGGAAATACTTACGCGTTCTTGGAGAGCTTGCGAAATCTGCACGAATTCGGGTGTAAGGCGTTCCAAAGCAACTTTAACCTCTTTACTCTCACCCTCACTCAAAGGTCCCGATTGTTTCGCTGCCTCTTCGGCAGACGCAACCGAAATTTTGCAAGTCTTGAATTGTCTGTATAGGTAGATGGACTCCAACATTCCACCGTGGTACTTTTGACACATTTCTGTGACTTTGTGACCCTCGTCTACAACCTTAGTGATTTTTTGACTGACAGACAGTGCTCTTGCATCAATGGGAGCAGAGCCATCACGCTGGTTGATTGAAAGAGTATCTGAGCTTGCAATAGGGTGCGCAAGTGCAAGAGGCGCCAACAACAGGGCGGAAATGTATGAAAACCTCATTTTTCTTTATCGGATTAAGTGCAGATGTGAAGTTGAGATGTGTTAGAGAAGTGTGGAGGGATATTACTGAACTGGAGGAACAGCACAATATATACCTGCAAAGGTGATCCAGCCATTAAGCTGACTATTACATCGTCATTGGAACTCTGAGTGTAATCGAGCCTCCGATTGTCATAACTGATACGATTTTCAGAGAGAGCGACAGCCAATGCAGATCTCCCCACATGGCCAGACCACACTAAATAGACCAATGGAAGATCTATCTATCATCAGGAATTGTATAGAAACTGGAAGTCTGCTTTGAATGATAAAATTGCGTAATGTTGGGGGTAGAGCATATCCAAAGTGCTGTTGGTGTTGTTGATGTTAATGTCCAAGTAAGCAAAGTATCTATTTGCCAAGAGGCATAACTACACTAGCGCTCGAGATCAACTAATGACAAACTCAAAACCACTTCACCTACCGATTCTCAACATTTGACATCTGCTAAAAGGGGACCGTTCTGAAAGAACGGCACTAACATATTTCAATTCCTTGTTATTTCTACGCTAAAATCGACGATTCAGTGTTTGAGTTACCAAGTCCCCCTTCAATGGGACGATGCGTCACACAAGTATGGATCTACCAAAATATGTCTGGGTAGCAACGTCCCCCCCAACAGCCATCCTTCACGAAGCATAACATGAGCCCGAGATACATAGATAACCCTAAATCAATTTCCTCTGGCACTCGCAAAATTCACAATCGCCATCTGGTTCTCCTCGATGATCATAGCTGGATCTTTGAATTGTTTTACACCTGCAAAACTTGGAGCTTCTGCGTTTACTGGTAAGATTTGGCTAACGTTTGATACTGATGGTGCTGCATTGGAATCATACGTCTCAACGGAAGAGGAAGCCGGAAAGCTAGTGCCTTGAGGTAAAGATCCTGTTTGGGATGCACCATTGATAGTCATTTGCTGAGCTTGATGCACCATAACAAATTGAGTATCACGGGCTTGATTGTCTGCCTGAACTTGATGTGTCATATATCTAATGTTTTTGCTTGATGTGTCCCGAGCATCGATAATTTGGGTGACAACGATGATAACAGTGTTCTGGGAAATACATCAATCAGTGCTTTTTAGTCCCACTTCAATGAAAGAACATACCCGCTGCGAGTTCAAATTTCTGAAATGATTTCTCCTAACGTTGTCTCGAGCAACTTGTGTTTGATCAATGATGACAAGTCGCTCTTGAACCAACTTTGTGAGCTGGATTTCGCGTCCTCGTGAAACTTCCGTCAACTGCTCCTCTTTTGTTTTCGTGATAATAATCACATTGTTCGAGTTCGTTCGATGTCCCGAGCTTCTAGGGTTATACACCAAGCCTCTTTCAATATTCTCAACAGTCTCCGGGACCTGGTGAGGATATGGGCCTGGACCTTGTTATGAGTGCTAAAAATGTAAGGTATTTTGATACTCACTTGCGATGCTCAAAGCAGCGAAGCTTAAAACCAATGATACAATCGTACTTAAATGCATAGCGTGTATGATGTGTGAAGAATGATTAAATATTGATATTACTAAAACGATACGGCGGCCTCAGGGGCGCTCAACGAAAGAACGATGAAAGTATTGGGATGAAAATGGATGTTTGCGAGAGAGCGATGAAATATGCAATGTATGTAGGACTCACATCAATGGTCATCCGGCGACTATTATACTAAAATTTTCCTCCTTCGAAGTAACTAGAAGCCAACCTTCGGAATTATCCACATCCGCTCAACGAGTACTTCAGAGTTTGGTCAAGATATCTTTAATCACATTAAGCTCATAGCATCAGGAAAGAAATCCTACTGTTCGTATGAGTGTAATAATCCTCAATGCACTCCATCCAGCGCGAACCCATGCTGCGGCGAGGTTAGTCCGTCCTGAATGCAATCACTAGGTATAAAGCCAAGAGCTTTTGACAGGTGAAACCAGCCACCGACACCGTCTGAAAAAAATATAAGACGACAGAAGGGTTCAATAAAAGGTGTATTTGAGGCAGATCCGTTCAGTCAAAAACGATGACCTGAGTACTGGTTCCATGATGTAATCAGATATGGCAAGGTGTGAATAACTCCAGGCCCTGTTCGGTTGTTCGTTTAGAGACCAGACAAAACAATGCTCGTTTGATCGTAGTATAAATGTGAGAGATAGTCTTATCAGCACAAAACTGTTATGCATAATACAATATGATAGAAATTTTAAGTTTAGAAGTGTGAGGATATATTCGAATTAGAATAGGCAAAAATGAAAAAATGAACTACTGGTTGAGGCTTGGTCCAGAGACACATTCCGTGCATATAGCTTATTTTCACAACACATCGTCTCATGTTATAAAAAGCCAAAGACAGAGAACACTTGGCTCAGCCTTCATCCTTTACAACGATATCATGACATTTACAGGCAGGTAAGCCTCATCTGTGTTACTAAAAGACGTCCGTCGAGACTTGGTTGATGTTATCTCTTGATGATGAAATTTGGGATTACCATGAGATCCTGTGTCTTTGACTTTCAAAGAAATGATGGTGTAGTGACATGACATCGAACGTACGCCACATCGAACAGGAGAAGTGTGTTGGACTTTCGGAAACACGAGGATCATGCAACTCAAAAGCATCGTTGTGTGTAGGAGATTCCCACATAATCACTTCTTGCCGATGCTTCCACCCAGTGTAGCTTTACAACCTTTCAGGACATGCAAAAAGCAATCTCATATCAGATATGCTACAGGAGAGCTAAAAACCAGCCCCGGTGAGGTACAAAAACCTCCCTGCGACAACCTTCATGAGCTCCCCATAAGCTTTTATACAGAATGAGTAAAATACCACGGCTTGTAGTCTTAATAAGTGAGGGAACTTTTCGGGTATGGTAGAAAAGACGGATGAATTCCGGAAGCCATCCAAATTCACTGCGAAATGTTCATGATGCCGTGCGATTGTCAACATTTTCACGAAAAGTCTTACATTTTTCTTATCAACGACAAAATTTCCAATCCCCACCATCAAGCCCAGCCACGCACGTGATAAGATTTAGGAGCTTGGACTTTTCGCGTAAAAAAAAAATTCCCAAAATTTCATCTCGAGAAAAATATTGCATTTAATTGACCCGTCGCCCAATATCTCGAATCGTCCGACAAGTATCTTTTCGACCTCATTACTTTTTTTTTCAGCACATCCAATTCTTAGACTTTAAAGCAGAAATGGCATACACACCAAGAGGAGGTGCTCGTGGCGGTGACCGTGGCGGCGACCGTGGCGGACGTGGAGGTTTCGGCGGGGGAAGAGGTGGTGACCGTGGTGGTCGCGGAGGCTTTGGAGGAAGAGGTGGTAGTAGAGGTTCGTATTTTTATACTTCCATTGCGATTTTAATCTCAATGGTTCAATGCGCATGCGCCAATGCTTATATTTGACTTGCTAACTTTTTAAAAAGGTGGTGGAGACCGTGGAGGACGTGGAGGCGGCCGTGGTGGTGGAAGAGGAGCTCCTCGTGGAGGACGTGGTGCACCAAGAGGACGTGGAGGTGCTGGTGGAGCCAGAGGTGGTGCTAAGACAATTGTCGTGAGTATATGAACTTCAATCAATGGCTTTGAATTTGGGTTCTAATAACTTGTTCTAGGAGCCCCATCGTCATGAAGGAATTTTTGTCGCTCGTGGTAAGGAAGATATGTTGGTCACCAAGAACCTTAGCCCAGGTGAATCTGTATACGGCGAGAAGCGCATCAGTGTCGAGAACGCCGGCCCAGCCAACGAAGATGGTACCCCAAGCACCACCAAGGTCGAATACCGTGTCTGGAATCCTTTCAGAAGTAAGATTGCCGCAGGTGTTCTCGGTGGTATGGATGAGATTTTCATCAAACCTGGTGCTAAGGTCCTTTACCTTGGTTCCGCTTCCGGAACTTCAGTTTCCCACGTTGCTGATATCGTTGGACCTACGGGAACTGTTTTTGCCGTCGAATTTTCCCACAGATCTGGCCGTGATCTTATCAACATGGCTACCCACCGCACAAACGTCATCCCAATTATTGAGGACGCTCGTCACCCACTTAAATACAGAATGTTGGTCTCCATGGTCGACGTTATCTTCGCTGATGTTGCACAACCTGATCAAGCCCGTATTGTTGGTTTGAACGCCCATTTGTTCTTGAAGGTTGGTGGTGGTATCTTGGTTTCCATCAAGGCATCTTGTATCGACTCTACGGCTGCACCCGAAGCTGTTTTCGCTAGAGAAGTTCAGAAGTTGAGGGAGGAGAGAATCAAGCCTTTGGAACAATTGACTTTAGGTGAGCTTTTCCTAGAATCAATCCGCTTATTATTGTTCTAGAAACTAACCATAATTACTATAGAACCTTTCGAGAGAGATCATTGCATGGTATCTGGACGTTACGTTCGATCCTTGTAAATCTCCTAATCAATCTCTTCCCTCGTCTTTCTATCACCACACTACTCGCACATCAAGTCGCACTTCAGTATAAACTCCATTGAAGTTTACCTTTCGAATATTTGTAAATCGAAAATTCTGAATATCCGCTTCTTTGGCATGCCTCATCACAAATTACTACGGATTCTCTCTTGTTGGGTTATGGAAGGGTTGTTTTATTTCTCGTCTTTAGTACTTTTTCCTATTAGGTGTACATTCAGGTCCTGGCGTCCAGGTCGTCATTCTTCATCGCGTTTACTCAGTCAGTAGGTTGTTAAGAGAATGAGAGTAAGAGGAGAAAAATAAGAAAGTAAAAATTTGCCTAAGATCTTTTGTTCAGGTGTTGATGTGCAGTTAATGCGATATGATCTGATGTGTCTGTTGAATTGTGATGGGGATGGTAGGAACACCATTTCTTTTCTCTCTCTTCTATTTTCATCTCTACATCTACCTACCTAATATTTATATTCTGGTTGGCCTGCTAGGATCAAATTTGAACAGTAGGCTCATTGAGTAGGTAACCCGGATACCTAATTAGGGTATATAAAATTCCACATCCACATTCAGATCTCGTTCTCAATATCAAATCTCAATCTCAATCTCAATCTCAATCTCAATATTAATATTAATATCGATTCATAGTCTCCTCTCCCTTCCTTCCACCTCCATCTCTACCCCTCTTGATGTTTAAGCACCTGCAAGCAAGCAAGCAAGCAAGCTCATTCCATATCCATGCGCTGCAGCATAGCAGTATCTTTCATCCATCGTATTATTCCATTATGGGTTACGGATTCCCTCTATTCATTTATCCCTGTCTTAGCGAGTTAGGAGAAGAGAGAGAGAGAGATGTACTGGGTATCCATCTATACCTGGTTATTTCCTGTTATTGATGCTTCCCGAGTCTGGGATCATTTTGTTGGAGTATTTTGATGTTGAAATATCGATACTGGTATGCTCATTCATACAAAAGATTTCATACAAAAAGAGCGATTTTGCTCTCTAGTTCTCTTTCTCTCTCTTAGCATATACGGTCCCGCTCCATCTATTTACCGATTCTCCCCACACCCACCACACACCAATAGGCCAACTCCCTCTTTTCCCTCGCGTCCCTATCGCCCATCCCCCCCAATTTCCCCGTTCCGTCTCCATCACCCGCTGTATCTGCTTCCCACTCTACTCTCACAAACAGGGCAATCTCACACACATCTGCATCTTCTTCTACTCTTTCCTTTTGCACCTCTTCTTCTAATCTCCTCTGCTGTTCTAAACCGGATAATTTTGTTTTGAGCTTTCCCGGCGTAACTTCGACGACTACGCTTGTCCAATTGCGGCCTTTGTCCCAGGGTTTACCGTGCGCTTCGTTAGTGAGGTCGAGGCTTTGCATGCTGCTGTGGGTTGCGGTTGAATGTTTGCGGTCATGGTTCAATGAAGAGGAATCTTGGAGAGCTTCGTCCCACATGTCTGTGTTGGCTCCGACGTCGAATTGGGGACAGAGAAGGATCACTTTCGAGGCGTGGCGGTCAGTGGTGAGGCCTTTTGTTGCGAGGGATATTTTGATGGGTTCGAAGAGGGGGTTTTTGAAGGTTAGGAGAAATTGGGTTGGTCTAAGGGGCGTGAGGATTATGGAAGCGGGAGCGGGAGCGGGAGTAGGGGCGGGAGGGGGTTGGAGAGGCGAGAGGCTTATGGAGGGGACATAGGACAGGGCTACGAGGCGAATGCGGAAGCGTGTGGTTGGGACTTTCGATTCGGGTTTGGAGAGGATGTGACGGCAGGTGCGGCAACGTTTGGAGCGTTTGGTGCGGAGGAGGCAGGGAATCGGACGGAGCGAATCGAGGAACCGCGTTGAAGGGGATGTTTGGCTTGTTCTCTGCTCAGTGGTAATTGTACCTTCCCAACCTTCCTTGAGAAGTTGTGACACGGCCATGGATTCGGCTTCGTAATCGTAGACTTGAAGGCCTTCAGATGAATCAATTGCTTCTCGTATGCTCGCAGCTTTTGATCTTGCTTTTCTGTCGCCCACACTTCCACCTGTGTAGAGACCCATTATTCTGGTTAACGCGCCCGGTGATCCGTATCCATAATCATTCGAAAACCCTAGCGCACTACTTGGATTTGAATCTGCCAATTGACCGTGGTAGAAAGACCTTAGGTTCGCATATTGACCTTCTATGTCGAGTTTCTCGTTCGGGTCGAAATGCTTTTCAGTGACCTCGTCCGCTTCCTCCAGGATCGTTTCTGTAGCCAAAGATGTCCGCCTTTCCTCTCTGTCTCGACGACGTTCTTTTGCACTTATCAATGAATCACCACCATTCTTTACCTTGGATAATTGTGAGTATACGGAATTTGGTTTCTCAAATCGTATGCCAATTTCGGTCGAGCTCCACATGCAGTATGCGCAATGGAGGATATACGGTGCTGTCGGAGATGGTATAGGAACACTGTATTGTTCGCCAACTGGCGCTTCGTTTACTGAGAGAGGTGATAAACATATTGGACACTGAAAACATGATCTTGTACATCTGGTAGTTTGTGGTACAATATTAGCATCTAGGCCTATCTCAGGAAATCGACAAGGAAATAAAAACAGTAGGGACCATGTATACCTATTACCCTCACTCTTCACTGTGCTACTCGGTACCTCAAATAAACAGCTCGGGCAATACCACGTAACTATCTCATCTAAAACACATCTCGAACATCGAATTTGATGGCAATCCTCACAATACAGAAGATGTTCTAGTGGATATAAGCTATAGTTCGCGCGTGGAGCTCTTGGATCAAATGTCCGTTCTTCTTCAAGACTTGGAGACCCGGGGTAGATGAGTTTGCAAGGATGGAAGTATCGGAACAAGGACATTGAAAATATGTGTATGGCTTGAATGTCGACATGATTGAGGAGGGTATATGATCTTCGAGGACCGATAAGGTGGGATATTTGGAGAGGGGATGAATAATATTTGACAGGGTTTAGGGAAAATAGATGATCCGATCAAAGCTTGTTTTCTGAGCTCTGAGCTACTAACATAGGTAGGACAGGTGCACAACATCATAACATCATAACATGCACGGGAAATGTGGGAACCGTGGGAAGCTAAGGGAGGTTAATTTCCCATGACCTGAACTTCCTTACTGACCTGGGATACATATCTCCATCACTCGAATCTAGATTCGCGGATTCACAGTCTTCATAAACTTCATTCTAAAAGGGCTTCAGGGCGACAAAAAGGAAAAGGGCAAAGCAGCAAAGCAGCAAAGCAGCAAGGCAGCAAGGCAGCAAAGCAACACAGCTACCCCCATTCATTGTAGGTCTACGCCTCATTACGACGCTCTTTCTTTTCCCAATTCTATCCACAAAAGCTTGTTCATCACACTTTATCCCATACATTATTCTATTCTGTACCTGCTTTTAACTTTCCAGAATCTACTCCTGTAATCCTGTAACATTCTTACGCAGGCGCTTCGCCAGCCTTCCTCTTTGGTGGACATTGGGCATTGATGTTGGATCCTTTCCTGCCATTCATTCAACCCGTTTATGTACTCTCTACACCGAACCATTAACCACCCCGAACCCTAGCCTTCCCCTTCCCTAGAGTCTTATAAGTTATTAGGTGATGAATGAAACCTGGAAAGAAACAAATATTTCTCAGTAATAAATTTCTCTCTTCAGCTTGTGGGTCACTGCACCCATCTCTTTTTATCTCTCTCTCATTTTACTCAAGCTGCACATCCATCCATCCATCCATCCATCCATCCATCCTATCCGCCCACCACCTTCGGACAATAACAATGAAGGTTGGGTTGCCCGCATCCTTGCACCGGCACTACGGAGTATGTACAATGTACATACTGTACTTACTAGGTTCTCGTCAACAAACCACAAGCTTCAGCCATCCATAGGTACCTACAGTCCATACATGTGCAGGTTAGAGCCGAAGCAAAGTAAACAATAACACAACCGTGCGGGAAAACGGAGTACACGCTTCACACAAATTACTTTTTGATCCATAATGCAAACAATCTCACTCCCACAATCTCATTGTACTGTACCTAAGATTTGAACAAAAGAGAACATCCAACTCGAATATTATACTGCTACATTTCTAAATCGGAGAGGAGGATCTCCACATCAATTCGCATCTCAAATTGCGACATTCATTTTCGTCTTATCGCTCGGGTTGCCCTATCAACTGACAGCACATTTCAATACGAATTCTGGGAGAGTCCCATTCTGCCATTCTGCCATTCAGGGTAGGTAAATGAAGACCGGCGCATAGGTAACAACTCGACAGCAGCCTTTATGTATGCCAATACGGAAACTTGCTTCGATGGTGTAATACGATATCCAACCTTTTAAGTCGCCGCATGTTGAAGTTGGGAATTGGTCTTGATCAAGGTGCGCATCTAATATTCTTTCCCAAGACGAATCGTACCTCACAATTCATTTTCGCGCAACACATTTCATTACTGAGGCTGGGAGGGAGCCACTGACACCATGGGACATATTAGACCATGCCTTCCCCCGAACCCGACACGGATGAGATAGCACCGGCCAAGCCCAAGACTCCGGCTGCCCCTCCGAGGACGTCTCCCAAAAATACTCCCAATGGCGCATCTAATCGAAAGCCGGGCGTTAAGCCACGGAGTCCCGCCAGCGTACCAATGCACAAGCGACCACTGACGAAGAAGGCAGAGCCGACGTTGCTAAGTGATTTTCTGCTGGGCAGACCAACAGCAAGTCGCCAAAGGCGAAAAAGTCTCGACGCAGTCAAGGCTGAGATGCGCGAGAGCACTGTAAATAGGATTCAGAAGCCAGGAGGGGTACATGATCGGGTTAAGCAATGGCAAAAGGCTAGTGCAGCAGCTGTCATTGAAGAGGACGATGATCCAGAGTCAGTGCTGGATGAGATAATAGTAGAAGTGGAGGAGGATAGTGTTGTTGGGCCCAGTGTTGTAACCGAAGACAACAGGCTCCATGTCAGGAATCAGAATATCCGACCTGGACGACGGAAAAGTAGGGATCCTGAAAGTTGGGCCGCAGAAGTAAGGAGCAAGAGTGCGCCTCGCAAAAGAGTTATAAGCGATGATCATTGGGTGATAAATAAGCACAAGACCTCTCCGAAGAAAAGAGAAATCAAAGTGACGACGCGTGCTATACCCAAGGACTTTCTCAAGCAAACGGCTGCCAATCCCAAGTTGGAGAGTAAAATCGCTGATTGGGTGAAGCGTACGGAGGCTGAAGCGAAGAGCCATGGGGGGGCCCAATCTACTTCACGAGTAAGCAAGACTCCACAGCCGGAAATTCGCGGGGGAAATAGAGGAAAGATGAGGGCCAAGTCTTTAGGAGAGATTATAGTTGAGATTGAGGAGGATTCAAACCAGAAACCTTCAAAAAACGGATTAATAATCGAGTCGAGGAACAGCCCAAGCTCACGGAAGGCTTCGAACAACGGATCTAAGGAGAGCCTCATTAGTTCATCGAAAGGAAAACAGATTCCTGAATCAGAACCATCCAGAACTTCAGCTAACGATTTCATTCGAGTCAAGCCATGGGGGCCAAGTGGGCGATGGGAGGATGGCAGTCGAGTGAAGCCTGTTCAGGCGAGATGGAGAGCTCCGGAGGTTAAGAAACAGAGTTCCGGGAGTAATCCATTTCTCGACGGTATTAGCTTAAAGCCAGTACCTGTCCATAAGGAGGACAAGCAAGCTTCTCTGAAACCAGAAAGGTCTGATGAACATTCGCTTCATAAACGTAAGTCATCAGAGAATCATCATAAGCCAGCAAAAGAGACCGAAATAAAAGGTATGCGCGGCCATTCTGATGGCGAACTCGACCACGCGAATGCGCAGACCCCTGCTCGTCGTTCTCCAAGCTTCAGAAAACATACAAGGAAATCCCATTCGCCTTCCCGGTCAGTGGATGAGATTCCCTTTGGCGACTCTGCTTTTAGTACCTTGGATCTCCCTATCGGTGCCGAGGCTGGCAACACCGGTAATAAACCTAAACCCCAGAGGAATCCTAGTCATCTAGTACCAAAAGTCCTCAAACGCGTTTACAATGAAGGGAAGAAGATTATTCAAGATACGCATGAGACTCCTGAAATGCCTCCAAGGGGTGGTGTCAATCAGCCTCCAACAATTGAGTCTTGGCTCAATAATACCACAGATCCTTTTCTTGACGTGCCAAGTACTGTTCCAACTCCAAATTTGCCGGAAGAATCTACGAAAGACGATGGTAATAATGGGAAGCATACTCCCAAAATTGGCCACGATCCAAAACAATCACTTGAGGAGGAACGTAAACGAGCGGGAAGTAGACAAAAACGTGTGCGAAAGGCTTCGGATAACAGCTTCAGAAGTAGTAACGATAAGTCACCTCTGGGCCGTGTTTTGGATGATCCGATTGAATTCAAGAAGCCTCCCACTCCACCAGCAGCTGGACTCCGAAGAAGCCCAGCTCTACGTACGGCCTCTTCTCCCGTAGTCAGGTCTGCACGCAAATCACCTCTCAAGGATGCTTTGCTGGATGCATTCCGAGGTGAATCTACATTTGAGGGTATTCTAGACCCAGAAGGTGATGATTACGACCAAGAAAATGGAAACTATGATTTAGACGACTTTAAGAATCCGAATCGTGGATTAAAGACACCCGAGAATGATAACTCTCGACGCAGTCGTTCATCTGGTACACATCTTGAAGTGCCGAGCCACCATCGAGATATCTCAGACAGGCCTAGAAGAAAGAGAAGGAGTGGACACTCTGGTGACCATCACTTGTCAGCAATTGCATCTGTAGAAACCTTCAGCACTCTTTCGTCTCTAGACACTTCATCCAATCTTACTAAAACTACTCTTACACAAGCAACTACCGAGACCGGGAGGTCCGACTCCAACGTCTCACGCAGGAGAAGCAATAGATCCGGACTTAAAAGAAGACTGACGAAACATTCTGACCTAGTATCTATGCTATCCTTGCCCGATGCACCATCAACTAGCCGAACAAAAAGTATCAGATCAGCTCGAAGTGTGCGTACCGCTCGAAGTAATTTAGAGACTGCTACTGAACGGGATTTGATGCGTGAATTGGCTGGTGATGAGGTGAAATATATGAGAGAGTTGAAAACGTTGGTTGATGGGGTGATCCCGGTACTTCTCACTTGCGTTCTCTCCAAATCAGATTCGGCCATTGCTGCCGGCCTCTTCAACCCCGACGCTACAGACATGAATGAAACATTCCTCACCAAACCAATTGTTGACATGGGTGTTGCTCTCGAGCGTCTGAAGAGTCTACACAAACGTATACCACTTGAGGATCCAGATGCTCTTATAGTCTGGCTTCAGAGAGCTCATCGCACTTATCAAGACTACACTCGTGCTTGGAGATTAGGTTTCCAGGATGTTATTGTGAATCTAGCACCTGCTTCTCGCACGGCATCGGCAGAAGAAAAAGAGGGCTCATCACTTGACAACATCCCACGCAATGCTGATGGGGATATTGTCAACTCGAATGGTGAGCGTGTGGATGTTGCTTTCTTACTCAAGAGACCCCTCGTGAGAATAAAATATCTTGCAAAGTTAACAAAGGTTTGTCTTCCAGTCCTCTTATAACTTTTTCCTCGGTAAATGTTATTAGCTGTATCCTAACTCATTATAGGGCCTTGACAAACTCAACCATTCGGAACTCTCAGGCAAAGCTCTGAAAACATTTGACAATTTGCAAGAAATGGCCCGCCGTCGTGTTAAAGAGGAACATGCTAGACTCGAGGATCTCTATGCCAACAACACTGACGCAACTCGAGCTCGTAATCCGCAAACACTAGCTCCAGTTGAGGATGTTCATATCGACCGTACCAGACAAGTCTCGGCTAAAGATTTTTTCGATCTCGATTTTCCACACTCTAATGGTCAACGAATTGAGTGCCGTGTAGAGTTGATACTTCGGGATAATCTTTCAGATGAAATCGACCCAGGAGATGTTCTGATCTGTGCATCAGAGATCACGCCGGAGGCTACACATCGCTACTTACTATTTCCTCCCATTAACAGAGATTTTATATCCGCTTGCGCCGGTGAGAAACCTGGTGAGGTCATAATCATGATTCGTGGTATACAAAGACCCATAGAATGGCGAGAGAGTCTGCTTCTTAGGGGTGCTGAGCCTGATACTGCGGCCGAGTGGATTGGCATGTTAGGCTCCGTCCCAATGCCTCAACCAGTTTTGAGCTCGATACCAGATAACACAGATACAGTATCAATGATGTCTATGGATGCATCCGAGATAAGTGAGGCAGGCGATCCTGATGATAACGACTTGCCAATTGGTGCTCGCCGAAGAAGAAGAAAGCATCATTCGAAGGAGAGACCACGATCTACAACCTTTTCTACCATGTCGTCTGTCGAAATTCCAGCGCCCCTGAAGATAGATCGCAAAGAAACATCATCTCCATCACGAAGACATCGAGATGTTTCTCTTGACGAGATAACTGGTCAATCACACATGAGACGTTCCAAATCATCAAGACATCAATCTCATACACGTACCCGATCTACACCAAGTTCACCTCTGTCAAGCCAACTTACGCTTGACAACTCGGACGATGAAAGCAGAGAAAATGATGACTTTGGCGAATTTGGAAGTCGAGCATCTACACCAGGCAAGACATCTCGCCGACCTCTCACGCCATCCGAAGAACTACCTCATATCCCGAAAGTTCGCAAAACAAGCTCAGCTGCTTCGATTGATAGCACTTCTACCACAAAAGATAACATTCGACGCCAATCATATGACACAATAGATTCTCACGAAACATCTACACGATCTCGCAGCCCAGAACAAACTGAAGAGGACAGTGCTCCACCACCGCCTCCTGCCCATAGATCGATGTCCCCGAGCGGCCTTAAGCAACCAGTCATTATTGAGCCCCCCGCACCAAAATCAAGGTCTCGACGCACTTCCTCTCCACTAAAGCATGAGTATCGACCTTCTGATATATCCGACATATCAGAGAGATCTGAGGTGTCAGAAGAAGTTTCTGAAATCTCCTATTCATCATCGGAAGAATCTGATACAGAAGAAGAAGAGTCGACATCCAGTTCTGATGAAGATGAACTCGATGAACTTGATGAACTTGAAGCTGCTGATCTTCCAGAGGCAGAGCCCGCTCCGACTATTTATGGTAGACGTGCTATTTCACCTACCACCTCTCTCTACAGTCTGCCAAATGTCACTCTGGCACCTGTGAACTCCACACCTCGAATTCCGATTGTACACAAGGTGGACAACACAGATATTAGAAGACACGTTGCCACTGTCTCAACTTGGAATAATGCTAAAGGCCGTTGGGACGATGTACATTCGAAATCTTGTTCGATTATTATCCGTCCGGGATTAATCGAAGTATATGAAATGTCATCCAGGCATTCCTCCCCGGCAGTACTCTCAACCATTCAAGAGTCCGTCGTAGAAGGTTCAGATGACACAAGTAAAGAGGACAAACGGCCATTGCTTGGCCAGGTACTGACACCTGTTGTTACACTAAGGCAAAGCAATTCTCTCGATATCGAAATACATTCTCCCCCAACAACTGACTCGCGAGTTAATTGCAGCCCTACGATCAGATATCACAGTTTGCACAATCCTGCATGTGTTGAATTATACAATTCAATTCACATGGCTCGCATGAATAATCCAACATATAAGAAGCTTGAAGAAGAACGACTACTCAACTCATATGGGGATGCACCTTACGAAACTGCAGTTGTCAGCAAGAAACGCAGCTTCTTAAGCTTTGGTCGTAAGAGGAGCTATCGTGCATCAACGCGTGCACCATCAGTTGTCAACTCGGATCAAAGTAGCTCCCCATCTATTTCACGTCTTTCGGAATCCTTCAAAAGATTAACCGGCAGTTCATTTTTCAATATCGCAAAATCATCTATAGAATCAGGACGTGGATCTAGTCCATCAAGTCTTTACACTGGTTCCTCGGGCCTCACTCCACCTCGGACACCTCATCCCGCAAGTCTGGCAGGTACCTCGACGTCATATGGAGGCGTCAATTTAACCTCGGAGAACCTCAAAATCCGTCTCTATTATTTAGAAACACGATCCAAATGGCAAGATTGTGGAAATGCCAGATTAACAGTTACAGAACCACCACCGGGTATGCGACAAGCTTGTGCTGTAGACCAGGGCATTGAACGTCGTATTCTTGTTACGCGAAAAGCAATGAAAGCAGAGAATCCAGATGAAAAGGTGGAGGTGTTATTAGATGTTGTGCTCGGTGCGAATTGTTTTAGTATGATTGGAAATAAGGGAGTTACTTGTAATATATGGGAAGATATCGTAGGACCTAATGGTGAGATTGGAATGGTGGGAGCTATTGGGAGAGTAAGTGGGAGAACGAGGAAGTGGTGTTTCCAGGCAGGAAGTGTGCCCCAGGCAAGCTGGATATACAGTTTGGTTGCTGTGGGAAGATAAAATTCGAGGGGAAGATGGGAAGAGGGAAAGAGGGGAAGATAGGAAGAGAGGGGTTGACTATAGGCGTTTATGACGAGACAGTCGTTGATGGTTTTAGAGATACCACTTTTGCTTTTTCATATTTCGAGTTTTGGCATTGCCTCTTAATTCTTTTCTTTGTAAGTGTGTTAAGGGGGAGTATGATATCTGTGGGATAGTTTTGCATGTATGAATGTATATAGGGGGACAGATCAACGACAAATATCAATGAGCAAGCGAGCGATGCATTAGAGGAAGTATATTTGACGGCATGCATATAAATGGATGGAAAGGGCATGGATGGTTGGTAGGAAGGATGGATGGAATAGTGAATATCAATGGTGGATTTTGATCTGGGCGTTTCATGAATGAATAGGATGGATATTCTTTGTATATTATATGTGGAAGGAAGGAATGGATTTCTTGATACCTTCTTTACTTTTACTTGAAGAAAGGAAGGAAGGAAGGAAGGGAGAAAACAATGAATGGATATAATTTTGCGATGACGCGAGAAGGAGGGGAGGTGGCAAATGAAGCGAGAGGAGGGTGGATGGATATACAGCGGAGGAACAAAAGAGAGGAAGAAGAAGAAGCACTAACGCTCGAAACACAGCACAACATGAACGAACGAAATTAACCAAGAAACCGAAAAACGTATATACATTTTATACGGGAATCCTTACCTCTACTGGATCTTTTGTTGGGAGACTGACTGAATTAAGGCTGTGACCTGGATTCAGAGGGCATACGAGGGTTTTGGGAGGTTTTTTTTGGTGGGAAGCGGGGGTTGAGTTTGTTGTTTTGTTTGGAGGCGGGGAGAAAAGGTGGCTTGGGATGAGGGAGAAGGGGTGAGGGTTGTGAGGAGATGAGGAGTTAGATGGTAATGGAGATGGAGAGAGAGGTATGAGTGGATAGTTGGGACGGTAGGGGTATAGAAGGGTATGGATGAGAATGGATGTATGGATGAGAATGGAATGAAGTGATTAATTAATGATATACTGCTTTAGATGTTATATTATATTATATTGTGTTTATTATGAAGTAGGATTTAGAAGGTTGATGTGATGTGATGTGATGTGGTGTGATTATCTATTTATCTGTTTATTTATACATATTTACACAAAAAAACAGCTTCTTCAAGAACTATTATCAATGTCTATCAAATACTTACCCTCCTCCTCCTCCCTCCCCCTCTCCCAGAACAATCCCCTATAATTACTATTCTCATCTCTTACCAAAAGACTACCATGACTCATCTTCTCTTTTATCCACGATCATTAATTAGCTATAGTTATAGTCAGTATCGACACATCGTAATAGTTTGTTCTCTTTACTCTTCACTCTTTATTTTATTTGATCTTTTTGAATTTTAATTAAGAGTTATTAAATAATTTATTTCTTTCTTCTCTCGCGCGGGTGTTGGTTTGTTTTTTTATTTTTTGAAGTTGAGGAAGAGTGATACTTTTATTTCTATTTCTGAAGTAGAATACAATAGAAATTCGTTTAATGAATGTATTTTATATATTAATTAGTTATCCTGAAGATTATATTTAATAAAGATATAAAGATATTGCGCTGTAATGTGTAACAGTGGTTGGAATTTGAACTAGGGTAATTAATTAATTGATTGAAATTACTGATGGCTTTCTGTTTATTTATCTATCCATCTATCGGCTCGAGTTTGAGGTAGAGGTACAGGTAGGGTTACTTGGTGATAAAGGCAGAGGTAGAGGTAGAAGCAGAGGTAGATTTAAATATAATACACCAACACTATTAACTTATCACTTCAATCATAGACTTATAATTATATCTCCAAGACTTTGGAAAGATAGTGTTATATTCCACCCTCAAGCGGAGCGGGACGCGACGGGACTTGCACGATAAGATGTACTATAATCAATGTGATGTATAGATTTTCATCTAGAGTATTCAAAAGTCGGTCGACATAAGAAATAAAGAAAAAAAGAGGATGGTGAATTCGGAGAAAGTACTCGTGGATATAATGATTATATATCACTACTTGCTTCACTACTTCTCGTATAGTCAAGACAAGAAAATTGACTTTTAAAGTAGTCTTACAAGAGACTTCTTGATCAATCTCTCGTTGAGATGGAGGAAGCACTCATTCATCTATTTACTAATTTATTTATTCATCTATGAGTAATAGAAAAAAGGTAAATAAATCATAGTATATATGTCAGTTCTAAAATTCGTCAAGAATAAAGAAAGGGAGCGCGCGAGGGAGGTTTATCAACCTCGTCTAAATTCCCCTTCATCGAAAAAAAAACCACAACTTTAAAAAACCAACTACAAAAGAATCCTTAATACTTCCGATATGGTTTGACATATAAAAAGAGCAAAAAGAGAATGAAAAAGATTAATCTTGCGTTCGCCGGGAATCGAACCCGGGGCCCATCGAAGTTATTCATCATTTCTTAATCAAGAGATATTTGATGGCAACGATGGATTTTACCACTAAACCACAAACGCCTTTACTTATTCACAATGCGGGTTTCTGAATATATATACTCCAATGTGCGCTGCTTTTTCAAACCCTATTTTTTCGTAAATCAAGATTTTTCTTATGTTCTTGTTGTATTTTAGTTAGATGATGAAGATTCCTTGAAGATTGATCTTACCCGTCAATTCTATATTTAAATAGGCATCAATAGGTATTTATTAATAGAAAGATACCGGTTCTCGTTTGTTGAATTTCTGATCGGTTGGGCAAGAGTAGGGTCGCGACTTTCAGCTTCTAACTTTTGAAATTGATTTAACAACATATATAAGCCTACCTTGATACCGATTATGAAATGTTATAAAGGTTATAATAATAAAATTCCTTTATATTAATCTATATTAGTTTATAAAAGACAAGCTTTGTCTTCAGCTCGTCAGTACTAGAAAAATGATTTGTCTCGCTCTACTCCCGGAATCTTTTCAGGACACCTTCAGGACCTACATTATAGCTCGTCTTTGCTGAAAATTTATTAGATATTTATTATAATAATAATGAAGTTATTTATAAAAAAGTTGAAGTTTATATACTTTATTCTACTTTAAATAGAATTGAAAACAATTTGATATCTTTGATAGTATCTTCAATATAAACTTTATAAATAAAATTATATATATATATATATGAAATTCAAATTGTTTTATAATAATTTTATAATAGTTTTTTCAAATCAATAAGATTTATAATCGTATTATTATATTATAAAATTATATTTCTATCTCAATTTTCAGTAATTTATAACTTAATAATTTTAAATTTTCAAAATTTTCAAAATTCAATTCTTGTTCCTTTCTGATCTATATTAATAAAAAGAATTATTTGATTTTGATGATTTATATATATTTCTTTTTTTGATTTATTGAAATTATATAATAGTGATTTTTTATTTGTGTTTTAAAATGTAAAAGATTAATAGATTAGATGTTCTAGCGAGGAAGGTGGGTTAAGTACAAGGACTTGTAAAAAACCTAAACTGAAGGCCTTCAATTCTAGACTCCACTCCCTCTAAGATCCCCCACCCATCATGGCAGAAGATGATCCTGTTTATTATTGTATCCCACAACTGCGTTGTAGACTCTGTTAGTTTAGATTAGAGGATGGGGAAGTTGTCGTTCCATGTATCAACATTACCTGACACGATCTTTTGAATACCGCTTACATTCTTCAGCTATCAATGACAAACGCGTATCGACCGAGTTTACATTCTTTCGAGATACACTCCTCTACGATGATGATATTCTCGGAATCAAATTCCATATGCGTTGCAGTGGCAAGTGCTGGCATAGTGGTCTTCGGAGCTCTTGTTTCTACGGCAAGTGCTATAGTTTTAGACTCTACGCAGTGTCGCCAAAGTTTCTCGCCACTACAGAATATAGCTTTCGACCCCCTATATTTGAAGAACAGCGACGAAGGGACCGCATGCTACACATTCTGGCAAAGAGGTTGATGGCATCCTGGACAAAGCGACTCTCTGATGAATTATGCTGGATGATTGCAGGACACCTTATACGAGAATGTGCAATCATAATTGTGCAAGAACTAGCGAATGAAGATAGCGCAAACGATTCTATTATTGATCTTTCTCGTAACGTGTATGTTCGTTATATCATGATAGAAGGTACCCGCTATATTCGAAGTCTCCGAAATTCTACTCAATCGATGTCCAAGCCAGGAGAAACACTTCTGCTTGAAAGTCAAAACTCAAGCGATGTTCGGAACGTGTATATCGGTGAAGATCATCTCGGAATCAGACAAATACAATTGTCTTCGTCATCGAAGTCAATACCGGGTTTATGGTGGAGGCAGTTCTCCAAATCTTACTGCATCTGTAAAATCAGGACGAGAACTGATGTTGGTCCAAAAATATTCTCGTATTTTACAAGGGCTAATGTCAAGTCAGGGACTGAAACTTAGGGATCTCGTCGAAAGCGAACAGCAAATTTTCACTGCTCCTGCTCGCATTAATTGGCCGGTTCGAGCACCTAATGTTTCAATCGTCGACCTTTCGAGCCTCCAGGCTCCACTAGAAGAACCGAAAGGCCTTCGGATGTCTTTTTTTGAATGTAATAGTGCATTTACAACCGGATACTCTCTCGCAACAAATGGAGTGAGCATTGCCACCGTACATACACACAATGAGGAGTTGGACCTCACTTTTCATGAGGAAGTCGATAGTTTTTTCGGTCGGTCAATGGTTTGGATATATATGCCTGTAGATGACGGTGAATACGTAACGGAAATTTGCAGGCGTTTCGGATTCAGACATATTAGACCGAACTCTTTGGGATTAATGGTATGGAAGTGATAGCTTATGATCTGCCCACCTTACTCATTTGATTACGTCTAGTTTACTACAAACCGACAACGAACCACTTTATTTGGATGCTATAAGCCGCCGCCCTCTTCAAATGCCGACTACCAATTTGACCGTATCTATACCCCGCCACAGACACCATCGCGAATTTACTTTAATGAATGGGATTCAATATCTGCAGAATATGAAATCAAGTTTCTAGGGTTTGAACACACAGAAACGCCAATATCGCGACCTTCCCAAAATCGCTAATTCCTATATCATCATGTCCTCAAACAACATACCACGAACTTTGGTTCTACTCTTTTTGTTCTATGGGAGATGTCACAAGGATCACTCTATGCATGGATAAAACCGCCTGTCACAAACCTATCATCGGCATGCTTCTCAATTATGACGACAAGCACCGAGCCTGTGTGGGACAACTCCGTTTCGACTGGGCGCTTAAACCCATCGAGGTCACCCAGACTAAGAAAATGCATATAGGTATCAAAAGAACGACAAAGGGACTGCCCTACGTTGCGGATATCAATATACAGGCCGCTGTTGATTGCAGCTTCATTTCCTGGCTTGATGTTTCTTGGAATGGGATACTAGAGTGGTCGTTCTCACATCGTCAATGTAAACTGCATTATATCAGCAGTCAAGAATGCTCTTAACTTACAATATCTGTCCTCTAAGTTTAGTACTCTACTTTCTGACCACCTCTCTTTTAGATTATTCTTTTATATCAAAAACTAAATCTAGTATTCTACTTTCGGATCATCCTTAATTCAGATCATCTGTTTATATCAAAAATCGGGATTTTCATCTATTATAACTTTATAATCAATCTATAGAATTTATATACAATTTTGAAAAATTTGAAAAATTTAAATAACCTTTTAATAAAAATAATTAAAAATAAATCATAAATTTTTACCAAATCTTTAAATTATAATTAATTGAATAAATTAATTGGTTTTAGAAAATAATTTATAAAAATTCATTTAATCAAAATGTTATCAGAGGCCTGCGCCTCCTGGACCCCTGGCTTTTCAAAAAAGTCTAATAAAAATTCAAAATTAAATTTTTTTTATAATAAATTTAAATATTAAATATATATTAAAGTGTAGACAGAATATCAACTTGTTTTTAATAATTGAAAATTAAAAAACTTTATTTAAAAAATAAGATTTATAATATTTATAAGATTTATTATTATTATTATTATTATTTTGAGTTGAATTGAATGAATTGAATGAATTGAATGATTTCAATTGAGTTGAAAAAAGCTTTAAATCAGATCTGTCTGAAATTGTAAGGCTTATACCAAGCTTTTTGTTAGATTTTCTATAGGGGTATTTTAGATTAACCAGATTGTCAGGATCGAGCATCAGGTAAACCTTATGTGCAGCAAGGTTTTGATGTGGGCAAGCCGATAATAAAATATATTGTTTCTTTCTCTTTGAAAAATCTTCACCCATTCTCAACCATACTGGATCTGCTCTCAATAATCCTTGGTCATTAAATTTTTATGGTTTCCTAAAGTTTTTGAAGACAAATTCGTCATGCTGGGAGGTATGAGGATGTTTAACCTCTATGATAGTGTGATGCCTATTATTAGGTACCTAGGTGAGTAGTTAAATTTTGGTGTTAATTACTATTTTTGTGGATTTGAATTTTGAAGAGGGGAAACGAAAATGGGCGAAAGGATAGATAAGGAAGATAAATGGTGTGTTTAATGGCTTTATCTATTTTAAGTTGCCTTGCCTGTTGGTTTTATGTACTCCCTTATACTCTTGTTGGTGAATTGGTGTTGCTTGGCTGCGAGGATGAGAGGAGAAAGAGAAGATATGATCACTCACTAATCAATAAGAAAGATCTAGACTGTTTCATTCTATACTACCGTTAAGTTAATTCTAGATTCGTCATCGGATCGTTTAATTTGTATACTTACTTATTAAATTTAAGCTTCCAGTTCTCGAGGTTAACATCTCTCAACGGCGTTATTTGCATTTAAACGTCTTAGTTAGTACACGTATTAACTAGTATACCCTATACCGATGCTACCCCTCTCCTCAATAACTCCCTATGATCATTTCTCCAACCTCCCTATTCCAATCCTCGACCCAGCGTGCAAACTCCTTCCTGAAATATCCAAGTTATTCAAGAGGCCTTCTTGAAAGAGAATATTAGATTAATTGATTTGGATACTTCGTACCCTGTGTCACTTTATGTTATGGTTGTGGTTCTGGAACCCTTAGGCGGCTTAGGAAACCGGGTTCGATTCCCCATCGGAGAGTTCCGAGTTTGTGGAAATTGTTTCTTCTGTTAGCAAAAGAGGTGGAGAGGACAGAAGAGGAGAAGTGAAGGGGGGCAGAAGAGATAGTGGAAGAGGGGTAGAAGAGGGGTAGAGAGGGGAAGGATATCGATGGTGGAGACGAGGAGTATAATAAGATTACGTATGCATTATAATAGCATTGTGTTCCGGTTGGGGGATGTGATAGGGCCTGGTCTGGTATTCGAGATGATATCAAGTGCCGGAAGAGTTTCTGGCCGACTATTTGTGAAGGATTAGTGTCGCACGCACGGCTCTAGATTTGATTTTCGGAAGAAAGGCGTCTATCTAGGAGGAGTCGGAGGAAAGTATGCCCGTGCCTCCGTACGTATGGTATTGTACGTATTACTAATTAAATTCTAGACTCGATCTTATAAATACCCGTATTAAAAAAATGCAAGATAGTCGATATAAAACATAAAGTTTCCTTGAAACCCTGCATACTACTTGGACTCATGAATTAGATTTACTCGGATGCAGCATCCGTAGATATAAGGTTTACTAACCTTAATTGGTCCCTGGGGACTTAGCTGCATGCATCATATCATATCATCCCTATCATTTATATCATTTCATCAATATCTTATTTTAATAATCTATCTTTTCTGCTATTGTAGAATTATGGAATCGGTTTGCCTATTTCATCTATCCCGGTTTAATTATTCTTTCACCCGTGCTTTTATTTATCTATTTATCAGTCCTCCATCTATCTATCTCTCCACCGCTGCATCTCTCTTCTCTCCACCGCTGCATCTCTCTTCTCTCCACCGCTCCATCAATTCAAGATCCACCTGCCCACCCTCGTCATACCAATATACGCGAAGACCGACCTGTAAGATCCGCAGCTATAAACTTCCCCATGACTCTGAACATAGAGTTAAACTTTGAAACTAAGTTTTCTGCCCACATCCCCGAGACCACACAGTACAGTGCACACCCCACCACGTAAGCTTCGACTCCGAGTTCGAGATCCAGTTTTCCGCCAGCATACCGTACAGTGCGTACTCCAGAATATGGCGCACGTCGTATATCGCACATCGTTTTCCTGCGGCCGATTTTTCGTCCCGATCCACCTTTTTCACTCGCAGGAATCTTGGTGGCGATGCGGAGCTCGTTGATAAAGGGCGATGTGGCCGACGATAGTCTCGATAGATAACCTCCACTGCCACTTTGCCAGTGTATCGATGTGTAGCGTAGCCTGTAGCCCGCTATGCAATGTAATGTAATGTACCTACAGTAGTCATTGAGCACAATAATAAGTATTTGCTAGCAAAACAGACACTTCATACTCGGTGACAAATTCCAGGCGATCTAGCCCTTTCACAGCTCATTTACACTTCTAGGCCTTTCATCATTTCTAGATCTCATGATATCATGTTTTAGGGCTAGCGAGCGCTTGCTTCGCGGTTCTTTTGGTATTTTTTCAAGGAGATCATCTTCAATGTTACTTTTATTTTTATTCATTTTTTAATATTTGACTTTTGATATTTAATATTTTTTTCTTCTGGGCTTGCAGTAGAAATGCAATGCACGAGTAGTGGCAGTTGAGAATTAGCAAGCCCAAGAGAATATAACTGTTTCTACACTGGTAGGTACAGATGGGTGTGCATTAGCGCTTAGATCCAACAACGTATGAGGAGATTCAGAATAATCACACGAGATAAAAAAAAAAAATTGTAAGGCATGTGAATGATCCTTAATTGTGTAAATGTACATAAAAATTTCGAGTAATTTCCCTGTGACGTGAAAACTCGCATGATGCTTTGATGAGAACTTATTGACATTATGAATAATTTATTCATTCTCACTTTCATCTCCGTTTCATTTTTCTCCAACTCCAATTCAAACATAAACAAAGCACGTACACACCAAATCACGAACTACGGAGTGCATGCAACCCTGGTTTTAGCGAAAAGATACACGCACTAACGCTAACCTTAAGATGCGCCGTCTGCATCCCACTATCTGCACTGGGAATAGTGCCAAGGGAATGACTCGCGCCCGTTGAACAAGATCTTCAACTCTATTGTCTCGTCCTTCTTCCCTCGTGGAAAGTGGGTTTTACGCGACGATATTGGCGTCAGGATATCATCCGAGTCAACAGTGGTCGCAGCCAAAGGGAGTAAGGGAGTAGTATCGAGCAGAGAGACTAATGTACACTAGATACTCGGTGTCACCGTTCGGGTTGCAGTAAACGAGAATCGTCTACGAGTGTACCGGGTTGCAGGTAACGAAACGGCCTGCAGCGACGACTTGTGCTTGCAGCTTGTGTGAGTTGTGTATATGTGTAGTGCATATTAGACGCTGCACAGGTGAATGATGAAGGATGGATGGTCGAATGAGTGGCTTCCTGGAGGAGCTACTGTAAGCAGAGTGTGATTATACTCGGTGCTTGCCAGGTGGATTTCTGTAGGGAAGGTTACGTTCGGTAATGGATCGGATGTCGAAATTGAAGCTCTGAATTGATCATTGGAGATGGAATGTCGTGAAACCTTTGGTTATTTTAAGTGGATTCCAAGATTTCCGGATTTGCGAGAATTCCCCTTGGAGGGAAGGCGTGAAGCTTTTCTGCCTGTGTATTGGGGGATTGCCAGTGCAGTGTACTCGGTACTCGGTGCTCGGTGCTGTTGAAGAAGCTGGGGGTGAAGTACTCCATCCTTGGCGAGCATTGCATATGCTCGTTCAGAACCTTGCTGTATGTGATAGCAAAGGATGTATGTATGTATGTTGAAATGTCCAAGTGACTGACTTGTCAATTCTCCGATGTATGAATGGATGAAACTGTAGGTAGCCTGCAACTTAGGCTACAGTAGTTCGTGAATTGTCATTTCGCCCTGGGGCATTTGGTAGTCCGATCTCTTGACTGGTAACCTCTCACCGCAAGACACACTTTCATTCACCAGGCTAGTAACTTGTTCCTTGGATTTGACACTGACATCCCATGCAGGTGCCAGTTTCATTACCATGAAAGGAACATCTGGTCATGTCAGTATTACCCCGAATCATGGAGAACATGCATTGATGCGTTGTGGTTTCAACTAAGAGAGCAGACCGTCTACTGACACCGGCCAAGAGACTGGCACTTGAACGGCTCCAACGAAACAAATTCAAGCTTGACCGACAGGAACCTCTGGTCATGCATTTTTGTGGTGGATATACTGTGAGTGCACTTGTGCACTTGAAAAAAGAAATGCATTGATTGATGCATTGACGTGGTTTCAGCTTCTTGATAGCGAACGGATTGACGGACGATGAGCCCGATTTGAGCCGGCGGTGAGCTTTAAATTTTGATTTGCGATAGATGTTGATGTTTTGATTGCTTGATTGCTTGATTGTCGGGCGAAGATGTTACGGCGATACGAGTTGAGTTGAAGAAATTTTCTTCGTCGCTGAGGTTCGTTGGAGTCGCGTAAGTTAGTGTAATTTGTAGTTCCACAAGGTGTACTTTGGACGTAGTTGAGAGGTACAAGTGAGCGAGTTAGTTAGTCTGAACTCGCTGGAAGGTATAGCATGTAGTTACTGTAGAAGCCTTCCTTAACAGCCCTAAGGCTTCATTCCCTTCACTTGATTATAGGCTTTCGATCACTATCTTGCAAAATGAAAGTCAACTGTGCGCTCAGAAAAGTATGGTAATAGTATTGTTTGATTATTTATATTATTGCATATTTATGACTATCCTATCCTATCCAATCAATCATCCATTCATCGTTCATTCCATCCAGGGTATCTACAAATGCGTAAAACCGACAGCTGCCTCCCAATTCATACTGCAGACAGTAGAGTAAAACAATAACTATACTATAAAAACAAGATATACAACTGTATATAGGTATTAGACAAATAAGAAATGCATGCGTTCGCTCGCTTGCGTACAAAAAAATGATACTAGGGTTCTTTTGAAGTCCCATACTCCCACCAGACAACTTTTGGTTTACACAAAACAAATATCTATCGTTAACTCCTATCATCCTGATTGATTACAGTAAAAGACTCGTAAGTTGCATCCTCGCGTCTCTCTCCTTCGCCTCTCTTGAATAAGTGTTCAAAGGACTAATCGATCGGATTGGAGCCAATTGAATATGTTGCGGGCTAGGCGGCGCAGTTAATGGCTGTGCCACTGACCTTGGGGTCTCTTGTTGTGCACGCTCTAAGATATAATATTCATGTTGATGATGTGATTCGCGAGGTGGAGAGGGAGGTAGGGAGCTAGGGTATTGTTGCTCTGGGCGACGGTGTGGATAATTCACGGATGTATTCACAGCGCTTGGACCTCTGTTGTGATGAGAAGATTTTATCGAGTTGGAATGCACATGAGTATAGTACGATTCTCTTTCTGGCGAAGGATGACATAAAGATTGTGCTTCGAATTCCGATGCATAAGGTGAAGTGTTGGCTCTGAGTTGTAGTTGAGGAAGAGATGGTCTTCGTGCATCGAGACGATTGAATGAGAGAGGTGGAAGCTCGAGTGAAGGTGAGGATGCTACTCTAGGAGAGATGGAAAAGTTGGATCCAGTGTCTGAGATCAAGGAAGGAGCACCATCGAGTGATTCTGCTCGTGATGCTTCGGATACTGAGGGTGATGGAAGGGAAGCGTGGATTCTTCGTGATGAAAAGGTATCGATGTGGCAAGATGTGGGGTGGGAATAAGAATGAGCTGGTCGTGCGAAAGAAAGTGTTTCGGATTGTTCATTGAAGGAGTGTGAATGGGAAGAAGTTCTTCTACGAAGAACCAAGCGACGTCTTCGGTTCATGCTTCCATTCCACCAGTTCTTGACGGCGTTATCGCTTCGTCCTTGAAGTCTTCGAGCGATCTCAGCCCATCTCTTACCCATCTCTCCTACTAATCTTTCGATTTGAAGTCCTTCTTCGGGACTGATTGGATCGTGGTTTAAGGTTGGTTTAAGATTTTGGTGGTAACGTTCTCGACATTGCTTTGGTGATCTTGAGCCGATGAGTTGTGCTATTCTCACCCAGTTCAATGCTCCTTGTGTGTGAACAAGTTGTACCAAGTAGGTATCTTCAGCTGGCGACCAAGGCCCACGTCTATGAGATGATGACATGTTGAAGGATAGAGGACTGAGTAGTGAATGAAGATGAAGAGAAAGACAGAAAATCAAAACCAAAGTGAAGGCGATGATGATCAGTCGTTAGGTCGAGGGGTAAAGACGTTAGGATATAAGAAACTCCTAATCGGCCAACGGTCCTAAGATGGAATTGGAAGGTCCTGAAAATATGCCACAAGAGCGGTCAAGGTCTTCAAAGGATGTTGAAGAGCTCAAGGGCACGGCTGGGACGCGGACTGGGAAGTGGATGTTTTCGAAAAACACGAGGGATCAAGGGATGATATCGCCTGTGTACCTGAGCCCGGGACACGAACTAACGGGTGCTCAACGACTGAAAGTGTCCGCGACTACCCTTATTATAGAATCGTCGCTCGGTGCCGTACTTGGTCCTAGGACCTTTTTAAGAAAGATGTTACAAGTGGAGACAGCGCTAAAACTTGGAGGTGGATTTTGGTTTTGGGTGTTTTGCTTGATCTAGATTGTGATGGCAGCGGTGGCGAAGAGAGATTTCGATCTTCTTTGGATGAAGGGTGAACCTTTCAGTTGAAGCGGGAATTAAGGTAAAAGTTTAAGCCAAGAGAATCTGTGTGGTCAAGATTTAAATGGTTCGAAACGTAACGCTCTGATAGATGACTGAGTCGTGTAGATTAAGATCTTTCCTTTAAAAGAGATAGAAGATAATGCTAGTTATCGATCCACGTTATTGTCGGTCGATGATGTTTCGATGATGATGTTGAGGATGATGATGGATGAGGTTGAAGTTATATTTGAGAACAGGAAACCGATGAGATGATATGAAGATATTGAAATAGGAAAGTCAATATCGGGCTGGAGATGGGGCTTATGTCTTGTAAAGTATAGTCGGCGATGGGAAGTATGACAATGATATACATTGATTTTCCAGGTAAGCCAGGGACTGTAGGGATTCTTACGAAAAACATTTTATTGGCGGGCATGACAACGATCAAGGTCATAACAACAGGGGGTAGTGTGGATGCCCTTTCTGGGGAGGGGTGATCGATGTTTTGGTATGGATGCGTAGCACGGATCCTGTACAGCGTAGTTTCGATCGGATAAACTCAACGTAGGGAGATGTATTCTTTTTTTTTTGGGTCTCCTGGGATGAGAGATGGGAGTGTAGGGGTGGCGGTAAATGGTGTTTTTTTAAGCAAGTGTGTGTGGTGTGGGTATATGGGTAGCGGGGACGTGATCGATGTGTGTGTGTGGATGTTGTGCGATGGTCTGGGTGTAAGTGGGCGGGTTTTGAAATTTTTGTGGTAGGGGTGGTTGAAATATGAAGATGTATGAGATTGCCAGGTGTTGAGAGAGTGCTATAAAAATGTGGATGGTTTGTGCAAACCTAGGAGGATTCGTTTCGTCCCGCTCTTATTCTTGGGAAACCTAGGAATATTCTGAACCTAGGAAGTTTTTGGGTTCCTGGGTCTGAGATATATGTTTTGAGACATATCTCACCAGCTCACTAAGCCGCTCTAGGTGTCAAAAGAAGTAACATCATATATTGATGATGAATGATCCTCGTTGGCGTCGCGGGAAGGCTTCTGCGCATTACCCAATCTTTCGGGTCGTTCAACTTCCTTTCTGCCCCATTTTCATCTACTATTTAGCAATTTGGAGATGATAACCCATGTCTTCTATGTCTGCACATAGAATATGTAAATAGATGGGCTTGTATGAACTACACAGTTACATTGGTAATTTAGTCGGCAAAGTACGAAGTATCAAATGAGATGCGAGGAGTAAAATACGCACCGAAAGTACCGATACATTGCAATACAGAATTCATTTAAGCATGCATTGAGCTATTCTTCAAATAGAAATAAACAAACGATTTTTAAAACAAAATAAAGAAAATGGATAAAAAGCGATAGAGTAGAAGATCATGGACGAAAAGAACGAGGTGCGTAAGGGAGGAAAAAAGCAAAATTAACAGATTGATTTGGAGTTTATTGCCTAGCTTGTCTTAGTTAATTAACCTCTTACCGAGTTACCATGATCTTTAGGTGGACACTGGCACTTATACCCAGGAATTTTAGTGCTATGTATCTCTAAAAGGAGTTACCCGCGAAATGTGTCGCTAGATGCTAGGGTCTTTCTTAGGGTCTTTCTTAGGATCTTTCTTAGGATCTTTCTTAGGATCTCTCTTATTATGAAATTCGGTCGGTGTAACATCAAATAAAAATACCGTATCTAAAAATTGCATATCTCATCGCAGTAAATTTTGGCGAAAGCGGAGGAGGGGAGGGTTTAGAAATTTGGCGAGTACGGCGAGTACGGCGAATAGGTATGTATGTATTGTACGGAGTAAAGCGATGAAGGGGGAGGAGAATTGGCGAAGAGGAACAAAAAGCACTTACCATACGCTCGCCCGAAGATCCTTTCCATGCAAATGAGGTTAATTGCCAACTCTCTCTTTGAGCAGTTTGAGATCTAGGCGTAATCCGAAAGAGGACATTTTGAAGTGAAGGAAGGAATACATCAAATCAGATCTTTCTAGATCGAATCCCTCTAGATCCCTCTAGGTATAACTCTCGCAAATCTTACTATTTCTTCTAGAAATCCCACATCATTTGCTTCTATCTCATCTATCGCATGATTTGCCATGCCATGCCATGCCATCTGATAATTGTTTTATCTATCTGCCTACCAACAAATCTGACACCTGCACCAATTGATAATCATCCCAATAATGCAAATGTTTGAGATTTGTACAGTACAGTATCTAGGCACTGTAATAGATTCTTTCCAGGACCTTAAGCTGAGAGATGGCGTCAATGCAACGGGCTCGTAAAAGTGACGAATATCCATACCAAGCAAACACAGCACAGCACTGTGTTTATCTCTTCCAAAATCTCAAATCGTGATTCAAAACGCTTTGGGGTTGTGGTGGAACCGTCCCTGAAGAGAGCTGAAAAAAATGATAATTATGATTATGATTAGTAGCTATGCTAGGTTCTCGTGGTTTGATGAAGAGTACCAAGGTACAATTTCTTTAACCTTTTATCCATACCAATGAGTGGTAAATATGGTCATGTGCTGTGTATTTTTGTATCGTTTTTTTATTTTGAAAACGAAGAGTGGAGTGGAATTTTAGCTGACTGACTGTTGAGTGATCACGTTAGGTCATTATTGGAGAATGGTAGGGTAGGAGGGTTAGAGGTAGGTACCGGGTATGGTACTGGGTGGTCGGTGGTCGGTGTGGTCGGTGCTGCGAAACGAAAGCGAAATCCCCCCTTCATCAATGATGGAATTGTGGTCTTTTGGCCATGGCCTAACCACATGGAGTACCCGCTCATAAGATTTGAGGGTTAATAAAAGCTTCAGCCAACCGGACTAGCATCAATACGGAAATATAGAACGAGAGTATTGTGAATTCCTTCCTCTGGGACTGTCCGCTGCCATCTGGCCATGTGTGCCAATACCTTACTTATCTCATCTCATCTAGTTGGCAAAAACCCAAAAATATGACATATGAAAAATGGAATGTATTCATTTCAATACTTCCTTCCGCCATTGTTCTGGTACTTACCTATCGGCCAATAATCCGCTTTTCCACTCCTTCATAATTCCCCTTGCCCAATCATCATTCCGAATCCAAACCCAATTCCATTGTAGAAAGCCGAAAGATTGCACTCACCCGCACAAATATACACATAACGGACTTTAAAATATGCATATCAATTACCTATTTATTTGTTTGCGAGGGTACCTGGTTCCGTTGCCCTATCTTCCCTGCCATCAGCATGTCCTCCCTGTTTCTCTCTCTTCTCTTGGGTCATTTACCAGCCAGTACATGTAGATATTCTACTCTCGTAATACACAACCTACATTAACTTTCCCATTCATACATCATGGCACAACACCTAACCCCGAGCCGCTTTGTCTGTCCTATCCCATCCGCTATGTGCCTTTTTAAATATCCTTCGCTTGTATCCAGTGCGGCGCGTCCCTTCCAGCTTGTGTTTGTGCGGCCATGTGCTTTCGGACTAAGGTCTAAACGGTGCAATGTGATGTGATGTGATGGGATCTCACAGCGCAGCGCATCACATCACGCCGCCCACTCAGTCGGTACGGTAGGTACGGCAAGCCCTAGAAGATCACTGTTATGCCTTTTGTTCGCGAGGCTTTCAGGGCGTAAAAACGAGGTATATGCTTAATGCCATGCCTCTACACCTGAATATATGGTGCCGAGAACCTCAGTCCATATACTATTTATATACCTGTCAACAAAAGCCATCATATAGGATAATCGGATTATTGATTTTTGTAGGCAGATATATAGGATGTAAGAAATGGTTCATGCGCATCGTACTTCATTCTGTACCTGATATCATCTCGTATCATCCCATATCATTTCTCTCATATTGGTGAAATTCCACACACCTCACCTGACAAGACACGGGCCCAAATATCCTTCCTTTCTCCCTTTCCCTCAGACGCGGCCAGTTCGCCGGGATAGATATGTAGATAGATCAAGAACCCAGATGGCACAGCTTCAACCGGGATTCTTGTTTATCTGTCGGGATTTCAAGGTTCACAAAATCATATAAAATGAATGATTACAATGAACAATAGATGATAATTTGTTCAAGGATAATGATTTATGTAGCATTACTTTGTGGATCATTGATATAGGCTGGGAATTTAGACCGGGCTAGGAAAATAACAGCTACGGACACTTGCAGATCGCTTTTTGTTCCCGAGTGCCGAGAGTGGGAATCCCTCAACGCAGTGGTTTACAGAGTTTTATTTTAGAGAGACTTTTTGGGATATATGTTTTGACTATTTGGGTATCACTGATGCAATAATTAATCTATTATCCTTTATCTCTGTCCTGAGCTAACTAGATTGGATACAATGTGATCATTTTTGATCCAGATTTGCATATTTTAACTCTGCGATGCTCAAGCTTAATTTCAGATACTCCCGATTTGGCATTTATCGATTTATATAGTATTATAGATAAGCTACGTACATACAAATTAACTTTTCCCCTTCCCCATTGCAAACTATCGACTCTCGGCTCCTGGCTGTCTCCACTCGAGAAAGCCTTGATGTCATACAAAAGTAATCTGATGAAGCAAGGCTTGCGACAGAGACCAACAAAATACTTGTACAAGAGCCCTGCCCTTACCGATGATACCGAAGAACCTTACCTGCCTCCCTTGGATGTTGCATTGCTGTTGTACAAGATAGAGACAGACAGGTGTACATACTTCTTCTTCTGTATTCGCTGCACCTATCCGGATCCAGCAGTAAGGTTCACGGGTTGGATAGTTGTACCAGTACCTGCCGTGAACACGGTGAGGTGACGGTAAATAAATAAACATGGGGTTTTGTTCCGGCGTCTTACTTGTTTGAATATGTGATACAACCAGTAGTTTGTATTTTGAGTTTGTTTCTTGGGGGTTGGGGATGTTGAAATTGGATTAGGTCTTGTGAAAAACATACTGAGTTTTGATGCCCTAATTCTACTTGCCCTTGAAAATTATTCGGTAGATCAAATCCCCAGTCTAGCTGGAGATCTTAGACAAAAGATCAATGATCACCATGAGCTAAATGGATCTCAGCAACGATCATTTCCCAGCACCACTATAAATCACGAATCCGTCGATCAAGACATCCACGAAATTCCATCGCAACCCAAAATCAATAAACTGCCCTCCTCCCATAACCCGCCAAGCAGACTACCGGGGAAAGCACTTTCACCACCCTATCACCACAATGTTACACCGTATCAAAAGCTCTCAATACCACTCATCAAAGTCGTGCTCCTACTCGTCAAAACCACAACGTTGGATCCAACCCATCGGGTCTCCCCAAAATCTCCTATGTAAATCACCACCCAAAAGTCACTTGGGAAGGGAGCATTTGGTCGCCGATATCCCCCTGGTAAATACTTGGCGGCTGACAGGGGCCCTGCAATGCAGGCACTACTAACGTCGTGACTCGTGTTTTTATGCTGTGCTACTGTTCATACTGCTGTGAGCGGAATTGATATGTTTCATAATTTTTTCTGTTTTAACCATTGTTATGTTATCCGTCATTGGGATTGCTGCCGTCGCGACGGGCAGAGACTATTGGGGCATAGTAACGTGTACAGTATGGTGGTTCAAGAGGGTACAACAGGAGCGGCACGTTTATCGTCGTGAGGTTAAGTGATTTCTCGGGATTTCAGGGGGGTCATGTTTCTTGTTCCTTTCTACCGGTATTCAAGGAAAGCAAATCAATTCAATATTTCACCAATGGCTTTATACACGTACAGTATACGATCCGAATCCAATGTCCCAGGGAGATCTGGAACAACGATAATGGGGTTTTGATAGAGGGTGACAGTAGTTCAACGACAGAAAGCGGCAGAGTGCGGTACTATCCGTCGGGTTTGCGAAAAGGGACATTCGTGATGGACGAGATGATATTGATTGATTGATATTGATATTAAGGTTTTGGCTCAATGCTTGTTTATGATGATGATCGACTGAATCCAAAGATCTCAACGTAACAATGTTTCGGCATCTAGGCTCATATCACTCATATGTTCAGGCACTATTGCAGAAACCCAATATAATACGTGAAGAACAGACAGAAACGAGGTTGGTGTAGTTCTCAGTACGGATTATGTTATTACCCAGCGAAGGCCATTAAGGACGAGGATGCTGGATCTCACACCGAATGGGAATTCTACGGAAAGGTTCCGGTTGTTGATTACTACACTTTTCTTACTCCTTATGAAAACCTTATTAAGGTTATGGAGTATGCAAGAGATAAATGAAATTTTGTGGATGAAGTTTCAGAAAAAGCAAAAATTATATGATTGCGATTGGTGTACAAGGAATAGAAGAATGTTTTGGTTTGCTTTTCTTATGTCTTGTCTAATTTGTTCCCAGTGATCGAGAGTTCAGCCGTTGAAGAAACGGACACGGCATATACTTGGTAATGAGGCCAAGAGATTCATTCTTATTCATAGTATCTGAATAACATCCTTTTCATGTAATTCATCATGATTTACACCACGACACTATTCAAAGCGCTCAACCGTTTTCGGAAAATCCTCGGCAACCCCCCTCAATTGCCGCCTTCTTTGATTCTTCGCACAAGCTATCCAATCATCCCCTCTGGGCCACGCCATGATCTACGGGCACTTGCTTTCGCTTGAGGAGCTAGCTTTGCGTCGTTACGCTTGTGGGGTTGTCCCGTTTTGCACCTTGGATCATTGGAATGGAAATTGAAATTGATCATTGTCCAAGCTTAGTGGCTGAGGGTGGGAAGAAAAGAAAAGGGAAGTTAAGTGCCTTGATCCATGATGGAAACGAACACGAAGGGGCAAATGGGTACTGCCTAGCTTTCCGAGTAAATTAATGAGAAAACGTTCGTTAGTGTCCGGAATGTTAAAGAATTAGGGCGCGTAGTCGAACAGCTGTCAAAGATTAGGTTGGGTTGGATAGGGAAGGAGACTGGAGGGCCTAGATGGCCTAATGCTAATATGTTAGATAGCTTGCAGAAAGAAATTTGGAACTGCTTTCCATGCCTACCGAAATGGATGGCGTAGTAGAGGTGCGATTTGCTAGGAATAAAGTTGGATAGAGTTTATTTGATGGGGCGGGGAAGTTAAGGACGAATGATGCCGGCGACAAAAGACAGATGAAGAAAGTCACATCGGATTGTTTTTTCCCCTCTTCATACTCCCCCCTGCTAGACAGCGATTAATTACTTGATGTGGATAGGAGTCTCGAATCACGATACAAAAGGAGGTGTATTTGGGTTGGGTTCCCTGGTCGATCCGGGCCCTTGAAAATACCTGTGTGGGCATAAAATACCCATCTATATGTTGATCCTATTATTGATTTTGGGTATCTAAGAAAGGGTATTCGAGATAAAAGACTGGTATGTCACTCTTCTAGCTTTGTCTTGTGACGCTGTCTAGAATTCTGTCGCTCCAGCTCCATCATCTCCTGTATCTAATCAATGTGAGGAAAATTGGTTGTAGCTGTGCAAACAAATCTAGGCATCACAATTAATGAAACCCTTGATACATATATTGTTCAAGGATCTATGTGAGATGTGTATAATATTTTATGCCTCTCAGCAATAGATCCAGATACACGGATATGGGCGTCGGTATGTTATCCGCGAAGGAATGGAAATGGAAGCCCGAGAAAAAGCAAAAATCCGTTATGAAGCTATTTTTGGTAATAGTAATCATCATCCTTGTGAGAGATATGCGAGAGATGGGAATCCCATGGTAATGGCAACCCTTGCGAAGGGATCCTTTCACAGCTGTATCTGTTGGCGCATGTGGTGATGTTTGTGTGGTATCATGGTAAGTGAGGCTGATGTATAGAGAAGATTTTGGAGCATTCCAGGCTTGGAGATATCCCCTTGATATATCCTTTTGATATTAACCATGAAACTCTCGTACATGTGATGCTCAAACATTTCCCCTACAATATATCTCTTACAACTTTATCGCCAATAAGCTCAATCAATCCCAAGATCTGAAACCGATATCCATCTGTTGTACCTAAATAAAGAACTTCATGAAATATAAACATCATAACTTTGAAACTTCGTTTACACGAAACTCGGCATCGGATCGAAAATCTCAACGCGCGCTGGGCCAAAACTTCACGAGGCTTGCCCACTGCTCAGTCCGATTTTTGTATGTGGGGAGTGATATACACTGGATCTCCGTAAAATGAATTGAGGTTAAGATATGAAAGGGAATAACGGGGGCAGTATATTGATCTCCAGATCGGTAGTCTCGTCTTTTACCAGGGCTCCTTGAAAGCGTTTTAAAGAGATCTTCACTCTATGTATTACCCTCTGAACAAACAACGGGTATGAATCCATTCGCAAGCTTTTCCTTGGTTTGGAGGGGATCCTCTTGCCTCTTGTCATTCGCTCTGTGCTTCCCAGATAGAAATGAGATCTTTGCGTTACACTACTAAGATCATGAGCCGGGGAGATCATGAGCCGGGGCACCAAGATGAGTTATGCATCCTTGTTATGGGTTTTTCATGGTTTGCTGGGGCTGCTGGTATAGACTTTGTATGGTTCTAAGCCCTGACCTAGAAACGGCTCTTACCCTCTTACCCCTTGTCTAGCCCATAAGAAACCCTGGCCCTATAAGCTTACCCTTTTAGGCTAAAATTGGCGATTTCTTGAATGAGGCGTTGCGCAAAGAGGCGAGGAACAGATGAGGCTACCATGTATAGATTTCCTGATCATCATTATTAATAATCCCAAGAAAAAGAACTGACAAAGTTCAAGAATAACTTTTGAGATTAATGCTTTCGTTACTTGTCGCTTCCTTCATTATGGGTTAAGTATTCAGCTCATATGACACTTGGCACGTCTAATCCGTATAGATCTTCCTTCGCCCTAAAAACGATACTACACCATTGTTCATGCTTCATGCGAGATATTATCCATTTGGGAACCGGTGTGTAAAGAGTGGCTGAAGGGCTATTGTTTGTTAAATGTTAAATGCTGATCATGTTATTCTGCGTACATGGAGTTGCATATCCGTCTGCAAGTTTGCGCTGCCATGTCGAAGTTCCGACCGTTGCCCTCTATTTTCATTGGTTATCCCTTCACCTGCCTTGCTACCCACACTCCTCACAAGTAAGCATCCGGCCGAGTACAGTAGCAATGAAAGCCCTAAAAGGCCTAGAAGAGGGAAACAAAAACGGTATGGCGGAAGGATCTACAGTAAACTTTTGGACAGGAGGTCTCGCCAATCTACAATCTGGTAGGTGGCAGTAAGCATAACGGGTTCCAAAAATGTTGGTTGTTCTCTTCGGAGTATAAGCAATGCTACCACGAGGTGAAAGCCGACAATCCTATTCAATGCATACCTACCTGATGAGCCGCTGTGTTCCCAGGTATCCCCAAGAAGATGGATGGCTGGGCGGGATGAACTTTCTCATCTTTTCTTTCCCTTTTCCAAATTATTAAATACATCGCCGACTTTTATTATTTTGGCGTTTAAAACGGTAGAAAGAGCATATTATGGTTCAGGAACACGGTACGGTATTTTGCTACCTAAAAGATACCGGGATACTTTTAGTTGGTATCACTCATTGGTAGAATTTACGAGTGAATTGCGCAGTGATTAGTACATAGTCTCAAGATTTCCCGATCATTTCCAGTGATCAAATATCGATAATGTTGTCGCTCGAAAATATAGTATTCCTGCATTGCAACGCTACTTCGTGACTCCGACATTGTACATCTTCGTCCGAAAGTATCATTTCGGAATCGATTGATTGATACGCTTCAAGCAGAATCGTTGAGATCTGGGGGCTGTACATATTGAGACAGTACTATCAATCATTTTCATGCTTTTTATATTGAATGTGAGGTTTTGTAGTTTTCTATCGTTGAGGTATCGGGGACCTCTATAGGTACATACCGTGGCCGACAGCCTAGGTCGCCGACCTACACTAAGTACCAAAGATACATACAAATTCATCGACGGTGGTGCTACTCTATCCTGAATCCAAAGCTATAACGATTAATAGTTACCATGGTAGTGGAGATGATGTGCATCAACGTCTTTACCACCACGGGACTGCAAACAAGGGGAGTGATGATAAGAATGTGAGGCAAAGATACTTTCTAAGCATGTAATTCGTAATATTCGCAAAACAAGAATATCATTCTGTAATACCAGTCGCTTCTAAATCAAGATCTTGATCCGAAAGCCATCATAATTTCCAGGTAGCATTCCTTGACAAGTGTGGGACGGCCACGCAATTATCCTTATCTGTCTTCTCCAGCTCTACCTCTTGACAGTCCTCAATCCCTACCCCGTTGGCAAATTGCACCACGACGAAATCAATGGGCTTCTTCCCCACGACTACCATCGGAGCATGCCAGGTCCCCGCTCCATAAGTGACCGCCTGTGAACCATTCGCTAGGAAGGCCTGAATTCTATTCAGGTCCGGCAAACCGCGACCAGGAAGTTTTTCGCCATTACCATCGCTCGTATTCGACTGAGGAGAGAGAACGGGGACGGGTAATTTTTCATCAATCAATGACGGCGTTAAACTCGGTGCTACGACAACCAAGTAACATACATCATCTTGCTCCGAGGGTGATATCCCGAGAGGTATGAATGTTTGAGTCGTGAAAGGATGTCTTTCCAGTATGGTGACGGGAAATAAACCCTTGATATTGCTATCGTGAGACGGGAGAAGCGAACGAGATGAGCATACAAACATGTTCATGACTGCATTCGCGACCCGTTGACTAGGAGCACTCCCGTAGTAATCTTTCATATGCGTGACATCCAAGTACTTCAGTGCGGTACCTTGGTTCGCTTGTACCGAGTTTGTTGGTAAGGCCTTGATTGTTGATGATGGGATTACCTCTGGTGCGGGGTTTTGAATTACAGTGCCAAATATTGCGAAATCATCTTGGTTCAGTGGCTTTGTATGGATTATGTTTTCCTTAACACTTGCTTTGATAGTCAGAGGCATTTTCAACCCTCTTGGTGTATTAGCTTTGTGCTTGGTGTTTGCTGTCTTGTCCTCTAAGTATCATGGAAGATCAAAAGTGGATGAAATCAGGTGAATAGTTGTCACGTGATTTAGTTGCTGTCAACTCCTTCTCTTCAACTCGTCCTCCTCCTTTCTCCTTTCTTCATTTTCCACAGTCAACGACCTTCGATTTTTGGAGTAAAAGATCTAAATTGTAATAAATACATAGATTGAGGCAAGAATCGTTATCTTCATACGCCATATCGTAGTGATATTTAATATATGATCTAACGAGATTTTCAAATTCATCCTTCACCTTCTATCCCAATTTTCAAAGTTACTATTCTTGCCTTCATGGTCGCTTTATTCTCCACCTTGAGTGCTTCAAATCCATTAATAATGTCACGTTTCGTCCAGATATTCCTATTGTCCTATTATTCCCGCAGTATTCACTCCCAGTTTAAAATGACTTTTCAGGAATTTTTTATATTTCTATTGTCCCATTGAGATCAATTCACTCCTTTAGGGCAACAATCGCTAGCGAGGAAAACTTTCTATTGTTCTTTCAGAGAAGTCTCTGCAAAATGGGACAACTTTTCGCAGCATGGTCCGGAGCCCGCTCAAAATACAATCAATTGAATCATGGGGGGGAAATTCTTACCCCCGAGGGTATCAATAGATACAATGGATACAATAGGAAGTCCTTTCTGGTGGAATACCTTCAATCCCACAAAGTGCATTTGTCAATTTCTCAATCTTCTTGGATTCTTGGAGATCTTCTGCTGCAATCGTTCAAACGTACAATTCGAATATCTAACTCAAACGTATAATTCCAACATACCAATTTCTAAGCTTCGCGGCTCTCGATACCCAAGTACCCCATTTTAACAATGATTTTCACAAAGCCTGCAGAACGGTGCCTCAATAATATGAGCGAATCATCCGTAAAGAAAGCGTTGTGCATTGTGGCATCCCACATTTACTCTCAGGAGGGAGGAATACAGTGGTTGAATGATCAACTTGGTCAATTTGGTTGTACTGCAGATGGCTTGATTAACGAAGTCTTGACTGATCCGGAACTCACACAACATCCAATTGGACAAGATATCCATCACAGGTATCATCTTCACAATAATCCAAATGATGAACACGCTGCTGCATACCAAGCATCAGCTACTTCAACTGGCAGCAAGGACAAGGGTGCTCATCCACCCCAAAAATCTTTCGCTTATGCACCAATCCATCCTCAAGTACTTGTAGAGCAAGCGAAAATTTTACCCAGTGAAGACTACGTTGGAATCCCAAACTCAGACGAACAACCTGTCGAAGAACAAGCCCCTGAGGTATTTAGCCAATTGGGAACTTCTGAGAACTCTTCTACTGCTCATCCCTCGAGCGCAAAACAGATCTTGGCGACGTCATCAAACGCTACTCCTTTTCCATCACCAGCTCATACTCCTTGTTCATCCCCAGCTCCCTTGAACAAGCGAGGACACTCTAGCCATGACGATTCGGATAATGGAGAAGATACCAAGCCTACTCGACCACCAGCCAAGAAGCTGAAGAAATCCAACACCAAACCACCAACCTCAACTTCTTCCACTCCTACAACCACTACCTCCAATTCCTCCTCCCACAAACCCACAACCACATCTTCTACCCGCCGACCATCCTGGACGCCCGAGGAGACCGAGCAAGTCTACAAATGTCTCGTGGCACGACGAGAAAAAGAAGCTTCAATTCCCGGTCTCGTTAAACTCTACGATGCACCACTTTGGTTGCATATATCTGAAGCGCTTGCTGGTGTATATGGTATTCATCGTACACCTAGTGGGTGTAAAGCTAATTGGAATCGATCTGGTCGGGATAAATATGGATTTGATGAACGATCGGCTTTGAAGAGATCGGAGGCTTTGGCTACTAGTTTGCAGGTTTCTAAGAAGAATGTGAAGAATGTGAAGAAGAAGAAGAAGAAGAAGAAGAAGAAGAAGAGGGTTGTTGTTGAGGAGGAGGATGATTATGATGATGATGAATAGATGGCCGTGGATTTATTGGATTTCTCTTGTTTTTTCTTTGGTTGCTTTGTTTCTCTGGAGTTATCTGGTCATATAACAGTTACTTGGTTTCTTTGCTTCTTTTCTCCCCTTTCACAGTGGTGTTGGCTCATCATATGGTGTTTCTTGTTTTTCTTTGGCTCATCTCATAAAGTGGCTCTTTGGTCTTAATGACATGATGATTACATGTCTCTCAACATAGTAGTTGCTGTTCCAGTACTTATAGTCTTTACTTAACATTACAGTTTTGAAGATGTGTATACATATTGATTGCTTATGCTTCTATAGAGGCAATTACTTACCATATAATGGCAAAAAAATACGCTTCTATTATAATTTCGTTTTCTCGCCATAGTTCGAATTACATAATCTATATATCTTTACATCTCACTCTGATCCAATATCCTTACATACTACTTTCCTTATTAACTTTAAAATGATGAGAAGAACTTACTTTAGTGAGAAGCTTAAAACATAGCATATGGATATCTGGAATAAATCAAACCAAAAAGCTACGTCAACTTAAGCCAGCCTCATTCTTCCCAAAGCAAACAAAGCAGTTCAATCCGAGTTTGCCTAGAAGGAAAATAAGATGACGCAGTACGAAGTAAAGTACAAATATCAAATCTAAAAACATCTCTTATATTACACACTATATACTACATACTATACATTCCATACTATACACTACACACTATACATTACATATTACATATTCCACATTACTATACTACACTACTACACACTACTATACACTATACACTATACATTATACATTATACACTACATACTATATACTACATATTATACATTATACACTACATACTACACACTACATACTACACACTACACACTACATACTACACCAACAACTAAACCAAACCCAACATCAATAATATTCATCTTTATCTTCATCTTCATCTTCATCTCCATCAACTAAAGATACAAAAGCTATTAAATAAAAGAATAACTTTACATATATTTTAATTTCTAAATTTCTTTAAAAAACCCCAAAAACTTAATAAATATTTATAATATATATTTATAATAGAATTCTAGATATAAATTAATCAAAGAATAATTCCAATTAATAAATCTTTAAATAAAGAATTTAATATTTATTTTTAAATAAATATATATATATATACTTTTATTTGTTTATTAAATAAATAAATAGCTTTTATATTTTCATTCTATTATCACGAATCACAGATTAGATTATAGAAGTAATATAAGTATCGATAATTTAATTATTATTTACAAGAGGATCTTTATTATTTGTAATTAGAAACCCAGGATTTCTAAAATAAGTGTTCCAGACAACTATATTATATCAGAACAAATGTCCTAGATAATCAGATTGAAATAGGATAATAATCTTAAAGATTATGATATTCTAAAGTAGAGTTCCCAAAGGAAAGCTTTCAGGATAAGTATTTTAAGGAAAAGGAAGTTTTAGAATTAATTATATAATAAAGAGTTTTTAGAAATTGAAAAGTTTTTAGAATTCCAAAAGTTTTGAGGAGTTTTAAGGTTTTTAGAAGTTTCTTTCTTTTAATAATATATAATTAGAATAGTTTTATAATATAAAAACTTTGTATTCAATTTAGTTATTAAGTTTATTTATATTCTACTTGATCTAATAACGATTTCATTTTTAAATGAATATCAATGATAAAAGCTTTAATCTATAATTATCAATTAGACAAACCTCAAGCAGTCGCTGCCTCGACTAGATCGTTACATCTATGTCATCTCATCTTATTCCCTTCCCTTCTTAAACCTGAGTAATCAATTCTGAATCATTCTCTCCTTTTTTTATGTTTATCTTATATTATATTTTTATTTTTTATTCATTCATCGATTTATAATCCATTCATTCATTCATTCGAACTCAATTCAATTCCAACTCCTTTTTCTTCCCTTCTTCCCCTTCGTCTCACATTTAAACATATTTTCACAAAAGAAGAGAAGACCTAATAAACCCAAATACAAAGTACGGATTCCTTCCTAACCTCCTATTACATTTTTTTTCCGATCCACATCAATCCATTTCTCTTCCGCCTTTTCTCCCCTCACTCAAATCTTCTCAAACTTTCCCCCAAGTGCATTTTCTCCTCTACTCAATTCCCTCTCCACTCCCTTCAACGCATCAAATCCCGCCTTTTCCGCTGCTACAAAACTAGCTTTCCTTCCTGATTTCTTTCCACCTCCAGATGTTCTCCTGATATAAGATTTGATAAAGAATCTTACAAATAGGAATGTCAATGGAGTAAGATAAACTACATTAAGCCAAACGGCGAATGTTTGTCCACTAGTATCAATACAAGGAATTGTACGAGTTTCAGTGACATATGTGATTTTCGAATGTGATTTATGAGAAGCAATAGGTGCTTGAGCGGCTTCTGTAAAAGCTGGAGCGTTGACATTTTCGGCTAGACCTTCTTCACCAACTGCGCGGTAGAGAAGTTTTTTGATGAAAGCCGAGACACCTTCTGAGGTTGCGATTGCTGCGGCCGAAGTAGCGACTACTGATGCTGAAGACACAACAGAGGAGATGGTGGCTGGAATGGAAGGAACTTTAACAGATACTGTATAGGAGATAAAGGAATGAAGTGTAGCGTAGGTAGCTCCAACGAGGAATTGAATAATTTGCATTGTTGTTAGACTGCGCTTCAGAGCTTGTGGGATAGGTATGGAAAATGCTGTGAGTGTATAATAGGTATACTAAAGTAAAATGTTAGTCTTCATTGATATCAAAAATACCTTTAAACTTACCATCAATGTGTGAATTCCAGAATTAACAAATACAAACATCCAAATTGGTGGTGACATGAATCGAATTCCAGCCCACATACACATCATAGCACCAGCATGATGATAAGTTTGTAAAGTCGAACTTCTCTTTCCCTTTGCCAAAATAATGACGGTATCAAGAACCTCATAAAACTTGCTAAGATAGAAGAACCATCCATAAAATGCAAGACCCTCATTCCATAATCTACCCAAATCAGTAGAATCTGGAATTCCAGCGCTGGTCAATTTGAATTCGGTTGGTAATTCAGCGGTCCATTTTGACATGCTCGCATTATAAGTCATAGCATTATCCAAACCAGTAACTCCATGAACTTTGCATAAACTATCGACGGTACCTGTGAAACCAGCTGGACCCATGGGATTTGGAATTGATCTCTTGAGAGCTCCAAACATGCCAATAAAAGTCCATCCAGAGTATACGGCCAAGAAGATATTATGTGCCACGACGAAGACGAAGAAAGCCTTGGTTTTACTGATTGACCATGGTTTATTCCCAGCGCGTCTATTATAATGATTGACGAGTGTAACAGTTACTGCATAAACCGCTGCAATTGTGATTGGGACTCGAACATCGAGGGCGGCATTAAACCATGAGGGGTCGATCGCGAAAGGAGGGGCAGAAAGTGTTGAACCTGGTATCGGAGGGGGTAAAGTTTGAGGATCATTCTTTGGAGGAAATGTAAATAGAGAAGGTGAAGGTTTTGAGAAATGGACAGTTGCGGAAGCCATATTTGGTAGATTTCGATAGGATTTCGAGGATTTCGAGGGATTTTCGAGATGGGAACTAGAGTGAAGCCTTGCGATAGAAGACTATCTCCAAACTTTGATCTGATATTGAAAGGAATATCAAATTAGGAAAGGGCAGAAAACTGATACGTATAAAAGAAGCAGCCAGATCCGCCAAACTGGAAGAGGAGACTTATTGAATTATGAAGACTGTAGAAGATAATGAATCTCTTCTATTTGAGGTATGAAGGAGTTGTTGATAACAAAAAATGAAATGTATAAAAATTCCTAACCTTCCGTTTGGCATGCAATAAAAAAAGTTCTCGAAATGAAGAAACAAGCAGAAGAAGAGAGAGAAAAAACACCATAAACCCTTGTATATCCGAACCTCGGTTCTTTTTCTTGATTTTTGAATGTTGATTGTTGATTGTTGATTATTGCTAATATCAAGTGAAGCTTAAGAAAATACTGGTAAAGGGAAGGTTACTGTTACCATTACCGTTGTCTTCATCCAATTTCTCTGGTGTATTCTCCATTTCACAGCCTCGCTCCATCCAGAAAATCCCAACAATTTTTTGAATGCTCAGCTCACCAATGACCGACCATACGGAGGACAAGGAAAGAGCCAAGGCTTCTAGGATGAAGGTGGGTGAGCGTTAGATCTCTTCAGCCTTATTGAATGCACGCCCGGCCACCCACCCATATTAAATTACGCATTACATTTTAACCTTGGTATTTCCCAACCGAGAATTCTGGCTGGCTGGCTCATTGGCTCATGCGGTAAAACGGTTTATGATACATGATACATGATTCGTGATACACAACTGCTCATCTAGGTACCTAATCTTGCAGTGAGCCTTTGGAATGAATGCAGGGTCTGCATACTATTGCATACTATTGCATACTACATCTTCATCATACACACACATACATCCATCCAGCCAACCAACAGGAACACCAAGAACAGCCAACCAACAAGCTCCATTCATTCTTCATTCATTCCAATTCCTCAAAAGTAGGATAAACATCTTTCTCTTTCCCCATCGCTGTTTCCTCTTCCATCACCTCTCACCTCATCTCATCTCTCCTCCTCAAAGCACTCCCTCCCTCTATATATCCATCCCATCCATCCCATCCATCCCATCCATCCCATCCATCCCATCCATCCCATCCATCCCATCCATCCCATCCATCCCATCCATCCCATCCATCCGCACCCCGCAGACCCCCCATCCAAAAGCATCCCTCCTTCCTGGACCTCAAGGCTCAAGCACCCAAAAAAAACATGACAAGAGAAAAAACTAGAGAAAAGCGGGTCCAAAAGCCATCATTTGCCAAACTTTCTCTCAACAAAATGCACGATGAATCGGGGTTTGCCCAAATTGAGCTTGCTAATCCGAGATGAAGAATAATAGGGAAGGAGGACTTGGGATATTTTTTGGTAGTTTATACTCTGTGATATATCCGAGGCTAGTTGGGCTCCCTGATTTTATTCATGTGATGATTGATGATTGATGATTGATGATTGATGATAAATGAAATTGAGGAAGTTTGGTGGTTGGAATATTGTTGTTGCTGTATTTGCCATATATACCTATTAAGATCTCAATCTCAATCTCAATCTCAATCTCAACCAACAAAAGATTTAGACGATGACGAATATAAGTTATACTCCTGACAGGTCTGAGGTCACAGAAGATATCGTGTAACATTTGTTGCGTTATTGGCTTGACTACTTGAATACTACCACCGACCCCCTCCCCATTTTCCAACCCTAAATCCTGGGGTTAACCGTTAGCCCATACACGCACGCTAAGGCCGCCATAGAGCAGAGCTGCGTTTTCCATTCCATTCACATCTTTCATCTTTTGGTGTAAAGTAACCCCATCATTAAGACGAAGGAAGACCTTAAGGATGGAGATAAAAATAAAAATAAACAATAACGATAACAATTTTAAATGTATTCAGACCAAGTTTTTAAAATATAATAAAAATACTAGATGTAAAAGTGCGCTCGCCTTGAGCATTTTGAGATATTTAATTATGTCTATCTTAAAATATTATATTTAATATAATCAAATCAAAATATAATTATTATTAATACGTAGTATACTATCTTTCCTTAGTATTTGAAATTATATATATTAGTTCACAGTTAAGTTTTTATCCTTGTGGGTATAGTCAGTAACCTTGAATAGCCCTCTGTTTCCGTATATTCGCCTTCTATACCTATTAGAAGATGTACTATTCATCCTATACTTTTCCATGCTATGGTCTTTCATCCTATACCCCCTTTTCAGCCTTTCTCCCATATCATACCATTCCATCTCACAACCCATTTCTACTCCGTACAGCTTCATCAATCATCCCCATACCTCTTCTTCAATGCACTCTTCACTCTTCACTCCCTACTTCTACCCCCACCCGCTTGACTTCCCGTTGGACTGCGCTCGGGACTAAAGGGTAACCCCTCTCTCCTATCAAATTCATTTCCATGAGCTTGAATCTTATCATTAGCCGTTGCCGATTTATTACTTGCCGCTATCGCTCTCACTGCCTATTCACCATTATCATCAGCATTCATTATCTATTTCTTAACCCCAATCCATCATCCCAAACAACCACCCCCTCCCCCAATCCATCCAGAACCTCGAATGCAGGATAGGATGAACGAAATCTCATGTATAAGAGTAACTTCACTCTTTTCACTCTTCTCTCAAAATCTTACCATCTACCTACCATCACCACCACTATCAAAGAGAAAAGTACTCACAGCCATAACCGCCGTTGCTTGCCCATTTTTCTGTCGTCCTCCACCTCCACCTCCATTCCCATTCCCATTCCCACTCCCCTTCCCCCTCCCTAACCTACCCCCCTCACTCCTCCCGGAATTATCCCTCACAGCCGTAACAATACTACTACTCGAATAAGTTCTCTCAATGCCCCTTCCCAATCCCATCCCCATCCCCAACTGCTGTCTTAACCCCTTTTCACTTCCCCTCTCTATTTCCTTTTCTTTCTCAGAAGAACCACTTAGCATCGTATTCACATTCAAATTCGCACTACTCTTCACCTCCATAATTCGCGATTCCGGTTTAAGCTCAAATTTTGAATCTGCCAATCTCGGCTTTGCCACAAATTCATCTTCATTATTCATAACATACGAAAGACGACTCGCTTGAACTGACACCGTATTACTTTTCCGCAGGATATCTTTTGAGCTTTCGTGTAACAGGGATGGTAAATCATCACCTGCTTTAAATGAAAATCCTTTTCTGGAGTCGATAGAAGAGGATGCATGTTCATCATCTTGTAGGTTAACCCATGGTTGTGCGTGATCTGTCTCACTTGAAAAGGAAGGATCAATCTCTGGATCACTGGCTGGAATATCTGGGAGTGGTTTCTCTTTAATATCTGGGTGTTTTGGTGTACCATTCGGAGTAAGACCTTGACCTTCTGTAATAGCTGAGCGGGAACTAGTATCGTCTGATTCGGATGAAGAGTCGAATGCTACACCGAGTTCTTCAGTAGCATGTTGTCGCTCCAACGCATCGAGTTGTAATGATGTTAAGCGAGATCCTGGTTGGCTGTCTACTGCTGAGTAGAAACTTTCCGTGTCTTGAACTGAAGAATGTTCTCTACGTCGCGATCCTACTATTCTTTCCTGTTGTGTATCTTCTTCCTGTCTAGAGGCGCGACCTGGACTTCTAGGAGTTTCGGGAGCAGGTGGCGAGGTACTTTGCTGTGTGGGATCTATTTCCCATTCAGTTGTTGTATTCAAAGAGCCTATATATGTCAGTTGGACATTACAAAATCTGTTTTAAAGATAAAAACCAACATCTTCCAGAACTATAACGCGCGAAATTCTGTTTTATCTTCTCCATCCCATCCTCAAAAAAGTCCGCCGCTCTTCTAGCTCCATGAATAACACTTTTCGAACGCGCCATCGTAACATTTTCCATTCCCCCCTCCGTTTTCGAGAGAAGAATTTCCAGATTCTTCATTTCCTTTTGATAATCTTTTTCTTTCGCCTTCCATCTACAATTATCACAAAAATCAGTACTTCTTACCCAACATTCACTACTAACTCTATCGAACATAAACATACTGTTCAGCCATGACATCAAACTCCCTAATATCCTTCGTATGCCTCGCCTTAATATCATCAATTTCACCATCCTTCCTCGCCAACTCCTCTTCCAAATCATTATACGCCTCCAAAACATGTACGATACACGTATTATATTCCACAGGCACTGGCTCCATTAAATTCCTCGTCATCATAACCACTTTTAATGTCTCCGCCATCTGACTTCCAGACGGTTTATGATATACATTTTCGGGAATATTGACATGTTGAAATGTAAAGGTATCAGAAGTATGTAGATTTGCCGTACTGGAAGAGCGAAATCCCATATAAGAGGATACGCGTGAAGCGGGGCGGATTGATTTCATGGTTTCTTCAGCTTCATGAGGATCTTCGGAACGATCATTTGGGGTGGATTGAACTGGTGTTCTTGTCCTTGTAAAGACAGGTCGGAGCCATTGGTCCATTTTGATTTTTGAGATTCACCGTGATTCAGGTGATTCATAAAGTGGTTCGATCTTTAAAAGAGATATTCTCATTCAGATGATGTGGTGGTAATAGATAGAAAGAGTCATAAAACTGAAAGAAGAAGGAACAAACATGGCCGTACTTATAAGAACGACATCGAGTCGGGCGGAAACCCGATCGTATTGTTTTTGAGATCACTGTACCAGAATATGCCAAGTCCTGTAAAATGTAAAATCAACATCTATCGTTCCTGAAGGTCAATAGAATTTAGCAACTGTGGTAGTGAATGTTCAACTCCTGGATATTGACTAAATCCATTTGTAGTTTGTGTTGTGCAAAATTCAGACAAGTAGAAATCGTTGGTACCACACAATCTTGATTCATCACTGAGTCTCTGTATTCATTATCAGTAAACTATTCACAGTTTCATAGAGGCACCAATGCACAAGCTCTGATATGATCTTGACTAGCGATTTTGCACCTAAGAAGCATTTGAGAGGCCATGATAAATAATATAAATAGACCGTGAGCTTAACTTGCTTTTATGAAACTTTGCTGCTTACTATGTGCAGAAAATAATGGTATCATTTCCATTTCACTTCCATTTCCATTCCCGATAACTCCACAAAGTATCCATATCCCAAGGTAATACGCTCCCCTATCGACCGCAAAGAAATATGTCACTAACTGAATTTATAACTCCCGAAATCTAGTGGAATAAATCCTCGGCTTTCTGCCTCCTTCCACCCCTTCCAACTATCCTCTCTGAAAATAGCTCTTTCCCAGCATTTCCACCCCCTGAACGAGAAGGAAATAATTCCTTCATGGTTGAATTATCTGATGCCAAGCCTTTAATAGAGAATCCAGTAGGAACAGGTTTTGCAGTTCCACGAATGCTAAAGCCTTGTGACTGCTGAGGCTGTTCTGATGTTATTCTTTCTGCCAAGGATAATTTGCTAGAAGGACGAACATCTGAACTTCCATCAAGGAATGGGACAGGCATTCTATTTGCGAAAAGATCTGCTGTTTCGTCCGTAGCATCGAGAGCACCGGATTTACGATGACTCGTACCTACTTTGCTCGGGAAGAGTTCCTTTGTAGCAGAACTTTCTCTGCGGAGACGAGCCTTAATAGCCTGAGCTTTTGACCTATTTTCTACACCTGCTATGTCTCGACGTCGTCTGTTATAGTCTCTCGCTCTGTCCTCGTTTCTCATGGGTGATGCACTTCGATCTCGTAATCTCCCATCATTTCCACCCCTATCTGGAAATAGTTCTCGCAAACTAGAACCTCGTCGATTGGCAGATCTCTCCCTAAAGTCACTTCCAGATGAACCAGATGCTGATCGACCATGGCGTCTCCCTGCTCTAGTCGCCAAAGCTGTTTCATCATCATCGTAAAGACTTGCATCAAAACCCGCTTCCTCATCTCCACGTTGTCTATTGCGTTGTTCTCTTTCATCATAACGCTGGCTTCTATACCCACCGTCATCTCGGTCCCGATATCTTCGCCCACCCTCACGATTTCTACGCTCTGCAGGATCGTGCTCCGGGTTGAAAAGGTAGAAACGACTCCTTTCTCGAGCTCCTCTTTGTTTACGATCTCCAACAACCGCAAGGCGAACTTGTAAGCTTATTTTAGGATTGTCCGGGAAAGGGTTGGCAGGGAACGATTGTAAAATAGGAAGTTGTGAAACATCCTCAGGAAGTTCTTGTGCCGAGAATTTTCGAAGAGCTGTCTCAGCAATATCATCGCTTCCATACACTAAATTTAGTGAAGAATCATCAATCCATTCTACTCGTGTAATATGCTCGTCGTAATAGTGATGTGCAAACTTCTTTACATCATCGGTGGTGAGATTGTCCAAGCCACGTATATGTACTTTTTCTGGAGTAGGTTTTTCTGCATCTGGACCGGAGCTATCATTTGGAGCTGATGTATCGTTTTGTGCTTGAGTAGGTTCATCTGGCTATATCAGAGATAAGTTAGCAATGGTAGGTAAGATGAGAGGTGAAACGCGTCCTGGGGACATTCAAATATGACATTTGGATGTTCCACTGGGCTAAAGATCGAATTGCTCACAATTAATTCAATGTCTACCATATCTGGAATAGGCAAATCCTCAATGACTCCAACATCGATATCCATATCAATATCCATGTCCGTCGCCATATTGAAATAAGAGAGTGTCGCAGACGTGGTACGGTTCTAGGTATTGATTGTTGTAGATGCTGGTTCTTGAGCCTATCTCGAGTGTTTGAGGTGTATCCTTCTCAGCTTTGGATTGATCAATCTGGGTAGTTGATTCCAAGTGATTAATGTGTTTGCTGTTAATTGCAGATTCGTCTTTGTCGCGAGGATGTAGCTAGATTGAGAGTCGTGGATACAGATTATCCTTTTATGTAAAGAAAGTTTAAAAACCCAAGAAGATATTTTAAATATGCGCGCAAGAAAGACTTTTGAATGATTTAGGAGGAATTAAATATTTGTTCAGATATCAAAATAAGTTTGTTGTGAATTAAAAGATATGACATACTCGAATACCTAGCACTAGCTTACGAAGGTATTCTTCAGAAGGCGCGGAGTGGGGTCGGAATTAAATTTGACCGTGTATTATGAACTTATTCCTATAAAGACAAACAATAACACTATCTATTTATACCTCTACATAAATAAAAATAAGATCTCATCATAAAATAAACTATAAAACAATAAATCACAAAAGAAAGCATTCAAACACCAAACCCGAGTAACCATTAGGATATTAAGGAACAGCATCGACCCAAAAGGAACCCATGAACCTATTATATTCTTCCCCTTCTCATTCCTAGCAAGTCGTGTTTTGCTTAATGCATGTAAGATTACCTCTCTTGAATCACACACAGACTGGAATTAGGAAGGTTAATTCGTATGTTTTATGTGTCTATATATGTCCGTGTATAAGGATGTTCATAACTCTTCTGAGTTGAGTATATGAGGCTAGGTAAGATTACCTTCATCGCTAATTACTAATTATTTCTAACCCATCTTTAACCATTCCCCGACCCCCTTCCGCGCCATGTTCCTCCTACCCGTCTCTCAAAAATAATACACATATTTCCCCTCCTCCTCCTGTTCCTGTTCCTGTTCCTCATAATCATCTATACACCCAATTCCCCACCCAAAACACAACCAACAACGCACCAACTCTCCACCTCAAATCCGTACTCAGACCCCTCACGATTCTATTTCTCCAGTACCTAACACCCGTTTCATTCTCATTCCCATTTCCATTTCTGTTTGCACTCCTACTTCCCTCCCCACCACCACTCCAACCTCCCAGCCTAAAATATTTACTTGGAGTATCCTCCTCATCTCCGCCTTCATCCATCGGTAATAATCCTAATCCCAGTTTCCCCATTCCCACACCACCAACCTCATCACCCAAAAGATATTTTTCCTGTCCCCCTACACCCAGCCCAGCACTTCCATTTCCACACCCACTTCCCCCTCCCATCCCAAAACATCCATTAACAAACCATCCCACAATCCTCTCCGTAGCCCCCTGCACTCTCCAAGCCACCCAACCAAAAACCACCGTAAGTAATGCCGCCTCAGTCCACCTCCCCCAAACCCCCAATCGCAATAACCCTTTCAAATCCGCCGCCATCCAAATATGACTCTGCAGTACAAACGTTTCCAGCGAGCATCTCCCCAACCACGCAAAAATCACTGAATGATAATTCCTCAGCATTCTACTCCCATTCCTCAACGCAATGAAAGACAGAATAGGGACTAAGGAAATATAAGGATGCCACCAGAGGTAATCTTCCTTATCGGGAGATCTTTTGGTTAAGAGACGGAAACCCGGGAGGAGAATAAGTGAGGCTATTATGGAGGCTGTCCTGAAGAAAGTAGGATGACGAGCTATTGGTCGAAGAAGGGTATCGATTTTAGATGTACAACTTATGGAGGCGGATTTGATGCGTGTGAGACGTAAGTAAAGAATTGCTGTTATCATGCCGATGTAAACGATGAACATATCCATCCCAGCACGATATCTCCATTCTTTCATATTCCATGAAATCGCACATGAATACTTGAGGATAAAAGCTAGAACTTCCAGAACTCCAGGGACTTTTAAAAAAGCTGTTGTAAGAATAGCTGAAATGAAGATTTTCCCCAACAAGAATCCGGTACTGGAATTGCCCTCGTGTCTTATTTTCAAGGTAAAGTAAACTACCAAGAACCAGAAACTGACAAGTGGAACAAAATAATGAGCCATATAATCAGTTCTCATCATATAAGACAAGGCACAAGTTAATAGATTGAGCCGAAGCAAAACACTAGCGACTCTTTTGAAAGAATAATCTTCTCTCTTCAGAAAATACATAGTATGTCCATATCCCGTCATGAAAAGATAACCAGCAACAAGATTTCGCATAATCTCAAATAACCATAGAGTCTTTGATCCATGGGTATAATGATAAATGAGAATCAAAAATTGCATCCATCCTTTCCATTCATCAGTTTGATCTCTCGAAAGAAATCCATAATCGAGAGCATGAGCTCCAATTTCATGAATTCCCTTGGAAGGACTCGAATGGGTGGTCGTCCTAATAGAAAGAAGACCAATGACAAGTACGACGGAAGAAGCAATAAGAAATTCTCTCCTATGAAATTGCTTTTGCTCTTTCTCAAATAATTGAGTCCGATCCGCATAATAGCAATAGCAAATTACTAAAGCAAAAGTCATAAAAGCACCAAGGACCTCTGATTGAGGTAAAAACTTTCCAACTCGTAAGACATGCTTACGACGTATCAAAAAGATAATAGGAAGTAATATCATCCCAACCAAAATGATAAGCCACTGAATAACATTTGGTTGTCGATAATTATTACAACAAGTTCGTTCGTAAGGATAACCTCGTTCTGCTGCATCCGCATTACAACGAAGATTAAGTAGAACATCTGCTTTTCGATGAGCTACATTATCAACCACATGCAATCCACTTTCTTCATATCCTCCACGACCGGCCCAAGTCATAAGTGAAAAACTCCAAACGATATCGGCTTCTGAATGTGCAGAAACCTGTTGTAAATAGTCGTTCATTTGATCAATCTTTTCCGGTGTAATAGTTTCTTCTCGTGATGGTGATAAAGCTTGATACCATGGTACCTGAACTGGAGCTAATAGTAAGAAATTTGGAGATTTCTTCCTCGAAAGAAATGGCTGTGATGCTGAGGTTTTTACAGCATGTTCCCCTCCATCATGATCCATAAAAGGAATAGCATGTTCAATCGAATCCCTAAAATCCTTGAAGAAATTCTCCTGTCCATGTCTCGCATACCATAAACCTGGAGCACCCAACAATATCAAACCAGCACTCTCATCCATCTCTGAACCTTGGGCCGGATTTGCATTGAATTTATTTAATTCTCGATCCAGTCCTGTAGAATTCAAATAGGGATCCCAAATAAATTGAACCGTAACACCTGAAGAACTAAACTCCAAATCTTTATGTTTCTCCTCCAACTCCAAATGTTCCTTGATTCCTTCTTCTGCCCTTTCTTGATCCATCTTCTTTGCAACTGCCCAGAAGATTTGTCGCGTGGTGGAATCCCCAATGAAAACTAATCTGCGATCCTTGAAACATTCTTGTATATCTTTTTGCTTGTATTCATACATCATACATCCTGGGGGTTGCCAATTTTGAAAAGGATTCCGAGAACTCCATCTTGGACCTGGATCAAGCCATTGACCTTTATTGAGTAGAGCACCACATTTGTATGGGTCAGAGATATCTGTAAATTGATTGTTAGTTGTCTGTTTAGAGAATATAGTTGTGCGGAGGGGAAAGAGGGGTAGTTACCTATCCAGCAATACCTATAGACAACACAAATAATGATAAATGAAAGTAAAACCTGAAAACCCTTCTCAATTACCATGGTAAATCGATTTGACGCAGAAGGAATTGTCAATCTAAGACGAGACATCTTTGCGCAATAATCCAGCCCTTCTCTCAGCCTATTATCTCATCTGCTCCATGCGAATATTGCTCTCTCGTTCACCAATTCGACTCGTATGTGAACAAAGCAATGTGGACTCAAGCTCAATTCGAATACAACAACAAGCCGATAATTCTAATTATCAATCAAGTGAGTGATATCGTATGCGAGCACCTCTCACTAGTTCAATGAAATTCATTCAACATAAAATCGTCCTTAAGCTCAAGTAGCCTTCATTACCTTTCTTCCTTGGATATTTGCGACAGCAATATGACCGTAACAATGACATCAAGAAAGAATACTCAACCACCACACCAAATAGGAAAGAAGAAAAGGAAGAAAGCGAACATAAACATAAACATAGTAACTTCTAAATGCAGAATCAATTACCTAGTATATTTATTCATTTGTCAAAGCCATGGTAGGTAGACCTTAACATCCCATACCAATCTTTGGCCAAGTCTTGGCTTTCTTATCAAAATCCAAAGCGGCCTTACTCATCCTTGTATTGATGAAAACAGGGTATCAATCAGCGAATGCGTATTTATTTACATGCTACAGTATTTACTATTGACTATTACTATATCTACCATTTACCACCTACCTAGTAGCTATCTCTCTTCTCCTCACAAAACCTCAAAGTAATACCAGAAATCCATAGAAATAGATATATATATATATATATATATCCACACAAACCCATCCTTTCCTCAATTACGATACCTATCTACTACCTAGGTGTGCAAAACTCATGATCAAACAGTACCTACATCTCACCCACTAATCCACGGTCCAAAAATGCCAATACGGATATATGGCACATGGATCATACAACCATCAAACGCCAAGACTATTTATTTCTTGCCATATTCTCGGTATAGCATTTTTCTGCTCGGAGCTCTTACTTAATTGTGATAAAACAAGACTAAGTAGATACCTATTTATTACATCCCGTATTATCTCCGTCCCCAAATTCCGGAAACCCGGCCTTTCATTTCTCCGACCCAACCATTCTAAAAAAATTCTTTCAGTAATTCAAATTCAAATTTAAATTCAACATCCATCCATCCCTATACAATCAAGCAAACGCAACAGTCTGTATGAGTTCACTCTACCAATCATTGATACTTATCTAGTACAATCTAGTCAAATCTAGTCACTCACCACACACTTAATCACTGGATTGGTAAATATGGTGAATACAGTAAGCTCTTGGAAAGAGAATCTTTTGGATTCTACTGCTCGATCTCCACCTGTCTTTCATCATTAGTCGGCATTGAATATGTATACGCATATGTACATATATATCAATCAAGGATACACAGTACTTCTATCTCATCTCATCTCCTCCCATCCTCCCCTCTTTCTCTTTCCTTCCCCTCCCTCATCACCCTCCCCCCAATCCTCCTCGTCCAAAAGAAAAAGTCTTCCACCTCGCTCGACTAGCTTCTCCCCAAAGCCGGTCTTGAGCTGGATACCCAACTCCTGATTATCCCTCTTCTGAGGAATAATCAAAGAGTTGTGCGTAAGAGACGAGAAAAAATAACAACGACCTTTGAGTGCGGACTCTCCTTGTGTTGCTATAGGAGATGCTTTTTTTCTTTTCGCAATTTGTTGTTGGGACATGCGCTTTTATGGAGTATGGGGTGGGGGAATTAGATGGGAAAAGGGAAGGAGGGGAGGGAGGAATTAGGGTTTGTTTTAGGGAGAGTATAAGTTAGAAGTCAGGAGTTGGAATTTTATCGTCATTCTTGTGCAAATTCGCTCATTATCTACTTTTGAAATATGTACCTCTGTACCTCTATAGCTCTGTGTGTCATCGATCGATTATCCTCGTCCCTCTTTTAAGTCAACATTCCATGTGAGAACTCTTTATTGCCAGTCAAAGTAAAGCCAACTACAGATCACCAATACCACCATATACATCACAGTCACATTATTTTGTCCATCCTCCATCCTTCACTCTCCGCTCCCCATTCCCCACAACCTAACAACTCCACCTCCATCTACCTCTTACCTCCCACCCCCAAACTTAAACCTCCTCTTCACCATGTCTCCACCGTCCCTTCCCAAAGCCATCTTCCTCAATTCCCTCTTACCTTCTCTCTTCCCACTCTCCACCGGATTCGGTCCATTCAACGTAGTATTATACGTACTATCAGCGGGCAAAACCTCAAACTGAACCGTCTTATTACCCTCCCTATAGGTACTCTTCTCAGTGCCCACCGTCAAATAATTTTTATTAGCATCAATACTAATCAAACCCGTTTCGATATCCACTCGTCCGATAACTCGTTGGAAGATTTCGAGAGCGGCAAGAGGTTGGTAGAAGGGGACTTCGTGGCCGGATTCGTAGATGCGTGAGAAGGAGAAGAGACCGGATTGTTTTACTTGGCCATGTACGACTGAGTCGGATGTGCTGATGTTGGTGTAGCCTGCCTTGGAGAAGTTGGGCGCGTTTACTTCTTGCGATACTACTTCGCCGCCTAGCCAGTTGCAGCTGGAGATCTGGTTAGTAGGGTAGGAGGTGTGATGTTAGCTTGGTTGGAAGACTTACTTGTAATCAGCATCACCTGCCATCATAGCGACGTATACTCCTTGGGTGAGCAGGGCTCTAACTGCCTCGATGGTACCAGCTTCCCGGCTAATAGAGATTAGTAACTTTCATAGTGTTTAAGTCTTTGACTCTACTTACTTATCATCACCGGTAGAACGAAAAGCAGTTCCAACCGCATTTGAAGAAGCAGAGTAATTCTGGAAGGCACCAATAGCAGCTTGTACTTCGGGTGTATTGAGGTAAGAAGCGTAATAACTATATGGGAAAGGATCTGGTGTTAATTCTCTCACATCAAGTTCATCTCTTCGTGAATAAGTATCATAGATAACTTCTACGAGATTAGCACAGAAATTATCTGCGGCGGCACAAATCTCATTGATACCTCTGGCCGCACAATCCTTAATCTGATCGACGCAATTTCCAGCACCGTATAGGTTATTGTACAATTCAGCTTCCACGGTTGCGTTAAAGGGGGAATAATCGTAGGTGTTACCAGGTGAAACGGTGAAGTTATAGTATGCTTGATATTGAATCAATGGATCATACCAACCATTACCAATAAGAACAGATTCGAGAGAAATTTGAAGAGCACCCGAGATATTCTTGGCGTTTTGAGTTTCGATGTACTCATTATAGATAGGACCATAATGACCACCATAACTCTCAGTCGCAAAGTGAAATCCATTTCGAGAGTATTCAGGGAAAGCACCCATAAATCCTTGCAATGTTTTCCACTGTGATATCATCAGTAAACCTCTTTGAGAGAACCATAGATAAACCTACAAAGCCTGGAGCTCCAGCATCCGTAGAATTAACCGTCAGACTTTCATTCGCATAACTATAAGTTCCACATCTCCAATTCTGTGCATAATCCGGACAAGTAGCATCGGGTAATGTGACGATTAAACCCGAACTAGGATCAACATATCCATTTACAGGAATCGAGTATGAGAGACCGACCTAGGAAATATCAGTTATGCATTCGAGCTCAAGATTTTACCAGCCCATGAGCCCATGAGCATGTGGTAAATATCCATCAAAGTCATCCAATGAATCCTAAACCCCCAAAAATAAACCCTACATACCTGAGCTGGTTGATCAATATAAAGCATATTGCTAACATTATTCCAACTATAAGGATTATTAACCACATTTCCATCGGCATCAATAGAACACGGTCCATTCTCCTCAAACAATCCAATCATAGACGATGAACCAGGTCCGCCATTAATCCATACAGTCAATGGAGCTTCTGATGCATTTCCATTACGGGTTTCGAAGAACCACCTATTGAGATATTAGCACATCTGTACGAGTCCTAGGGGTATGATGTAAAGGATAGATGAAAGAAGAATGAAAGGATTCCAGCCAAAAGGTCATTGTGATCAAGAATGACCTTGACAAATGCAAGCTTATCCATCTTCACCTCCTCAACCCTCCAAAGAAACTCAACAAAACATAATCTTACCAAAAAATGTGTTGCCCCTCCTCAATATCCACATAACCACTCAAACTCTTCACCCCCTCCTGCGACTCACAAATCCCGCTCGGAACCTCTTTATACCTAACCTGTAAATCCAAATATCCCGTCGTAGTAGTGAGATCAGTAGGAGCTTTGACGAATTGAGATCGTGCCGTGGCTGCTACGGTGAGGAGTAGGGGGATGCGAAGTTTGGAATACATGATGAGGTGTATTTGTGAGATGGGAAGAAGAGGAAGAGGAAGGAGAAGGAGAGAAGACGAAAGAGATGTATTATAACTCAACGGCTACGGCATATGTACCTGCCTACCTAGTATGTATCTTAATCAATTATACTTTTGCATCAGTAAAAAAATGAACGAGGGACAAGGTTGGTTGTATAAGCGATGGGGCGGCGAGTTCCTGCATTTATTTCACCATTTCATCATTTTATTCACACAGCACAGCCATCCTTATTTCACATTTCCCTTCAATTGCAAGCACTTCACTTCACTTCATCCATCAAACTTTCACAGCTCGCTCATCTCTAGACTCCCATCCCCATCAACCCATCAACGCATCTCCCACCCGCGGGCCTACTCTCGTACTCTCCTACATTAATCCTACATTTCTCCCTCCTCTTATAAAATCCCCATAATCCACAATCCACAATCCAAAAACCACCGAATCCAAAAACCCTCATCATCAAATCTATCATCAATCAAACATCTCAAAAAGGCAGGTAGGTAGGTACTCGAGGTACCATTCAATATCAACATTCCCACTCAGCGCTCCAGCGCTCCACCTAGACAGTAAAACACATACCAATCATCCATCATCCATCATCCATCCATCGCAACCATAAGAAAGAAAAAAAAGGCGGATTTATTTCCGAAAACATTGGTAGTACCGTATATCTTACACGTGACACTACAGAGTAGGATTTACCAACCCAACCACCGGTTTTTAACTGTACGGTACTATAAAGTCAATATTATTAAAGGGGATTAATTGATGAGAGAAATATCTGGGTAAGTAAAGTTATGTATATCCCTGAGATCTCGCTCATCAATCAATAATTTACTCATCTGATTCAGATTACCTCATTAGAGGTATTAAGTTTGTCAAGAAATTAGTTATCGATTGATAGCCTTTCCTAGTAAGGGGAGGTCAGATCCTATATAGGAATAATGATGTGGATTCCCAAAATGAAGCTATTCCCATTCAATATCCCGAGGTTACTACGAAGTGGAGGTAAGAAATATAATTTCTTGGTTAACTAACGCGTTTCTTATGAAAAGGGAATTAGTTATCTCTCAAAAAAGCATAATAGAGTTATAAAAATGGATTAGTGGAAATTTTGGTAACGTCGTTTTTGTTCATTCTGGTCTTGGGCTTTCAGTATCATATTCCACCACATTCAATTGATCAACGATATTAGAAGATAATCTAATAAAAAATATTGCAAAATCATCCTTCAATCTCCTCTTTTAAACACATCAATTTTCGTACAAATGCCTCCACCCGTTATTCCACAATTGAGCTACAAAGATGAAGGGGTCGGAGACCTCAAGACCGTCCGTCTGTCTGTTTATAAAACAAATATCAATATCATCTATTTCAAATTACTCTTAATTATCTTCTTTTATAATTATAAATACTATTATAAAAGTTCTTTAAAATGAAGATAAATATAAATACAAATATTATTAAAAACAATATTAAATAAGTCTTTTTAAATATATTAATTTAATACATAAAACAATTAAAACAATAATAAATTTAACCAAAAATCTTTTAATATTTTATAAAATATAATTATAAAAATAATATTAATTATAAAAGTTTTGGTATTTGAAATCTGAAAAGAATTAAAGTTTTTTTATATTTAATAAATTTTAATTAAAAATTTTTATAATAATATATAAAAAAAAATTATATTGATAATTAAAGTCGATAATAATAATAATAATAATAATAATAATAATAATAATAATAATAATAATATAAGCAATAAATAATAAAAGTATATCCTCAAAATCGATTATTTTAAAAATTATAAAAATCAAATGAATATTACTGAAATATTTTTCTAATATTGAAGATTAGTATTATTCATCATTTTACTATATTAAATTGATAGTAGTGTGGTAAGCGAGACTGCACTAAAATAACTCTCATGTTAGAGATAGCTAGCTCAATTGATAAGCTAATACCTCTATTGAAAGAAATCAATCCTATTACTCTACTATAAGGTCTTACCGTCCAATATCTCATCAAGAAAGTTTCATTCATCATACCACTTCAATTATCAATTCATATAAATATTGATCAGATTAATCTATCCATGTTATCCGCTCCCTGTTTACTGTAATACAATCCAAATGAAAAGTCCTATCCCATCCATTCATCCCAATCCGATCCTCATCGTAATAAATACAATTTGCCTCATCCCTCATTCTCATCCATGCATATTCTAATCTATGATATCTCATATCTATAGAGTGTAATCATTCAACCATTTGTTAAGGAAATCTAATGAAGCTTCTGGCTGATCCATTGGAACCATGTGTCCAGCACCAAAGATACGTGCAAAAGTAAAGTTACCACTGCTCTTGAAGGTACCAGTTTTGTGACCATTCTCCAATTGAAGATCCTTGGTCTTAGCGGCATTGAATCCCTTTTGTCCAGGCCATTCAAGAGCTTCAGTCCATGCTTGGTTTCCGAGCCAGTTGCAAATGAAGTCAGCATCACCAGCATAGATCAAGACTGGAATTTGCTCGATAATATCTGGGACCAATCGGTGGAAAGGTTGCATCCAATCACCTTGGAAAAGGAAGTTTCTGTTGATATCAAAGTTGCAGCTGTCGTAACTGCTGACTTCAACACCAAGCTCCTCTTGAACGGCGGCTTGGTTCAAGTAATCGCTAATCCAGCCAAGAGCAGAGTAGCACAAGTTGCTGCTATCTTCACATTTGCCACGGATATCATAAACGTTCTAAATGAAATTAGCATATTGTATCATAAGTTTAAATCAAGTAACATACCTGTCCAGTTCTTTGATAAGGTCCCATCATAGCATTGTTGCAGTAAATGCTTGCAGGAACACACGACCAAACGCTTTCGCTATCATAACAGCTTTGAATCAAACTTTGGCAACGAGGAAGAGCGTTATCCATAGCTTTACATTCACTAGAATCGAGAACAGCTGGGTATCCACCCTCACCACAAGCCATTGGTCTGTAGTGTTCATATTGTGTAAGTCCATCAGTCAAGCCGTTACCGATGAGAACGGACTTGAGGTTGATGTTACGCTTCTTGTGAGATAAGATCTCATGTGTGAAAACTGGAATGTAATGACCAGCATAAGATTCACCAGCAATGTGGAAGTCTTGCTTGGCATATTCAGGGAATTGTTTGAAGAACAAGGTGAGAAGAGCATAAACATCCTTGCCTGCAGCAATTGTGTTGCTAACAGATCCACCACTGTATGAGTATCCAACATTGACTGGTTGATCAAGGAAGATAACGGAAGCATTTGCGTTCCATGAGTATGGGTTGTTGTGTAATTTGCCATTCTTGTCGATTGAGGCAGGACCAAGTTCGAGGAAGAGACCGGTCAAAGAAGAACATCCTGGTCCTCCGTTCAACCAGAGAACAACTGGATCGTTCTTAGGATCATTTCTAGATTCAAAGAACCCTGATATCTATTAGCACATGTGTTTGGCATAGGTAGATCGGTCGGAAGAAGAGGTGACACAACGCAAAGAAAGTGTGCTAGGTATCATCAAAGGAACGGAAATACTCACAATAAAACAAATGTTTATCATTCTCCTCATCATCCAAATAACCACTGTATTGCTTGACCTTATCAACACCAAGCTTCGTAGGATCAACCTTCTTAGCTCTCATATTATACTTCTCAAGCTTTCCATCAATCTCACGTTCCTTCTCTCCCTTGGAGTTCTCAACCCAGACACTTTGGATATCTGCGCCTTTGACAACATAATCCCAAGCAGTATCAGGTTTTCTTGTATGGGGTTTTGGTTGTTGGAAGAAGGTAGCTCTATCCATCGCCTCTGGGAAAAGCATTGACACTTCATCCCAAACAGCTTTGGCTTCCGAGGTCATGTCTTTCATGGAATCGGTGAGGTGATTCAAGGATTCCATTGATTTGGACCATGCTTCCGAGATTGGCTTTGAGGCTGATTGAAATGGATTCTTTAGAACTTGTTGTTGAGGTGCAATAGATGCAGCAGCAGCGCCCACAAGGACGGTTGATGCGAGGAGCTTCATGATGAAGTCTAATGAAGAATAGTTATTTCTAATGTTGTCGTATGTCTATTCTATTTGATAAGATGATTACCAAAAGAGATGGATGATGAGAAAAAGAAAGAATGGAAGAAGAAGAAAGAGAAGAAGGAGGATGATGGAAGCTTTGAATAGGGTTTCCAGGCGGTAACTGCTGAGCGCGTTGATAGGGTAAGCAAGAGCTACCTAAGCTGCAGATGCAGATGCAGATGAGATGCTGATGAGGATGTGCTCGTGCTTCATTACGTAGCAAGGCACCCTGGGAGTTGGTTGGGGCTTATCGGCCAGCCATGAGAATCACAACATCAAGCAAGTGGTGAAGCAAGCATACTTTGGAAGAATGTTTGATAGATAATCATGGGATCAAACATTATTGATCATTATTGGCTGAATACGATCAATCTATCAATCTATCAATCCATCTATTCTGTCATTTCAGAATTATCATATTGCAGATATCAAATCATAGTTACTTGAATTGAACCATTAACATTAACATTATCCGACTTGAGCTCCCCCAGTGACTAGGAATGGAATCCATCTACTGCACACGGTGTTGTGTTGTGTTGTGTTGACGTTTCCGGAGCTTATCCTGCTAAAACAGTCATCAAGAGAGACCTGGCGTATCACAGCACAGCCTGTGGCAATTCCCCTGACGCCACTGCATAGCTAAATCTGACAAGGTACCCGCGATGAACACCTGACTCAGGTCTCAGACCTTGATTCACCGATTAATCAATGGAATATGGGAAGTATGGTAAAGGAGATTTGGATTTTGATAGTAATCATCGAAGCATATCAATGGCTTATGGTTCGTTATGGCTCATGATCAAGACGCATTCATTCAAGATGTCACGAAATAATTGAATAATTGAAGTGCAATCTTCGTGTTCTCTCGACGAAGATAAGTAGAGCTTATGTGAAGCGAACCGTAAAACATGGCCCAGAATTTGATAGCGAGTGTGCCGCACAGTAGTGACTCAGCGGGGTGATGTGAAGTTAACCCGCGCAAAAAGAAAAAATCGCAAAAATCATACCGAAGAAGAGAATATTCAAACCATCACATCTCAACTCTTCATATCCTCCCTAATACATACCATCTTCCTCCAAATCCCTCAAAATGCCCATCAACCAACCCTCCAACCAAATAAAACTAACAAATGTCTCCCTCGTACGCTACAAAAAAGCAAAGAAGCGTTTCGAAATCGCCTGCTACAAGAACAAAGTCCTGGAATGGCGATCCGGCAACGAAAAAGACATCGACAACGTTCTCCAAATCCCCAATGTATTTCTCAACGTATCGCGAGGACAGACCGCCCCTACCGCCGATCTAGCCAAAGCCTTTGGAAAAGATACACCGATTCAAGACATCGTTCTCGAGATATTAAATAAAGGGGAATTACAAGTCGGAGAGAAAGAACGTCATGCGCAGCTGGAACGGGTTCATAATGAAGTAATCAGTATCGTGGCGAGTAAACTCGTGGATCCGAAGACGAAGCGGGTTTATACTACGGGGATGATAGAGAAGGCATTAGAGATGCTTAGTTCGCAGGGGTCGCAGGCGCAGGATAAGGATAGGAATTTGGGGAGTGCGAATGCGACTCCGACGACGGGGGAAGAGGGGGAGGCGAAACCGATTCCTAGAGCGAGGGAACATGCTTGGACGGGGGTGGTGGCTACGAAGAGTGCTAAGAGTCAGGCGTTGGAGGCGATGAAGGCTTTGATTGCTCATCAACCGATTCCGGTTGCGAGAGCAAGGATGAGGCTGAGGGTTACGTTGCCGACGAAGATTCTGAAACAGGTGGTTAAGAGTGCGGGGCCGAAAGCTGGGGATGAGGAGGAGGGGGATAAGAAGGAGTCGGTTAAGGATAGGGTCTTGGGGTATGTGGAGCAGGTTGAGAGTCAGGATGTGATGGGGTCGGAGTGGGAGGTTGTGGGGTTTGTGGAACCCGGTGCGTTTAAGGGGTTGGGAGACTTTATTGGGACCGAGACGAAGGGTCAAGGAAGAGTGGAGGTGTTGGACATGGCTGTTACTCATGAGGATTAGAGTCCTTGTTCTCTATCGACCTTGACTTTGGGATCATTTAGCGGGTATAGAATGGCGTTGGGGATAGCAAAAGTAGTTTAAATTTTACGTTACGGTTGGCTCGTTTGTCATTTTAAGAATCACTAGAAAAGTCGTATATGTTACCAGCAGATATAAACCATGGCATTTTGATATCGGGTTTGAGTTTAAGATATCGACCATCCAAGCCAAAAGTATAACAGTAAACTCTATAGCTCAAGCTCTCTGAATATCAAAACTTGGAACCATTTCACAGAACTGAAAAACTTCTAAGTCTTTTCTTCCTCCTAGGACTTATCTCGCATATATCAGACATCCTCCAACGATGTTTGTCCATGAGCCAAACATGGATAAGATGACGTAAAGACGTGGAGAGAAGTTCGACTTTTGATGTGTTCTTCATCTCTTGGTCTGTCTCCCCCCTATCTTAGAAATTGATAGTCTTTGGAAGGTAGGTTGGCTCCTTCCTCTATTAGCAAAACTACAAGTGGGCGAAGGGGTTCTGGTGAGTGTATCATCGGCCACATTCAAGCTAACTGATAGAAATGCACATGTGGAGGTATGAATATCACTTGTGGCTTTTGGACATTTTCATCACCCTAGAATCCTGGTAAAAACAGCTCTCATATTTCTCATGACGTGTCATTGATTTGATCTTGGCACATCATTCTGAAGGCACATAAAATTATAGTGAGGCCATTGATGATTTATTGTTTCCTTTTCATGTACTGATTTTCCTGGGGCATACCCAGTAACAGCATCATGCTGTATAAGCTGTTGAACCAGATGTAAAGTACCAGTCCATCGCAAAAGCCACACTCCAACCAACCGTAAATCCCAGAGCACAAATATTTAATTTCCCTTCTTCTTGGAAACACCGACAGTTCTACCTCTGCGTCCAGTAGTCTTGGAGTGTTGTCCACGAACACGGAGACCCCAGTAGTGACGGAGACCACGGTGGGCACGGATCTTCTTTAAGCGTTCCAAATCATCACGGAGCTTGGAGTCGACACCGTTGGCGAGAACTTGGGAGTCTTTGCCATCGACGATATCGCGTTGTCTGTTGAGGAACCAGGATGGGATCTTGTATTGAGTTGGGTTTTGGATGATGGTAACGATTCTCTCGAGCTCTTCGGAGGTAAGTTCACCAGCGCTACAATCGATTAGTCCTTTGTCCTTCTATTCCCGTATTCATTGTAATCCATACCGCTTGTTGAGATCAACATCGGCCTTCTTGCAGACCAAGTTGGAGTAACGACGTCCGACACCCTAGGATATGGTTAGTATTAGAGGAAGAGCTTTGATATAAACGAGTTTACCTTAATTTTAGTGAGCGCAAACATAACCTTCTGCTTTCCCTCAACGTTAGTGTTGAGGAGACGCAGAATGTATTGAAAGTTGGACTTCTCCCCGCTGTATATATGTTGTCAGTTAAATGTTCGACGCAAGTTCGAGGTAGGGGCGCCAAAATAATCAATTCTGGAGCGCAACCTCACTAAAGGTCACAAAATAATTCTTGAGCATTTCTGGGCCCGGATTGCAAAGGAAAAATTGTGAAATTTTGACGTACGTAACCAAAGACATGATGGGCGACGGTATCTGGAATTGTCGATGTTGTCGAGAGGCGTTTCGAGAGGCAGAAAGTTCAAGAGGTCAAAAAAGTTCGTACAATTCGCTTCACTTCAGCAAAGTGCAAAAGTTGAATTTAGCGGGCTTACCATATTTAGCTTAGTCAAGTCATGTGTTAGGGCAAAGAACAACAAGCGAGCCAAAACCCCAAAAATTTACTTGCTGCTGAGCCATCAAGATTATACCGAAATTTCCGTACTAACCACCGCAGCAACCAAACCAAACGTCAAGATGGTACGTTTATGTGTTTTCTAATGTTATTTTGAAGGGTGTGCGATTGTCTTGAATCAACTGCGACAATTAAATGTTGAAAATTGGTGGATTGAAGCGGGTGATGGACGGGGCCGACTGCAGGGAAATTCGACGCCGTTGAGCCAGATCTTTGGTCCATCTGAACGGAAAACTTTGGCAGATGGTGCTGGTAGCCGGGACTATTCTGCGAAGAAAACGAGCATTCAGTCTAAATTCTCGGTCTCTCCGCGCTGGAGACTAGGCAGATTTCTCTGGAGATTTGCCTGGATTGGACCACCAGATTTTGGAGCAATACCTTTTTGGTTGAACACTTTGCTGACCAAGATATATACACATAGGTTAGATACGCCGCTACTGAAATAGGTACGAAATGCAGTCGATCTCTCTTCGTTGCCTCCCGAAATCTTCTTCCCTGGGCATTCACTGACTCCCCGACCAGAATCGGCCAAGAGTGCCAGAGCTCGCGGTTCTTATCTTCGCGTGTCTTTCAAGAATACGAGAGAAACAGCGCAAAGCATCAATGCGAGTCGAATCCTAAAGCCTTTACGATTCGACGAATACTAATATAACGTAGGGATGGAAGCTCCAGCGCGCCGTCAAGTTCCTTGAGAACGTTCAAGAACACAAGGAGGCTGTACCAATGAGAAGATTTGCTGGAGGAACTGGACGTGCTGCTCAAGGAAAGCAATTTGGTGTTACTCGCGCTAGGTGGCCGATTAAGAGCGCCGAGTTCCTCCTTGGTCTCTTGAAGAATGCTGAGGCAAATGCCGATACCAAGGGTCTCGATACCGGAAACTTGATCGTTAAGCACATCCAAGTCAACCAAGCACCAAAGCAACGTCGCCGAACTTACCGTGCTCACGGTCGTGTAAGTTACACTCGAGGCCTACGACACATTAGATACTAATGGAACATAGATTAACCCATACATGTCAAATCCTTGCCACATCGAATTGATCTTGACCGAAGGAGAGGAAGTTGTTCAGAAGTCTGAGGCCGTTGTTGGACGTGAGACCGCACACTTGTCTTCAAGACAACGTGGTGCTCGTATCCGTCAAGCTATCACTGCTGCATAGATGTTCCCTTTTTATGGTTGGCTGGGGTTTGCGCAATGGGGCATTGATATGAAGGTCATCACATGAGGTTATTCGAAAAAATGGATGGCTGTACTGGTGACATTGCTGCACTATAAATGAACCATTAAATGAAATACTTGCAGAAAATTTAATTGCTCCCCAAAAAATCCATTTGACCCATGCACTGAGTCTATGTGATATTAGTGCTCCCTATGGAAACAACGGCTAAGTCAGACATGGTTTGAGAGAGGCTCTAGAGAACATGGAACTTCAAGCTCTTCTAGACCGGGCTAGGCGACACTTCCCAGATCTCAGCAACCTCATTTTTACTTAACACGGTCTAGATTATCCTCAAACAGCAGGCAACGCAGCAGACGGCGTTCTGTTACCAGATATAGTAGTTTGCTACAATCAATGGCATCTACACTCAAGCATATGCATCCCAGCTCTTCTACTTCAACAAAACGAAACCGAGCCCGTATCATGTCCACACAGCGCAGCACCCTGGCTCCGCAGCTCTCAAACATCTCCAATACACACGCGCTGTTCCTGTCAGTGTTCTACAGTAATAAAGAAAATCTACATTCCAACATCTGTTTCCTAGATGTCTTGATTTCAACTCACACTTTATACAATATCCAGGGTTTAACTTTTTCATCTTTCAGTTTTTTCTTTCCATTTACAATTTCACCTTTCAAATAGCCCTTCTTTTCGTTTCGAATCTTCTGTTGTGTCTTCTACCCTCATCCAATTCATCCCTACATTCATTCTCCCCCGCATCCATTCGCTTACTCTCTCCTCCACACCTCTCTCCCCTTCCTTCTTCCTCTTTCCTCTTTCATCTACCCATCTATAAATACAATACATATACATACACTCATATTTATTCTACAATCTAGTAGATATCACAAACATGACAACCTCACCAACCTCATCAGCCTATCGAATCAATCACCCAAAGATTAAAAGGCCGCTGTACTCACAATCCCAATTTCTGATTTTTGAAGGGAAAAGGGGAAGAAAGGGAAGAGGGAGGAAAGACGAAAAGATACGTGAAAACGAAACTCAGAATGACAGCGAAGAAGATAAAGATGCAAACATGTATACGCGTCATAAGCAGTCAACCTCGAGATTAGATGGATTATTGTGGCGATGTAAGTAAATTGGGGTGCTCGAGTTCGTGTTGCCACTACTTTCACATTTGATTATGCACAGACACCCAAAATTCTATGAAATCTATATTATATATCACACTATACACTATTTCTACAAATGAAGAGAAGCAGGGCAAAGGATAGAAACCGTGAAAAAGCCCTCAAGGCCAAATCGTGTCATGGAAGAAAGAGTGGAATGCACGGCTACGATTCATCAATTCTCCGCCGATACGAACTCCCGCTGGCGAGAGCAAAGTTGAATGTCTGCGAAAGTGGCACATCGAGCATAACCACCTGCAAGGTTGTCCCTCAATGTATCAATCGCGTACAATTTTTATTACCCCCTTTGTTGGTTGAAATGAGTCCAACTCTGATCACTCCTCCATAAACCTGTGGAAGATTCGCTACTGAGTGATTCAACTGTCACCAAGGTATCCAGTTGATCTAATTGTGTTGAACTTCAAGTTCAAAAATTCCAGCGCCTCCACATTTGCCTTTGAAATGAAAGTATTCCCTGCAGGGACGGATCTCCTAAAGCACGCCAAACCACCCATCGAATACACTTATTATTAGTCGCGAATTAATAATCAAGATCTTCGTCAAATCCCATCACTCCTTAAATACTGAAAGAGATCTCCTTCTAATGACTTTTCCATCCTTGACGCTCTCCTGGTTTAGAAACGAGGAATCCCTGCCTAGTTCTTCATATTAGCTAACCGCATCTCCCCTGCGGTAGCTTTGTACGTCTTTCCCACTATCTCGAAAGAATAAATGATCCTTGATGTATCTGTCCCATACTGCTTCCGCAAATCTTCTTGAACAGTGGAGCACAACTATGTTGAAGCTATAGTATGTTCAAAGTCTGAAGTTTAAAAAAAGCTCTTCCCGACCATAACTCCGTTTATCCCATTCATTCACTCACCACATTGCGTGTGATGCCCGTGGTATCAAATTCCTCATGAAGTGTTTCAGCCCAAAGCAAAACCCTAATCGTTCGTCGTAGAGAGAGTCGTGAGACCAGTCGTTTACCCTAGTGTGCAACCTGAAATGCAAGTATGAAACAATATGATGAACCCATCCGTTATGCTGTAGATACCATGCCATAATGCTCCCGTTATGCTGCCCAAAACAAAAAAAAAATGAAATAGTAATAAGAGATATGTGTGTGTATGGAAGAGAACATCCGCCCAAAAGCTCCCGCCGGAAACGTTCATGAAGACCTTTATCCCATGCAGACGCACCCAAAAGAAAGAGATTCTGCAAAAATCTGAGGCCATGATTAGTATACAACAAGATATTTACAATTTTTACTAATGTCAGACATGACATCATAGATCTGTCATAGCAATTTCAGGAGGTGCAGCTTGAATGGTACCATTGAATCTTCCGAAGCCTGCACGTGTGATTCCATCATGTTTTGCTTCGACCAATTGCTGAGGATTGAATGCGTCCCAACCAAGAGTCATGTCCCAAGCGTACTTGAGTGTTTTCACTTCGAGATCACTCATCGTATTTGCGATCGAACCGAGCAGACTATCACCGGACTTCATCATCATACTTTCGTAGTCATTTATCCTCTTTGTGATTCCGGTGGGTGTAGATCCTCGGGGGTTCAAACCGTCATTGAACACAGATTGATTAAAGTCGAGAGGAAGTCGGACATATCCACAAGACTTGAAAATGAGCTCTTTGAGACCACTTTGAGTCTTAGGTTCAGGCTGCTCACTAAATCCCCGAGCATAACGCAAATCTGCCAGTGTCTCCCCGGGAGTCAAGATATCGATAACATGAGCCCAGGAGCCATTGCGTGGTTGATTAAGCCATGCCGGTTGAGCATTCGGACTGGTAATAACTACTGGCATCGGGAGTGCTGGCGGGCCTGCAAGACCAAGTGCGGGGGGTTGAGCCCAAGCAGGAGGTGCAATAAGGTGATTATGAATACCCATATTTGCTGCCATAGCTTGTGCCAAAGCATTTTGCTGGTGCATGGCATTATTTGCATGAGGCATCGGGTGCAGCCCGGGGCGAATAAATGCAGTCAATGAAACTGAATCAAGTGTCAAACTTTGAAGGTTGCATTGCTTGAGCTCTCTGATGAATCGAGTAAAAATGTGAGGACTGAACCAACAATTCTTCAATGACAGATACTTGATAAAAGGGAGAGACAAGACCTCCTTTTCCTCGACTCTGCTAACCATGTTAATAGACTCTACTACAGGAGCAGCAAGTACATGCTGGTTTCGGCAGAAGAGTCCAGGAGCATACTCTCCACCACATATCCATTCAAAGTGTAGGGACTCAATATTCTGACGATGGGATATTTGCTTGAAAAGGAGTTGAAAGACACCAGTGACGGCCCTAGATGGAGGTAGCCTGTTATCCTGAACCCAACTGGTAGGGAGTTTTATAAGCTCACGCCAATCAGGAATTATACCTAGCGATAGCACATTCAAGTTTGGTAGGCTGTTCCAGAAATCGTCACGAACGAGGTTCGGCAAGTGTGTGTTGGGCAAGCGTGCAATGGTAAGCTTCTTCACACCGACAAATGTGATTGGACTATCAATGACAGCAATAGTAAATGTTTGCATGAATGCTCGTTGAGCCCATTCGAGTTCAAGTAGCATTTCCTTTTGTGCGCTGGTAAGTTCGTTTGGCTTGAGAGGGTTAGGATTGGGCTTTTGCCTAATTTCACGAGTCGAGTCGCTGGTGTCGCCGTTATCTTCCCTAACATCGTTGTAAACGGTGGTCACTATCTCATCATTGATATTAGGTAAGGTAAGTCTGACGTTTTCACCCTGACTTCCATCTTCCGCAACCTCAGATGAAATTTCATCCCCATCGTTCAATCTTTCATCATCTTCATCATCGTTTTCAGTTGCTGCAATGCCATTTCTAAAATGGTTTCCGAGCATACGAGCAATGTTTGCTTCAAATTCGTTATAGGGAATTGGGGGTGCAAAACGGCCTCGTCGTTCCTGCGCACCCGCATCCGCCTGACCTTGGTCGGACTGAACACTATCGGGAGACTGATCCGATGGATCGGTGCGATAACCTACTTCCCGCAGCATTCGTTGAATGATTGAACGTGTTTCGGTAGGAAGTTCTGTGCGGCATGATTGATATTGTTGGGCAAGTTGTACGCTTGATTTTTCCTTAGGTTCTGACTCGAACCTCGATGATCCAAAAACCACAGCTTTCTCACCACGTTGAACCACTTTTTGATTAATGTCTGGTCCAGCTAACCATCCCAATCCTCCATCAATGGAAAGACCAAGTTCTTCAGCTGCTACAATGAATTGAAAGGCTTTCGTCATGGTTCGAGTCTCGTCAGCTTTCTGTTCAAGACCTTCCAACTGTGCATATCTATTATACTTTTGGAATGGCCATTTGTAAGAACCCCAGAAAGTTGTGATCGTATCATGGTCATGCTTTACAGGAGGATTGGCCAACTTTGCAATATCAACTTCGAAAGCTAAGTGAAATATTAGCATTACATAAAAGAGTAAATGGAGCGAGATGAACATACACATAGCGAAGTGTTTTATGTGTCGACCAAAACCTAAGAAATATTAGTGATCGTAACTCCATCAAACACAACTATTGATTACGTGCCCTGAAAGATACGCATGCCTTTATCCTGTAGCATGACAGAACTCTGAGGGTTGGAAGGCTCGGAATTTATGCCATAGATCTCCGGCCGAAAAGGGACCACTACATATTTGAAGAGGTATTCGGATACCTTCGCTTCAAACTCTCGATTTACTAGTCGCATATTTTGTATAGTAGACCGAGGGAGGTTGATGATGATGAGATTGAAAATCTCCACCGGGATTTTGTTAGATACCCAACCACTTTGTCCTATTTTCATCAATACATTGCGCGCAGTATGTATGAGTGAGGATAGATTCTTATACTTACTTGCCATTGTTTGAACCTCTTCACCTTCACCCTTCGAAACTTGCACTGGGAGGAAAGCACTCAAAGTACTCTGGTGAAGTTTGCGGCGCTTTGAAGAGTTTGTGTCCATTGTATGAGAGAATATCAAGCAGTCCAAGTGAACCAAGTCGCAAGGCCGCAATTGAAATAGCAAAAGAAGCAAGCGCGACCTTGGTGTTGTCTGAAGGTACTTCGCACGCACAACTGTAAAAAGGGTTAGGTATTCCGTTCAAAACAAGAGCAAAAAGCAGAATAGTACTCTTAGATGTGTTGATGGTTGCAATTAGTATTGATTGTAATTTGTGGTCATGCAGTTTTGGTGTGCCGTTGTAGCGGCAATAATCTTTATTATAGAGTTAACCGTAACGTATCGGACAAAAGAGAATTTGCGAAATGGCTTTAAATGGAAGAAGAAACAGAAGTAAAAGCCAGTATATTCTTATCAAAAGAACGTTGGATATTTTTCAATGTATTGCTTGTATATGTGTGTATGTGTATATGTGTATGTGTATATGTGTATGTGTATATGTGTATGTGTATATGTGTATGTGTGTATATGCTTTTAATGCTATGAAGAATTGTATGTGAAGTTGTTGTTCATTAGGCTGAGCATTTGATGCCCCTCAGATCCGAACGTCATGTTAGTGTTGCTAATTGTTTCTAGCCTTGTGTTTCATGCCTGAGGCCATGATGTTGGTATTTGGGTATTCCACCTTTTCGTCCCTACCACCGGTACCCCTCTTGCAAAGACATATACAGAGCTCCGTGTTATACACAGAAAGAGCGGCTTACACTTTGGAATTTTGCATCTTACGCATACGAATCATAGAGTAGTTCTGCCTTCTGATGTTGATCCACACGCTTCCGAAGGATCCAAAGGAAATGGTAGCCTTGCAGAATTGTGTATCAAGCCCGCCTTACAAAACCTGTTGCCCATCTGAGACGGAAGGAGATAGGAATTTAAACGAGACCTTACTTTTTCAGCCAAGCTCAATGCTAATGTTTCTTCGCAGTGTGCCAGAACATACTCGTAGGACGGATTCGTGCAGGATGGAAGGTGCGGGACGGAGAGATAGCCAAGCATACAGTTTAATTACATACTAGATAGGATATATCTGAATTGAGTACCGGAGTGGCTGCAAGCATCTTGTCGTTTGATTCCTTGGCCACCATGACCACTCGATATATCACTACAAATGAGCTCGGAAGTTGTGTCTACATTATTGATACATGTGCATTAGGGACTGGCCTTGTTGATCCTCCTCTGTCTACTCGACCAAAGAATCACTGCAGCGCCTAAACAATCTATCGATGCTCTAGCTATTGTCTATATCCATGTGGAATATATGCTCCATCAGGCATTAGCTAAGTGTTTGTATATTCCAGAGGCTTAAATCACATTTAGGATGAAGGCTATTCTCATAAGATGTTGAGACAGCATTGTGCAACTCCAACTTCGAATTGAGTATCCTCAATCAAAGAGTTATGGTCTTTCGTGAACATCTTTCAACATTCATCCTTAAATTGACCTTTGGTGGTTAATGATCTCACACACTTTCGACGAAACTCTACATAACATCAAAAAATTTCAGCACACCTGCCAAGATCAGCCCCTGCCCCATTGTAAATTTGCCTCAATTTTGTCCTAGAATTCTCTCCCTCAGTTGAGCCAAAGCTTGGGGTTCTGGAAATTCTCGACGCATGTCTCTTTAACTTCGTACTTGATGGTGGTCTTTCAATAGCCGGCAAGGATGGTAACATATCAGCTGATGGTCGCTTTTCGGATACCATGACTTCATTAAGCTCGTCATCTAATTCTTGAAGGGGTGTATATGAACGCGGTCCATCTAGATATGTGTCGTGGGACCATGCAGATTCTAATCCTGCGATGAAAGGCTCGAGCTCCTGCAGCTCGATCCAATTTATTGTTTCTTCGAGCATAGCGATGTATATGTCTTCGATCCTGCCACATCCGTCAAGGACGGCGCAGTGTTCCTTCAAGAACTCAACATCATAATCCCGGAAGACCTGTTCGACTGGAATTAGTATTGTTTTGGGGAGGCTCAGCTTTTTGTGAGGGCAAAGAACTGAAGTGACACTCACTAGCTGTCTATCTAGTTTACGAAGCATAGGAAGGCCTTTTAGATTTTGACCCTCGCAAATCTTGGCCGCGAGTGGTTGCCAGGGTCTTCCCCGCAAGACTTGCGCAAATGCATAATTCACGGCCTCCTTGAAGGAGTCACTATTTGTGTCGGGCACAACTATCTTTTGATGCAATCCTCGAGATAGACATCTTTTGTAAGCTACCGTGTCCTTCTCGAAAGGAAATGGCTGGGATGACGTAGGCATAAGTGAGACATGTACAGTCCATGAATGAGCTACGCATCGATCACCCGGAAAATTACCTTCCGGGAATTCCTGACCTGATGCACTAACATTCACAGGTATTGTAATATCCCCTACAATACTGCTTTGCCAATCGTTTGAAGGTCCTCCGATTGTGATCTCCATATTGCTAGCAGGAGGCGTGGATGCTCTTTTTCGCCGAGGCCACTTTCGAGTTCCAGAAATCTGTGTCGAGATATTCTCAAGAGCATCGACTCTATCTTCTACTCGCATTGACGCATCGTCGACTTCGATCATCCTAGCACGAATTCTATGGACATCATCCACTAATCCCTCAATTCGATCATCGTAATATGGTGTCCGTTTGTTTAGGACCTCAAGATTCTGCCAAAGACCACCAATACCACGGTGGATGCTTCGTATCTCCACTTCACGTTCTGAATTTCCTTTTTCCACGAGCTCTTCTAATTGTATGAGCCGATCAAACAAACCACCTCTCCCTACGCTTCGCTCTCGATCCAGCTCTTCCTCAAGAGTACTAATCCTCGATTTTAACGCCTCAACCTCTTTACCAGAACATTCTGGGTCCGAGTTGTGATATACTGCCTGGTGTCCACAATGACACGAACTGCCTGGAAGGGATCGATTCGTTGCAAATTTGACACATGCACATCGCAGATGCTTTGATTCAGGATGCAGCAAAATGAATCTGCAACCACCTTTGGGAAGATGTGAATCATCGGTTTCACTTTTCCTGCGATGAGGCTCGAACATGCTCGTAGCATCTGAAGCTATAAGGACTAACTCTGAAAAGGGAAACTCGACATCAGGGTCTAAAAATAGTTTACTGCATCAAGCAGTTCTTCCTTGCTGTGAAGATGATGGATTAGAGTTCCATCAATGCTTTTCCGTCGAGTGCCAGTCATAAAGGGCTTTCACAGGCCCAAGATTTTATTGAAGTGCGTTGAGTTTCATGAGTTAATCGATCTTTCGTGGTACCGAAAAAGCCTTGAAATTCGTCAAAAGTACACTCATGACGTGCAGAACGGTCGGGTTTATATGTGTTAAAGATGATGAGCAAAAACCTGCAAAAGCAAAGAATGTACAGGGGTCCAAAGATAAGCACACCCAGCCATTTTGACATGTACGACCAAGACGGGTGAAACGGAAGCACTTATTGGTATTAATCGAAACCCCATACGAGATGACAATCATTCTGTTCCTGAAAAAAAAAACAAAGATAGAAAACATGAGGTGAACCAAAGAGACTTATGCAGGGAGGTGGCTACTTCTGGGATTCTGGAGAAAACCCCACGTTTGTACTAAATGTTGCAACCATAAAAATGCAATCCCTCCGATCACCAGGTATATTGTGCTAAAGGAAAACGGCATGCAGTTCCTTTTCCCAGTCTTCAACTAATTCAAGACGTTGACAACCTGTATGCGCACGTCTTCTCTTCGTACCTATACAACCATGACAAATACCATCGGAGGTGATTGCTTGGGGGCTACAACACATTATTTTCATACTTCCTATCAACTCGAAAAACCTGCCGTGCTGCAACCGGTACGGCGTCCATAGCAGGATGATCAAACTTGAATGCACTCCGAAATCCCGAATATTTAGTCACATTATGACCGATCTCGAGGGCCGCAATATACACATGCATATGAAGCGACACTAAAGAAGCGCAAATCGAATCACAAACATGTGCAACGTAGCAGGGAGGGCGTGGGGTCTGCGGCTCGTAGCCAGTCCCCCATCTCTCCGATATCGAATGTTATTTTGAGTGGCACCGATAAATCCCGCAAGAGATAACGAGTTAACAAGTCCGTCTCATCCTCGCATACCATGATCGATGATTTAAGATTACAAATACTCGGCAGCTGTTCGATTAAAGTGTAACCTTCCAAAAGTATGCAAAAGTATGTGATAATATATTTTCCCGTTACACTACTTTGAATCGGTGGCTCCGTTGGTTGCAATATCTAGATGCAACAAGTTCATCCTGATAAGGTAGCCCCCACGTTGTCAAGATGATATTGGTCCGTTCTCCGGAGGGCTTGTATCCCGAACAAGGTAGGACATCTGGTCTCGTTCTCACAGCTCATTCCACGTGACACAGGGCTTCATCATGTATAACACGATGTTTTAGGAGTGAAGCATCTGTTGAAACATCAATATTTCTTAAAATAATCATGCTTGGCTCTATAGTAGTTCAAAATTTCTCATCGCAGTATGTTTTCCCATTCTAGTATCACGTGGGTGAGTCTAGATCTACTTAGCCTCGAATTAGGTGCGCTCTACAACTTACACAACTCCAAGGATCAAATCGCATTCCAATAATGTTTAATGCTTCTATCAATACCATTTTTACTACTTTAAGATTGATGGAATAACACATCACGCAATGTTTGTGAACAAATCCGCCATTCCAGCTTTTGTGTTGGTTGGATGGAAAGGACTTCTACTCGATCTAGATTGAACATTCATGGATTTGTGTCCGTACAGTATACACAAGCATTTTCACATGCGCACGGCCATGTATATATTACCTTTGCCAAATCTTCATCTACGCTCTCCTATTGGCTATTGTTGACAAGCGGGGTAGAAACTAAGGGCGGCAAGAAGCCAACCGTCTCCCAATCAATTGCTAGCTACTCTGACTAGTACACACGTCCTCTTTTTGATGTCCTCCCTAGACTTTTGAAGATCAAGTGTTTCTTTTTGATATTGCCATTGTCGAACACAGTCTGTGTCTTACTTTACAATGGGTGAACTGGATGAATTAGTATCTACCTTACTCGGTACTTTTACAACCGGCATAAGACTGCTTAAAGCTAGTCGCAAAAGACATAGAAGTGGCAATGAAGCAATTGATACCTATAAGGACGAGGAAACTCCTCTCATCAAGTCATTCAAAAGATCTAGATCAGACATTCGAGAAGCATGGAAAAAAGATTCTATAATGGCTGGTCCTAAGTTCTCGGAAGGCGATGGTATGAACCATAATCCTAAAGTTATAATGCACAAATTCTCATACTATGGCAGCGAGAGCGTGCTCATCACTCTCGACGATATTATCACGATTGAACACTGCTTTCACATCCGCAATTGTATCATTTTCTCGAGGCAAAGTCAAGTCTTCAGATCGGGAGGCTCTTATAAAGCTATCCAACGAATCACGTGTAGAAGCGATCAATACACTTAATGAACTTTCTAAGCGACTATCAGTATCTGCTTCATCTCTGACATCTCGAGATGCTCTAACTCAGACCAAAAATGGTCGTCGAAAACGAGAACAGAACCTAGCTCCAACCGTTCCGACCAAGCCTACTGCTCTTGGACCAGCTACGAAGGACGGTTGGATACGGCCAAAATCGAGTAAGAAAGGTGCCGCGAAGTCTAAAACTCATGCTGGAAAAGCTAGTGTTACGGAATCAAAAGGCGAACAGAAGCCGGTGCCCTCACAATCCGTCGATGTAGTGAGGAAGCGAGAGCCAGTATCCATGCGCAGAACAGCAACAGAGAATAGAAAGTCAGGCTTCTCATTTGCATCTGATAGCACAAAACTGTAAGTACATACATCTTATTTGCTACTCCTTACAATATGCAACCCTTCCTTCCATTTAAATGTCGTCTGATTACTAACTTTTCCTTTTCTAGTGGTGAGATTCCAGAACACAGATTGGCTAGATTGCTTGCGACATCGGAGCATAATAATACTGGATATTATATGCATACAGTAGCTTACCCTTTGGCTCCGTATCAACCAGAGCCTCACAAACGTCGTTTTGGCATTGGTAAGCTTTTTAAAAGTCGACCGGCGCAAAAGGATACTTATAGTAATTGAAATTTAATGATACACTCAGGATTCATATCAACTTCTGTGAGTATGTATGTGATTTTCAATATTATTTTGTTCTGTTGCCGTTATCTTACATCAGTGATGTTAATTATCATACTAAGATTCCCATTGGTGATAGTCCAGGTCGAAATTCGACTGTCTGTTTTTAATTGTATTCTGAAATGCTATACATACGTTCTAGTAATCTTAGAAGAACTACTATTTTAAACTTCCAAATGAAATCAGTCTTCCCAATAACTTCAATATTTAAGACAGCTAAATGTATCATATGAATTTGGAGTCCTAAATGATTTTAATAACACAAATGCATTCAATATTCTAAATAGCTTCATTATCTCGAGCGAAGAGAATGCTCCAGTTGATTTCAACACCTTTAATGATTTATATGTTTTGAGTAGTCTCGAAAAATTAATCACCTCTGATTACCAGATTATATTTTAAACATTTAAACCCCTGGGTTTCTATATCATGTTTGAATAGTATCATCATTCTATTTGGTCTTTGCAGCTGTACTTCATATACTCAAGCGATTGTACACGTTGTAATTATATGAAGTGAATAAAATGGGTTAAATAATCAAGTAATTCCCTAGTGTAAACTCTAGTATCGAGTATAAATATCACGTCTAGTTAAGAAATTGGTGAGCATGAGCAAGCAACTATACCACAGGCGTTTATAAGGTGAGGTATCACTCATGCCGATTTGCCACTGCCTTGCCGCAGTCAAAGAATTAGGTGGATAGTGTGGATGGGACATCAATAGACAAGTTCCTTGAAGGAATTTTGTCTGAATGATGATGGTAAATTGTGGTTGATGAAGATTATACTTAGTATTGTTGTTTATAAAACTATATACCTATATATCTATATGTTTATCGTTGTTTAGTGTGAGTTTTTTTATTCTCGTTATCGAATAGGTTAAACAAATCATGATATTTTTATACCTTTCTATGGAATAATTATCTCCAACCTCATACCACCAATACCTACACCCCCCGCGCCATCACGAATATTGCCATTCTCCATGTATATATATTCGAAGAACTGTTTGCATGTTACTATACCAAAAAGAAAGACGTCAACATATTATATAGTCACTTCTTCAGCCCCTCTTCCTCTCCTTTAGAATAACGCGAAAAATTTCACCATGAGTGTCCTCCCCGCTTGTGTCGTTAGTCACTGCAGCCCGTTTCCCGAATAATTCACTTCTTTTTTTCTAAAACTAGAAGTGACGATAATGGGATATATTACATTTCTTTCTTATACATTTTCGCCTTTATCCTTGCATCTCAGTTATATATATTTATATGGCCCTCAGATAAAAAGAGATAGAGAAGCAACACTTCTAATTTTCCGAGACATCTGGCAAGACAGGACCAGCATTCAGCTTGTAGGTTTTTCTCTATCATATATCTTCAAAACCTGCGTTTAAGTATGCGCGAGAAATAACGGTGGAGTGAACCAATTTGATCTAGCCTTGATTTAACTATTACTCTTCTTGTTGATTATGACCGTCAATAATAGCTTTACTATTGTCAATTGTCAGCTATGTTTTTTATTGCTTTGTATGCATATTTCCATACTCTTGTCTTACTCTGTTTCCGTTATAGACAGATGCAAATTAGGATCGCATTCAAATATGATTTTATGTTTCACAAAGTTTGAGTAACTTTCTCATTTGCTTCTGTAGCGATAGTTATACTTGGGATACTTTAAGATATTAATATTCTTGATTACTTTTAAAGAACCTCATATTGAGATACAATAGTAGATCTAAACTTAATTCTGAATATATAGATGAATAAGTCAACTATTCTAGTTTCCGATCACTTTATTTTTCTAGTTATTATTCTTATCAAAAATCACAACATTTGATATTTTTAACTTTTTGCCTTTTTTACTTTTGAATTTAATTAAATAAAATTTTAAATTAAGAATCTTTATATAAATATAAATTAATCTGAAAAGTTTAGATTTTCTACCGAATTTTAAAATTTTAATCTATATATAACCTTTTGTATAAATTAAAAAATCACTAAAAGTCTTAATAACTTTTCAATTAAGATAATTAAAAATAAATCATTGTTATTTTTATTAATTTTCTGATTTTTATAACTCTTAAAATTGAAATAAGAAATTTACAAACGAGATAATAAGATTTTTTTTAAATTTCTTTTCTTTCTTTTTTGAGGTAGAAAGAGAGGTTTTTTAAAGTGGAAGTTTGAGACCTCTATCGTACAGTAAAGAAAGAACACGTAATCCTCCCAGAATAACCTTTAACTAAGTAGAGAGGCATGATACCGTGACTCGAGTTCCAATAATCTCTTAGAGTCTTATCCCTATTCAAAATTGTGGTGGTTATAGTAGCAGTATTCGAGAATGTTATTTAGTGGAGATTCTCTGTGTAATATCAAACAGGGGCCCAAATCCGTTAACGTTCTGTGTGATGATGGCTATTTACAGCTTGGGCCAAGGTGCAATCCTATTGGTTACCAATTACTTGGGCCGGTGGGGAGTTAGGGTAGGAATGCATGAACAGAATGGGGTTTTTGATGATCTAGACCCAAATCCGTGCACTATACTAAAGTATTACTGTATCGTTACGTGAGAATTTCATGGGGTCTTATGCCACAGTATTCATTTTCCCATCCCGGTTGTGCGAGTAGATTTCCACTTTTTCGCATAGTCAACCCGTCAAAGTCATTTGTTAATCAAACCCTCCAAGGCCGCTTTTCCTCAGAATTGAACGTCATATAATCACAGCCTCGGGAATGGATCTTCTGAACAGACCTCGTGCGAACCAGATAGGTTACATGCATACTATCCCTTGCTGTGTTGAGCGTGCTTAGCTAGATACATTGATTGTCCGCGGAATACAACACACCAAGACGAATGTTTTACCTCCTCTAGTCGTTTTGTTTACATGTATTCCAATTAATACTGCTGAATATAGAATCTTAAGATGCACAGTACTAATTACAACTTACCTCCGAGACTCTCAGTGCGTAAGCTTATCAATCGGATGTTTGTATAAGCCTCACTATGCTTAGTTTATAGTACAGTGTATGGTACCCTAACGCGTTTCCAACATTATGCAGTACAGGGGCGCAGGAAGTAACGACGCGGCGCTGCTTACTGACCACATATGTTAAAGTCTAAACTTTTAAAGGAGGCATAGTTTATGTAGGTACCTTCGCATGCCCTTCCTTTCTACTCTGGCCAGTAGTTCTTTTCATGTCTTATCGGAAATTTTGAATTATGGAAGTCCCTACAGAATCCGCTTATATTATTGTCGGTGGCGGTCTTACCGGCTGTGCACTTGCAGGTCGCCTCGCAGAGCGTCTAGGTCCGTCTTCCTCCATCCTTATTCTCGAAGCTGGTGTTGATTTTACCTCAAACCGAAACTCGACGAGTCTAGGAGGAGGGTTCACCCTTCCCGGGTCTGAACTCGACTGGGCTTATAAGACAGCGCCTAATCCTGCCCTCGACAACCGTGTTATCACGCTTGTTGCAGGGAAAACTCTAGGTGGTGGAAGCGTGCTAAATTATGGCGGGTGGGCTCGCGGTGACAAAAGGGACTATAATGCTTGGGCTCGCATTGTAGATGATAATCGCGGGAGTTACAAGGGTCTTTTGCCATATTTCAAGAGGAGCGAGTCAGTCCATGATGCAGCAGCAAACCCAGATCAATACGGTTCCCATGGTCCCATGAAGGTGACTAGCATTAGTGCAAGTGATCCGAAAAGAAGATATCCGCTACGTGAGCCTATTCTAAAAGCCGTGGGTACTATTCAATCTCGATCATATATCCCAAGATATCAATGGAGAATGTCTAGTTCCGTCGTTCACACCATCTCCACTTCCGGAATTGGCTACTTGTCGCCTATTTGCCTCGGAATGGATCAACAGTAGAAAGTTACTGACACCCAGATATTTTAGTGGGCCGAAATTGGGGTAGAGAAGATTCCAACAAACACTAGCAAACTTGATGGCTTATCAGAATTCCTGGAAAATTTCGACGACGGTATTCGCCAGCCGTCCCATTTTGGCCTTCGACCTACCTGGTGTTCGTATCATTACTGAAAGTATTGTACATCGCATATTATTCGAACAGACTCCAGACCAAAATCCACGAGCCACAACTGTAGTGCTTGCGGATGGTCGTCATATCAAAGCTCGTAAAGAGATCATAATTTCTGCCGGTGCCGTAGGTTCACCACAGTTGCTACAGCTTCCCGAAGTAGGACCAGCTTCAGCGCTTAACCATCATTCTATTCCAGTTGTTTTTGACTTGCCAGCTGTTGGTCAAAACCTCTTTGAGCACTTTGCATCCTTCCAAATTATTAAGCTGCGCAACCCGGTGTGTGGACTCTCTCTTGGAAATCCCAGTCTTTCGGATCCAGCTTTTTTCAAGGGAATGCCTGTCGATTGGGGCGTCAATGAAGCTTTACCCGCCGAGATGCTCCAAAAGGCTCTTGCTGATGATGGGGATCTGTCAGACGTGGAGAGACTGGGCGAAATCGGTCGGAACCATGTCGAAACTATGATATTGTACAACCCACTTGCACCCGACGTAACTGTTTATGGTAGTTTCGTTGGCACCTCGGTGATGCTCCCTCTGCCAAAATCTCGAGGCTCACTTGAACTGGCGTCTGCTTCACCCAATGGCCCTCCTGTAATTGCAGGGAATTGCTTTTCCACGGCAACAGATTGTGCGGTAATAGTCTATGGAGCTCGTCGACTACTGCAGTGTCTTACTGGCACTGAAATTGGTAAAGAGTTTGTAGAAACTGAGGTTGGTCCTGGCCAAGGACTAGAACCCTTGACTGTGGAAATTAGCGATAAAGATATTGAAGACCGGGTTCGTATCGTTGGTAATCCACATTTCTACATCGCTGGAACTTGTGCAATTGGAAAGGTGCTGGATACCAATTTACGCGTGAAGGGCATTCAAGGACTGAGAGTCGTGGATGCAAGCATATCCCGGCACCACTAGGAGGACACCCTCAAGCTTCATTATACGCGATTGCGGATCTGGCAGTAGAGATGATCGCTGAGGGGAAGTAGTCTAGAAGGTGCAAATTTATATTTCAATTAGGTTCCATATCTTCAAATCGTGAAAGGATATAAAAAATTTGTTATTGAAAGTTCCAAGTTCGTTTCGAGAATAGTGAGTAAAGAAAACACACCCTAAATCGATGGAAGGGGAAAGACAGAACCAAAAGTCTTAGGGTGATATTATCTGTAATGTTGACTATTGATCAGCTAATGGTATAATGGCATCTAAGAGATTCGATAAAACTATCTTGAATATGAAGTTATTTTTAGATTTGGCCTGAGTGTTTGCTTGAAGTTTCAATAGTAGCTAGAAACCGCATCGATCCATCCGTAAATAACTGACACGAACAAGCTGTTGCGAGTAAGAGGCTAGCATTTCACTGCTCCGCAAGCAGATATCTCATTTCTTCCTCACTTTGGAATAAACCAAATCAAGGACACCCGTGGGATAGTTTCTCCAGAACTAGGCAGACCAAGCATTTTTGACTACATCACCAGCATCACTAGGACGCTCATATGAGATCGCATCATCGTAAGTAGGAGCTGCTGTAATAAGGAGCTTAAGCTTGTTAGTATGTTGTCTGAGTTGTCTGAGTCCTGACAACATAATTACAGTGTTGGGCAGCACAAAAACTCAGCTTTGTTTGAATACAATCTGTATCAGAGACTTTGTGAGATAAAAGGTAATACTTTTTGGCTTGGAAGCCGAAGAAAGCGATATCGAAAAAGTTGGAAGTGTATACGCGGCAATATGGCAGGATGATCGCTTCTTTGATTTGCTGGGTAGTAAAATTCACTATTGCCCAACAAGCGAGAAAAGACCTCAACGTCTACAGCCGGTACGGGCGATGTATGTAGGTTATAATTCCGGTGAAGAATATGACCCAAGATCTTATTCATCAGAATGTTACGAAAACCTACTGAAAATAAATCGAGACAAACTACTTTCAAGATGACTAAAGTGAGGGCACGCACGGAGTGCCCGCAGTTAACGCGTCGGCAACTTTTGTCGGTTGATTTCAGGGGTATATTTGCTTGGCTACTGCGTACATACTCGGTATGCTCGCAGCTAGTCTGTCGATATGCAAGTATTACGGTTACGCAGATGACTCGGCATACCATACTAAATAAGTATAGAATAAACATACTTGAGAGGCCCTCGAACATTTGGTTTTGCAGCTGCGCCATTTCGATGCAGTAGAACGGCATAATAATTGTTGGCTTACAGCCTCTTTCCGGAAGGTGTCAATGGGTTATAATAGTGCAGGATTCACATTGTGACTGGCCAATGATAGGCTTCTGTCATACCACATATCTTGGTCATCAAATACAAAATCAAAACTTTTTTTACGGAGAATGAATGTGGTTTAGGATGAGTCTTCATGACTGTGTAAGTGGGGAAATAGGATCTTACATAGAAGGAAGGGCGGGGATGCTCTAGCCAGCAAGTATACTGTCACATTCTTCTATAATCCCTAAGATAATTTCTGAACTATATATAATGATTAGGGTTAGAATTAGGTCATTGTATATAACTTTTGATGATCTACAAATATAACAAATTTGATTATTCAAATAGTTGGAAGTGCTATAAAATAACTTCTAAAATTATATAAAAGATTATAATTTATAATAAAAACAAACAAATGAAAAATCTAAGATTATTATTAAGAAAACTAATCACTTTATTTAGTTATTTTATTAATAAACCAATAAATTGTATATTTTATTTTAAATTATATAAAATAACACCAAAAAACATATTATAAATAGTTTTTCTAAGTGTTATTTTATTAAATATTTTCGATATAAAAATAGTAATAAAAATAAATAACAAAAAAATAATTAATTAATTAGAAAGATTATTTGATTTTTAATAAATATTAAAGAAGTTAAAGAATTTTAATCTCAGGGTTTTAATTAGATATAATATATATTATATATCAAAAATCCACAAATAAAATCCAAGAAAGATTTCATAAAATTTAATACTCAACTTTTAATATACTCTCATCTCAAATAAACTCAAGAAATATTTACTTTACAAATAAACAAAGAAAAATAAATCAATAAACCTATAAAACTAATTTTAACAATTAATATAAACAATAACTTCTTTCTCTCTTATCAATGTATTATTAAGAAATCCGAAATTATTAGTATTCTATTTAATTCAATATCCTTTCAAAATAAATATAATTATTTTGAAAATAATCAATTCCATCAATTGATTTTTAAAAGGTAAGACTTATCTTTACCATCCGCTGATTAATTAATCCGAAAATAATTACTGGAGCGCTTAGGAAGCCACGAGATGTACATTATGTGGAAGAAATCTTCTTAAACATAGTCTATGTCTCTATAACTATCTCTGTTCCAAGACATCAGTATCAATATCGATATCGATATCTTTAATTTCACAACAGCCTGCGATGTTATGTTAGATGCGGATTCGACGTCGATGTTCTGAATTGGTACTGCGTTTTGTATATGTCGATGTTATGACAGACGAGAATAATATCCCGTCTCTCGTGATCGATGCGGCACATTGATTCTTGGTTCCTACTTCGGATTACCAAGATAGTGATGAATTTACATTTGCGCTGTGTAAGGGCAAAGAATCGGGAGTCCATTATGTACCGCAAAGCTTAAGTACAGACTTAGTAGCTGCAGCTGAATGTTTTCCATTGATGAACGAATCCGTCGCATTAATTATGATTGTGTTCTCTACTATTCTCAAACTGGGAGATATACTCGCAAGATAATTCTATACACGCCTGTACTTCCGTAAGCGATATAAAAACCCATCTCCACACCACAAATCTCAAATCTCATCTCCCATCCCCCCATCCCTCCCTTCTTTTCTCTTAGAAAAAAATGAAATAAAATATCAAACAAAAACAAAGTAATTATATACTCACAAACTAAACTTCAAGCCACCAATACAAAATCTAAATCCAAACCCAAATCCAAACTCAATTCAAACCCCCTTCTCATCACCCTACTTCTAATTCTACTTCTACTTCAAAAAAAACAAAAAAAAACAAAACAAAACAAAAACAAAATAAATAAATAAATATCAAAAAAATACAATTCCTCTCCTCTCCACTCCACTCCCAAGGAAGTGAACACCCCAGAAGTTCTAGACCCAGAACTAGCGAACAAGAAGAGAAGGCGTTTATGAGGATATCCGATCTTCTCGAGAAATGAGCGGGTTTGCTATTATTTGCGTAAACACTCGGAATGGAGAAAATTACGATTACAATTCCGAAGCCTGAAGGTAAGATACTTTTAAGTTTATCCGGGGAATGCGGAGGTGGACAATTGAACTTTTTTTTTTCTTTTCTTTTTTTTTCTTTTCTTTTTTTTCTTCAGATTAGATATATCATATATGTATGGAATTAATAAAGTCAAATGAAAACCAGAAACTCAATAAAAAAACCATAGTGACTTCCTAACTAAACTAGCATGAATTCACTTACTGCTGAAGCTTGCCTGAAAGTGCTATGGTAAGTCTTCAGTCTTAAGTCTAGCACTTCAAACGATAAGTTAAAATAGACTCTACTAATTATATTTTAGTTTTCGTAGACCTCGCTTGTATGATGTATTCCAGGGGTAGAGAAGAGATCGCTACATTCATTGTCCTACGGAGTGATGGAAGATGGCAGATTAATCGGCGATTAGATAAGATCATAGTGATACTCGAGAACTGAAGTGAACTCAATATTCCCGGGGAAGTATCATTAGAGCGGGGAATGAATATCTGTCCACTTCTCTCTTTGTATCCGGTCGAAGGCATGAGAAAATAAGCATTTAAGAAAAGGAAGTGAGTTTTATACGATCAGAATAAGGGAGGAAACCCGTTGATCAACAGTCAAGGCAATTTGAGAAAGGGATTGAAGGGATTGAAATAGAAATGAACAAGAAGATAAACCTTCGCATTCCAACACAACCTTAAAAGCAAAGCAAGAATTGAGGAAGTATATTTAAAGTTCAGCGGAAACCCTGAAGCGGGAACACCACATGCTCGGACATTAAAACAGTACCCAACATGAAACTATTTATCATCTGATTAACATGTCCTCGAATTTTCGACGTCATAATACTATACATCAGATAAAATTGAAACCAAAGTGCGGGTGGCAAGTTCATTCAGGAGATGACTAGATAATATGGTTGTTTGTGATGAAGATGAAGATGAAGATGAAGATGAAGATGAAGATGAAGATGAAGATGAAGATGAAGATGAAGATGAAGATGAAGATGAAGATGAAAATGAAAATGAAAAGAGAATGAAAACACGGTGAAGGAATATTGTTAAAGACACGTTGTCATAACTAACAATATTTGTCAACAATTAATCTTGTAAAACGTGAATATATGAAGAAAACATTCAATGGCATGCTAAAAAGGGAATGGTGACATCGAATGCTGTCAATTCTTGGTGCTTATATTAGTTCATGAGGCACAGACAGAATGGCGATAGAATCATTGGTACACGTTTCGAAGATTTCGATAAGAAAACCTAGAAAGGTTCCAAGAAGGAAGCCAAAGGTTAAAGATCCAGAGACAAAAGAAATAAACTTTGAGATGTTTCGTCTCCTCGCACCGTTCCGTAATATGTATCTTCATGTATTCCCGTGTATCTGGGGTACATGATGCTTCAGCCTAGAGGGAGAGGCCACGAGCTATAGTCCGTATGCAGGCTTGACGAATACCGAGTCTTGGGACATTTAGTGATTAGTCGTACGATGTCCGAGATCTCAAGGCGGGAGGTCCATCAGCGACAGGACAGTGTGGCCATGGTAAGCTTACAGCAATGCGCCAGGAATTGTTTTCGTGAAGAATATGGCGGAGTACACAGTGTGGTGGTTGTTGGACAGCATAAAAGTTTCAGCCATACATACAGGACCATCTTACTCATTCCGTATATATTATCCCGTCTGTGTACCGATGCCAGATGGTGAGTTATGCTGATGATGGTTGAACTGATTGATGGATTGCTTGAATGATGAAGAAGTCGGTGAGAATATCGTGTTGCTCACGACATCGTTTCGAATTCTTGATAGGATGTTCATTTGACTGGATATCGAAAGCAACCGGACAAATTTCCACCAGTGGTCCCTGTCCGATGGATCAAAAATTAAGCATTTGCGAAATTTAGCCTTTTCCGTAATTGATAACCCTAAGGCTGGATGTTTGATATTTCCGTCGTTTGGGCGAATCAAATCCACTTACACTAACATGTCATTTGTTTCGGAGAATTTGATTCGCTTATTTCTGCAATCTAATCTTATAATATCCAGATCTGGCATAATGCTAAAGCAACCATATGGATTAAACTTCAGCTATTGGATATCTTACTAGGAATATCATGGCAGCTGCGTTCAATTGAGCAGGTGGAGGAATTCCCATTGGATGATTCCCCTTCCGCGCCAAATACTTCGGACATCCATCTCAGAAAGTTCATGAGCCTGGTGAATCGTGATTCCATAATTCCCATCATCTTTGTATTTTTATTATTTATTCATCAATTAGATTTATTGATGTTGCTGATAATACGAGTCAAAAGAGAAGCTTTGGCCGATGGTTTGTCTGTAGCCATTGAGTCGGTGTTGGCAGATTCTGCAATGTCCGTATCTGGTCGTTGGATGGAGGGGTAAGTGTACATTTGATGCGCCGAGATAGGTTGAGTAACGCATAGATGATGCCTTATCATGACATTCCTGGTGCGAACGTAGCCTTAGGATATGGGTTACCGCATGTCCGTTCCATGGTAGTATCTCGTAATCTTTCCCAAGTTATATCCAATCATTTTCACACGGTTCATGGATGATGGATGGATGTGATGGATGGATGGATGGATGGATGGATGGATGGATGGATGGATGGATGGATGTATGTATGGATGTATGTATGTATGTGTGCATGTACAGTTATCAATCACATCTATTTATTGGTAGTGATACAAATTGAACCTTCTCATGGGCCAAATAATCGGAAAAAATAAACTCAGGAAAAAGAAAAACCCCGCTTCCCCAAAAATGGTCGAACTACTTGAGCACCTTCTCTATGAAATACTGATATCAACCTTTAAAGGGGAAGAGACATGATGAAGCCATTTTCATCAAAAATAAATCATCGCCGACATCAATTGATAGTGAAACAATGGTGGAAAATCCATCGGAATCTTCGGCCTGTCATACAATTCATACAGTCAAGGTCCACCGGAAACATTTCATGTAAAAAATCTTGGTAGGGAATGCCCAGTTGAGTACCGAAAGAATTATAACAAGGCATTGAGGGAAAAGAAGCCTCATTTACGTTCAATTCATGCAATAATCACCAAATATGTCATGTACAGTGCTGCAAGACTGCAAGACTGCAAGCCTCCATTACCGGTTTCAGTAGGTGTACGGAATAGATGAATTGTGCTATGCTATCCAGTCAAGCTATCCAGTCAAGCTATCCAGTCATCCAGCCATCTAGTCATCCAGCCATCCAGCCATCCAGCCATCCAGCCATCCAGCCATCCAGCCTTCAAGCCTCAATTCTAGAAAGAGAATATCTGCGCCACTATGCATATACACTGTGTGTAAGTACAAGGACGACAGTTATATTTCCTCAAACTTCCTCATATTTCCTCATTTTTTATTCATCATAATACGCGAAAAAAACAAATCATATCAAAAACGACTTGTATACTATGGAATAGTAACATGCAACTATTCCCAAAAATCACCCAAAAGAAAAGAGATACTAGAGCAGGAACCTGCCTACACAATCTACCTGAAGTGCCAAATGACCTAATCAACCCCAGCTCGGCGCATCCACCCGCTAACGAGGAATCCATTATCCTATCCATATAGCTCAAACCACTCCGTACCGAGCTACAAATTAGAAAGCTCCATACATACTACGGAGCAATAAAGATATATCCTCTCTTTTGATCTATGGATATCTTTTTGATACATACATTCATTTTTATGCATCAAATTGCCTCAAATCCGCTACCCGCTATCACATTTAAATCCCTGGTTTTTAACGCAATTTCCGAATTGGGGCGTTTTCTATCAATTTGATCTTTCCCATTTTTTTACTTTTCATTCTATATACAGACCATTTCTCCATTTCCCCTTCGACAAGCCTCGTGTGCGATGCAACATTCCAATGTCATTTCAATCAAAGCATTCAATCATACATCACCAATACCATCTCGGTCCTCATCTCCGTGGCCCCTTCATTCTTAACCACGGACATCCCACACACCATACCAGTCCTGTCGACGCGGCTCCGCAGTTTTAGGAAGACTCTCACCGGAATCCATCGGAGGAGAAATTGAACTTCTTATATCACCAGAACAATTATCAAAGAACTCAAACTGGACGAACATATAAATCTGAAAAGATTTATCATACGTATTATGTAATATCACAGAAACCTTCACCAACCCGGATTCTGTCGATCCCTTCGCAAATTCACTGACCCGAAAACGATGCACCATTCTACAAGCCGTTGAAGTTTCCTCAAAAACTCTAATTCATTCAACCCACTCTGATTCTTCTCCATTTATTCGACGTCATGGATACTACTCTGATTACTTTCATGTTGTGAGTTGAATGTTTTCATTCCTTCCCTAAGCTCAAGCTCAAATTGAATATCTTATCACGTGTTCTGTTCTGCATGCGCCTTGATCATCCCCTTGAGACAACCATTGACTTAAAGAAACTTTGTTTCTTGAGAACGTTCATTCTCTTTGCTTCACACATACCAAGAGATTCGGAAAGTTTACCAATCAAGCCTGGATTCAATAGCCATGATAGCCTTCAGAAATATAGCCTGTTTCGGTCTAAGACAAAAATGTTCATCTTATCTTGAGTCTCTAAATGCATCTTCTATTTACAGAAGCTTTTTTCATCACGTATTTCGTCATAAGCATGGGCATGAAGTTTATTATGCACATGCTTTCACTAATACCATATTGTCTCTTGAAACTTCAGGTTGGAGGGCCGCAACTCTAGTCAAACTTTGTGGCTCCCTGCTTCGCCAAGATAGGAGATGGACATTCCCAAAGTCTACGAAAATCTCGATGATCTCGGCGATCTCGATGATAGTTAGAATGGATTTAGATATAAGGGATCATTTTGTTCACATCAATGAAGAAATCATTTTAATCATAACAACTAATTTTTACTATCTTTTAGTCAAGCAACACCTAGAACACAATCTGTTCAACTTGTTGGATCTTGGGATAATTTTACCAAGCGATATCCAATGGAGAGAGATTCAAGACGCTCCCGTGAGCAATGGCGAGGTTGCCACACATTTAATGATATTATTTGTGATGGTGAGGGAAATGGTTCAATTAAAAGAACTGGTGGTTTAAAGATGGCTTCAACATATTACTACTACGTATGTTTATTGCCTAAGCGTCGAGATGAAATACTCACATTTTTATAGTATGAGCTTGATGATGGTATCGAAGTTCATGACACTGCCGTACCTTTCACTACCACTTGTCCTTATATGCCAGGTCAACCAGTCAATATTCTTTGGGTACCCATCGAGGTCTCAACACCAAGACTTCGAAGTGGTTCCATGGATTCTGTAAACATCACAGAAGGCAAAACAATGAATCCCGCCGATAAATTCATAACTCCTCGTGCTCCTCCCTCAAAACCAGATGTTACACGATCTGTTTCATTATCATCACCACATGCAGAAAAGCCATGCCATCGATCAAAAGATGGAAAGCTTGGTTGGGCAACAAAACTTTTTTCCGGACGTCGATCACGATCTTCATCACCAGCTGACCAAGCGGCTACAAGAAGATCATCTGAGCCTGATATCTGTCAAGCTACCTTACGAAGTTGTTCATCCAACTCGAATACTATTCATCAAATTAGCCCAGCCAACTCGGAACCAATTTCAAGAACATCATCTCTTACCAGAGTTCACGATTCTGTTCATGATAACCTCATGGCTCTCGGTATACCAGAAGAAATCTCGGAAGAATATGAAGATGATGATAACTTTGCCACACAATTTAAAGAATTTGTCCTTGAAAATAACAGTAGTATCACTCAACTATCTCCAGCACCTTCTCGTCGACAAGCATCACCAACTTTTGATACTTCCAAACCACTTCCACAACTTCCAGATGATGCATTTACATCATCTTCATCACCCCAACCTCCAACCCTCTCTTTAACACTACCAAGATCTCACTTCTCCGTCTCAACTATCTCAACAGCTCTTACTTCTCCAACCGATAGTCACTTCGGCTTCAGTGATACTTCATCAATGTTCGATTCATATGATGAGAGCGATTTAAATGAAGAAAATGTCGATACTTTTACATACAACCCAATGATCTCAGAGGTTGAAAGAAGAAAATTTATAGGATATAGTTTACCAGATGAAGATATTGCATCGGAACAAACTATTTGCAAAGCTTCGAGTTTGTTATCAAGAACTAATAGTCATGATACTTATCCCAGAGATTCGGCATTGGTGGAGGGAATTAAGGAAAGTGAGAGTGGTGAGGGAAGTGCTTTGGCGGATTTCTTGGACGATATGGGGTATTTGGGTGATACTATTCGTGATAAATGAGGGAGGGTTGGGATAAGATGAATATGGATGGTATAGGAGAAGAGAGGGAAGATGGAGTTGAAGGGTGGGGGGAAGGAAGTGTATGAATAGGGTTTGTGTGTGTATATAACGATTGGACGACGACGATAACAGGAGGATTGTAAAATCATAAGAGATGGATGAATGATACAGCGGATGGAATCATTTCTTGGTATTTGGGGGGAAAATTATTTGTAGTTATTTGTGGTTTAGCAGGGCGTCTTGGGTGGGAATATGAGTGGCATTGTGTATGGGAATACCTAGTATATATATACATATACAACAAATAAAGCTGGTCTTTGTATGTTTATATGTTTTATATCGGAGATGGAGGATGGGGTTTAAAAGGTGGATTGGGGGATGGCGGGGGGTTGGATGGATGGTGTTGATTGAGGGGATTCAGGAGGGTATTAGATGGTGGATTGGTAGAACATAAAAAATGGGAATTAGGGGTTAGGAGTTAGTAGTTAGAGAATTAAGAATTAGGAAATGGATTTATAAATGGATTTGTGAATGTGTGGTGTGAATGTGTGGTGTGCGGTATTTTTGATTTTTGATTGGTGAGGAGTGAGGAGTGAGGAGTGAGAAGTGAGGAGCGATGCTTATCATAGTATAGAGTTTAAATAAGAGGTAAGAAAAGAAAATATCAAAAATAATTATTATTATATAAATATAAATATAAATATATATTTATAATAATATTTATATTCTTTTGTTAGAATTATATTTATCTTTTTAATATATATATATATATATATATAATAAATTAAAATAAATTAAAAGTTTTATTTTCTTTAATTGATTTTTTCTAAAGATTTTTTAATTTTTAAATAAAATTAATATTTATATTTATGTTTATATTTTAATTATTCTTTCATTTTAATTACTTTTTTTATCAAAATAACAAAATTAATATTTATAATTATTTAAAATTTTGAATATAGATTTTTTATTTATATAATAATAAATTTTGGAAATTTTAGATTTTTGTAATTTTATTGATTGAGAAATTAAAGATTAAATTTATAATTTTCAATTTATATATAGTTTATATACAATTTTAAAATTTATATTATAATTGATTAAAAGATCAATTTATTTTAAAAATAATTTACAAAAATCCTTTTAATCAAAAGTTATATTTTTAATTCTTGTAAAATTAAAAATATAATTTAAAATTCAAAATCTTAATCTTTTATATAATATTTGATTTGAAGATTTCAAAAAGATCTGTAATTTATTTTTAGTAACTTTTATTGAAAAATTATTCAAGGTTTTTAAGTTTTTTAGATTTGTATATAAATCCTATATAAATTGAAAATTGTGATTTCAATTATTTATATCTCAATCAATAAAATTATGAAAAATTTGAAATTTTCAAAATTAACTAATAATTATATAATAAATCTATAATCAAAAAATTTCAATTGATTGAATTTATTAATTATTGAAATATTAATAGATAAAAATGATGATTTTTGATATAAAAGAGTGGCCGAGATTAGGGGTGGCCGAAAGTAGAGTACTAGACTTATGTTATCAAGTCTCGGATTAATCGTGGACTAGTCATCACTTTTCACACTCACATAGCTTTTGCAATGGAAAGTTTTAAAATATTATTCCTTGTATTTCAATGCTAGTAGTATAGAATATCACATTCACTGAGTTTAATACTAGATCCGGAGTCTTACACAATCCCTGTGGACTTGATGGACGTTTACACAGCTGGTGTCTCGATTCTAGAAAGCCATGTCGATATCCGCAACACTCTTTCTATACCGTAACCCTTGCCGAAATCGTATAAGTGTATTCCCACCCAAGTGAACCCATTTTTACTATGCCGAACATTAAGTTTCTACTTCCATAAATACTTTTTATAATCATCGCTTTTCTTGTTTCGCTACAGCTTCATTTCAAAGTTTATGTTTCGACGGCTCAAAACTCCTATCTGCCTGGTAATATATGACTTCATATAGGCATGAATAATCGAGGACCTCCGAATATTTCCTTCCGTCTAGTTATTGATGTTGTCACTTATATAATTTCCCAGTCGTAGTTGTCAACTTTGCAGCTAAGAATCACGGGTCACCATCTCGCTTCCGCCCTCGTCTAACAGCCAAGCACTTTTCTCGGTTACGCATCATGACTTTTCTCTAAGTGCCTAATAATCCATCCCTGCGTCAGTCACAATTAAATAATTGTCTGTCAATCTTATTATGGAGTATTCACATCTCATTAATTTGCAAATATTGTTGCGGGAAATCCCTGATTCTCGAGAGCCTTTATAGAGTCCCCACTCTAAGGTTCATATTGACTTACCCTAGTATGTCGGCTCACCACGCAGCCCAGAATCATTGCATCGAATAATCTGTTTATCCTTTCTTTAAAAGCATCTGCTCAGTTCGCTTTAGTTTCTTCACCCTCTACAGTAGAAAGGTTAGAGACGTACAGCTAGGAGCTGACATTTTAAGGATTTCTAATCTTATTTGCAATTGTCCAAAAAGAAAAACGAGGGTTATTTGAACAATGTATTTAGCATTGATAGATTAATTTTTCAGTAGCTGATTTATTATTGTTCTATTTGCAAACTTTCAAACGTTCGATTAATTTACTGTCTGTTTTCACTGTCGTTGTAAATCTGCTTTTTGATTGACATCATGATCTCTTATTCACAAAGCTCTTTATGCAATATGGAATCTAATAAGTGAGCCCATAGAATAGGCTTCAAGACCTTCATAGTCAACTTTGATATATGCCCTATCAGGGGAATTTCCTTCGAACTTACACTCTGCTACAATCAGGATCGTGTTCTGTAGATGCTTTATAAGTCTAATACCCTACTTTCCGACCACCCCTCTTTCCGGACACCTTTTTACACCAAAAATCGTGATTTTCATCTATTAATAACTTTACAACCAACCAATAGAATTTGATGAAATTTAAATCGTAGATTTATTATATAGTTATAACTAAATTCTGAAAATTTCAGATTTTTCATGATTTTATTGATTGAGAAATTGAAAGTTGAAATTACGATTTTCAATTTGTATTAGATTTACATACAAATTTGAAAATATTGAAAATCTTGAATAACTTTTCAATAAAAATTATTAAAAGTAAACTGTAAATCTTTTTGAAATCTTCAAATCAAATATTATATAATGGATTAATATTTTAAATTTTAAATAGTATAATTAAATCTTTATTGATATTTTTAGATTTTACAAAGATTAAAAATCATGACATTTTGATTAAAAGGATTTTTGTAGAATATTTTTTAAAATACATTGATCTATTTGATTATTTATAATATGAATATTCCAAAAAAATTACAATTTATTTTTAATTATTTTTGTTGAAAAGTTATTCAAGATTTTAATGATTTTGTAAATTTGTATATAAATCTCATACAAATCAAAAATCACAAAATTTAAGATTATAGATCTCAATGAAATAAATTCCAAAAAATCTAAAATTTTCAAGATCGATTGATAACTATATAATAAATTGACGATTCAAATTTCAATCGATTTTATTCATTGGTTGTTGAAATATTAATAGGTGAAAATGATGATTTTTGGTGTGAAAAGGTGTCCGGAAAAAGGGGTGGCCGGAAAGTAGGGTACTAGACTTATATCCTTCCATACTTCACAAGTGAGCCATACTAGTGTAGCCAGCCCTCCATGTTTGGGCCACACTATCGGTCTTAATTTCCAATTCCCAAGTCAGCGGATTGTCCTCTTATCTCTATTGAGTTTAGTAACTTCTATTTCTGTTTGTTCCGATATATAAATCGATATCATTGAACGTAAAGACATCCCATCCCACACAGCCTTGCAAAAATTAGCTTCAACGAACAGGAGCCCATTGTGGGTTGTACTAAGGTATATAGCTCCTTACGTAGTAGCCTAGTTTGTTCAAGCCGAATGTGAATTTATATGTTTTTTTGAGGGGCGTTTTTGGGTCCGTCAACGCATCTATTATTGTTGAGATAGTTATGTAGTCAAGTTTATCAGACTAATTCTCATATCGTCTTTATCATCATTATTAAAATCAGTATTGTCGTTGATAAACTAATTGACTGTCAGGCTTAAGGGGTACACCTCTTTGCATATCTTGCTCTCTAGTATTTCCGCTGGTATAACACCCTAATATCCCCTAATATATCATCTATAATTCCGACTTCCACAACATTCATATCATTCTTTTTGGTTATCCTCGACCCGGTCATTGTGAGAATGTTCAACAATCAGACCATTTTTACAACAAATAAATGCCACCATCCCAGTCTCCCCGCTTTCTCAGCCTAGAATTATTTATTCATTCAGTTTTTATCTATGGTTGGTGTATTAATTGGATCTATTAAGTTCTCATTACAATAAATCCATGGTTTCTTTTTCCAGCCTTAGTAACTATACTCTTCTATTCCCCGATTCTGCTTCAATCTTTAAATTTGCATGAAAAAGATGATTTGTACTTGTATCAGAACCATAATACGTCAAGAAAATGCAACTGCGGCTCATGATGTGATTTCAACGGTTGACTTTTGTGCCTATGTTTCTTTTCGGTGTTTTAGAAATTTGTTAGAAAATCCCTAAATATGACTTATACAAGCCGACAAGAACCCACAATAGTTGAGGCGATCAACTATACTATTATATTAAGATGAATCTCTCAAAAGGCGGGGAAATGAATGATGAGCCCTTTTAGATAAGAATAAGCGACAACATGTTTGGGATGAATAACGACAACACTATCGATGAGAAAAAATGAATAACATAAATGGATAGATTCAACAATACTCTTCTTGACTGCAACAGTGATAAATAGACTACAAATCAAGTTTATTAGGTAGAAATCCTGCCTCTTTGACTTCTTCACATCCTTCCCATGCCCACGAGCACCACATTTTTGTATACGTATTGCACAACGCTCACATGTTTGTTTATTAGTCATATTAGATCTCTGCAATAGTAAGTAGATCCAAGATCAGTGCCTGGTTTGGTGCCGCCTCAGTCATACAGTGGTCACTGCACTCCTATCAAGGGGTAATTGTCGATTTTTATATGCTTCCATCAGTAGCCAAAGCTAGATGTATGCTTAAATATCCTCAAATCTATTGATTTCTGTCTTTCCTTATTTTGTCAACCTCCACTTAATTTGGCCTTTTTGATTCACTAAACACTCATATATGATATAATATTTCAATCATTTGGTACGAGCATTGATATCTTCGACTCAGTAGTGTTACCTCCCATTACGTCACCACTGCACTACAAAATCTTCCGCTAAAACGTTCTACGCAGTATATAATCTGTCCCCTCTACCTGTTAACCTTCAAGAAACTACGAATCAATCATCATAGAGTCCTCCACGAAGTGTCTCTATGAGCAACCTTCAAACCTTCAACCTCGAGGAAATGAAAATAAGAAAATGATGGATCGAAATTTTGGGGAATGGCAAGTGTGTAGATAGATATATACTGCCACCGACAATAAACAGACGATATTTAGTATTCTCACTACTCCACTTTCAAGTTCTCACCATTACAAACTTCGAACTTTCCGCCTTCCCCATACCCACCAATTTTCTCAACACAAATAACCCTTCTTTACTTTTCTACCATCTTCCCGAGCTCAATAAATGATCTATATCCATACTTGATCACGAGAATTCCTCGCTCGTCGAGTTGCAGTGTCTGAGAAGGTTGAATATTGAAGAGCTTAGAGTTTCCGAGACGTATTTATAGAGATTCTACCTTGACTTCCGTCTTTGTTCTCCTCTTCTACATACTGTTGGGACCATCTAATTCACCCACAAAAAAGTAGCTGATTCGCCATCAGCCTATGCAGTTGATCATGAAGATCCACTGCTTTCTGATCAACACTATCATTATATTCACTATTCTGCCCACTTTGATTATTTCTTTCAATCTATATAAACTTCCATTCTTGCTATTCATTTAGACCCTAAAAGAGTCTCTAGGGGTAGTAGACTTTTACAAACTTTCGTGCGTTCCTGTGATCGGAAGGACGAAGACCAGATATAAAATTTGGGAAAGAGAAGTCAGGAAGATAGTATCAGACTGGAAGATATGGTTTCAGGGTATATAGGTGCTATCATCATCAATCATTGGACGATTGTTGCTATTCTTATGATTGTCGTTTTAAACCATTACTGTCACCATAAATAATAACTCTTTCATATCCCATCTTTTATTCCCCTCTTCTACAAAATTGTTGAACCACTTCCCCTATTCCCTCCTCAAAAGTGGACTCTTAACTTTCCCTCCAATTTCACAAACTTTAACCCGTTCTATAAATGTAATATCTCTCTGATATTAAAGAAACACAGTGGCGGAGAGAGAACGGGATATATATATCGTTGCTTCCCCCCTGATTCATTCTTCTCAACTCCCAAGCTGACCACGATTCACCTAATATCCACAAATACCAAAAAGATAGCATGCCCCCATATCAATCTACATGAATTCAAAAAAAATCAGAAAATAGACTCGCTTTGAATTTTTCTCAGGGCCCTGGAGGATATGACACTCTCATAACACTTACCCCATAGATTGATCAATATATATATATATACCTTCATTGCTTTTAGCCATATCATTATCATAAATAATATCTCTTACCAAATATTTCAATCTCAAGTATATAAAACCGCTGATTTAATGCACACCTGCATCCCCTCAAATCCTTCCCTTTCTGCACAGCCCTCCCGAATACAATTTTCTCTCGTATATTATTAGTTCCTGGGATAACCACTTGAACTTTCCATCTTCTATATTGTTAACATCTTCCGTCAAGTTTTTCGATATCCCGAGAAAAACTTCTAGGTGTCTAGGTGTGGAGGCCTCTCAGAAGCTTCGTATCTTTTTTTACCCCATGTCCTGGTTTTGAAAAGATGTCCTTCATTAGATACGAGAAAGTTGACATCCTACTCAATCATTTTAAACTAAACATCAAGAAAAATAAAATGCATTCACTCCTTACTCTCCACACTCCTCACTCCACACTTATCTCTCTATCTCTTCTTAGTCAGGTATATAAATACCTCCACCGTCTTCCTCATAAACCTAAAAATCAGGATACCATATTTCATCCAGAATGAAAAGTACTCAGATGTTTTCTCACCGAGTTATGAAAAACTTGAGGATTTCGTTTTCCTAAGAAATTAGTCCCCGACCGGAAGATGATTGTAATGATATTATGAAATTTCATATATCTAATACTGCTATTATACGATACTTTTATTATTATCGAATTCAAGATCGAATAGTAGTTTTTATTGTTGATGAAATCTCAGCATTATTAATCACGTCTTTCTCTTTTATATCTTCTCTATCATCAGTGCCCTCGACTGAAATATTCTATCCCCATCCGATCACTCTTACACGTCTACCACCTTCAATTTTTCACAAATTCAAAATCTACACACACTCAGAATCATTTTTCGGGAAAAATTATAATTCCTTTATATTTAGAAAAGAAGTCATTGAGAAGTTAATTTATTTTTTATATTTTTTTCTTTTAAAATTTAACTCTTTTATTTATTTTATTCACTTATAAGATTTTATATTTAAATTTTATTATTATTATTATTATATTCAATATTATAATATATCAAGTAAAATATTCTAAATCATAATAATAAATCGCTAATTTTCGACCCCAACCTTTTAACTTGCTCTTAAATAACCGAAAAAGATCATTAAACTGAGAAAACCAACGATATAACAGCTCAGTTCATTTATATATTTTTCCCTATCTTGGCTGCTTTTCGTTCATTCATCTATTTTGATTTCATCCAGCTCAGCTTAGCCCAATCCATCTACCCCACCTATTCTATTTACTCTATCTACTCCATTTACTTCATTTACTTTATCACTCTTCTATTCCATCTATTCCATCTATTCCATCTATTCCCTAACTCTACCCCATCTCTCATCTACCCTCTACCTCATCCACTCCATCCATCCATCCATCCATCCATCCATCCATCTACTACACCAATTCAAATTCTCTTCTTTCTTCTTTCTCCTATCCCTCGTTTCCCTCATCATCTTATATATTCCTTCTCCTTTATTATATACCACCCAAAACTCCAAAACCCAAAACAATACATCTCTATGTTTTATTTTCTATCTTAAACTTATAACAAATTTTATTTTCAAATTTTATTTTCAATTTTATTTTCAAAATTAAAAATATTTAATATTTTAATTTTAATTTTTAAAATATATATATATATATATTTTCTATTATTATATTTCTATATCTTTTTTATTTCATCCTCTTTCATCTCAATAACATTATATAATAAAACATTTATTAATATTTATCACCCATCACCCATCACTCATCACTTATTATTTATTATTTATTATATTACCTCACCTCACCTCACCTCCTCATCCCACTTCAAATCACCTCACCTCCTCATCCCACTCCAAACCACTCCACACCATTCAAAACCACCTCATCCATCCATCCCACTCACCTAACACCACTAACTATCAAATACACCGCCCAACTTTCAATAAATCAGCAAATCCCACTCCACCCATCCACTCCACTCCTAGTGTCCTACCCAATTTTCCGAGTGCGAATCCGAATCCGAGTCCGAATACGAGTCCGAAATACCAGAATAGTGATTTGATTTACCAAATACCAGAACCAAAACCAAAACCAAGAAAATAAGAAATAGAAACATGTAAAAAACACGAATAGAAAATCCATGTTCATTTCATATCCCAAAGTAATTTAATAAACAAGAATAAAAGGTTATAATATTACTATTAACCGTATCCTTTCTCTGCCCTTCGCTCTGTTCTCATCTTCATCCATTCATGGTCATCCTCATTGCATTCCATTTATCCTATTATCTCGCCGGCTTCCTTATCCTCATCTCCCTTGATGAACTTAAGTTGAATATCGTCCTTTCCTTTCCACTCCATTCCTTGTCATTATCCATCAATTCCACTCGTCTACTGCCTTGACCAAATGAATTCTGCACTTGAAGTGAATCAGATCTCGCCATAATCCCACCACCAGCCATCTTGGCTTCTTATCGAATCTTTCATAATGTACACACCCCATCGCCCTCCATAATCTCCCTTATAGAAAAGCGCCCACTTTCCCTTCTCTACAAAAAGATGCTCCCCGAAAGTATTATCCCAAATTTCCAATCAATACATAGAATGGTAGTCGTTGAAGAAGAAGAATCCCAAATCCCCCATCAAAGCATTGTTTGTGTGGTGGTCGTAATATACATCCTTTCTCTTCCCTCTCATTTCCTTCATACGTTTATCCACTGCATTTCCACCACTCACAATTCTTTCTCCACGACTTGAACCTTATCCGCCTCAACCAATAGTTCTGCCGCCTTCCTACTTCTCTCATACCTTCCGGTAGTATCCCCAACCCAAACAGTCCCTAATATTCTATCCCAAAAAGTGAAGAAAGGTTGACTGAAATTTGTTTTAATTCCCCAACTTTGATGATGGATATCATGATATCCTGCATTATTACTTGTGATATGTTGAAGAGGATCCCATGGAAGTGCATAACCACAATGATCATCTACAGTTTTAATCGTTGAAGCGACGAAAAATGCCATTCCTTGACGAGGTGTCATGCCAGCAACTTTATAGCCGATCGATGCACCAAGAGTATCGAGGAGAAAACCTTCAAAGGGATGATTGTACAGTGCTCCATAGGCATATGGAACATAGAGACGATGATGACGGGAGTGGAAAGTTGCTGTAAAATCACAAGTTAGATTATCGTTTCACGTGGAGAGGTTCACTAAAATGAGAACTCACTATACAACCACTTATTCATATGCATAGCTCTATGCAAAAAATATTGCCAAGTATCCACAATAGCGACCGCCAACCCAAATTGTATAGCCGGTACGATATACCAATATATCATCTTCGCAGCCCACATTTCCCATTTCGCAAAAGCCGGAATTTCTTGACCACTGACCATATCCAAACCATCGATTAAACCAGGATAGTTACCACCAGCCAATACTCCGGCAACCATAGGCCAGTTTCCTGATACATTTTTCGATATCGCGGATGCATTAAGTCCAATTAGACTTAAAATAGAGGGTAAAGCTCTTTGTGCTATGCGTATTCTTCGCGCCCAATTCGCGATATCGAAATCAGTTTTTCCGGCCATTTCTTCCGGCTCAGTAAGACCTAGCACAGCTCCAACAACTGTTTGAACAATTTGTTGAATGATGACATCGCGAGCGACTTCGTAACGGGAGACATGATTGCGTTTGAGGATTTCTGCCGGTGTATGCAAGCGGTATTGGGGCCAAATGTCTAGAGTATCGATTAAATGGAAGGTGAGGGACACAATCCAGTATGCAGCAATTGGCAGAATGAGAGAGAGGTAGAAATCGGATACGTAAGGGATGAGTGGTTTAAGAGGAGTGAGAGTATAAGAAGGAAGTGGCGGAAGGTCGGACATTGTTGTTGTATTGATCGAAAGGGTGGTTAGGTTCGCCATTATGTCGAGAGTATTGTATTGTTATTATTGTAAGTTTAGAATTGATTAAAATTGAGTAGCCAATTGATAGCTGCAGTTACCGTGTTGCTCACGAAAGGAATGTGTAATGTGTTGATGTATGGTGGAATATCGAAGGCTGACAGTGGGTGGTTATGATAATAAAAGTATAAATGGGAAAGAGAGGATAAAGAAAGTGTGTATGTAGTCGAGTGAGGGTGATGAAGAGAAGAAAAGGCAGATGGGAGACAATTTGATAACGACTTCTTTTCCGATCTTCTCCCACTTTATCAATAAAAATCAATACCTCATCTCTTCTCTCTTCCTGGATCTTCCACTTTTCTTTCCAAAAGATATTAAAAGGGATGCCACGCCTTTTAGCTTTTAGTTGTTGTAACTTTTCTTACTTTCCATCAATAATAAGCGGGTAGTTGGGGTTTACTTCATGGGAAAGCTCTTAATAGTAAGGATCCACGCCACATGAAATCAGATGAGGTTTTCTTTTCTTTTCGATCGAACGAATGGAAAGTTAAAGCCGGTTCTTCCGGATTGGTATTATGTAATCATGGATGACCAGTGTACCTGTCAATCAGATGGTAATTTAATATTATTTCAAGCCATAAAAATGCTTGTCAAGGAACCTTGGAGGTGAGAGTGGAAGGTTTACGGTTACGCAGTATGAATGAAAACAGTGGAAATCGGATTATCGGAAAACATTCAGCATTCCAGATAAGATTTCAAGGATAACCAGATTTCAAGGATAATCTATCAGATGACTTAGGTTATGGAGTTAACTGTTAACAAAATGCTAAGCATCATGTTCATGTTCATGTTCATGTTCATGTTCATGTTCATTTGAAGGCTCAAGTTGCTTTCGTACGATAGCTACGTAGGTAATAAAGAGTACCCGAGGACATGCGGCCTTGTGATACTTGTTGAATCTCCATCCAGGCGAATATCGTACTGATTCGTTGGATATTTGAATGGTGGGATAGGATTGTCATGCAATACATCTATCTATAAGAGCGGTCTAATTCTTATCTGATTGATTTTAGTCGGAATGTCAAAGGCCTGAATCGCCCGACATTTATCTTATCTACTAGCTATTTTGGAACAATTTCTAGATGGGATTTGCTTGTACGGAGCATGTAAATCGAGGTCAGTGAGGATAGAAATAGATATGATACTGTTTTATCCACTTTATTCATTCATGCTTTAAATCTATATCAATGGTGAAATTCCATCTTATTGTAATATACAGAAAAAGAGAAAGGAAGGCTCCAGCTAGGTATAAAAGCTGCTTTCTCACCAGATAGTTCTGCCTCCACGGCGGTCGTTCCCGAAGGGCCAGCAGAGCGTCGTCATTTCAGTTCACTTTTTGATTGATATTAATTGGGGCAAGGCCACAAACCCCCTTTACTTCGCTGCGCTCAAACGTTTTGTCTGTTGCTGTATTACTATCCATGGCTATCAATAGAACAATGCCAGTCGAATGGAAGATGGCAGACATCGGTGTATGGAGTAGTACGGAGTATGGAGATGAAGTGAGCCTTGGCGCATCCATACCATGGGCTGACTGAAAGTTCACTCGGAATAAATAGAGAAAATAGGTGAGAGAAATTGAAGCATCTTGTACTCAACCAATAATATTACCTAATCATAGTACTGAGTTGAAGTCATCATAGCTCAATAATATTTTCAAGTGTGGTTCCAGTTCAATATCTGGCATTTTTCAATTTCTATCGAATTTTCCCTGTGGGCTGATCTTAGGCTGACTAAGTTCTCCAAAACTACTAACACGCTAAACCAAATTCCGTTAACCTTCCCCTCCAAAGAATTTTCCCACTATCTCCCTTCATCAGAAACCATATCCCACAAACTTATCCCACATACAACACAACACACCATTTATCTAATTTCATATCAAACCCAATCGTCAATATGATTATCTATAAAGTAAGTTCTGATTTAATTTCTATCTTCTAATACGTCGGCAGAATATTCCGAAAGTTCGAAATTCGTTCCATTGTATGGAGTGGAAGTTTACGAGAAAGAAATCGAGAGAGATGATGAATGAAAACTAATTTTTGAACTTTTATAGGACATTATCAGCGGTGATGAGATCATCTCTGACTCATACGACTTGAAGGAGGTTGATGGTGTTGTTTACGAAATCGACTGCAGCATGATCACTGTTGGCGCTGTCAGCGTCGGTACGTTCCAAAATTACCCCGCCTGAATTCGATCGAGTCTTCGAGACAATTTACAACCAAGAAAGAATAACGATCTAACAACATTGGGTTACAGATACTGGTGCCAACGCCTCCGCTGAAGAAGCTGAAGAGGGCGTCGAAGATGGAGAACAAAAAGTCAACGACATTGTTTCATCTTTCCGTCTCAACTCTACCTCTTTTGATAAGAAATCTTATCTCAGCCATCTTAAGGGTATGTCCCTTACTCTTATGTATCAGCAAAAGCATCGAGACTAATATTAATGTATAGGATACATGAAGACTGTTAAGGAGAAGTTGAAGGTAGGAGGTGCTTCCGAAGAGGAGGTTACCAAATTCGAGAAGGGTGCCGCTGCATACGCAAAGAAGATTGTTGGTGGTTTCAAGGATTACGATTTCTATGTTGGTGAATCTATGGATCCTGATGGAATGTATGTTTTTCCTTTCTTCTTTCTATACGTCATAGACGAAATCATATACTTACATATTTTGATAGGGTCGTTCTCATGAACTACCGTGAGGATGGTGTTACTCCATTCGTCACCGTCTGGAAGCATGGTCTTTCCGAGATGAAGGTTTAAGGGAATGCATGTTAGGGATGTTGGGTAAAGGAATAAAACACGCGCTTTGGTGTAATCCACCATATGGACTCGCATCGTCCGACTCGATTTTTGAGAACTGAATGCTATCTACAATATCAAAATACAATGCATCTAAATGAAATGAGATGTTTCATATGAAATTTTAGGTGAAGGTCAAATTGTGACACTACATTCCTATCCTGCTGGATGCCTGCAAATCTTCCCATGATGTGTTCCTCTTAGCATATCATTTTTCGAGATTCATTGCTACTACGTATATAGCAGACTAGTAATGCGTTAGGAAGAGGGTTAGCTATGAGGTTGACCTCACTGACATGCAAACCTTCAGCACTTCTTTCCGTCTACCTCAAGAAAAACAATCTATATATCCCCGCTCTACCAACCATATCGAATAAATACTAGGGACAATCAAATATGATGTGATAGGATGTGATGTGATATGAGGGCTAGGGAGTCATGCTAGTGTGGAAGGGAAGGGGAGGGGATTGGATGGTTAGTGGAGGATGGATATTTGTAGATACGTATTGTGATGCTATTCAGGGCGGAGATAGAGGAGATGGAGGGTTTATGGAGATTACCTATGTGTACTAGTGAGTGTTGGTTTTTGGGAGGTGAGGAGGTGGGGTATATTCTGTCGGAGCGCTGGGAGCGGTAGGAGCTTCTTTGCTTTGAGTTTGGGCGGGGGCTTTCATGGGATATCTGATCTGATCTGATATATGGAGTGGAGTAGAGGATTTTGAGGTGATGGCTATGTGGCCTAGTAGGTGGTGGTTTGATCTCAGGAGAGGAGTAAGGTTCGTTTACTGTATTGGGGTTGTGACTAAGACTTGCTTGCTGTCTTGGGGTCGTTGTTCATCGCTCACTGTTCGATGAGTTGGTATGTTGGGTCAGTCAGAGGTTATGGTTATATAGATGGATTGGATGGATTGGATGGATTGGATGGATTGGATGGATTGGATGGATTGGATGGATTGGATGGATTGGATGGATTGGATGGATTGGATGGATTGGATGGATTGGATGGATTGGATATGGGGATAGATGATCTTGATTGAAATCTTTACTTTTTTGGAAAAGGAAAAAAAGAGAGTAAGGTAACTGTTAATCATAATGTGTGCAATGGACGGACGGGTGGATGGAACGGAGCAGCGAGTATGATCTTGAAGTACAGGTAGTACCTAGTATTCTGTTCTGTTTGGGTTCGAGAAAATGATTTGATAATACCTAGGCAACTTATGATTAAGGATTCCGGTAAATTTAATATATAAAAACCAGGTAAACGATGTTTTCTTTTTCTTCTTCTTTCTTCTGATGGGATGGTATGATTTGAGAGGGAAAAGGATTCTTATAGGTGTAATGGAATTGGTAAATTCGGTAAATTCTTTACCATCATGATGATGCGCGATCAGTCTGTTCTGGCTGCAATGTTGAAAGGCCACTTTATTGCTTGACTCTGCTGTTGGATACCTACCTAGTATACTAATTGATAGGACAATTCTTCTATCGAGGAAGATATCTGATGTACGGAGTAATTTACTGCATATTACTAGGCGAGAAGGAAATCTATAGCTGAGCCGATGTTGGGTTTAGTTGGGATATACTAGGTAGGTTAATCTTCTTCTTGATACATGAACTATGTGATAGACGTTGTGTAATATGGAATCCTTATAGATACTATCTTTAAAAATTACAAATAATCCCAAGTAAAGTCGACTCCAACTTCTCCTCTTGAATGTGATCATCTGATTGTAGAGTCTGCAAAGCAAATACTGTAAGACGATGAATGCAAGGTGAATATTGATTGGATATCTATTCTTCGAGAACCTTGTGTTACACTTTTGCTTTGCCTCATTCATTTCTTCCATTGCATGAACAAACAATTAAGAAAAAGCCCAAAGAGATAAAGAGAAAAGTCCCAAAAATAAAAAACCCCTGCCCTCACAAAGCAACTTCAAAATTCAACGACCCGGGGAAGATTCGAACTCCCAATCTCCAGAGAATTCAAACCGAAATCTGGCGCCTTAACCATTAGGCCACCGGGCCTTGTATTGTTCGTTATTTGATGAAGGCTATCCCTTGGGCTGATTATATTGATACCTTGATCAATGGAATGGATGGGGATGGAATGTTGTACTACAATACGATTCTGCATCATGATGGCGTGGAAATATGATATATTGTATTCGGAGTTTCGGGAATAAGCGAACGTTTGAATTATGACATACCTACTAGATAACTCGTAGGTTTGTAATACAACTCAGTATTGCGCCGGTAGAAATCAGAGATAAATCGAATTTTGGAGATAGCTTCATCATAAAAGTAGTAAATCTCATTTTATAAGAAATTTCTTCAAACCCAAGTGTTAGGTTATCCGATGGGTATTGCATAATGACTATGACAATTTAGAACTAGCGAACAAGCTACAGTACTAACTTACCGGTACATGGTTAGAACATAAGACTAAGTAACTCCCCGCAACCATTTTCCCCTAGAACATCATTTTATATTTTATACATCACATCACAATGTCGGGATTTAAGGATACCTTGAAAAGTGGATGGCATCCAAAAGGTAAAGATGGAAAACCTAAGGAAAGTTGGAGAGGTGATTTTAAGGGTCAAGTAGCTGGATTGTAGGTTTATCCCCCTTTTCCGAACGAAACGAATGAGTTTAGAACTCAGGGTATACTGTATTTCTTGAGCTAATCTTCAATCCAATAGGGTAGGAAAGGGTAAAGATCCAAGAGAAGAAGCTCTAGAACATCAATCTAGACCATTATCATCACTAAAAGATCCTGCATCATTCGGTCCACCACCAAAAAGTGTTAAATACCATGGAGCTGCGGCTTTACCACCTCCAACTAATCTATCCAGTCAAACGAGATCAGATGCAGGAGGATGGGGAGCTCCAATACCACAAAGTGAAATAAGAGCAAAAGAAGAGGCGGAAGAAGAGGAAAGAAGAAGACAAGAAGAAGAAGCGGCGAAACCTAAACCACCACCAATGCCATATCGTGCGAACACGACAGGATTATCTATAGCACATTTACCACCACCTCCTGGAAGAAAAGATGGCGCAGATGGTAGGACACCTCCTATGAATTCTATAGCTGGTACATCACAACCTCCTAGTTTACCACCTAGATTACCACCACGTCAAAATTCTAATCCATCATCATCGGCACCTTCACCTCCTCCTACATATGGCACGGCTACATCGGATGCGGATCCACATAAGGGTGTATTGAATCAAGGAGCATTGAGTAGATTAGGAGCAGCAGGAATATCAGTACCTGGATTTGGAATTGGATCTACAAAATCTAAACCAGCATTACCACCACCTGCACCAACACGAAGTTCAACCAATTCATCACCTACACCTCCTGCGAGAACATCTTCACCGCAATTACCCGCAAGAACATCTTCACCACAAATACCTGCAAGAACTTCATCACCACAATTAAACGAACTTCAATCTCGATTTTCTAGACTTACATCCTCATCATCATTAACCTCTTCATCTCCTAAACCCTCACCTCCAACCGAAGGAACTACCTTTGCACAAAAACAAGCAGCCCTAAAAACCGCATCGGCATTCCACAAAGATCCATCATCAATCTCATTATCCGATGCCAGAAGCGCTGCAAGCACAGCAAATAATTTCAGAGAAAGACACGGAGAACAAGTAAAATCCGGTTGGGCATCTGCGAATAAATTAAATACAAAATATGGGATTGCAGATAAAGTTGGAACATATGGAGCTCTTGCACAAGGAAGTGATACTTCACCTAGTAGAAATGATGGAACGGTAGAACATTCATCTAGTCCGACCAGACATGGTTTAAATGGATTAAATGTACAATCCGTTTTGGGGAAAAAGAAACCGGCGCCTCCGCCTCCTCCTAAGAAGAGGTCGGATTTGAGTACTCCTGGAAATGCAACTCCGCCGCCTATTCCTAAGGCGACTAAACCTAAGCCTTTGATTAGTGGTCAATACTAGGTATCCTTAGTTGTATAATTAATATTTTTATTTTATATTTTGAATGTTGAAGCTTTTTATTATTATTGTTATTAAATAAATATAAATTTATAAAAATATATATATATATAAATAATATATAAATTATTAAATATAAAAACCAGGGGCCTGCGCCCACCGGACCCTTGGCTTTTTGAGAAAGTCTAATGAAAATTTAAATTTTAAAAAGTTTATAATAAATTTAAGTATTAAATATATATCAGAGTGCAGGCAGAATATCGGTTTGTTTTTGATAATTGAAAATTAAATTTTTTTATTTAAAAATAATAATTATAATATTTATAATAATAATAATACAAGGTTTTAGTATCGGCAAGCTGACAATTATAATCATTTATTAAATTAATTAATTTTTATTCTTGTTTTATATATATATATATATATATATATATATATCTATTGACTTTTATTAATTTATTTCTAATATAAATATATATACAAAAAACTTTTGAAATACCTCTTCTTGTCGGTCTATTCAGCTTGATATATATATATATATATATGGAGATGTTAATATCTCGCTAGGATACATATATATCCCCTCTAAAGCTAGTTCTATAATAAAAACACATTTGATATATTTTTCAAACCTTGTTGAAAAGTACTTTTCAAGGCAAAAAGTTTTTTGTAAGAGTTCTGGAAACTTCTAATTGTATATTTTATTGAGAAATAATTGTAATCTTATTTTTAATCCTCAATTATAAATAATTCATTAAAATTCAAATTTTTAATATTTTCTATTCAAACTCAAAATGATTGTCAAAATTCAAGATGAAAATGATAATTATGAATTTCATCAAAATTGAGGTATTCTTTGTAAAGTTAAAGTCTTTTAAGCTAAAAGAGATAGAAAATCGTAATCTTAGATCGAACAAAATTTGGATGTACTTCGAAATATTGTAAAAGGTATTATTAAATCGAATTTATTTAAAATTATTCATAAAAGGAAGGTATATCGACTCTTTATGATGATAGTTAAAGAGATTCGACAAATTATAAGGGAATTGATAAAAGATTGAAAGAAAAGAAGGATGATTTTTGAATAAATGAAATATATATTAAAGATTAAAACTTTGATATATATTATTCGATATGAATTATATTAGTATAATTATAAATGTTGTATAGTTTGTTTTAGATTATTTATTTTTAAAAAATAAACAAAAAAGAGATTGGATTTTGTATATATATATTGTTGATAAGAGATAATTGATATAGTTTTCGAAAAGTTTAAAGGAGGTGATTAAAGAAAGATTATATAATCAAACAAAAGCATTTTCGAGGTTGGAAAATGTAATAGGATATAGATGATTTGTAGAATTGAAGAAAAGAGATATAGAAATTATATCAAATCAATATACAGATTAGGAAGGACTTTTATAATGATATAAGAAGCTTTTGGTTGGAATTATAAATCTTTATTAATCTTTTTGAAGAAGAATTTTGATAATAAAAAGGTAAATTTAATAGTATATCGAGATCAGGTTTTTATTCTTATTATATTCTTTTTATTTGATGAATTAGGGTTTGAATATATATTCATAAAGAATAATATAAAGGTTTATTTGAAGTATATTAGATTAATTCAATTAGAGTATAATATTAAAGGTTTTCAATAGTCTCTTTTTTCTTTAAATTTCAATCTAATTGAGAAGGTATAATGTTGGATAAAGAAGGAATTAAAAAAATTATCATTTGTATTTACTTTTATTGAGGAATTGAAAAGGGAGCTTAAGAGATTGTGGGAGATGTTTAATCTTTTAAATTTCAGATTATATATTGAGAGATTGATTTGTAAATTAAAGAATGTGATTGAAATAAAAGGATTAGCTATTATTCATTAATATATTATCAGATTTTCAATAAAAAATATTGTGATATTGATTTAATATTAAATTTTCAAAAGTGTAGGTGAAATTTAAAGGGGGTGCGGTGAGTAATGACCAGAACTCTTAGATATGCAACAAAAGTTTCTGAATATTCTTTCCTTAATATCTTGGATCGGAAATCTCCACGAAGAGTCCACATAAGAAGCTCAAATCCTGCCATGACACTAGTAGTTTGCCTCTGCGTCCATTTCTACAGTAAGGGGAAAAGTTGATCAAAATCAAGGCCAACTAGAAAGTACTTTTCAAGACCAAGAAAGTTTTTCGATCAGATATGCAACAAATTTTTCAGCAGCTAACCAGTCAACCATCTTAAAATCGAGTGACTTTCGTTCGAGAGTACACAAAACGCCATATCTCCCTATGAGACTCGTAGCTTCGTTACCATACAATGCCTGAATAATAGCAAAACTGACTAAGTTCAAGACCAGCTAGTGTTGAAAGGTTATCCAGCTATTTAGCATACAAAAACCTGGAGCAAAAATTTACGCCTTGAAAATTACTTTTGTCCACACAGATATGCAACCAAGTCTCTTGGAATCTTGAAGACAGCAAGATATGACATCCATGGGCTGATCTCGATGGACATACGCAAATACGGCCTTAATCATAGTGATGAGTGTGCATGAAAATGCAGCTTAGTAGAATAAAATACGAAGCTAATATGGCGATTTGCTGCAAGAGATTTAGTTGTCTGCTTTTAGATCATAAATGAGTGCCGCCTCAGAACAAGAATTTCTGCTTGAACCTGGAATATTGGTTCCTACTTAGATGTCTACTCGAAGCTGCAAGAATACTTTCACCGGTAGCGAATGTGAGAGACATTTGTAGGCCTGGAAGGCTTTCCAATGTAGTAATTCATCGGATAGATCCATAACATTGAAGTAATCGTGCGCGTGGTTTGTTCTCGCTGGAGAACGGCAAGCACTCGAAGAATGGAATAAATGCATCTTTTTCAATAATTGCGTAATTTTCATTGATGGACAAGGAAAGTATATTATTCGGCGACATGCCAAAGTAAGAATCTAGCTTATTTGACATCGGCATATGATGTAACACTGTACGATACATACCGCCAAAAGAGTAGTTTCGAGCGGAGTATTGACGGTAGAGTTGCGGATAAAGCAGTCACTTAAATCAAATCGCCATATACCTATACTCCGATGGTAATCCAGATACGTCGGAAAAGTCAAGGTACATCTCGAATAAATGATGTCTTTTATTTTCCGCGAAAGAGCCTAGGTCTTGGTACCACGAATGATTCTGGCTAATGGGCAAAAGAAAGACGAAATATATATTCTATTTTCCAAATGATTTCTATGTATTCTCAAAAGGGTACAAATGGTCAGGTTTTCAATGACAGCTCTCTTTAACATTTCGTGGCGTTTGCTTGTACAAGTGCTGGTGATTTTGCCTTTTGTTGCATATCTGAAAGTTGGCCGGAATTATTGCAACGGAGATGAATGGCTGAGTTGAGCCTGGTACAGTGTCTGAAGTACGACATTCATATAAATTTTGTGGTTGAGTAAAGGGTAATGTAATTCTAGATCACTGGTGAAACTTGTGTGCTGGCCGCCGGAGAATGCTGAACGTTGTGGTTATTCCGTTAGCCATGTGGTTACAACATGAGATCAAGTTGTACAGCAGTACACAGAATAGTACGCTTCACGATGAAAAATTGTGAAATTGGCTAAAACCGGATAAATATGCAGATGTCGGACTCTCATAGATTTTGCTGAAAAGTCATGCTTTATATGCCCAAACACATCCTTAGACATTTTGGAATGACAAAACGACTGGACGGAAATCCATCTTAGGAACTACTCTGTACGTAATATACTTCCAAAGAGTTCCAAGTCTAGATAAAACGTGAAAGGACAGTTGCACTTGAATTCCGTTTCTTCGCGATGGATGCATCACTTCACTGACTTGTTGACATCTGCGTTATCAGCCTTTGGTAGCTACACAAAATGCATATTGAACGTGGTGGTTGATGTACGGAGGTCTATAATAATGACCAAGACCTGTAGGTAGCCCAGTGCATTATCGTACCAGTATATCGAGATTCGCATCGCAGCACAACGCGCTGTATCATGCAACTGTGCTTCGGGACAATATAGCTCCACTTGTGCCTCATTACCATTCATGTACTCCTCGCTTTTGACAAGATTCCCGTATCTAGCCGTTTAGTTATTAGCTAACTCGGATCGAAATGCTTTGAATACCATCATCAAGCCGTCAGACCTTAGGCGTAGGTAATTTTCGCCCAGAAATGGTACCAATGAAGCCATCGAAGTTTGCATCAAGACTTCTTGAGAATGCAAAATCGGTCCGTTGGCCTTTCAATTGTGGATGCAGAGTAGAAGTAGATGAATAATCTACACATGAATCTAAGGTACTCGACTAGATATACTCATAGGAGTCTTATTTTTATCGCTCTGACATGAAGTGTTTGTGTGATGTGCTTTGTTTGTTTACGACTTCCTTATCTTCGACTCTTTGAGATGAAATCGCGATAAATGGGTGAAGCGAAATCGGAGTCAGCACCAAAAATAAATAATTTTAGGTTCCCGCAAGGACAACTCAAAAGACACAGTCCACCAATTCCATGGCTTTATGTATGCGATGAACTTGCGAGTGGATTACTATTGATTATTTCGGATCCGAATCCATTTTGCCTTCAATATTGTTTGTCGTGAGATCTTATATCAACCTCAATTCCAGACTCCTCAAGACAATATCGTTACTCAAGGCCCCAAACGATGTCTGCCTCTCTCCCAGGAAATCGAGAATTACCTGCTTCTCAGTATGATCTCAGCACATACTGGGGACGGGTAATGCATTCTGCGGCTATTTCAGACCCTAGGTGAGGAGGAATTTATTGTGTGTTTTCACCAAAAGGTGCTCACACTTTCTTTCGCAAACACTCTCTCGAGCCATCGTGAAGTATGCAATATTTTGTACTGACCATGAAATAGAACATTGTTAGTTAATAGTGCCGGATTGGAGCATGCGAAGAGCCTTATCTCGAGTTACAAACAGGGGAAGATCCAAGAGATGACTCCGGAATTATGGAATGCGAAAAAGATAGTCGATTCAACATTACATCCGGGTATGTGAGAATCTGCGAAAATACCGGATAGAAAGCTCATATTATTAGATACGGGTACCCCAGTTTTCCTTCCATTTCGAATGTCATGTTTCGTTTTATCAAACTTGGTAGTCACAGCAGGAATGCTTACACCAGGATTGGGAGTAAGCCTTCTCAAGAAATTCAAACAATAATTTTTCCTTGTTGACATTTGGCAGACGACAGGAACACTGTTATGGCAAATCACGAATCAATCCCTCAATGTGGCCATCAACAATGCCAATGCCAATAAATCTACCCCTCTTTCTACCTCAAAAATTGCACAATCATACTTTCTCGCAGTTGGAGCTTCATGCTCTGTTGCACTTGGTCTCAATGCTCTCGTTCCAAGATTAAAGAAAGTAAGCCCAGGAACAAAGATGATTCTCGGAAGACTAGTACCATTCGCCGCTGTTGCAAGCGCTGGAGCATTGAATGTTTTCTTGATGCGAGGGGAAGAGATCAGAAAGGGCATTGATGTCTATCCAGTTCTATCAGAATCGGATAAGGCTAAACTTGCAGCAGAGGGCATATCTGAATCCGAGGTTGCTTCATTAGGCAAGAGCAAGAAAGCAGCCACTATTGCAGTCTCGGAAACGGCTATAAGTCGAGTATTGAACAGCTCTCCAATTATGGTAATTCCAGCTTTAATTTTGGTGAGGTTACAAAAGAAGCAGTTTCTCATGAGAAACCCCAGACTTACATTACCGCTCAACTTGGGTCTCATTCTTGGCACTAGTCTATTCGCTTTACCTTTAGCTCTAGCAGCCTTCCCTCAACGCCAAAGCGTAGATGCATCAAAGTTAGAGGAGGAGTTCTGGGGCAAAGGTGGAGAAGGTGGAAAGGTGGTTTTCAACAGAGGAATATGAAGGATTCTATAAATTATACCCGGGACATACATAAAATAGAGGACTCGACGTTCATATTTCCGAAGACATGATTCAGCTTTATCAACCACTATCTCCCAAATGTCCAGCATGCGGCTCGAGTTCTATTTCGGCACAACCAAGAGATCTACTTGCGGAATATTGATTAAAGCATAGACCATGGCGTTCATGGCTAGTTTTACAAAGGAATAGTAATGCGAGCCGTGGCTGTTTCATTTTTCGCTTCCCACCCCCTTCATGACGTGACCGTTGCCACGTGATCACAAACCTAAAATGCACGGGGACCACCCCCTTGTTGGGCGATCACATTCGTGCGAGATGAGCACGGATTCTATAAATGTATCGCAGTGGTTCCTACCTCGAACTCTCTAGACTCTCGTACGAAACGCATATGAATACAGTAGCATTCTCTCCTTGCGGATAGTAGGTATATATCTATCACGAAAAAATTAATCTACACCAAAGTTGCAATGATTATCCCTCCATACCTCGTCTAGGAATCGCCACTTGAGATAAAGACTATTGAGGGGTTATTTATCAATCGGGTGAATGAAGAACAATGAGGATGAAATTTTAGTGGCAACTTGCAGAATGGAAGTAAGAAGGACATGAAAACCATATCTAGATACTCGAGTAACCTAGTAGTTATTAGAAAAATATCAAAGAGTAAGAAACACTCCTTTCAAACAACTTCTATTACAGGTTTACGGACTTATTTGATCTTCAGGATTTGATTTAATTTTGTAGGTATACTAAAATTGTTACAGTTGGTTTCTTGGGCTGAGTCCTGGGCAATGGGTTGTTTTCTTTGTGAAGCATGATGACAGGACTTATCCATCCCATCCATGGATGGATGATTGACCATGCATCCATCCATCAATTGCAGGGTTGGTTACACCGATAAAGGATTGGCCAACTTGAATGAATAGAAAGACTTTTGGATGAATGTGAGGAGGGCCACCGACTCTTCTTGAAGTATTCAAATGTGATGTGACTTGAAGTGATGAGTATGCTCGGGGTAAGGTGGTAAGATGTGTAAGATTATTCGTGGCATGCAGAAAGGCTTGCAGGAAGTACGTACCTAGCATATTTGAATATATGGCAGCTACCCATACCATAATCCTAGATGTGTATTGTACAGGGGAAATAGCGAATAAGAACTTCTCATCTTCCCTTGGTAGTATAACACTCTTGGGACGACTCGAGGAATCATCGTGAGAAGAATCATCATGGGGGTAAATCGGATAGACCTGCTATGAAGGTTTGAAGATTGTTGTCATCAACCAACTTTGGAGCGTGGAGATACCTATTGGATATCAAAAAAGAGTGAATGATAAAAATAATCACCTGTTTATCTATCTGTGTAGGAATATATCCATAAACAGATATTTTCCTTTGATCACTTCATTGGATAATGATAATAATTCATTGGATAATTCAATATATATTATTTTTGCTTGGTAAAAGAAGAGAATGAGGAGAGAGAAAAGGCCTAAGCATTATCTATCTATCTAACAATTGGGAACAAGTTTGGCAGCTTTTAAATACACAAAAATCCGTCAAACAAATTAACTTCAAGTCTTACAGTAGTGATAGTGGAAACAAACAGAATTCACAATGATCAACTCTAAAATCTATCTACCTACATTCTACTAGTCGGTCATAAGCGACCTTGGACGATCCTCAGGAAACCCCAGCACCATCAAGTTTGGAAAAATAAGAAGAGATTCTTATTCCTCATTCTCTCCCTGCAACAACCTTATTACAAGATATTCGACGATATCCTCTCGTATTTGAAAATTCAGCACATCGAATCTACCTAATAAGTCAATATAATCAACTTTCCATCGAGAAATGTCGCGTATTTGACATTTCTAACTCAGCGCGATACGGTCGGAAAGATTAGAAAGAATTACCTTTGACCTCATCCTCATCCACTTCCAACGTCCACTGTCGACTCCTTCTTCATCATCGCGCAATCATTCCCCATTCCCCGTTCCGACATCCAAGCCATACTCTACTTCTTGAGACTCGACGATCCATCGTCTTTGACCTCGAGAATTCACACTAATACTTCGAATACTTCGAATACGTCAATAATTCGGGACGTGATAAGCCTAAGCCCACCTTAGGGTCGAAACGGTCACTCCTTGCAATTGTGCCATGTCGACTCCATCGACTTTACCTCCTCATCATCCTAATTACGGATACTCCCATCATCAGAATTATCAGTCAAACAATCCATATCGAGCGAGCAATAGTCTGTTGAACGGCAGTAGCCGTTTGGGCGCCTCGTACACCATTCCGACTCACTCGTCGAGTAATAGCACATCTTCGAGTGTAGCTCCTCTAAAGACACATCAACTTCCCTCACATCCAGCAAAAACGAAATCTACATCTACAAACTCTCCAAAAAAGCCCGCAGTCATGGTTTCCTCCTCATCGCATGTGCCTCCCCCACACAAGAGACAGAGATCAAAGGAGAGACAACCAGATTGGGATAAGTTTTACGAGAATGGTTTACCTAAAGAGGTAATCGTAATAGATAGTTCTGAATCACCAGAACCACCCTTGGACATTTCTACGCATATTCAAACGAATAATTCCGCAGTGGCAGCGAATAGTCGACATGCGGCGAAGAAGAGAAAACGCAATGATGCATTCGATTCCATATACCAAGTTGGTCCCTCGATCGATCCGAGTTCCCAATACAAATCAGAATCTGGTTCCACCATATCAACCGATCGCACAACATCAGCAATTCATACGACCGCAGCTACTTCCCTTGGCTCACACTCATCCAGTGGGCAAAATGGTTACGAGGCCGCGGAAATCATAGGACAGAAAAGGAAAAGAACAAACACTAGGTTGCAAATTGCCAATGAAGCCAAGCGGAAAGAACTAGAAGTCAATGGGGACGCATTTAGCAATTACATACCACCCCCTAAACCACCCATAAAATCTCGCGATGTTCCAGTAAGGCCTGTTACAGATGTAAGTCTCGATGGTTTCCACAGTTGTGATCGGAAGCTAACATAGACCAAGAACTCTTATACCAAGAATACCAAAGTCGATGATGAAGATGGACATTACATTGTTGTTCCAGAAACGAACTTGACCACACAATGTAAGTTTCGGTAGGACGACGCATTAACCTGCCACAAACTAACACGCAGAACAGACTCGGTCCAGAAACTACTCGGCCAGGGAACTTTTGGGAAAGTCGTACAAGCTAAAGATCTTCATAATGACAAACTGGTTGCCATCAAGATCATTCGATCCGTGCAGAAATATCGAGATGCCTCGAAGATCGAATTACGAGTCCTGTCAACACTCAAAGCAAATGATCACGAGAACCGAAATAGGTGTATACATCTACGGGATTGCTTCGATTACAGAGGGCACATATGTATAGTCATGGATCTACTGGGACAGAGTGTTTTCGATTTCTTAAAGGGCAATTCCTTCGTACCATTCCCCAATTCCCAAATTCAGAGCTTTGCACGGCAGTTATTCACAAGTGTTGCTTGTAAGTATCTTGAGCCATCAGCTCGACTTATTAGCTAACATTAAATCAGTTCTACACGACTTAAACTTAATTCACACAGATCTCAAACCGGAGAACATCTTATTATGCAATAGTGCATATCAAGCTTTTACCTACAGCCGCAAGATTCCTTCTTCATCAACCACGGTTAGCCGGCAAGCGGCACAACGAAAAGTCCTTCTGGATACCGAAATTCGACTTATTGATTTTGGTTCCGCAACATTTCAGGATGAATATCACTCATCTGTTGTATCTACACGTCATTATCGAGCTCCGGAGATTATTCTTGGACTTGGTTGGTCTTTCCCCTGCGATATCTGGAGTATTGGATGTATACTTGTCGAGTTCTTCACAGGAGATGCCCTTTTCCAAACACACGACAACCTGGAGCATTTGGCCATGATGGAAGCAGTATGCGATAAGAGACTAGATAGCCATCTCATTCAGCAAGTCAACTCTATGGCAAAACGAAATGGAGGGAATCCAGCCCAAAAGTAAGGACCCTAGGAGCCTTTCTTGGAATATATACTGATGCTATTTCTCAGATATTTCAAGCGCCTAAAACTTGAATACCCAAATGCTGATACCACAAGGGCGTCCCGGCGATTTGTAAAGGCTATGAAACCCTTGCATGTAAGTGTAAGTGTTCCTGCTAGCGAACTTTACTAACAAATCAAAGGAAATCATCAAGGATCAATCGAGGTTTAGCAAAAATTTCCTAGATCTACTTAAAAAGATATTTGTCTATGATCCAAATGAACGTATCACGGCCAAGCAGGCCCTTCAACATCCATGGTTTAAGGAAGCTGCAACGGCAGACGATGGTACAGAAGCAACAAAAATCAGGTTACAAAGACAGAGCGGAACATATGTGGCACCACAGAGGCATCACTGAGCGATTCATGAAACTATGACGGCGTAAATGGCATGGGACATTGGGTGGATATCTTATTACTCTGCACTACTTGTTTAGTTTTAGCAGCAGATCGCGGTGGTAATGACTTTTGTATTATTTTACATAAATATTCTGCTTCCGGAAATACTCTGGGCATCTTGATTACTTTGAGGAAATAGACACAGGAAGGATTTCCGGCGACGTTAACACAATCAACTTATCATAATGTTAAGAGACTCGTTGGGTTTAGAATGGTTTTCATTTAAACAATTGCCTAGTCCTCAGGGTGTTCTCGTAATTGAACCCTATGAGTTTTGATATTGGATGCCATATGACGTCGTTTCGGCTACCGTAGAAATTTCCAAACCATGTCAAAGTTAACCTTATGGTTGATTAACATTTTGTAAGACGGCGAAAAGAAAAAATGAACTGAACATTTTCTCCGGGCTTAATGCAGAAACTCTCATCAATTACAAGACTGAAGCTCAAATTTAGATTTCAGAATCTTAGATACTCACTTCGCAAAGCAATAAAAGCTTTCCCAAGGAAAGAGGGGTATACTTTTCCTCCGCATCCAGGAAGATTGGCTCCTTTACCTACTCAATATATTTTGGAAAATAAGAATAATCTACTCGTCTCTTTGAAACCATCTTCCCAGCTTACGGAATTTGAAAATAGAAAGCGATTTCTCATTCTCAGAGAAAATCAAGGGGATGTGTATCACAGCGTAAAATACAGAAGACCAACGAACGACAGAAGGGCGAGGCAACATCGACCAGGAGAATTAGTCAAGATGCGCAGTTATATTCAATTCCTTACAACGCCCACGGTGGATACGCCTGGGACCACATTGCTTCTGCACTTCGATAATAAAAGATATTTGATTGGGAATATTTCGGAGGGAACTCAAAGAGCATGTGTGCAGGGCAAAATTGGGTTGATGAAGGTTGCAGAGGTTTTCATGACTGGAAAAGTGGATTGGGCTTCGACTGGAGGAATATTGGGCATGATACTCACCTTGGCAGATGCGACGAGCACTTCGAGAGAGGCACAATTTCAACATGAGAATGCGAAAATGCAGAAAAAGGGAGCGCTTGCCGCAAAACCAGAGAAGGCTTTTTTAAACATCCATGGAGGGGAGAATCTGACACATCTACTTGCGACGGCTAGAAGATTTGTGTTCAGGAATGGGATGCCGTTATACACAAATGAGTATCGCCCAGATACAGCGCAGAGAACGAATTGGAGTCCTTCGTGGAGTGATGATAATATCAAGGTTTGGGCTATGGCAATTAAGTCGGAAAAAAATCCGAAACGTAATGGGAAAAGAAGCCATGATGAATTTTCGGATGATTCTCCAGATGGTTCTCTAGCTAAAAAAAGCCAGGACCTTATACTTGAGGAAGCTCGAGAACTTCAAGATGAAGAGGATAATAAACATCAAATACGAAAGTCTGTCGTATCTTCTATGTTCGATTCAGATTGGAAATTGGATACCCTTCATTCTATGAGACTCAAGGATGTTAGAATGCCTGCTGCCATTTTCATTAGGGATTCAGACGGTAAGATACAGAGATATCAAGGACCGAAACCCGGAGGTGCTCAGGAACTTCCCGACATTGAAGTCCTTACACGAAAACCTTGGCCAGGAGCACTCGTGGAATCTTTACCTCCGACTAAACCTTCCACGAGTTCAGTCTCATACATTTTCAAGAACTATCCTCAGCGTGGAAAGTTTAATGCCAAAGAAGCCGAGCGATTGAATGTCAAGCGAGGTGCTGATTATCGAGCTTTGGTGTCAGGAAAAAGTGTGATTGCGACTGATGGTACCACTGTCACTCCAGAACAAGTCTTGGGAGAAAGTAAAGAAGGTAACGGTGTTGCCATTCTGGAAGTACCTGATGTCTCTTACATTAAAGGGCTACTCGCCCGTGAAGAGTGGAAATCAGAAGAAGTTATGGCCGGTGTTAAATCAGTGATTTGGATTTTGGGACGTGGTGTTTTAGCAGACCCCAGTATACAAAAGTTCATGGAAGAGCACAAGGAATTCACACATGTCGTCTCCTCGCAAGATAATTCTCCAAATTATCTTGCATTTAGCTCAGCCGCAGCTCAGGCTATTCGTTTGCATCTTCTCGATTCAGAACGTTTCCCAATTCCTTCATTCAGCAATGCATCTGAGCCACCATCTCAGCCCGTACCATACTTAAGGGCAAAATTAGGGAAAACAATGCTGCTTGAACCAAAATTCGAGATTCAAGATGACAAGTGCATTCCTTATCTTGATACTGAACAGGTGGTAAAGGAAGCAGATTCCGAAGTTCTTGCTCTGGCAAATGAAGCTAGAAAAGAGATCACGAGCCCAGAGTATCAAGCAAAGCTTGATGAAGTTCAAAAAGACATACCATGTAAAGATGCAGAAGTTATTACTCTTGGGACTGGTTCGGCTTTGCCTTCGAAATATCGAAACGTTTCAGCTACTTTACTCCGTATTCCTGAATATGGCAATTACTTATTTGACGCTGGTGAGAATACACTTGGTCAAATGAAAAGAGTCTTTGGCAAAGATTTACCAGGTGTACTTTCCAGTCTCAAAGCAATTTGGATCAGTCATCTTCACGCTGATCATCATCTCGGTACAGCTTCAGTTATTAAAGCATGGCATGAAGAGACATCTAAGAATGAAGCAACGAGAAAAAATAGACTCGCCATAGCATCGGATCACGGTATGATTCATTGGTTGACTGAATACTCAGAAGTCGAGCATTATGGATTTGAAAGACTTGAGCTTATTGAGATGACTCCAGCAGTCAACAATCTCTATGAAGAATTCACGCCAGCACAAACCGAAGCATTCGGTCTCTCATCTATTCAAGCTTGTCAGGTGAGCCATTGTCATGGCGCTTTGGCAGTTGCATTTAACTTTCCAAACGGATTCAAGGTTGCTTATTCAGGTGATTGCCGACCTTCACAAGACTTTGTCAGAATTGGCCAAGGTGCAACATTGTTGATTCACGAGGCTACATTCGATGATGAGCTTCAAGGTGACGCTATTGCCAAGAAACATTCCACCACCTCAGAAGCAATGAGTATTGGAAAGGGTATGGGAGCAAGACGTATTTTACTCACTCATTTCTCCCAGAGGTATCAAAAGATACCAGTTATGGATAGTGAAGTTACAGATCAAGTTGCTATTGTCGCATTTGATTACATGAAAGTTAAGATATCTGATTTTTCGAAGATAGCGGCATTTAGACCGGCGTTATTAAAGCTTTATGAAGAGAAAGAATAGTTTAGGATTGGCATTTTTGCGATTTCACGACTACGGAGGACACGGGGAAAAGCATGGTTTAAGGATGGGGCATCATCACTTAAATAAGGTCTTAGACAGGGTATATAATGAAATAAGTTTATATTGTAAAGTACTAACAAAGAAAATTCTCTATCTTGAGGAGACCAGCTCCTCTCTTCTTTCATCCCCAAAACCACTTCTCATCCACTCTATTTCATGAAGTCACTACATCGAGTTCTCCGATCAGTGCGCTTAACCTCAGGGTTAGCAACATGTGAGCTCCTTGAAAAAGGGTTTACATGAGGGTCTGGTCTTCGATGACGTGGCGCGGCTTTTTCTTTGGGTTTGTTCCCATAATTCATAGTACGAGGAGAAGGGGGCGAGGGAGATGCTCGTGAATTTTCATAGTAGCTTCCACGGTAAGCATGGTGATTGGTCTCTGGTGGATCTGCAAATGGATTCGTGAATTGAGGTTTATCATCTTCGTCTGATTCGGCGGCTAAACTCTCTTCAATTCCAACGAGATGCCGATACGCGCTGGCGCGACCTCCGACTCCATCTTGAGAAATTTGTAAAGCGTTCAATGCGCCGTGGGAATAGTCTAATGCATTTATTTCTTTCACAGGCCTTGAAACGCTGTGGAAAAATCCATCGGTGTAAGTCACGGTGTCGCGAAAGGCAGCATGAACCTCTTCTGCCGGGTATGCACTTTGAGTTGATGTATTTGCGAAAGATGTTCTCGACATCATATTGGCATAAAAATCCACAATTTCATTCTCTACATCTCCATCTCCTTCAGAAAAATAGTGTCCGAGAAGTGTTTGGGCCTCGCTATCTCTATCCAAGGGATTTTTCATCCCCTGTAATTGTTCTCTCATGGCAGCTTTTCTAAGTGTCTGAAGACGTTTCCGACATCTGACAATTTCGCTTCCTAAACCCGTTGATTCAAGTGTCAAGGCGTCAAAATTTTCATGCCATCCTTCCCATGCTCGTACTACATCAATCCAACCCTTCATCTCTCTATTCTTCCTTCTGCGTCCCCAAATCGACGCAAACAAATCACGGACAATATTTCGATTCCCACCAATCGTCGCGAGAATACAAGCTTCACAGCCCGAACCTACGCGTTCGTAGCGCGGTTCTGAAGGTAACACTTGATATGCTTGACGATAAAATTCAGGTTGCATCCAAATACTATTCAGTCTTTGCATCCGAACGACAAATTCCCCCACATTGACAGGTAATTCATCAATTGGTTCGGAAGCTAATCGCTGGATCCGCGTCGTGCATTCGGCTGTTACCTCTAAAAATATCTTGCGGATCAGATATGGATTTAATGGTTTATGCACGGGACATAAGATCGCTTTGGTCTCGCCTAATCGTAATGAGGATATGGAGGCTGCGACGCGATAGATTAGACCGCTGGATTTTGGGTGCAAGAGACATTGGGGAAAGGTTGCTAGGAGGGTTTCTTGCTCGTGTAGCCATGGGTCGTTGGGGAGCGTGCCTGGTGTGAGTCTTAGGAGCTGGGTGAGGAGATTGAGGGATGTGCTCGTGAACTCGGAGAGTTTGTCGCTTGGGGAGGGGATGTTGATTTTTCCGGCGATGGTGGTGCGTGGTTGGGGGACGAGGGGTTCGAGGAATTTTTGCATGGTTGTTGTTGCTGTTGTGTTTCTTGGTTTCTTGGTGGTTTGAGTAGGTACTTTTTGGGGGTTGATGTTCAAAGTATTTGTTCAAACTGGATGGTAAAAACTCGATAATTTCGATCTCTTGAATCTTGAATCCCCTGTTACTTTCTGGAAATGGGAATCTCTTTGTATATTCACAATTGCATTGTTTTGAATGCATTCTAGAAGTAGGTATATTTTCTTTGATCAAGCTGGCTCTGTACTACATATGTCTTAATTTCCTTTGTTTACTCGCTTTGTTTTGAACAAAAAGACATCTGATAGAGTGAGCATTGTTTCAATATTTCTTTATACATGTGAAAGAGTTCTTGTGAGGAAATAAAAAAGCTTTGTCTCAGAATACTATCCTTTGAGTAAAATAATCACATTGTCTCATTCCCTCTCAGCAAAGAAATCACAAACAATAGCATCAGAGGGTCCAGATTCCCTTGTTCAGAAATAAGAAGATGTGTATTTAACGTTACATATCCCCATCTCTATCCTTCTTTTCCTTTCGTTTTTCTCCAGCAGATAGTAAGACAGTAAGTAGCATTCGGCTCGCTACACCACACTAAACAGCGATTCCTCTCGATTCCAACCACGATCATTGACCACTGATCGTCTCACCCACACGACTACATCAAAACAATTCCGATTCGACAACCCCGATTAAAGAAAATGCCCTTCCATATCCCCGAGCTTCGCTTTCCAGGGCGCAGCTTCACGTCAAACTCGGATTCAAACTCGAAATTGAAATCGAAATCGAAATCGAAATCCAAGACTCGCACCCATACATTCCCTTTTTCCTTGCGCGCAAAATCAACCCCAATACCTCCTACTATATCCCGCTCAACACAGACGGCTGACCCGATTCAAATATCTAGCGGAACACAAACCGGACCAGAACCAGAATCGGAACTACAGCCAGAATTAGGACCAGGACCAGACCCAGAATCAGAACCAGAATCAGGACCAGAACCAGGACCAGGACCAGAAGCACAAGCACAACCACAACAACATCTAAACTCCAACACCTACACATCCTTCACAAACTTCAACATCAAGCCACCGCGTAACAGCGGCATCCCGGCTTGGTACGTGGTTGTGGGTGGTGTAGTAGCAGCTTGGTTTTGGAGGGGGAGGGTGTGAAGTTTGTAGGTGAAGAGATAGAGAAATAAACGAGGTGAGTTTCCCTTAGAATTTGTGTGCTAATTTTTTCTTTTGTTTTTTTCGCTTTTAGACAGGTGAGTTTTATATCACGATTACGATCATTATTACGATATGATTTCATACGATTAAGATTAAGATTTTGGGTTATGTCTTTCTTTCGTTTGGTTTTCCCTTTTTTCCCCTCCTTATGGTCGCTCGCTCGCTCTTTTCACATCAAAAAGATAATTAGAGAAACATACTCGAAATAAAACCCTCGAAAAAAGAAAAAAAAAATCGATTAAAATAGGTTTTTTTTTCCAAAAAAATAAAAATATATATATATATATCTATAAGTATGTAAGTTTTTATTCCCTTTCTGTTCTCTGCTTTTTATTAATTTTTTATAGTTCTTATTATTTTTATTTTTTTTATTTTTTTTCTTTCATATGTCTAGGTAAGTTATCCACCTCTCCCTTTCGCTAATTGTGTGTAGGTATATTTTTATGTATTTGTTGTTAGGAAATAGATTTAGGTAAGTCATTCCCCCTTCTTCATTTCGCTAATTGAGTATAGGTATATTTAATTTTCATATTTATGTATTTACTATTAGGAAATAGATTCAGGTAAGCCATTTCCCTCTTCTCTTCTGCTAACTAAATGTAGGTAGGTACATTTCGACATTTTTTGTTGTCAGAACATAGGAATCAGGTAGGTCATCCCCCTTCTCCCTTTCGCTAACTGAGTGTAGATATTTTTAATTCTTTGTTGTTGGGAGATATGAACCAGGTAAGTCGCTTCCCCCTCTCCCCCTTTTGCTAATTGGTGTAGGTAGGTATATTTCGATGTTTTTGTTGTTAGGAGATTGGGATCAGGTAACTCATCTCCCCCTCCCTTTTGCTAATTGAGTATAGGTTTATTTTTGAATCTATTTTTATATATTTGCTGTCAGGAGATGAATTCAGGTAAGTCATCCCCCCTCCTTTTCGCTAATCGAGTACACACACAGATATTATTATCATTCTATCTATATATTATATTTGTCATCAGAGATGAAAACTCAGGTACGTCATTCCCCTTCCTCTATTTACTAAACATATTAGGTACTATTGTCAATCTTTCCAACCATCTAATTCCGCTATGTTTTAATAATAATCAAATGAACCAATACAGGTAAGTTAACCCCCCCGCCTTTCGTTTTGCTAATTAAGTCCAGAGGCATGTATATCAAAACATTTTATCTCACGGCAATTTCAGTCGTAAGATTGCTTCCCGATAATCTTAGTAAGATTACAAAATAGACATCAAATATACTCAGGTAAGTCATCCCATCACCCTTTTCTATTAACTGATATATAGGTCCATATATTTCGCCTTCTTCCAAATCGATTCTACATGCATTCAGAAATATCAAAGCCTAAATGAAATTAGGTAAGTCCTTTCTCCTCACTGGCCCCCCTCAGGCTAACTAGTTCTAGAGATACATTCTTACGAAAATTTGTCCTTTAGCTTTCGAGAATACAGTAGTATAATCCTCGCCAGGACCTTCTCAAATATACAGGTAAGTTCTTCCTCACCCTCTTTTGCTAATCCGTTATAGATAGGACTTCCCCTTTCTTTCTTTTTCCTTACTATTTTGATGCTCCAGATATCCAGCAAAGCATTAAGCTGTTTATTAGCAGGCAACTCCTCCAAAATCCTCCTTTTGGCTAATTCGAAACATAGATGAGCTTTATTTTCTTTTCTCCTCACTCCCGCATATTATGGTATTCATAACCATCAGTATATTTTTATATCTATACATAAATAAATACATTACATTATACAGGTAATCCATCTCCTTCTCCCTGCTTTAGCTAACTCGAAATATAGGTAAGTTCAATTCCATTTTTTCACGCTCCGTATATCCTGGTATCCACAGCTGTCAGGATAGACAAGCATCTCTCTCTCTATATATATGCACTATACTGTACAGGTAAGTCTTTTTCCCTTGCCCTCTTCCTCGTTAATAGATTTCCTAGTAAGGTCCGTTACTTTCTTACTCGCTCTCTCGCATTCGATGTTCCTACTCGTGTAATACCTGCACAAGTACTACTATACTGTATTGGTAAGTCATCCCCCCTCCTTTCCACTTTCTCGCTAACTGATTTTACAGATAAATTCACTTTCTTTTCTTTTTTCTTATTTCCTACTTTTTGATCTTAATCAGAAATCGAAGTTATTAAAAAAAAATATATCAAAATAAATCTTCTAATGTCATCAACAAATATTCTCATTAAATTCATATATTCTAAAAACACCCAATTCTCATTCTTATCTTCATCTTATCCTCATCCCCACTCATCCCACATTCCCTACCTCCCCCAGGCACAAATTTACCTAAATATCTAGTAACAATCTGCATGTACACATACCAATATCTTCAAAACCTCCCGCCCCAAATCTTTCCTTGCAGAGCCATTCCCGTATGTTTTGCATATACCACATACCATACCATATTTCCCAATTTCTGTATATTTTATATCCCATATTCCATTAAATCGCATGCAAAGCTCCATATCAGTGTTCCAATCCAAACGGCCATCTGACCTGGTGTCGTCTGACTATTATCTACAACGCAACTTCATCCAACACCTTGCTCCCCTTGGAAGCAAACCATATCAATGAGTTTTCGAAGCCAAAAATGCCGGTCTGTTTCATCCATTTAACTCCCTTTCCTTGCAACCTGTAAGGATGCCCTTTTCCCTTTTCGACTAAAACCATAACCATTCATTTGCCCCAACTAACCACCAAGAGAACACCCTTCGATCCTGAAAAACCAATCAACCGCCCAATCATATTTTGTTCCCATACCAATACACATCTATACAAAACCGAATCCACTATACCGACCCAATTTAACTCAACTCCCAACATAAGACTATGTACCTTTCTTCCATCCTACCCACGTCCCTCAAGCACGACAGATAGTTTCATATCCTGTCAATGCCCACCCATACCTCCGCTCCGATTTACACCACCCATACCCATTCCTATCATACTCTGTTCATCAGTTCTCATTTCGAAATCTCTCCCGTACGCATTACTCCCAAACGTATCATCACCATTCATTCCCACATCCATGACCATGTCAGGAGGATCCATATTGAACGGGGAATACCATGCATTAGAAACTCCATTTTCAATGTTCATCATATCGTATACATTTCCCATTCCGCCAATGCCAAAATCAGACCAATTCATCATCGATCCATCTCCATTGTGACCCAGGCCTGGTTTGCTACCGAGGCTCATGCTGGCATTCATGCCGCTGACATTCATACTGCCATGCATGCCATTGTTGTTCATAACCGGATGATCCATGCCGCCGAAATTATCAAACCCTGGTTGACTATCGAGTTGTTGGACCATATCATGTGACTGCTGTGACGGCATGAGCAGTTCGTGATGACTCAAAAACTGTGTAGGCGACATGACATTTTGATTATAAGAACTTTGACCTGCTTGCTGAGGTGGAATTTGTGGGTGTGAGGATGAAGGAGTAGACACTTGCATTCCCAGATGTGCACCTTGCATATTGGGAGCCATCACTTGTATTGGATCCATCTGTGGGGTTTGGGAAGGTTGTGATGAAGATTGGTTTCGTTTGGGCTTTTGTCTTGTTACTTTTGAATTTTGTTGTTGTTTTAGACCCGGAGAAGGGAGATCTTTGACGTAATTTGCTACAGTCTTCAAGTCGGATTTTTGTTCAAGAACAGCATCATCCCCTTTCTCCTTTTTGATAGCGGCAGCAGGGTCTTCAAAGTCAGACTGTGATACACCATGTGGAAATTGATCAAACCAGTCGCCGTACTGGGGAAATGTTGAACTTGATGTCCCATTCGATCCAGCAGTATGTCTATCAGCACACATTTGATAGTGTTTTCTGAGAGTTTCGGACATCCAATGAAACATGCCCCAATACTTCTTCATCATTCCTAAATATTTCAGAGTAATTGTAAGATTTCGCTTACAAGACTCTTCCAAGGCAGGATTTCCCGAAAAAGCTCCAAATACTAGAGTGGTACTAGCCGAGAAGGCACAATAACCAATAAAAGGGGCAGTAATGGGATGAGATTTTCCATCATTTATAAGTTGAGCGATACGATCAGCTGCTTCCATTGCGTTTGTGCGCATTCTGGTAACAAATTCTTTAGGGGCGTTAGACAGAGGTCCACTAGGTTCCAAAGGTGTCGCAAAGTGATTGAGGAACAGAGTGGTTTGTTGAATGACGATGTAGAGAAATATGAACTGATTTACTAGCCCTTCGGATTCATGTGCACGAAAATTCTCGTTATTATACACCATGTCCTGTGGCATAGCTTCTTCAAAGTCTTTCAATTGTTTGATTAGACTAAAATATTTCGATTCTGGTTGCCACATGGGATATGGATCTTTGTCGCTAGCACCTTGGTTGAAGTACGTGATAACATTAGAATACAATGAAATTGATCGAATCACGTATGCCGCTACTCCCAGGTTTTGTTTGGGATCAGATTGTTGTGGACCGCTAGGCGTGCTGGGACGTGCTATATCCCCACGAAGACTTTCCGTTGGTCCTGGGATGTCGAGCAGAAACATGTGCTCTTTCACGGGTAACTGGATCTCAAGAGTTTCTTCTTTGATAAAAGTTGGCCTGCCAGTTCCTGAAGATTCAAAACGGTCCATAAGAAAGCATGCCCACATGGTTCGCCGTCGGATTTCCCTGTCGACAAAGCTTAGTTTCACCGAATTGCCGCTCTCATCAACCTTTGGCTTGTGAGGGTCGTAATCGAGATCTTGATGTAATTGCAAAGCATATGCCATACGGATTGCTTGCCCTGCCAGTGACCAACTCCTACCACCGTGACAAGTGCCAAACTCATGGAAGCCAAGAATTAACAAGCATGTCAGAATTGTGATATTTGGCCAATCATATCGTTTCAAAACAATATCACGAGCTTCAGATGCCCACTCTTCTCCTTTCAAGAAAGGTTGTCCATTAGTCAATTCAACATGATCGGAAAACCGAGCAGCGCAAGCACACACAGCTAATACTAGGACAGGAGGAAGTGTTTCGGACCTATAAGCTTCGTTAGTATTAGAATTGTGATTATTGGTGCCAACACTGACTTTAATTTCATCATGAAGCTTGGCTTATGCAATAAATGATACGTCTGACCATAAACCTTCTCGAAGAAAACCTCAACGAGGTGCTCCTGAAGCTCCCGTGAAGGCAACTTTTCTGCGCCTTCTTTTAGCAATTTGCTTTCTGCTTCTTCCTGTGCTAGCAGCGACTTGGATTTCGAAACCAATTTCCCATTTTCCTTTAAAGGCTTGGAGGCAGACTTCGACCATGCATCTAATTCTGCTCCGAATGCTTCTTCCGCGGGGCGCTTTTTTCCAGCAGCAGTTTTGGATGGTATTGTTCCAGGGATTGGAGGTTTAACATTAGCTCTCACGACTGCAGGAGTTCCACTTTGCTCTTCCTTTGGCACAATGTTTGTAATGCGCGACTCCATTCGTTTTAGTCTCTTGTCAAGCATTCCCATATAGTCCGTCCGTGGAGCTGCCTTTTTTGTTGTAACTTTATATACACAAGGGATTTTCGATCTGGTGCAATTTACGCACGCGGGCTTCTCTCCCGAGCAACGTATCTTTTTCCTTCGACATGCGGTACAAGCCAGTGGCAATCGCTTTCGCTCCTTTCCTGCTTTTGTTTTAAGCTCCGTCCATGCAGGTGCTGAATCGATTTTGTCCTTTCTTTTTTCTTCACTGCCATCTTGAGCGTCTCCCGTATTCATGTTGAGATCATCACCAAAAGTTGTATCGCCTTGGCGAGAAACTCCCGTTATTCGGTTGCTTGTGGGACTTGCTTCTTCCGACCCTCCACTAAGGCTACCATGTCGCGCCGCTGGTCCAGATATGCTACCATAGCCCTTTCGAGGCATCGAATGTATAGATGATATGGAATCTCGATGTTCGTTGGAACTTGTGACATTGAATGGATCTGAAGTATTATTCAACTTGACCTCCCCTGGTGTTAGTGCACTCTCTCCAAATCCATAAGAAAATTCGAAATCACCGAGGTTGAGCGCTCCAGATAGCTCAAGTGGCGGGGTATTTTGTGCCAAACTTTGATGGGATTGATTCGCATTTTGGTAGTCCGGCGCATGCTGCGCCTGGAAATTCGCGTGTGGTTGATTCGAAGACATCATCTGTGTGAAACTCTTCTGAGATCTTTCCGTTTGCTGTGCAATGTCTCACAGAACCACAGTACATTGATCGTTGAATGCCTAGTTCGCCTTAATCACCACTTCTTATTACTTTGTGAACCCCGACTACCGAGCAGTCAGTGAGTTTACCATGTATTCAAGTATCTTTCAATCGCAATGAATCGAGAAGTTAGAACTCGGATATTCGGCCGGTTCGAGATGACGTCGATGCGCAAAAGATGATCAATCTGTGGCTGTGAGAGAGTAGACTGCTTATAGAGTTGGTGAATTATGTAAAGCGAGGGTAGCTATGATTGCTCCAAGAATTGAGAATTGATATTGAAAGCATCCGGACAAGATACGCGCAGGGTCGTAAGTCGCACAATGTTCGCGAGATGTGATAGACAAGGCAAGGAACCATTAGAGATGTAGAAATTCATGTAAATATGTAATAGATGAAAGTCGGCCAAAAACTGGGGGCTAGTTATCGGATAGTTCTAGGCCGTGCTCCTTTTAACGCTGCTTTTACATTGTTTACTCAATGAAATCAATTTATTTTTCTTTCAGAGGACCCATCAAAAGGTTATTGTACATGCTATAAAGTACATACTGGATCATGTCGACTATCCAAGGAGGTATAAAGAACACAATTCGTTGGTTATTTGCGGTGAAAGACTTGATTAGTCCTCGTAGCTCTTCAATCTGATGGACTCACTTACCCCAATTACATAGCAAAAGACGGGAAGCATGTATGTATACGGGGTAGGTAAGGATAATAGATAATATATCATGCATTCATCCTTAGACCTAGGGTGACTCACGGCGCGGGAGGAAAACGCCTCGTGGAGTGTCTTCCCAACAGTAACTGTACCCAGTAATATTCATATTGTCATGCATTGTGACCATATGCAGTTGACCACAAAAGTATTCAGAACTTCATCAGGATCCTAGAATACTCGCAAGGGTGAACCAATACCAACACAGTAGCCCCCAGGCTCGAATGCTTGTCTCGGTGTTTACCAACAGCTCTACGCCCCAATGAGACAGCGCAGATTTGTCTTGGTTATCAATTAAAGCCCAATGAGCATTTAGTATGGGTAGTCAGGTAGTTTTGACGAGCGAAGTCGGGGTCTAAATAATATGGGGTTGGAACGGCCTGATATCAATGGCGATGATGTCCGAGAGATGCACTATACGCAGTAACAAAATTTTAGAGATAGGACTGTGCTCGGAGTTATTCTCCTGTTCTAGAATAAATCGCGGGGTTAAACGCCGATGTTCGCTTGGTTGTCCAATCAAATGGATTAGACGTTCCCCGACTTCCGCATATTCTTGGTAAGCAATAAATACACGCAGGGAAGATTCACTGCTTTTCCTTTTTTGGGCATGAATTAAGGAGGGATCAGGAAGTACCTATATAAGTATTATGTACAATAGTTCTATGGTCCAGACGGGCCAACTAACTTTGCCCTTTGGGTCACAGTAGCCAAATTCTATCATTCATGCAGCGATGCTAAATGACCAGAACGTTATAGTCAAGGGTTACCTTCAATGATGCACTCACAGGGCAGTGTCGTTATCTGACTTTCTTGATTGAGAATATGTGGTCGACTGTGAATATCCAGGAGACCTATCAATGTCCTTTGTAACATTACGAGCCAAGAAAGCTGTTGAGTCTAGATTTCCTAAACTAACAACATGATCACGAATCATCAGAGCCAACTATGTATGGTTCACCGAGTCCCTAGAAAACTCAAGTGTATTGTTAAGATAAGACAGAGTTAGCCAAGCCCTCTCTACAAATGTCTTCAACCGTATCTGGAAGCTCGGCAACCAATACCGGCGCTAAGCCTCACGGTCATAAATCTAGCACCGAAAATCATGGTACGAATAATGGCTCCATACATAAACCACAAGTGAAATGCGGATAATTACCACGTGAAACTCACGAGTCAGTTGAATACCGAAATATTCCCGGCGCTACAAGCAAGGCTAAGAAACGGATAAGGTGCCAAGGATACTTGTGCCGCATGGCATGGCATGGCGTAGTGAACAACGACCACAATCTACCAAGATTAGAAATCCTCGATAAGTACGACTTCGCTCCTTACTCTAGAGAAAAATGTAAAATTCTCATTTTCAGGGCCCAGGGGAGGGATTTCTGATAATGACTTTCTTTCATCCTCTAAAAATCCCCTTCATCAGATTCTAGGATCACCAAAGAAAGGATCTAAAGTACAAAGCAAATCAAAAATAGACCTTTATCTACTAATATTAGTACGATACAGATACAGCATGAGAAACACCAGTCATTATAGAATCTGCCATTCCGTCTACAGTACCGAGTGCACTAGATAGTTCATCCCTTTAACTCCGCATCCGGATATCAACCAGTATTATTACCTCAGTAACCTTACTTTACCTTACTCTTTAGGTATATAGGTAGTTAATTAAAGGTTTTCATTGATTTGGTTAATTTTACAAAAGTAAGTTTCTTTTTTTTATTCTTTATTTGTTGTTGGTCAATTGTCATCTTGATGTAGATTACAAAGATGTTTGAGTTTATAAGTTGAGGTTATCGATAATAGAAGTAGTTTGTCAATATGAATATATCAACTAAAAATTGTATATTAGAAATAATAGATTATAAAGGGCTAAAGAATATCTAATTTTGTAATGATGTTATTTATCAGGTTCAGTTTAGAGAGAATCTGTCAATCAAATGTCATCGAGGTGTTTATAACGGAATTCTATATTAGGTATTAAATAAGATTTGTTCATTTGGATTTATATTTGGATTCATTTGAATAGTGGTTATATAATGTGATGTAGTATAATGTTTTATATTTACTATGTAAGTTAATATGTTCCCAAAACCATTACGAGCTTTTCTTCAACCATTAATAAACTAAACTAAACTAAAAAGCATCATCAAGAAACCTATATAAACACCCAGATTACCAACGACGTATAAATTTAAAACAGGAACGATATGAAAAGTTCCCCATATACACACACATATAGCGCTATCCTATCCAGTACATGAATGACATATAACATCAATATCAAATGATGCTCCATCAACCTCGGTGGTTACCCCCAGATTTCGGTTCCCCGCTTTTGCTTTCCGAGAAGTACAGTAATCTTATAAGTGTCACCTCACTCTTCATTCACATTTCTCTTGAATAAATTCTTATTTTCATTTTCATTCTCATTCTCATTTCTATTTTGGTATCGTTGCATTGCAGAGTATATAAAAAGAAAATAAAGTTTGTTGCAACAAGGTTACAACACCACAAATTTAAAGATGTCAAAGTACGACACAGAACTCAAAGACTTCGGGTCACTTTTCTCTCTAAAGGGAAAAATTGCAGTGGTTACTGGTGGATCTCTACATGGTTATATGTTGTTTGTGCCTATATATTGGAAATTCACCATATCCTATCATTCTGGTCACTCTGATCATTCCCATCATTCAAACCCCCTTGTCCACTCCCTCTCCCTCCCCTCACCCCACACCCCACCCGCTCCACACTCTTCTCTCCTCCCCCTCCCCACCCAACTACCCCTCCCCTTCCCTAGATTCCTCCAAGCCGGCTGCACAACCGTCTACATAACCTCCCGCGATGCCTCTGCCTGCACATCCGCAATCACCACCCTAAATTCCCTCCCCAACCTCTCACCAAACGCAAAAGCCATCTCCATCCCAGCAGACATATCCACCATCGAAGGAATTACATATCTCGTATCCGAAGTATCCAAAACGACAGATCGTATTGATATATTATTCGCAAATGCAGGTGCTTATTGGGGGGAAAAATTGGATACCCATCCTGATGAAGAGTTTGCTAAGGTTATGGATTTAAATGTCAAGAGTGTTTTTGGGACTGTGAGATTGTATGTTTCTTTTTCCTTGCAATGATGTTCGCGGTGATATGTATGCCTTGGATGGTAATTTGGGGAGGTATTAATGTGGCGAAATATAGATTCGCGCCGCTTCTTCAGAAGGCTGCTACTCCCGAAGATCCTTCTCGAGTGATAGTAACAGCAGTAAGTATTCCAATCCTTATATCCCTTCCCCACAGCCACAACTGACCCTCCCCTCCCCAGTCCATCGCAGGCCTCGTCGTCACCCCTCCATCCGCCTTCTCCCCAATCGGCTACTCCGCCTCCAAAGCGGCCGCCATCCACCTCACGCGCTGTCTCGCCATGGAACTCGGTCCGCGCCACATCCTCTGCAACGCTTTATCTCCGGGGTATTTCCCATCCAAAATGGCCGATGGCCTTATAGAAAAGCAAGGAGGAGCGGAGAAACTAGCAAAGGTGAATCCGCATGGGAGATTGGGGAGACCGGAGGATATCGCCGGAGCGGTGGTTTATTTGGCTAGTAGGGCGGGGAGTCATGTTAATGGGGCTAATTTGGTGTTGGATGGTGGGGAAGTGTTGGGTAGAAGTGGACCTGAGGAGTAAATTTGAATGAAATGGTAGAGAGAGTTTGATATTTAGTAGAATGACAGTGTCGAATTACAAATAAAATACAAATAGCGATAAAATGATCCTGCAAATCGTCTCCCCTCGTCATGTCTTATTCTACTGGGTATCCGTCCTATGAAGTGGCTCGCAAGAAACCATAAATCGGGATAAGCCAATAAAATCATAATAAAAGGAAATATCTCAACTGTAAAGAGAAAAAGAAAACAAAGGATATATGTCTATCTCTAAAAGATAGTGGAATCTCAATGCAAAAATTCTAGTATACGGGGAAATGCTAGACAGGGTTGAAAGTTGGAAGGGATAATATGATGGTAGGTTGTAGGGTGGTAGAAAGATGTTGTTTTAATTGCATGGGTCGATGTGATGCAGTGGAAAGGCTAGAGGAAGAGAGAAGATGAGGGGGTTAAGGAGGGATTTTGAATACCGATGGTTTTATCGTTGGAGTGAAGTACGGGAGGAGATGACGGATGGGATGTTGGTGTTAGTGTTGGAATGGTTCTGGGGTCATGGGGTAATGTAATGAGTGGTTGTTGTTCGATTTCTTTGGAGGAGAGAGGGATTCGATGAGACGAGAGTAGAGCTATCCACCCAAACTCTCTCAGCAAGTTTGGACGAAAGGATCGGATGTGTAAAAGCTGCAAGTCGCTATATGAAAGACCTTTGTCAGAGATCAAGCTGCTTTTCTGTCTCGAAGACCTTCCTCTCAGAGTTTTGACGGATTCTCCGGGCCCGTTGTAGCTTTAATGGTGAGATCAGCATCACCAGCAGCATCCAGAAAGGCATCTAGTCTTCGTATCTCATCTACATCATCCTTCCTTCCATCCACAACAACCCGATTTATAGCCCCATCGTCCCAGGCAATACCATGCCAGAGTAGGACGCCCAAGTCCCTCGCAAGTCTCACTCTTTTCATCAAACTATCGCTTTTTAATTCTGGAATTCGAATGGTTAGTTCGGTCCAGAAAACCTCTCGCAGATCTGTTGCATCGGAATGGTAGTGAAAACCAATCGGGGTAATTTCACCGAGGATTTCTTCAAGTCCGTAGAAGCAGGTTCCAAATGGTAGAGGTTCTGCTTCTGCCCAGTCGACAAGTCCAACCAGGTGTTGCGTAAGGGGATTGATTATCATATTGCTGGGGAGTATATCGCCATGACTGAGGATCCATGGAAGACTTTCGATATGTTGTATATTTTTGAGAATTCTGTTTGCAGTGGGCTGGAATCGCGAAGGTAAATTTCTACATAGCAATTGAAGACGGCATGTCAACGATGATCCCACAATACCAAAGGGAAGAGATATGAAATCCCTCCTGTGCCATCCTATCGCCAAAAAACCCGCAAGGTCTTTACACAGGGTTGCTCGAGCCGTGGTACTGTTAGCCAAAGCTGTATTGCTTGCTCGAAAATCTCTGTATGAAACACCCGATAATCGATTCATAGAATATACTAACAACCCTGACTTCGCCAGAGTAGTCACATAAGTAGTTCGAGGGCAAAACGTGCCGTAAATTTGTCGTGCAGCATGAGTTATTAGGAGGTTCAATTTATATTGAGAAGGACGGAATTGAACAATGATATCATCTCCCACGAAAAAGGTCAGTGAACAATACCCTTGACAAGCAGGCTCCTCGATATTCTTCCCTGGAAAGGCATTTCTAACGAATCCATGACATATAAGTTTATCTTCTTGATCAAGTCCATTGCGAATGTAAAAGTCATTGACTGGGGTTAGTAGGTCCGTCCCTTGCTTGACAGACATGTTGCATGTTCATGATGATTCTTCATATGTGTATTCATCGTTTTTTGTTTTATCAATCGCATTCTGATAAAGCATATAAGACTTACAATGGTACACCAGTATCACCAAGCTGTCTCTGACTCCAAGAACGCGGCACGGCTAGACACATGACCCCGCATTCGTCTCATTTTATCGGGTGACTTGCAGGAAGCTTGGAAGATAAGACAATGAGAAGCTTTTTGCTCCAATACACATCATGTGAAGTGATAACCTTAGCAATTTGATCGATTCCTTGGGCCGAGTCTTCTGAAACATTTCCGATGATTTTGATATATCTGGGGCTGAAGGGGACACTAGGTGATCTTTGATTAGTCTTTGATGCATGACATGTACTACGATACTGTCGCTTTTGATATTGATTTGCAGGAGATGTATCTCCTGCAAATACTTGTATTCCAAGGTTAATGCCGTACAAGTACAGTACTTAAGTAGGTAGGTAGTACCTGGTAGACACGGGAACTTGGTGGGACTAAATGATCAACCCTCCCCTCCCCCCGCGCTATACCATAATCTAACCTCAGCTCCTCAAGAGAACTTTCTCGCATAAAAATTAATAGGTAAACATTGTAGAGTTATGTATGTTGAGCCAATCATTCCTCAATCCTCATCCCTCAACCGTCAACCTCATTGATATTTTATCACATCGACGCCAAGAGGTTGAAATGTAACTGATCAAGGTACTGCATGACGGTGAAAGGAAAAAGTCTCAACGCTCTGTTCTTGTCAAGCCACACAAGATAAAAAATATGGAGATGTTCATCTAATTCACCCAATAGAGTATCCTCTGACATGGCAAAATTCATAAAGATGGCGTTGACGAATGAGAAACGTCAAAGGTCCAATAATCCTTGATGAAATCATTTGTAAGGCTGGCTGGCACGGTGAGATTGGCAGATCATGTTTTGCCTATAGAAAGAATGGAAAGAATGGAAAGAATAGAAAAGAGGCGGAAAAGAAGACCAGCACATAAGCAGTAAGCAACCTCAACCTTCCCTACCTAGGTGGAAATTTAACCAACCTCAACACTCAACACCAACCCTCCCTCTGATCACCCAAAAGTTTCCAAAACTGCAGAATCGTATTCCTTGATATTACATTACATGCTTACACTCTTTACCAAAATGATCTCGGAGGCTTAAATAGTTCTTCAATTCGGTGCTGAAAAGAGCGGATATTTGTGATGAGTGTCACTGCAACGTTCTTGAGAGATGGCTGAAAATTAATGGTGATACATTCTGATGCATTTATCAAGCCAATACTGATTGAGAAAATTAATACTTTCCGATCATCAGCCTCGGGATAGAGAGGGGAAAGAGAAGAGGAAAGGGAAAACAGAAACGGGAAAAGAGAAGAGAGAAAAGGGAATAGGGAAAAAGAGAGAGGCTTACTCCCTTCTGGGTTTTGTATAAATTGTTTGCTTTCAACTCCTCACATCTAGTTTTTAGGATCTCAAGAGTTTGGATACGAAGTTATTCCCCATTCGCTTTACGCTTCACGCTTCACGCTTCACGCCTTACGCCTTACGCATTTACGAATCAATTCCGAAAGAGCTTTCATATCATCATTCCTTGATACCCTTGATAATATTTTCATTACATATATATATCCATATATATACATACATATACCCTTTGGACTAAAGGTATGAATTCAATCTTCTCTGGTATTCGTATCTCGGGTTCCATTTTACTAAGTACATGACGACAGAATCATCATTTTTGTCGTGTGGTCCCTCGTTTCTGCCGAGAACACTACATTCTCTTCGCCGACATTAAGCTACACAAAAACAAAGATGGATGAATATGAAGGTCAAAAAGGTGTTCTTCCTAAACGTATAATTCTATGTTGTGATGGAACATGGATGGACAGGTAAGATCTTATAGTTGTCCTTCACTCAAATCACATGGGCAATCCTACTGACTATCAACATTAGTGACGATGGGTTCAACAAACCAACACTCATTCCTTACAAACCAACTGGTACATTACAAGTGAGCTACACCTGCTTTACTCTTATATAAAACATATTCCTCGTTGATCAAATTTCAGACTCGCGTTATTTGATCCAGACCTTATCGTACCACAACCCCCTTCACCGCCATCTCCACTTTCCAGCCAACTAATTTTACCTCTTCATAGACTCCAAGTAACGTGACTCGTCTTTCACGAGCTTTGAAAAGATATGGTCGAGATGGTACTCATCAAATTATTTATTATCATTCCGGTGTCGGTACCGGTAGTACTATGATGGATACCCTCAGTGGAGGTATGCTCGGCACTGGTATTTCTGAGGTAATAATTGCTCTATCCCGGGCTTGGATATGTACTGACATACACCAAGAACATTCGTGAAGTTTACAGTTTTATTGCTGCCAATTATAGTCCTGGCGATGAAATTATTCTTGTCGGTTTCTCTCGTGGAGCATTCACTGCTAGAAGTGTTGCAGGAATGATCTCTGATATTGGGCTACTCACCCGTCATGGCATGACCAACTTCTATGCTGTGTTCAAAGACCAGGAGAATTTCAGAAATCCCGATTACCATGATATCTTCCCGGATCTTCCATTTTCAGACAAACCAAAAGACGGTGATGAGTACAAGAAGAGATTGGAAGAAGAAGGTTTAACCCGAGTCCATGATCCGGATGGATCTAAAATTCGAATTCATGCGGTTGCTGTGTGGGATACTGTAGGTTCTCTGGGTATTCCAAATATTGCTCTACTTGCAAAACTTGGACTTCCACATTCAACCAAGGAATATAAATTTCACGATACGAATCTTTCCGGTTACATCAGACATGCTTTCCAAGCTTTGGCACTCGACGAAAATCGAAGGCCTTTTAGTCCTGCTGTATGGGAGATAAGGGATTTCGATGATGAGCCTACTGATCTACGACAAGTCTGGTTCCCAGGAAGTCATGCAAATGTCGGAGGAGGGTATGATGATCAGGAAGTTGCAAACATTACTTTGGCCTGGATGATGGATCAGCTTGCTTCTATTGGGATTGCTTTTCATGATGATGCTATCGACGTCATCTTTCGAAAGAGTGTTCATTACTACGAAAGTCTGCCACCTCCTTCTACTTCCATCTTCAGGTTCTCGAAGCCAATCAATGAATGGGCAACGCCAGCCGTGTACGAAAAACATCACCCGGTTCGCCCATGGGCTCTGGGTAAAATTTATAGCTCAAATACCGGAATTGTAAGTATAGTTATTTCTGGTCGTATCCCAATATTGATCATAGCCTTGTCGAATAACAGGGACTGACATTTAATAGTGGACTCTCGCAGGTAAACAGACGAGAACTCCTGGTCTTTACAAACGTTTAGATCCAGATACAGGTGACTCAACTGGGGTACCAATGACACATACTAATGAACGTATCCACTCAAGTGTACGAATTCGACTTGATCTTGGAGGACTTGGTGATGACGACATGACGAAGTATAAATGCCCAGCGCTGCTCAAGAAGGGACCGTGGCGGCTTGATCAAATTCGTATTAAAGTTACAGATCCTATCCCGCCAACTGCCACGTGGGGTCCAACGGCGCCAGCGGCACTAGACGATGAACGTAAAAGCGATTTTAGATGGGTATGGGAATATGATGGACCGGAAAAGGATGCTCCAATCATTCAAACTCTTATCGAAGAAAATCTCGGCCCATATGAAAGAAAATTACTACTATTGAATAAAGGTAAGGGCATGTTTCACAAGGTTATTGATGAGGCGAGTGCAGATGATCGTAGGGCTATAACGACAGCCGAAATTGATGCCCGACGTGACAGTGATTCATGAAGTAATTTTCATAAGCGTTTGATTTATTAGGGGCTAGTTTCCGTCTGATGATCTAATTTGAAGTTTGAGGGGATGCGCTGAAGTTACTTTCATTTTCATGCTTATTTTCCAAATATTGAAAATCCTTTGATTACACTCTTTTTGTTTCTTAAAATGGAGGAATTGGGAGCGGATTGATACAAAAATTTGAATGGCTGGGAATCTTGTGAAGGGCGTCTTTCATTACTTAATTTCCAATAATTTTATCACATCTCTCGTTACATATCAAAACCATCTTTAGATGAAATGATAATGTAGTTAGGAGATGTTATCTCCAAACACAAATTTAAATAGATCTTCTTGCTGATTTTTCATCTTTTATAAGGAATAGAGCGCGTTAAATATCAAGAATCACTTATGCATCGACGACGAAAAAAGAAAAAGAGAAGATCACATCGAACGTCCACGAGATCCATGGCGGAAAAAGCTCATATGACATCCGATGATTTATTACTAGGAGATGCGGCTGTGAATGGCGAACATAGACGAAGAAGAAACCAGATGGGAAGAGATGAGGTGGTTAGTTATGGGAGTGGACCGATTGTTACTGGGGAGGAATTGGAAGAGGATGAGAAATCGGAGAAGTTACGTGGGATCTCTAGTTATAATGGGGAGAGAAGGAAGTCGAGGCAACATCGGATTTATGGACAAGGTTTTGGAGAATTGCCGGTTAGGAGTCGAACGAGAGTTACAGCTGATCCGAGGGATTCTGCTTTGGAAAGAGACATGAGAGAGCTGGAGCGGGCGAGGGCTGGAATGACTGCGGATGTTAATAAGACGAACTCGAGAATTAGAATTGTTCCGACTGGAGATGAAGAGCCGGAAAGAAGAGATAGAGGAGCAGGATCACTTCCACGAGTCGAAATTCAACATTCGGAACAACAGGATGAAATTATCGTATTCGAAGAAGATGGAGCTCCGGATGAACGATCACGCTCACATCGTAGATCAAGAGTTGGTAATCGTGAACGCGCTGGAAGTTCAGCGAGAACAATTGATACGTGGGAAAGGAGTGAAGTTGGTGAGAGTACTGTTTTGACGCAGGCGCCGAGGGAAGTGGTGGTGAGAGAGGGAAAGATTTGAAGGTTGTGAGGGAGAGGGAGAAGAAGTGGATAGTTGGGAGAGAAGGTGAGTGATATTGAAGAGGATAGAGAAGAGTGGATAAGGGGGGAGGAGGGATGAAAGAAATGTCGGAAAATAGGTGGAGGGAATGGTCGTGGTCGGAGAAAGATGGAATGGTCAGGATGGAGAGAAAGGAAAGGAGGAGGAGGAAGGAGAAGGAAGGGATGGAGGAAAAGAAGGATCAGGTGGAAAAGGAAAGATCATGGGGGAATGGAAGGAAAGAAAAGATGGAATGAAGGGAATATGATTTAAATGGAAGGAAAGATGAAGAAAGAAGAGAATGAGAAAGGAAGAAAGAAAGGAAAGGAGGAGGAGAAGAAGAAGAAGAAGAAGAATAAAATAGTGGGACTAGATTGGATTAACAATTATTATTATTTTTTCTCGCTTCTTTTGTGATTTCGCAATTTTTGAAAGTTTGGGATGTTTGTGTGGTATAACTATATTCCTCTTGCAGAGGCTCTTGTAGAGGGAAAATGAGTTTGAGTTTGAGTTTGAGTTTGAACTTTGAGCTTGAGCCTGAATTTAAGCTTGACCTTGAGCCAAAGATGAAATGAGATGAAATGAGATGAGATAAGTGTAATGAACTATAATTTAACATCTGTTTGTGGATGCTGGATGCATGTTGGATGATGAATTGAAGGATCAAATTTGAGGGGATATATATAGTAAGGATATGAGGGTCTAAGGATTAAGAATCGGATTTGAGGATAGGATGGAATATGGTAATGATGTTATGATAATGACTATGAGTAATTAATGATTGATTGATTGATTGATTGAATATTTATTTATATTTATATTTATATTTTTATTCTTTATAGTATAGTTTTTTGCATTGTATAGGGTTTTGTGGTGTAGTTTTTTGTGGTATAAATTATAATGTATTGATGGGGGCGGGGGAACTTTGGAGAGCATGAGGGATGGGTGTTGAATTGTATAAGTGAGAGGGAGATATTTGGATATATAAAGGAGAAGATATAAAGAAGGGATGTGAGGTTGGATGTGAGATTGAATGAATATGAGAGGGAGATATGTAGAAATGAAAATCCATTACAAGATTAGGATTGATATTATTAAGAATATATAGGACGATAAAAATAAAGATGTAGCAAAATTTGGATTTTGGATTTTGGATTTTGGATTTAAATTTCGATCTATAGAAAGATATAATATCTCCAGAACTCTATATCTATAAACCAATCATGGCGCATTCTCTTATCTTCTTCTATCTGTATGTAATTTTCGCATTGGTTATATGATGCTTTACAATCTATATCCAGTATTCTTATTGACCTCCTGCAATTTCATCTTCTTATATTATAGCGATGTGTACTGGTCAGTCTTCATATTCTTAATCCTTTCCATCTCCATGTACACGGTTAAGATTCCCATCAATCTCACATTTCCTCGCTACCCAAAAACTAGCCGAATAAGTATTTTGAAGCATCGAATCCGGATCCTGAATATAAGGCGCGGATAAATCAGTAGATGAGGTAAGGATCGAAAATCCCAATTTCGGGAGCAAAAGAAGAACTTCCGAGTTTGTGAGTTCGATACTACCGGGGTCGGCTATTCCTTGATCTTTAGTTTGATTGCTGTCTTGTTTAGAAGAGGCGGGTGTTGAGGAACCAGGTGGATTGTTTTCAAAGTGCCAGAGGAGTGGTCCCATGTTTATGAGTAGACCACCTGGTTTGAGACAATTGTGGATAGCTTCTAGATAGCGGATTATGTTTGGCGCTGTGTCGAGGAAGAAGACGGAAGCTACTGCGTCGTAGGATGAGGCACGTTCTTCGTGGCCATATAAGAGGAGGAAATCGGATGCACTCATGCTCATTTCTCCTGCTTGAGGATTGGAGTTCAATTCGTCCCCTGGGTGTATATCGGGGATTTTGACGGATTTCAGATGATTACTTCGAGTTTTGTGGTTGGAGAAGGAATGAATCCAGGGGAAAATAGTGTGGTTTTCTTTCTCAGGACAGAAATTGAGAATATATGCACTGGCTAGAAGTTGATGATAACTAATTTCATTGCCTTCGACGTCGAATCCTTGCATACAAAGATCGAATACTAGACGACCGAGACCTGCACCAGGGACGAGGACTCGCATATTGCGATTTAGGGGCGAGGATTTGGCCTGTTCGGCTTGGAGAGCTTGGATCACGGGCCCGTAGGATGCTTTGCGTTCGGCAGCTCCTTCGGATGACCAGTCTCGGTACATTTGGCGGAGGGTACTGCGGGCTTTTTCGAGATCACCTGGGGTGGCTGTACCACGGAAATCATCTGGTGATTTAGTGTCAGGGTTGAGGTTTGAGGAGGGATAGGAGAGGTCGAAGGATGACAGTGCGGCTGTTAAGATGGCTTCTGACAGTACGGCATTGTGGTCTATAGCGTCATCGACGGCTATTAAGGTATCGAGGTAGTTAATGGGTGGTGATGCGAGGAGTTCCCAGTGGGCTCGGGGTAAGGCGTAGAATGCTTGTCTTCTTAGATGAGTAGTATTGTAATGAGCTGTCTTTTGGTAGTGACTGTGTGTAGGTTAATAAAGGTGTGCATGTGTGTATGTTTCCTTGAATAAGAGTGCAGATATGTTCATTCCATTTCGGAAAACACTTGGTAGATCCCCTAACATGGCACAACAGCACTCGCTTGATGTTCCCGTGGATCATGTGATACTATGATTCCAACTGGATCTCCAAATTCTCTGACTAAGAGTTGCCATTAAATAGTAAAAATATCTTACTAGAAAGAATCCAGGGCTTGATGAAGAACTCTCTTCTCCTCAGGATCATTCTGAGTTTCCTCGTTGCCTTCCCAAGCTTTAGAACTACTAGGATCGGACATATTGTATATTCGATCCCTTCATGAACATCACATAAAGGTTATGTTTTTGCAAAATAAAGTGAATTCCTGAAAACACCAATAAATCCTAAAATTGTCCCAAGGAGTACGGAAGTATTCTTAGTAACCTTACTATGTACTGTACAAGTTGTGGCCTGTGCATGGTAGGATAGGAAGCTTTATATAAAGTGAACCACCACCACTGGTGAACCTAAAATAAACAATTCGCTTATGTAAGATTGTAATTTATGGTTGCGCCGGCGTTTGTCCATCTTTCTATCTTCTTCAAACAAACAAACAGACAAACATTAATACCAACATTAATTCTAAGCTGTTTCATCTCGACAATCTTGAAAGCCATTTCCAAGCTTTCAGTTCCGTTCTTTTCGTCAATATGGCAACAGCTGCTCCCAAACAATTGGGTATCACTCCGCCTTTATCTACCGCGCTTCCGACAGATGCTGAGAAGCAAGCAACTGATGCGCTCATCGAAGAATTAACAAGAGAGAATAATTTCGAAAGCCGTGCTGATACTGATAAAAGGTATGCGATTGCGAGTATCACTTCTACATCCGCAGATTCCACAGATACAATATATCCTGCGATGGATATTCGTAACTGCTTTATTTCTTCCCGTTTCATTACTGATATCTTTGTTCGCACAGAACCGCGGTCCTTGCGTCCTTACAAAACATCACCGAAGAATTTGTAAAGCGAGTTTGCAGAAAGCAAAACCTACCAGAGAATTACATCAATAATGCTGGCGGTAGAATATTTACATATGGCAGTTTCCGACTTGGTGTTTATGGACCTGGTTCTGATATAGATACTTTGGTTGTCGTTCCCAAGAATGTTTCCCGCGAAGAATATTTCGAAATGTTCCCAGATCTCTTGGTGGAGATGGCCCCAAAAGGAGCCATTGAAGATCTCACACCTGTTCCGGAAGCCTTCGTTCCGATTATTAAGTTTGAATACTCTGGCATTAGCATCGATTTGATCTTCGCAAGAATTGATACACTTACACAGGTTCCAAGGACTCTAACCCTGAAGGACGACAACTTATTGACCGGTTTGGATGATGCTGGCCTCCGCTCCGTTAATGGAACTCGAGTCACTGATGATATTATGGATCTGGTTCCAGAAAAAGCGGTATTTAGAAATGCTTTGAGGGGAGTTAAGCTTTGGGCGCAGAGACGGGCTATTTATGCTAACATTATGGGTTTTCCTGGAGGAGTTGCTTGGGCCATGCTGGTGGCTAGAGTATGTCAGTTATATCCACAAGCAACCGCATCCACAATCATTCTCAAGTTCTTCCGCATTATGGAGAAGTGGCAGTGGCCGCAACCAGTCTTACTGCAGCAGATAAAAAATGGCAAACTCAACGTTCGCGTCTGGAATCCAAGAGTAAGTTTTGCCTCTGGATTGTGTTCATCATTTAACTAACTTTGATAGGTATATAAAGCTGACAGCTTCCACCTCATGCCAATCATCACTCCTTCATACCCCTCGATGTGCGCAACTCATAATATAACAAAATCGACCAAAGAAATCATCTGTCGGGAACTTGCTCGGGGAGGAAATATCGTGGATAGAATTATGATGGGCAAGGCACCTTGGAAAGACTTATTCCAGAAGCACACATTTTTCACCAAAAACTACAAATATTACCTTTCCGTCATTTCCGCTAGTACTACAAAGGAGGCTCAACTTATATGGGCAGGTTTGGTCGAGTCGAAAGTTAGACTCTTGGTTACTAATCTAGAAGGTCATGAATCAATTGCGTTAGCACATCCTTTCAACAAGGGCTTCGAACGAGTTCACAAATGCAGTTCAGAAGATGAAATCGAATCGGTAAAGGAGGGTGGACATCAATACCAAATCTATGAAATTCCAACAGTGACTACCGACCCATCCCATGATCCCAATCTAGGAATTGCGGTCAAGAATCAGAATGGAGATGTACCACAGGCCGAATCTGAGAAGAAGGAAACGATGGTTTACACAACAACATTTTACATCGGCCTCGAGCTCCGCGAAGGTAAGTGCGGCACTATCATCCTCATTGTTATGTGCAAACTTACTGCTATATGGTTATGGCCTTCAGATATGCATTCTAATTACAAGCCTCTATGATATCCTCCCAGGTCCAGCTACTAACTATATTAGGAGCTAAATCACTCGATCTTGCATGGTGTGTTGATGATTTCAAGGAAAGATGTAGATCCTGGGAGAAATACAATGAAGAACTAAATACTCTATCTGTCATTCACACTCGAAAGTATGTGCCCCATTTCACGATTGTCATGGTGAGAATGGCTGACTTATAATTTCTAGCTGTGACCTTCCGGATGATGTCTTCACCGAAGGCGAGGTCAAGCCAACTCGTTCTCAAAAGAAGAAGAAGCGCTCTGCAACTGATGTATGTGAAAGCCAATCCCTGGTCCGGGATCTGGCCCAAAGTTAAAGGCGGAGACTCTCGTTTTTGATCAGGCTATCCTAGATAAATAAGTTCCAAGCATCACTAACCTTCCCCCAGGACGCTAAACAAGCACCCGCAAAGAGACAGCAAGCAGTTGCTGCCGGATAATGATTCAGTGCGAAACCACCATACTCTCTTTCTCTACTATCATTGATGGGATCTAATGACAGGCTTGCTCCACACCAGCTCTCGCTCATTGCGGCCACCATACTTAAAACAACAGTTTAAAAAAAATCGGAAAATCGACCTAATTAATCAGCCACTAACCTCCGGGCAGTTTACGTCGACACGTTCATTCATATCGTTAAGTAAATCCTGAGTATTACCTACTTCCTTGGTCTTCCTTCGGGGTAAACCCGTAATAATGAAATTTACATTCAGGCCTGGGTACAATCGTTGAGGCAAACCTAAAGAGTAGACCCTCTCGAAATAAATATAGCACTGGCGTTCCAGTGGCTATTTCTTCATTCTTCTTCTAGGGTTGACGGATAAAGGGGGGTTCCTATTATGCGAAAATGTCATCAAGCATTGCTTGAAAGGTCCAGCGAAAAGAGGGCCATCTCAATGGCATTCTACATATCTATGTATTTTAGCAAACCAATACAATTTATATTTAGAGACTACGAGTCTCAAATAAGGACGATCCTATGCTTTTATGACCATTGCAACCCGTGCTGATGTATGTGCACTGATGGTCAATTCTCATAGTCCAACAGGTCTGTTCTACTCGTGTGACGCTATCTTTTGATCACATCACTCGGCAATGTCACGGAGCAAAATGGCTGATGATTATTCTCTTGATATTATGTACATGCCTCACCCGTATTTATAATTATGCTGAATGGATCTAAATATACTAATACGTTAATAATTTTTACTATTTAGAAGATTTAAAAGCATTGATCAACACTTGTATTGAAGGTAATGAATGTAATGATAATAATCTTATATTTCCAATATAAGGCTGGACAAGGCCGTACTGCCTTTTCTTCTAAGACAGTGACGTAGCGCCCGTCCGATTTAAAAAAGCTAAGGCATGACAGGCAAGGTTAAGGAATTCTCAAATCCCATCTAGAAGCATCTTGGCAACATAGCTACTGATTGATATTGATATCTTGTCAACATACATGTCTTGTCCCTTACAATTCAATTCGTCAATTCGTCAATCCATCAATTCTATTTCTAACATTACGATTGATCACTAACTTTGCAGCTCAATTCACACAGTTTCATCCTAATCCCAGCAACAATCAACATCAACATCGACAGAATGACAAATATAAGCACATAAGCACACTCCGCCTGTGCATTTATTTAGGTTGTTGCCTCCTGCAGTGAGCTACCCAAGCAGGATTGGAACGTCTCCACAACACTCAAACCCATACAGCCTGACGGCCTCGCATATTAATCGTGGCTCCTCCTTCACTCCGTCGAGCAGGCCATCCTCACCACAGGATATCCTTTTTTCGATATCTCTTTCCGCATCCTCGGAGGATTGCACGCGAGCGCTTCACGAATTTCCGATTCGAAACATTACCATTTTGGAAACTTCGCGCACAATCACGAATATATAATTATATAGTTAAGACCCAGTTAAAGCAGAAGAGGAAGAGAGCGGCCGGGAAAACCGCCTTTCAAATTCTTGAAAGGGCGGGGAGAAGACTTCTGGGCGGCGGTTCTAAAGACAATGCGACGACTTCTCGCAAGCTGAACCCATCATCTGGTTCGATGTCTAGCTATGTCGCAGATGGATATGGGGAGGAAAGAAAGCGTGGTGGTAAGAGGGAGAGATTGGCAGGATATTGGAAGGCTGCAAATGAACTTCGTCAATCATATCAACAATCATATTCGGAGAAATGGGGAGCGAACAATGGTGTGGATGATGATCCGCATGGGATACCGGGCTCATTTCCGGATGTAGCTATTATTTCTCATGGAGATGAGCAAATGATATTATTTCCTTCTTATGCGCGAAGACATACGAAAGAGAAGCCATTCTTTGAAAATGCCAACATGAATCCTAAATTGAACGAACCGGGCGATGCAGAATATTGGGCAAGGGAATGGCAGAAATATGAGGATGATAAGGCTATAGTTGATGTGGATGTTAGAGGATGGCTTTACTCTCCTCATAGAGGACCTATGACGAGAAAGAACAGATTACTCATTGGACTTGCACGTCAATTGAGCGGCATACCAGCCCCAAAATCTGGGAGTCGAGATACCAGCCCGGATGCGAATTCAATGAGGGCGAGACATAGAGAACATGAAGAGAGGCGTGACGAGGAAAAGATCGCCAGGGAAGCAGAACAAATATTGAAAAAAGGGAGAGGCGAGGAAGAGGCAGCCCTTCGAGGTGACTATAGTGAAAAACCAAAGCGTGATTCGGATGGTGATAGTATCTATGATGATCGTGGTAGGCGGCGCACTGGCAGTTCAAGAGTTTCACCGGAGTCATCTCCCGCTCCTCCAGGTAGTCTAACAAAACGTACATCATGGAATCAACCATCCGAAATGACCCATGCGGAGATTTTTACTGCAAATGCGCATTTGATGGCACGATTAAGACCATTCCTTACGAATCCAATGGTCGCTACGGCAATCACGGTCTTTTTTTATGATGAGAAGAACTCTTCTTCGCGAACGATAGAAACAAATGAGGCAGGTCATTTCAATATTCGAGCTGCTTTGGATTTTGTTCCTACACATGTTAGAGTACTGGCCTCGGAAAATCTTTCAGCGATTGAAGAAGTCAAGATAACGGAACCAAAAGGAGTCAGTTTAATCAGTGATGTCGATGACACCATCAAGCATTCTTCAATTGGTGCAGGATCAAGAGAAATTTTCAGAAATGTCTTTGTCCGTGAATATGCTGATCTCACAATTGAAGGTGTCAGGGAATGGTACAACACAATGTATGATATGGGTGTAGGGGTTCATTATGTATCCAATTCACCTTGGCAACTATTTCCAGTATTGGTGAGCTTTTTTAGAAAAGCAGGTCTACCGCCTGGATCCTATCATCTGAAACAATATAGCGGAATGCTCCAAGGTATCTTTGAACCAGTTGCAGAAAGAAAGAAGGGTACCCTTGAGAAGATCATGCGAGATTTTCCAGAGAGAAAATTCATTTTGATCGGAGACAGTGGTGAAGCAGATTTAGAAGTTTATACCGATGTCGTCCTAGCAAACCCGGGGAAAATTCTCGGAATTTTTATCAGAGATGTCACAACACCAGCTGATATAGGGTTCTTTGATTCGGCTTTAGGTCCGCTCAGTGGAGAACGACGGAGATTTGAACCGCAATCTCGAACACAATCCATTGATAGTAGGAGATCATCTACATATAGTAAATCAGAGCAATCAGAGAAACGACCAGCTTTACCTCCTAGAGTTCCGTCAGAAACACAACTTCGGACGAGTAATGGTCCAAACATGGGAACGCTCATTGACTTTGGAGATGAACCCGAGAATGATCCAATACATAAATTACATCGACAAGTGGTGCCTCGATCTATGGCGGATATGGAAATACCAGATGTTCCACAACGAAAATCCACCAATGATGGTAAAGCCCCTCCACCTCGACCTTCTAAACCTCTATCACTTCGAGGATCAAGTACAATAACAGTCGTTCAACCTGAACCACCTGAACCTGTCAATCGGAACACTCCTCCACCACCACCAAAACCTCGTCGTTCAGGTGCTATACATGGAAGTGTACATAATCATCCATTAAAGCAAACACAAAGCAGTGCCGAATTATCTGAAGCATCCAGTGAAGGCTATATATCCAGTGCTCGCCAGAAAGTTGCAGAGACCTACAATAATCTTCCAGAAATGAGATCTTACATACCAGGAATGGGCGACTCCAGTCCATCATCAAATGGACCTCCAATACCACCACGTCGCCACTCAACCATGCTATCCTCAACCTCCACAGGTAGCGGTCCCACCTACATAAACACAAATAATAGCAGTAGTCCCGACTCATCCGAAGATGAATATTACCGACCCTCCAATGGAGCCCCAGCAAACAAAAAGTTAGATCTCTGGAAACGTCGCTGGAGACGCGCAAAGGATATTCTGGATACTCAGGATGTAACTTTAAGAGCTTGGAGGTCGGGAGGCGATGTATGTATAGAGGCTGTTCATATGGTGGAAAAAACTCTGCGCGAGATGGGCGTGGAGGGATATGGGAATGGGAAGGGGAAGACGGGGATAGGCGGTGGAGAGGTTAAGGTTAAGGATTTGAAGAGGTAGGAAGGATGTTTGTAGAGGGATGAGGGAGTGTTTTTGTGGGGTAGAGCGATGAGATGTTTCATATTATTGAATGAATTTTTTTTGGATGGGTGGGCGTGTGCATGGTGTCGTACGGTGGCTAGATTGAGGTATGATGACTTTATCATACGATTGCATAAATGTACGTATGCATGGGAATGGAATCGAAGCGAATAGATTTTCAAGGGAAGAGCGGAAGAGGAATGATATGATACGGAGAGAGACATGCATGCATGGAAAGAAGAGAGAAATAAATGAAACATTATAATATTGTATACAAGAGTGAGAGTGAGAATGAAAAAGAAAATTTCCATCCAATACTTACGGTCCGTCCGGATTGATTTTTTTCTGAAATATTCAAAATATTAAATATATGAATGGAATAAAGATATTATAAATATTAAGATAAGACTCAATTGGATGGGACTGATACGTATACATACACGACTAACGTAACAATGGAATTGGTATCTAGTATCCTCTATCCACCCACTCATTTTTCCGTCTCCACCATCCCATTCCCACCTCCTCCATCCACCCCCACCATCCATCCTTTCCATTCCTTTCTTTTTTCTTCAACACCCTTCCCTCCTTTCCTCCCTTCTATCTTTCCTTTTTCCTTATTCCAACTTTCCACTTTACTACGCCATTCAACTCTTCCACTCCCAATTTCTTCGCTGCCAATTTTTCCTTTTCGCTTTCAAACCATGTTCTCTTTGGTCTTCCTTTAATTTCCGCTTCATGATCCATGAAATTCTGTCCTTTTCTAACCTCCATCTCCGCTTGAGCAAGGATTTTATCTTCTTTTTCTTCCTTTAAAATCTCTTCAATTTCATCCGCCATCTCATCAACTTTTTCGCTCCAGTTATCTGCCTCGCTAGCTTCGATTACGCGACTTACAACCTTAGCTCCTTGTGTCCGACTAGCTTTCACAGCTGCTTTGACGACTTTACGGTCTGGTTCAGCGGCGATGGTGCAAGCGCGTCCGGAACGACCAGCACGAGCTGTACGTCCTACACGATGGAGATAGATGTCATGGGATTGTGGAGCTTCGTAATTAATTACTGTCTCTACACCCTTGATATCAAGACCACGGGAGGCAAGATCGGTGGCGAGAAGGAAAGAAGCTTTGCCATCACGGAAAGCTTCTACACTTTTGATACGCTGAACATGTTAGTTAATGAAATATTATAGATCGGAGATAGAAACATACCTGTTCTTGACTCATGCTACCGTGCAATTCAGTAGCTTTGAGACTAGACAATCCAAAGATAATACGTGCTCTATGAGCTTCCTTCTTCTGTCTGAAGAAAACAATGACTCGATCAGTGTAGACATTTGCGCAGAGATACAAAAGATAACCCATGCGTTTACCCTCTCTCCCTGGACGAAGACGAATGAATTCTTGTGTCAAAGTACCAGCAGTTGATTTTTGGGAGTCAACGAGTAATCGCACAGGCCTGTTGAGACCAACACGAATGAGGTTATCAACTGATGAAGACATTGTTGCGGAAAAGAGCATAGTCTGTCTAGACTTAGGAATAGTTGTCAAGATCTCATTCAACTCATCAGCAAAACCAGCTTCAAGCATTCGATCAGCTTCATCGAGAACGAGAATCTCCAATGTATCAACAGTAAAACTTGGAGAATTGCGCATATGATCAATGAAACGACCGGGAGTAGCAATAATGACATCTGGACGAAGACGTAACTCGGCTTCTTGAACTTTCAAACTAAGACCTCCAACAGCCAAACAGAATTTGATGTCAGTATGACTTGCAAGTTTGGTAGCAACGGCGTGACATTGGATTGCCAATTCACGAGTTGGCATAAGAATGGCCACTCTACTGGTTGGTACTTTCTTTGGTCTGTATAGAAGACGCTCAAGAACTGGAACAATAAATGCTGCAGTCTTTCCGGAACCAGTGACAGCTCCACCAACGACATCCTTGCCCAGTAATGCAACAGGTATAGTTTTCGATTGAATTGGTGTAGGTTGAGTGAAACCAACTGTAGCAAGACCTCGAAGAATTGGTCGAGATAGGGACATGCTTTGAAATGTTGAATTGAGTTCGGGCTTAGCACCCTTGACTGGTTTTTCTTCAGGGGCGAAGAATGCCTCTCTTTTAGCAGCTTCCTCGGGGTCTTCCTCCATATCCTTATCGTCATCGGAAGCCTCAGAAGCGGCATCATCTGGATGAGGTGCTGGTGATGCGACGGAATCGTTATCGGAATCATCATCGTCTGCCCCTTCGTTATCTGATGCTTCAGAATCTTCTTCAGCACCAGACTCTTCCGCAGATCCAGCACCCATTCCAAATCCATCTTCAGCCATGAATTCATCATCCTCGTCCTCGAAATCCATATCCTCCGGCGCATCTTGTTCTTCGTCTGAAGCTACAACATCTTCCTTTTGAGCAATTACTTCATCCTCTGCTTCTCCCTTCTTCCCTGTCGCCTTCTTCTTTTCCCTCCTTCGTGCAATAATTTCATCAATATCCACTGCCTTTTTGTCACCTCCATTGAGTCCCTTCTTCGCTCCATCGAATCCCCAGCCCTCAAATTCCTCTAAATCCGCGCCACCTTTTCCGTCTGCTTCCAATGCAAATTCAAAATCTGAATCCATAGCCCCGTCATCTGCATCCTTGATCCCCCATATTCCCTCTTCATCCACATCTTCATCCTCGGACTTCTTCTTTGATTTCTTGGACTTTTTAGTAGAAGCAGTATCATCGTTGCGTTTGCGTTTTTTGTTTGAGGAAGGATCCAAAGGCAATTCTTCTTCGATTACATTGGTCAAATCTTCACCTTCATTATCCGACAGTGTGAGAACGAAGTCATCGTCGCGATTACGTTTGGGAGCCATGTTTGATTTGTGCTGTCTTAAGATTTTTGATAATTGGAGAAAAAAAGTTAGAAGAGTAGTTTTACCGCCTCGGCAGAATCTTTTTTGCTGATGAGATTGGCTAGCCTGGACGATCCACCAGTAGGGTGCACGGATGAAGAACCTATTATTTCAATATACGAGTAGCATTTGTCCGATATATGTGCATATCTTGTGCTCTCATCATCACTACCACCTAAATCACAACGAGGCAACAAGGCAACAAGGGCAAATATCTCATTGAGTTTTTAAATAACTTTTAACCTATGTGTTTCGCAATTTAAATTACCCAGGCTGTTTAAGACCTTCTTTAGATTTCGTTCGCAAGCTGAAAATCAAGGAATACATCAGTCCCAAAAAGGTATGAGAAGCCCGTTGTGGGTTCGTATGCCACCATTCAATGCATCCATCCATTTATTCATTTCGTCAACTCCAAACTATTTACGTTAAATCCGGAGCTTCCCCTAGATTATGGCCTTTCAAAAGAAAAAGAAGAATCCACCAGTACCGAAGTCATCAGAATCCGGACCACGAATCTCCTGCGGAGAGGTGATAACTGCGATCGTGGCATATTGAAAAGTTAAAAAATCGAAGAAATAAGAAGCAAGCGGATGCTGCAAAGTTCCAGTCTATGTTGAGGAGCAATATGCGCGATCAACAAACTTAGACAAAAGGTGTGAATTCCGCTTCATGTTCAAGCTCCTTCTGGAAGTGAACAACGTCGAGCCACTCTCCTGCACGGTGTAATACAGAACTTCGTCCAACACAACTGAGCCGAAACTCCTCCAGGAACCAGAACCTCCTCAAGAAACTTTTTACCCATTTGTAATTTGGGTCATCCTTTCGAAGAACAGGAACCTCGATCAACAGTTGATGGCATCGGGCGCCACAGCCATGGCCATAGGCAGGGTCATTATCATAGTTGAGCCAGTCGTACCCATCATGACTAGAATAGGCACGACTTGAGACTAAAAGGAGTCTATCTAGAACACAGCTACCAACGCCCTTGCGAGTGTAGTCTGGGTGAGTGTAAAAATGTAAATTGTGTGTGTATCTGGATCGACCATTAGATTTTCCAGCGATTCCACAGCCACGCATTTCGGTGTATCCAAAGCCGATGATGTTCTCATACTGTGGCACCTTGGTTTTAATCTTTGGGTTGGCAGACTGTGCTGGAATACGCCCTTTCACAGCAACGACGAAAGGTAACTTTTCGTTCTTCGTAACCTGGATGAGAAACAGGATGTCACTTTCAGCCAGAGGCTCTTGATCCTCTGGAGTGTAAGACTCAATTATATAATGGTTGTAGATCTGCAAAATTTCCTTCGCATCAGCTTCTGTGGCGGGTCGTAGATAAATCTCGATCTTAGGAGCGTATGGATTTGGCTCTGGCTCTTGTGCCATTATTTCCTCATGCCGAGCGTTGTCTGCCATGATAGCGTATTCTCGTGCCTCTCGAGCGTTCTCAAATTTCTTCAGGAAAGCTGCTGCCTCCTGGCCAGCAGTTTGATTGCGTCTCTTCTCCTCGTTGGAGGCATTCAGGGTATCTGACAAGCAGGTTAGCTTATGAGGGAAGGAAGTGCTGGAGATACCCAGAGATATCTACTTACCAGGAATTGTAGGCTCATGTCTGGGCGCCTTTGAAAGGAGGACGTTATTGACAAGATCTTTGCCGGATATAAAACCTTCAGCAGAGGTATCGACAGTATATATGACTGGTTGTATAGGGCTGACCGCTGCAGACCATTCATGAATGTAAGAGGGGATGTAAGCGGAATCAAATGCCCCACGCTCCTCCCAAATTGGTGGCGCACACCAACTACCATCCCAATCGCACAAGGTCAAGTTGGCTTCTTGTGTTGCAGTTGCACGTACACCTTCCTTGACATTTGGATCAACAGCAGTACTACCCATCTTATCTGCGATATCAGAGAAGCTAGATATTGACCAAAATGGAGGCGAAGAAAGCAAGCTACCAGCTTGGCTTTTCTTGTCGGAAGGCTTTCCATTGATCGGATTATTGACTTGTGTGTTGCTGTGATAAGCATTTTTCTCCTCATTTGGTGTAAAACTGTGAACAGCAACATGAGAGATCTTGTCCTGAGAAGACTCGCCCTTGAAAGTAGCCAAATTACCAGCCATGTTCGCGTAGTTATTACTAGCTGTGTTCAATGTGCTAATAACTTTCTCATCCAAAGGGTTTGTGTTGAAAACATCCACCGCGTTGATTTTCGGTACGTTTGTGACAACAAAGTCTTTGCTTGCCGCCTTCAGCTCCGAAACAATTGCTTGTCCATCTTTCATGGTAGGTTCTGCCATGCCAAAGGCTTCACCATCATTCTTTGGCGTAGAAAGTTGAGGGTTGGTGTTGTTGGTAGGCAATTTCGTGGATTGAGAGGTCGGGCTATGCGCGAAGCGGCGAGCAAGTAATGCATTGAAATTGGCTTCGCCAGCAGCTAACTTGAGCTTTTCTGCTTTGTCTTCGGCTTGCGTTGGCTTTCTCGAAGAAGGTTTTGGTGATAGATGTTGCTTAGCAGCTTGTTGTTGTTGTGCTTGTGTTCCTGCATTTGTAGCCGTCTTCTTAGCAACGAGGAAGGCTTGGAAATCTTCATCTGCCTTGCTTAGAGCCTTGCCCTGAGTCAATTTAGAAGTGGTCCACTGCCGGATCATTCGTCAGTAGAGAATGGTTTTTGGGAATGCGCGTTAAGCGTGGGATTAAAACAAGGTTGATTAAAAAATAAGATGAGAGATCGAAGGTCAAGATTGCGTGAAAGTCAAAAGTAACAGATATCCAGAGAACACAAGATAGCTTACCTTGTTGACGGGCGCCGGGATGAGAGGCTTGTTCGACATTGTTGTAATATATGAGCTTGTTATTGGAGTCACGAAGGTCGATTCATCTATGTTGGGAAGTTCTGGAGAAAGCTATCAGTAGCTGTTAAAGGAATTTGAAGCTAGTGCCGATCTGACATACCTGGCTGCTCAACAGTAATTTTGCTTCCCGAAACAACTTCCTCGTTTTTTGAGGTTTGAGTCTGTGGGACCGAAAAGTCAGACCCCGCTTGTCGGATATTCACTGTTGAATAATTATCAGCTTTGAAAGTTTCAAAATTGATAAGTGCTAGGTTTCAGAACCCATGTGTACATTTGGGATTATGTTTTTTAATTATTGGTGTGGAAACAACGACAGGCTTTTTCTTCAGGTCTTTCTCCTGCTTTCGTTTCACTAGCATTGCCATAAACTCGTTTTCCTTCATCAAGAACGGGCCAGAGATAACTTGCTGGGTAGGGCCAGCTGTTAATAGTGGTTTGCTCCCTTCTCCACTAGCATTTCTAGATATTTGCAAATGTGAATCGGAGATAGAAGCTTGAACTGAAGAATCTGAGATGGAAAGAGCTGGAACAAAAGAAGCTAGGACAGATGCTCGTGTTCCATGGTTCTCTGCTTCGGCATTTACCATCATTTCTATGACTTTGTGTTTCTTCATGATAGAAGAAGCTATAGATACAGCTTGAGAGGCTCTGTTTGACGAGCTCTTCTCGCTGAGAGAAGCACCGCCGCTCTTGGTGACTACAGGTACGTCATTTGATTTATCCTCGATAGTGCAACAGGCCCTGGAGGTGCCCAAGGGTTCCTGGGTCGCGACTGGGACGTTTTCATTACTAGAAGTGTTTTCTTTGGTAGGAATGGCTGGTTGAAAATTTTCCAATCGCTTTTGCCAATCTGTACAGAGTTTTTGTTCCATCAATCCCTCAGAAATTTGCTTTTTGGCGACGGCATGTTTGATAACGGCAGCAGGGGACTTGAGAGTTTGTAGTTAGCAGTTGAAATCAGAGATTAAAACAAGGGCTTACTGAGACTCCGAGCCTGATAACTCCACCACCGCTGTCGACTTTGGTTGGAGTGACGGTTTGGAATTTGCTCATACGATTTTCGTGGTCTTTAAGAAGCATCTGCTCAAACAACTTCTGATGGTTTGGCTTCTTGGCGGCGCTATCCTTGACAACAGCTGGGGTTGACTTGAGAATATAGTCAACAACGACATCAAGAAACGAAACAAAAAGACTTACTGATACCAAGCAAACCCCACCACCATCGGAAGGTGATACCTCGAGAGATTCTGGAGCAAATGAGTGGGACGATCCACTAAAGGAAGAAGTTCCACTCTTCGTCTTGGTTGGTGTGAAGAGAACAGCACTTGCTCTGAGAATACTTTCTCCTGAACTGCTTTGGGAGTGAAATTGGTTGATAACATTGTTGAAGACCTCGGGAAAGACTGGCATAATGAGCAAACGAAAGACTCGGCATAGAAATAGAGACTTACGGCGAGAATTCTCTAGGCTACCAAGTTTAAAAGGCTGTGACGCCACGTCGTTTTCGTTTGGTGAAACATTCATCTTTGATGATGGTGAAGGTGTATACCTACATAGGGAATTCTCATCCAAATCGAGATTCTTGGGTCCACCTGGAGTGACCTTGTACTTCTTTTGTTCCCCAACAGCGAAACGTGATGATCCAAGACCATTTACTTTCCCGGCGATTCCAAGTACTTCATTTTTAAATTCTTGGTACTTTTCGGATGCCATGGCACGGAGGCGTTCGACGCGGGCCTTTTCAAAGTTCTCATCTCGTTCTGTAGAAGTGATTAACTGAGAGATGTTTGCCATTGCTGCAAATATACGATTACAAAAGTAAACGCGTATAGGTGTATGGCAATTAGAGTACAAATGTACTAGTGAAAAAAGGCAAGATTCACAAAGATGTGTTAAAATGTAAAAGCAGTTGCTTATTTGATTGCTTGCAGGGCAAGGGTTAGGGGGTGTCCAAAAGAAAAAAATGAACACCGTAGTGTGAATTTCCTATATGAAGAGAACAATGTATGTGTGTATGATTTGCTTGATATTAGAAAAGCTTTCTTAGTAGGAATCTTGTAGAATATAAAATTTCCGGAAAACTGTATGTGGAAAGGCGGCCGAGGAAAATGAAAAGAAAGCAAAACCAACTCTGAAAATATCTTCAACAGAAAGCGATGATAATCTCAGGTAAGCGAATTTTTGTTGTCGTGGCTGGAGCTTCACTTGTTTTGTGATTGAGATAAATTTAGAGATGAAACTGTTGCTGGAAGTTTATGTTGGGGTGAGTTGCGGAGGAGTGAAGTGAGTGAAGTGAGATGAATGAGTTGGAGGGAAACTGAAATTCTATGAAGGTTGGAACTTCAGAATAAGAATGAATTCGGGGAAAAGTTCTGTCGTTTTAGGAAGTTATTGGGAAAGAAAGTGTGGTTTGAACTGGGAAGCTACATCTTGCTGCATCGAGGCATCGAGTCACTGGCATCGGGTTGCGCATACTGACAAAGGCATGGAATATATCAGCACCCACTTTTGTAACTGATTGATACATGATCATTTCTATCTAGCATTATAAGAAAAAATCCTCAATCTGATAGCTCCACCTCCAACACCATCAATCCGCCATAATTTCGAGACTTTCAAAGCTCGGTGTGATATCACGTGATTTTCTGCTTGTTTTTTTGAATGTGAGTGGAAAGCTTCAGTTCTTCGCCTTACGATGAACATTGAAGAAAAGTAATTTCAACGACAAGACAGAAGATTTGATCAATATGTTATCAATATTGCGCAAGGCAAGACTTAAGGATAAGGAGATGAGAATTTTGATGCTGTATGAGGCTATTCCCCCACGAGCTTTCTTTACCTTACTGATTGTTTTCTAATTTTGTACAGCGGACTGGATAATGCTGGCAAGACTACAATAGTCAAAAGAATCATGGGGGAAGATGTCAATACTGTGAGCCCAACGTTGGGTTTCATCATCAAGACTATTGAACATGCTGGGTACATATTATGGCACCTGTGGAAGGTTACAGCACGCTGACCTTTTGAAGTTACAAGCTGAACATTTGTATTACCTCTTTACCTTGAGAGTACTTCCAGTGATTTGCACGCTGAATCTTTTAATTGTAGGGGATGTTGGTGGACAAAAGACTCTCCGATCATACTGGAGAAACTATTTTGAGAAGACCGATGCCTTAATATGGGTGGTTGATGCCACCGACCGTTTACGTATCGAAGATTGCAAGGAAGAGTTGCATGCTTTGCTTCAGGAAGAGGTTCGTTTATGGTAAAACATTGATTATAGCAACGCCAATCACTAATACTCTTCATAGAGACTTTCCGGTGCGAGTCTCCTTGTTTTCGCGAACAAGACTGATGTCAATGGCTGTATGACGAAGACAGAGATTAAAGATGTGAGTGAACCTGCAAAAAATGCCGATGTGAAGTGTGAAGTGTTGTCGTCAAGAGAAGCGGACATACTAACCGGAAATAGATGTTGGTGCTAGATGAAATTCGGACGCACAAATGGCACATCATTAATTGCAGCGCGATAACAGGCGATAATTTAGATGAAGGATTGACCTGGGTAGTTGAAGATTCCAAAGAACGATTGTTTCTATATTGAGGTCGTTGGTCATGAGGAAAGTCAGAAATTGACTAATACTAGGAATATCCCATTCAATCCATTTATTAGTGACATAGTTACGGGGGAGGGAAAGTTTTTGTTTGTTTATTTGTTTGTTTATTATTTATCATTTATTTTGATTTTAGAGTTCACCAGTTCTCTAATGTCATTCATTCTGTGCCCACCTTAAAACCACCTAGTTCTACAACTTCGTATGTTCTGTACAAGTTGATTGTCAAGTCAGGGTCTTCTTGTCTTCTTGTCTTACGAGACAGGAAAGGCCTGTTTATTGTTTGTATAAGCGCGAGGTGGTTGAGCCGCTCGGGACAGAAAGTAGATATTGAGAAATTGCAGGAATAAAAAGTGAATATCACCAGTATAGATTGAGTACCCAAATTTATCATGAAATGTACAGCAAATACATCTGCGTTTGCATCATGACTTCTTGAACAACACGAGTAAGCATCTAATATATATATTGCGGCAGAATAGATGCCACGTTTTATGAATTGTACAGTTGTAGAAAATGCTAATAATCTTATCCATACCTCGTACTTAAATGAATGCTCAGCTGAATTTATGAACTTTATGAAACCTTGACCAAGCGAACCTTCAATCTCCCTTACCTAGAACAATCCCTTGAGGTCCTCAACAACCTCGACCCCTCGTGCAAAAGCGTTTACCCCGCTGAGTGCAACTTGGATTGTCCTTTCATAATCCTTCTGCCATATAAACATGTCGACTGCCGAAGGAGAGCCCGATGTGAATGATTTCTTGCAGCGGATCAAGGAATTGGGTAACAAACGGGACCAAGAGGATGAAGACCGCACAAGAAAGTTAGAGGAAGAGATATTGCAGGGCAGAAAGGAGAGACAAGCTCGCAGGGCTGGTAATTGATTTCTACTTGAATTTTCTTTTAGAGACATTGTTTCGCCGGCGCGCCATACTTTAATATGATACGTCAGTTATGTACCTTTTGCTAATGTTTACTTTCAGAAAGGGCCTTGTCGATATCACCAACGAAGTCTTCTCCTATGAATACACCTACCAGACCTCTATCAGAAATCCTCTCAAACTCAGAGGATCAATCTTTAGAATCTCGGCCCGGGACTGTTGTTGGCAACGAGGTGGATCCAATAGCGATGAATTCGATTCCAGATTTCAAGCGAAGTTCGCAGATGAGAGATTCACCCTCTGATGCTATGCCCTCACGAAATTCACCTTTATCATGGGCTCGTAGACCTGAACCTTCTGATAGACCTCGAAGTCGACCTTTATCCATGGTAGCTACAGATAGGGTAATGCTATCGAGAACAACCACACCGCCTCCCGACAATACCGTATCTACCGATGACAGCACTCCTTCTCGAGAACAAATTGCACAATCACTAGCATCCAAAGATCCAGCTTGGTTTAGGCAAACTGCAGATCGAGGCGTCAATTCACCAGCTTACAGGAAAAATCAAGTAGAAGACGAAGAGAGGGCAATACACGGGTCGATTCAAATGCCAGGCATGGCTCGTAACAATTCTACGCCTGAAAAGGCAATGAATGAGACCAAAGATTCTTCTTCGACGCCTGCAAGATCAGTGACTAGACCCTCAGCAAGAAATAGCATTTCCTACGGAAGCAGCTTTAGGATGTCGTACCAAAGTAACCCAGGTGCCGGCACGGGATCACCGATACCAATGACTGATGCCCAGAGACTAGACCCACCTACTTCTGATAATTTATCGGAGATTCGAGGTCTAGCAATGTCACCTTCCCAGGGCCGCATATCTCCTGATAGACAAGACCGACCTAATTCCCCAACCAAAGGAATGGGTGGGTTTGTACAAAGTGCAATGATGAAAAGATCGGAGAGTATGAATAAGCGTTGGTCTGTTGCATCACCATCATTAGATCGCAATAATACGTCCTTCGATACTAGTATGGATAATCAATCTACTTTTTCTTCAAGGCCCACATCAAGACCTACCTCAAGTCATGGTGAGCTTCATCGCCCGGGCACAGCAGGTTCCACGAGAAGCAACATGACCAGCACCGCTAAAGAGGCAGACAATGGGAGTCAATCACCTCCAGCAGATGATAGTTTGCCTGTCAGCCCTACGAAAACCTCGGACTCAAGACGATGGAGCCCTACCAAATCTAGTTGGCTTGAAAGCGCTTTGAACAAGCCTGAATCACCAAAACCTAAAGCCACGCCACCGCCTCAGCAACCCTCGTGGATGTCAGAAATTAATAGGGCGAAACAAAAGGGAAGTGTCGATTTGGGTAGAAATCAAACGATCAAGCATGAAGTAAACATTGGTGGTCTAATGAGATCTCCTCCTCCAGGCGCATTGACAAAGCCATCTAGTATTCGAGGTTTCCAAACACCGTTTGCTCCTGGTGTTACGCCACAGCGAAACATTGAGAGCATGATCAACCAGGACAGTAAGAGTGTGGCTGAAAATACGAAGGCCGAGAGACCATCGACACCCTCTACTTCTACTCCTATTCCGGTTACTACACCAAGACTTAACACAAACTTTACATCCACTCCATCTTCAACACCTAAAGCCAATTTGAACTCACCTGTTGTTCCAGCGAGAAGTAGGCCAGCGACTCCCCCGAAGAATGATTTCCGCTCTGTTTTGAAATCACGGCAGGTACCTGCCGATGAAAAGGTACCTATCGAGGAAAAGTCCAAAGAAGAACCAGAATTCAAGAATGTCTTTGGTCAACTTCGGAGGACGAAGACTCAAAGTTATATGGCTCCAGACGTACTGAAGGACAATATTACACGTGGAAAGGCAGGTCTTAGCCTTACTGGTGGGCCTCTGAAGACTGAACGCAAGGACGAATTCAAAGATGCCATTTTGAAAAAGAAGGAAGATTTCAAGAAGGCGCAAGCTGGAGGGAATGGGGTTACCAGATCTCCCAGTGGTGAAAGTCGGGAGAATGCGGTGCCTGAAGCATTGCAAAGAAGAAACACTTTGGGCAGGAATGGCTCCGTTTCTCATATAATTGCCTCTTCTTTTGAGTCCAGTTCACCACAGCGCACTACTTCAGCAAGCCCTACTCCGAATTTAGTCAAAGAAACAAGTGCCCCAGCACGCATGCAGGAAAAGAGTGCAATTGGAGGTAAGCTTGCTGGACGTCTTAACCCTGCTCTCGCAGATCTACTTGCCCGCGGCCCGCCGTCACTTGCTAGTGAAACCTCAAGGTCTTCAAGCTCGTCGTTGTCGCAGCGCACGATAAGTATGAGTACTTCGACAACCAATCCTGAATCAAGTGAGAGTGGGCCACAACTCACACATATGACCAAAGGGCGTGCTCGTGGACCGAAACGAAAAGCTCCATCTGCAGTCACATCAACGCAATCTACATCGGCGCCAGAAACGATGGAGGAGAAGCCTCGAATTACAACATCTATCAAGTCTTTTGCTACGTCTCAAAGACCTTCATCGCCTGCTACCAGCCCAATAAAACAGACTATTTCAGCCCTGAACACGGAACAGCCACAAGAAAATGCCCCAGTTTCCCAGTCTTCATCACCTCGGAAGCTAGATATGAGGAGGCGGTCTCTTTTCCTACAAGAAGCGCCAAAGAATAAGGATACACCATCGTTGGAAGCCCCCAAACCACTTTCTCCAGTCAAAATTGCTAATTTCCCCGAGAATATGGTAAAGACACACCACAACAAGCTCGAGGCAACAGTTTCGCCAGATCCACCTAAGCACCAGCCTCTAGCGCCCCCCAGATCTCCGCCCCCAACCAATTTCTTTGAAGATCGTACATTCAATGATCCTGTATCTCCAGAGACCGCGAAGCTCCGCCCTGCTCCCTTATCCCCAAGAAAAGCAAATTCGACAAAAACTCCACCGCAATTTTCGTCTCGTTCTGATCAACCAGCGCCACTCACTCGATCCCGATCGGTCAAGCATACTGCAGCCTTATGGGGCCAACCTGCTCCAGAACAACCTGCTCGCATACCATCCCCGATAAAGTTACCAACTCATGAAGATGAGAAGGCAGCTTTAGTGGGGGCAGGATTGCGCCCTACGAGTCCAATGAAACGAATCAAGTCTTTTGAAGATGAGAAAGCAAATCTAGTAGGTGTAGGTCTACCACCTATTAGTCCATTAAAGCGAAATAAGTCTATTGACCTAGGATTACGATTGGGAACGAAATCCACTCTAGGGTCGTCAACCCCGCGCGCTCTTCCAATCCCTCCCACCAAAACACGAACATCACCAGTAATGAGCCCTGGTATTCGCTCGCCAAGCATGGCCGACTCTCCAGTGCCCCAAGCATCTGAAGCGTCGCAGCTACTCGCTGATTTCTTCGGCGATGAACCCAAGCCAATTTCAAGGTATTCAGTTGACACAGCAAATATTTTAATGGCCCGGCAAGATACCATTTCAACTGTACGAACATTGCAATCTAGTTTGTTTTACTTGTATGGGGATGGAAAGAAACAATCTGTTCCAACTCATCAAGAGCGTGTCCTTTTCGAACGTGAAATGTACCTATGCCCACATACATTTACCAACGCAAAAGGTCGAAGAGTTACAGAAGTATATTGGTGGATTGGAGATGAAGTTTCTGAACGTGTCGTCAGTGGTGCTGAGATGTTAGCTGAGAGAGAGGCCCAAAGTTTTGGTGGGAATTTCGTAAAGTTGAGACAGGGCAAAGAAACACCAGAGTTTTATCAAGCTCTAGGTGGTATCATTATTATCAGGAGAGGATCATCTAAAAAATACGACTCACTCGCACCTCACGTTCTCTGCGCAAGACAACAATATGGGATGTTGGTATTTGACGAGGTTGATTACTCACCCTCAGTCCTATGCTCAGGTTTTCCCTATCTCATCTCCTCACCATCAGGAAAGACATATCTATGGAAGGGTCGAGGTAGCACTGCAGAAGAACATGGCTGTGCTAGGCTCCTCGGAATGGAAATCTCAATGACTGGCGAGATCGAGGAAATTGAGGATGGTGATGAACCTGCATCATTCTTGAGAGTATTTGAAAATTGCAAGGAAATCCCACAATCAGCAGATCATTGGAAACTAAAGCCCGCCTATAACAAATATTCCGCACGTTTGTTCCGTGCTACCAGGGCAGGCAGAGAACAAGTATTTCCTCCATCCCCACATTATATCACTCCCCACTAATATCCTATCTAGATAGTCGAGATAAACCCTTTCTCCCAAGCTGACCTTTCCCCGTCCGCTATCTACATCCTTGACGCTTTCTTTGAAATCTACATCGTCATCGGTGCCAAAGCACAATCCCAATACGGTCCCTTCCAAAATGCATTGCAGTTTGTGCAGGAATATGGCATCCTCGCAGCCGGCATGGAAGATCGTCCCTTCGTACCAGTTAGCACAGTTGTGATAGAGGGTATACCAAAGGATTTGAAAAGTGTGTTTAGGAAGTGGAGTGAGGAAAGATCACCGACTATCATGCAACCTAGAGAGAAACAGGGTGGGGCTAATTTGAAGAGAGTGAAGAGTTTGAGAGTTGTTCCATTGACGGCTGCGTTGGAGGCTACGATGGGTTAGATGGCATGCGTGCAATGAATTGCTGGCTTGTTGCTTGTATGTTTATTGGCTTTGACCCGACTTTGGTAATGGACGAACACTTGCAGAAATGGATGGATGGTGTGAAGGAGCGATGGAGGTGGGTAGCTGGGCAGGTGGATGAAGGAGTACATACTAGCGAGCTTTCATTTCTTTGTACATCACTTGATATGTATCATTTGTTATTCTACGGACACGGAGTATAGTCTACGGATTTTCTGAGTTGGTTGGGGGTTGGAGGGAAGGGGGATGCGCTAATTGAGAATTGAGATTGTACATACAGATATTGTAATAATAAAATTTGATATATTTTAGAGTTTAAGGTCTATTTGAGTGGGAATGGGAATGGGTGAGTTTGGTTGTGTAAAGTATCGAGCGTGAAGTGTGGAGTATAGAGAGTGTGGAGGATTTGTATCACGGTAAGAATCATAAGATAAACTCAATATTATGGTATCCGGTGAATATGGTATTAATTACCAACTTTCCAAATATTATCTCCACAGGGCAGTCGGTAAGGTAAATTCGAGGAAACTTTTAAAAATCAAGGATCTAGAGGGGCTTTGTTTGATATGAGATCGGATCCTCATAATTTATCTCCTCTACATCATTGATAGATATCATCCGGTGTCATTCGTACCTCAGATCTTTGATACTTGAAAGTTGAAATTGTACTTTACATATTCATTAGTTGCATCTTCGTCTCTACTACCTTTGATTTCCGGATTTTGTTCGTCTAGACGTTTATTGTAAGTGAAATGCGAATCTGGTTTAAGTAAGAAAGAGGTAGATATGCCTAACGTCTCTGGGTATGGGATATCGTAAGTTGTTGAGTAGGATAATTGGATTAGATTACTTCCGAAAAGATTGCGTGGTCTCCTTGAAATTCGAGTTGTTTCTTATATCCTAGTACGTGGCGTATATTGAAAATTTTAGAGAAAAATAGGACTTCGATCTCACTTTAACCGAGTATCTTTCTCGTCATAATCCGTGAAGTAGTTGGGGACTCGAGCGGTAGTAGATGTATACGTAATACATAGGTCATTTTTGTACCTTTTTGTCAATTCAAATTGAAAAGAGAATGAGTCCCTAGTCTTAGGAATGATTTCGTTATCGGAAGGATATAAAAAATAGAAGAAGTAGAACGATTTGTAGGAAAGTTGGGTGCTTGGGGTTGAGGGATAAGGGGCGCTGCACGAGCTAGTTGCCAAAAAGGAAAAGGAACCGAACACGGTAGTTAGAAAAGGCTAAGATACCCTAGTATCTATCTATCTAATACATACTTCCACAAGGTTTCATCATTCATCACAACATTCATCACTGATGGTCAAGTTTGATATATCATCATTTTCAGTGGCTATGAAAGAATAATTGAGAGGTTATAGATCGACGGCGACACACGCATGGATGATGGAATAAAAATACTGTAGTATGTATCATAATAAAGCAGAGACCAGTGACGTGGAATTCTGAGATTTTGCCAGAACGAATTAATCAATATGAGGGAAAACGCTACCACAAAAAGTATGAGCAAAGGAAAGCTCTTGGTGGCAAAGCAGCTGCACAGCATATCAATTCTTGCGCAAACATTTCTACATCGTACTCCTGGATATCTAAACGAAAAGAAATCTAATAGGCCGCTCCCTATCTCTGAGATGTGTAAGTATTGAAAATCTCTTGGTAGCCCTTTTATAATCTCTCGGATAATTATGCCTACGGCCAATCAAAGCCCAAGATGGGGCTTTCACCAGCTATTCCAAACAAACCCATATCATCTATAGTTTCTACTGGTAGCCAACTCGAGTTCTCCAGATTTGAGAAATCATCTTCATTTATGCATTGAAGGGGGTCTATTCTCGGCTCCCCGGATAGTTTCCATTCCCATTTCATATCCTCATTAAAAATTAGGTTTACAACCTCACTCATTTGTACGAGTCTTTCTGAGACGGGATATACTTCTGTAGGACGATAACTCAGTTGCTCTTCGAGATCCCAGAAACCTCGTACGAGGTTGATTGTTGAAGAACTATCCCACATTCCCTCCTTTCTTGGACATCGCAATAGAAGTTCTAATGCTTGGCGACGAGTTGTTTCGCTGGGTGATTTTATGCAGGTGTCTATTCGGGAAGCTTCATTAGTGTCAAATCAAAATTTTTCGATATAAAAAAATCCTTACAATACAAAGGAGCAATCAATCCCAAATCAGTTGAGAATGTGAAGGAAGGTTTTCCAGCCTTGGTATCTTCCTCAGCTGCGTTAATCAAAGATCGGGCAAGACTAACAACAACTTGAAATTCCGGCTCGAACATGGCGGACTTTTTGGGATCATTGCAGGAGTTCCTGAGGATACGAGGGTCGTCTAGGTCCGGCGCGGATACCCTAGCAATGATATGCACAGTAGTATAATGCAACTTGCACAGTGCGGCGCCCCTCAGCTGTTTACTGTTGAAAGTATGACTCTGACTTTTCATGAAATTTTCGAATGAGACTTTCCAAGCATCCAACTGTGAACGGGATTGTAGGTATAGCTCCATAAGCTCTTTTGGTTGGCATGTGGGAGGGAGGTCGTCATCCCACATATAGGCTCCTCGGAAAAGGTTATCAGATGCTTGAAGTAGAGTTCTCCTTGCTGAGTCCAAGTCTTTGAATTCACTTGGAATGGTATTCTCTCGACTACTGATAGTCGATATTACTTTTGCGAAAGCCATACGTTCCGAGATTTCTCTAGTGTCGATGTACAGAATAGCTTGTATGCAAAGTCTCTTGAACACAGGCCCAATGTTTTCCTCTATCATATCTTCGTCTTGAGAGTTGCTTCGTGATCGTGAGCTATGCAAAATCTTTAGGCCGCTCTGTAGATGCATTATCGCACTCGAAAAATGGCCTCGTAACGAATCGAAGCAAACGAAAAGAATACACGACATCATAGCTGTGAGAGGCTTTTGTTTACCTCCCGCTAGAGACCGTCTTAAATGTGAAATGGCTTTTGTATATTGATTTGTGGCGAACCCGAATGATGATCTAGCAGCGTCACATTTTGTGGCAAGATCCAGTTTTCGGTTTGAGAAGTCTTCGTGGAGAGCTCCAAGCCCTATGATCGCGTGTCGTAGAGATGGATCTGTAACGCTTGCTTGCAATATGAGATGTTCCCAAAAGGAGGTATCAAAATATCCACTAAGCTCGGTCGCTGTGTTAGAAACAAAGTATTGAAAACCTCGTCTCTCATCCACGGAACCTAGTAGAAACGTAGGTAGCCGCTGGATATCGGATTTAATTTGTACTTCCGGATCCAATCCTTTGAGGCCTGTAGCATAACCATCACACTTTCTTCCAGTGGAGACACATCTTTCACACGAAGGCTTGGCTTCATCGCACTTGACTCGACGTATTCTGGACTATGTCAACAGGACCATTTCAGTAACAGGACAGTAATTCTTACTTGCAAGTCTGGCAGCCCGTCTTCACTTTGGGTCCACATCTCCTACGTCGGGGCCTTATTTTATTTGGAGTTTCAGCTGACATTATCTCTTCAAAACTCTCCAAAGTCTTCCCAGTGATCCAATGGAATTGTCAATGATGTCGTGACTGAATAAGCAAGTGATACGACGTGACCTCTAATATACCAAGTAAGAAGAGCTTGGGATGAAACTTTAAATAGAGTAGGATACCAATATATAGTCCCGCCGATTTCATGCATATGGCAGTATCGATATCATAGGCTCCCCTTTCTTGATGCGCAGCCTTATGTGACGTGGAGGGTGCATATAACGGTGCATATATGAATCCACCAATCCACTGACATCTGCCTGAGATTCTTTTGAAATCAAGAAAACCCTTGACATGGTGAGATTGAAGATATGTTGTAAATCCTCCTCCGTATGCTTGCCGCTTGCTTGATTCGGCAGCAGCTTCGCCTGAGTAACAAGGCTGATAGCTTGATATATACGAGCGAACCAATCAGCTGGAATTATATAATATAATAGTAAATCTCTGTGCTTCACCGCCTCATTCCTTCATCCACAGTTTCGTGAGAAGTGGTTATCTTGAGCATCAATTGAATCCATATTTGGTCTCGACATTTATGTCAAAGAATGGGGTTGTTCAATCCGTTACCTGACTCCTCTTCTGACACAGTCAGATACTACGAATTAAGCATAATGAAATTCTTGGCACATGGCGCAGAACCTGGACTTAATGTTATGTAGTCCTCTCACTATGGAACAGTACCGGTACAGCAAATATGATGGCACAGTTTTGTTCTTACAGCTATGCATTCAGGAGTATTTTATGGATTATGAGATCGTCGGATTATATGGGAACGGGAACTGAAGCAAAAGCAAAGAGCCAGTAAGGATGAAGAATTTACGGACCTCAAAAATTGCAAAAATATAACATCATCCTTTTCGACACCTGAGTGATTCGAACACTCGCTCCCGAAGGAAATGCCTGACTCTGCTTGACACAATAGCAGGGCATCGCGTTAACCACTCCGCCAAAGTGCCGATTTGATATGCTTCGATGCCGTTCCTATGTGTATAAGTTGTATGCAGGAAATGGTAGGGATTGGAGCCAAATATCAGACTTGCTCCGCGGATGGTGGAGCTGACAATTTCCAAGAACCCGCATGGATCCACATCGCGCGGTTATATGCATATAGGATTTCTATTACTCGGTATCTTTAGCAAGTGTTATGGCAGCTTCAAAGTAGAAGCTCAGCAACTCGTTCAACGTCCAGGAGACTTGGCACATTCCGTCTCACGAATGAGCCTCAACCAGCGACTTGCAACAAATATTTGAGGAAATGTGGCTTTGATCAAGTGAAGGTCCGCCGCCGTTGGTTCCTTGGTTGGTCTGAGCCTGCTGGTTTCAAGGCGGGCAATTTTAGCATGAAGTAAATTCGTTCAATGCCATCAGGCGGAATGTGTCTATAAACGCTTGGAGCTATATCGTCCACCACGACATTAACACAATGCTCCATCTTCTTTTGCTAGAAGATTAACAACAGACGAATGACATGGTGGTGAAGAGAGTAACGGTTCAATGATGTTCACTACTCGGAGTAGGATGGATCTACGAACAACTAAATCTACCCAGTAGCATAAATGGAAGTTGTTTGATCCCCCACGTTGCCCATATTACCCTCAGGACTATTTCTTCTATGCACGGAGTTCTTTTATTGCTCCTATATGTCGAATGTGTGATGATTTGGATGACTTTGGAAACATAATGTCCACCAAAATTGTACGCACATATAAGAGAAGTCTGGCGAAATGTGAACGTCGCTGAATACATGAAAACAACCAGTAAGCTTGATACCGATCTTAAGTATTTGAGATTCGAATCAACCTCTCCATTCACATAAAACCATTCATTGTCCATCCAATCTGTGTGAAAGATAAGTCGTTAGCAGCTTCTCTCACTAATCCCGTCCCAATCCCATGTACAACTAGGTAATTTCCATCATCACCCGCTCCCATTCTCCACATACAAATTCTTGTATTACCATTATCAAATATTTCCACCCCGGACATAAGGTGCAATGCGATACCGAGGTAATAACAGTATAAGAGCTCAACAGCTGACTGAAGATGAATAATATACAGTGAATAATGAGACCTGAATGCGATATTAGGCGATACCAGATGAGATGTATCTTTATATACTATGAGTGCTACTACTTGCTATTGCTGGTCGATGCGTTTTAAAATGTTATTTAGGTATCTAGCCGTCATAAATTCAATATGTTTTCATTTTATTTCATTTATTAAGCAATGGATAGGAGAATTGATAATGAAAGTAACAATATCTTATAATTAAGAGTTTTCCCGCTCTTTCAATGGATGTAAAATCGATCAAACCAGCAAAAACTAGGCTGCTTGCGAAATATAAGATCTTACCATATTACTGTATGAGTTTCAGAAAGCATAAGGAACCTACTAAATTCAAAGCCCCTCTGTTTTTGCTGATATTTGCATGTTTGAGCAAACTACGTTCGTCTATGTGGGACTAGATAAGCGGAACATCCTGTTGAAGGGGGAGATTTCGGCTGCCAATATGGAGACAGCTATGCTATACATATTAAGCTCCGGCAAGTGTATCATAAAAGCATAGCAATAGAAAAAACCAGTAAATAATGAGAGAAGGGGAATTGTTGAGTTTCTTTTATTACTATGCTATGCTATGCTATGTAGGATCTTACATGAAGAATATGAATTTCTCACTGCAAACCAGTTGAAGAATTCACTACATGATATGTACCCTGTGAACCACTCCATGTATGACTTAACTTAAATTCCCCTCTGCGGAAATCCTTCCGTGTTACTATACATTTTATTAATGCCTCCTCAATGCAGAAAACCGTTCCATGTGTAATGCGTATGTAGTCTATGCATAGACAATGCGTGTAGGAAAGACGCCGAAGCTCCCATACCCAGACGCCAAGTAATTTGTATGAAAAAGAAAGCCTCAAATCAATCCTAGAGCTCTACAGCACCACTTGTAGCAGCATCTAGAATACACACAAACCATGAAATCTCATACACACCTTCCAGGTCCTTCTATTCCTCCGTCCATTCTCATACATTCAACTAGGCCCACAAATGGTACTCCGTATCTCTCTCCTCCACCCTCTCATACTTGACGCCCTCAAACACGGGTCCTTTCCAGCCTCTCACATCGCGCTCCATCATACTAATATAAGCTCCGTACGCACCCAAACTCATGGGTACATGACAACCAGGACAATAGAAATCTTTTTCTGCATCTCCAGCTCCACTTCCACTTCCATTTCCATTTTCATCTCCTTGATTCTGTCCCTGACCAGCATTCCCACAAACATGAACACTGGGATAAAACACCGGATCCTGTTTTACGAATCCACCTTGTCGATACGAGAAATAACGAGGAGCAAAAGGCGATTCGGTCATCCATTCCCCATTGTTAATAGGATGATGACGACGACGTCTTTCCCAACGATCTTCCTTGCTAAGGATAGTGAAACCTTCGAGCTCGGGATCATCATAGCTAATACGAGGATGACCGCGAATTTTCCGCAGAGCAGGACGCGGTCCGATTGGTGCGTAGACGATTTTAAAGGTCTCGAGGGTTTTTAGTTTGAGGTCTTGGGGTTTGGAATTTTGGTCCCAGTCGCCCCAGAGAAGACGAAGTTCGACTGGTGAATCGATGAGGGAACTGTCGATTGCGAGATGTTTGACGAAGGAAAGGGGATGCAGTTCTTTGCTGTCGTTGTTGCCAAAGATGGCTTTGGTGGTGGTGAAATTCGCGGTGTATGGTGATGCGTCTTCCATGGAGGTTGTTGCTCGTCGGACGTAACAGGTGTCGATCTCGAGATTGAGATAGATGATAGCTTCACAAGCAGAGTTTGGGAGAGACAGTTGCTTGAAAAGGGGTAGGAGCTCATCACGAGCTTCTCCGCATGTGGCGAGGAGTGCTGGTGCTGGACTAAGCGAGACTAAACTCTCTGTTGGGTGGTCGTAGGTGATTTGGACAATTCGGGGATGAATTGCTGCTAGTTTCCAGATCTTGATACGGAGTTCCTTTGGCAAAACTGAAAATAAGGTAAAGCTTGTTAGGTTGGAGGACTGAAGCAGCATTCTTGGTAATTCTTCTGGTAATTGCCAGTTCAGTTGTTGTAATTCCAGCCCTGGAGGCATTGAAGGCGGAGTGTCAATGAAATTGACGGTTGAAGCAAAGGTTGATTCTTTGCCCATGGTCAGGCTTAGGCGATCATTAGTGAGCGGTGGTGTTGCTGATCCTACAGCAAGGCTTAGACGATCATCAAGCAGCAACGGTTTTGTTGATCCCATGGCAAAGCTCAAGTGGTCAGTGGTGAGTGGAGGTGCTGTTGCCCGCTTCCGCTAAGGTATTTGTCAGAAATGTTTGTACATAGTTTCCACTGTCCCATTATAAACAAGATTGACAGTAATTAGCTACTCTTGGGGCGCAACAAAAGAATTTTGATGTTCTTTTGGTTTAACTACAACAATTTCGGGAGCTTGAATAAAACTTTGCGAAAGTGCATAGCACATAAACTTTGTTTGGTAGTTTTTCAAAAGGGAGAATATGAGGTGTGTGCAGAGAAAAGAAAGAGATGGAAGAAACTTACACTAGACAATTTTTTGAGGCTCTGTAAGATTCCTCTTCCAATTGACATTGGATTAAGTGAATGGAACATTTCACTGACCATTGTGGTTCCCGTAGTCAATGTAGTGTTTGTAACGTTTCTGTCTTGATTTTCTAAATCTTTACTGTTGAAAAATGTGTAAAAAAGATAGAGTGAGAAAAGATTCTTCAATCAAGAAGATAACAAAGACATGTGAAATTGTTTGGGAGGTTGCATTCACTCTGGAGGCAGCGCGTCAAGATCAGGTCGGGATCAGATCGTGTAGCCAATATAACTTTGTTTCCTGTAGATCACCATGATGTGAAAAGTGAATCTGATGATAGGGAAACTTAGTCCTCATATTTCGGACGAGAGAGTATCAAGTCGTATATCTTCTACCTCGTTCTGCCGTGCTGCGTATTGAGGTGTTTGAAATCTCTCGAGAAGGATACTTGCTCAAATATGATGATGAAACCCTCTGAGATGATTGTTTTGAACGAAAGAACAAACAAGAGACACTCAAGAAACAGAAACGTGGATGCTGCACTATCTTGTAGGCCCCATAGGTCTCATACATGATGCCATTATATGAGATATCACTATAGCAACAATGATGCTGTTGCATAATAGTATATGATGCGAACATACTATTTCATGCACAGCCTTCATCTTCACATGTCAACACAAATGGGCTATCTGCTAAAGATGAAGTTGAGATGAAATACCATAATCCAAGATATCCTTTTGTGGTCTTCGATGCAATTCCAGCCATATGATTAGGTGGAGATGCAAAAAGAAACGATAGTAGTTGGCTGGTAGAACTAGTTCATTGTGCACAACAAGTATACAAGAGAAAAAAGGATAGGTCAAGATTCCGTAAAGATTAAGAATCAAGAATGTATACTTCCATTGTTTTAGATGACATGATTTTCAGTTGTATATTTCTCAATAAAATGCAGAATCAAGGGCAAACATAAGTAGAATCCTGGGTCAAAGACTACCTTGACCTTCAAGTATTCTTACATTGTGCTCCGTGACCGCAGAGCCTCTATGGAAAGGTCGAAGTGAATTCTCTGTGCCATCAGGGAATGGATTTTTATGAGGTTCAAAAGAAGGGGTATAGATGTCCTAGCAAATCACCGTCGATGAGATACCCCATCATGATGCTGCTAGATCGCCCACACATGGTGATAATAGTATAAAAGTACATACAAGCGTACGAAAGATGAAAAGTTGCTGAAAGATGAATAGTTAACATGAGGAAATGTGAGAACGGGAAATATCTAGTACTCCTTTACTGTCATTGGAAATTCCCTCGAGGACTTTTCGAAATACCGTGATGTCCATTTCATTTCATAAGCGCAGCTAAAAATGACAGAAACAAGGTCCGGCGTGTTCATTCATCACCAAAGCGAACCCGGAACATCGTCATTTCAAGAATATCAAATAATGCGCAACATTTATATTTCCTAAGATCCGAATACCCTCAATTGAGGGCACATCAATATCCAATCCCGCATACATTAATACCAGTCACTTGGATATGCGATGTCGACCCAACGTCGAGGAGAAGATCCATTAAATATCGATGTAGGCACCAATGCCGATCTTCCATCCCTCGCTGCACTATTCATGATATATTTCGATATCAAGGCTGGCTATACAATTGGATGGAAACGTTCATTATCAGGCATTGAATTGGATGGAGTGGTCGAATATAGGAGTCTGCCGTCGGGCTTACATACTGTAGAGGAGGATTTGATATACTTCACCCACGATAATTATGCAGGACTTAGCGCATTCGTCAACGCGCCGGCAGATGAAGATTCGAGGAATGCGAGGATGATTGCTGTGGGTATTATGGTACCTTTGAGCTATGGAAGACTGGGTAGAAGTTGGAAGCATGCGGAGAGCTTGAAGGATATCGCAAGGTATGACTACATGACCAATTGGTGGGATACTTGCTGACCCCTTTACAGTGCGCTTATTCTCGACGAGAGCAAAACTGAACGGCTCGAGGAATTCTGGGAGAGTCATAAGGGCGAGGACTTAGGCAAGAGTAAGGAAACAGACTCGCTACTAGATTCTCCTTCAAGCGCAAGATTTAAATTTCGGAATACACCACCGAAATCAAAAAGTCACAATAGAAACCGTTCAGCTTCTGATGGCGCAGCTCTACTTCCTCCTGGACACACATTATCGGTATATCATCCTGCATGGAGCTTACCAAAACTATTGGAAACATTTGGTCCTATGATCTTCCCAATACAACGGGCTGCACTTCTGAGGAAGAGGATTTTGATTAGTGCTCATGCGCCGGTACATGAGACATGCGATTTTGGTTGGGATACCCTCTAATGTGTTTCTAATATCAACTAATGCCAAATAGTATATGCCATATCCGTACTCTCAAATATTCCTCTTGCAGTCAGCGACCTCTTAGAACCTACCGCCCCACCACAAAGACTCCGACCCCTCTTTTCAATTGGCGTCCACGATATTCCCCTCCTTGAGGATGACCTCAAAGCCTTAAAACGAAGAGCCACCTCTGAAGATACTGTTCCAACCGATGGCGGCGACGAGCTTGGCTGCGGCTGGATAGCCTGCACAACTGATAGTATCCTCGCCACGAAAACCAAGCTTTACGATATCCTCATAACCATGCCACCACCCCACGCATCCGCCTCCACCGCAAAAGTATGGCCGAAGGTCGAATGTTCTCCCGGCAGCGTTGAACTTAAAGCTACTCAACGTGATCTTCGCCGCTACAAAGCCCTCAGATGGGGACTTTCCCGAACCCCTCACCCCGCCTCCCCAAACATAAGCAATTCCCGCCGCGCATCCACCTCCTCCTACCTCGAGCAATTCCCCTCCCCAATCGACCTTAATTCACCCACCACCGCCCTTCCCCCACGAGACGACCCTATGCTCGATATTCCTGACACGGACTCCATCATCGAACCCATATCCTGGGCTGCACTCGCCTACTCAGGATTTATCTGGTGGGCCTCGGCCGGCGAACAACGTTTACATTCACAAGAAGAATGGGAAGCTGACTCCACACTCCTATCATCTCCTCATACGCCAAATCCCTTCTTTACTCCCCTTCCCATTAATCAAGCTGGTACCCTGAATGCGGAAACCGAAATGGGTATCATTGCTTACTTCCACCGTCTCACATCACAAATCCTCACCACACTGAGCGATGTAATCGATGCATCTGATTCAGACGACGAACGCGAAGACGATCTTCACCATTCTCACCATTCTTCCTCCCCACTACTCAATAGAGGAAATAGCCTTAGTAGTAGTAGTAATGGAGGAGGAGACGCAACAAATGAAGACGAAGAAGACGATGGGATGGGTTGTGTATACATCAGTAGCACAGATATGGAACGCATGGGACTTGACATTTGGAGCGCGGGCGATTATGTGTTTGTAGAGGAAATTGTCAAGGAGTATTTTGGGAGAAGGGCTAAGATTGAGGGAAGGGGCGTGGATATTTGTGGGGTGAGGATTTGCTAGGTGGGCGGACAATTAACGCGTTTGGTAAGATTACATTCGGGTAGAAACTTGAGATGGACTGCTAGTTTGAGCGCAGATAGGTAAAGAAGAATATTGCGTTGGGGTATTAATACATCTCCTTACCAGTTTCTGATATTGATATGAACAGGATAGGGAAGGGAGTAGGAAAAGAAGGGAAAAAGCGATACCTTCAACAACCTTGGGAGTTCCGGCTTTGATAGGGAAGTGATAGGGAAGTAAGTCAGGAGTCTGGGATTCGGAGTCCAGAGTAAAAAAATTCACATTCTGGGAATCTAGTAATACTAGGCTGGAATGGAATGGAATTGAATTGAATTGAGGTTTGATCGGGTTATAAAGGATGGATTAAGCAAGCAAGCTAGTTATTATTCAGCTATATCATTTCATGCACTCATATTATTCACATTATTCATATGCCTAGAAGGTCACTTGCTTATATCAAGCGTAAAAAGGATAGATGTGAACGTTTACATTCATTGCATTTCAGTATACATGACATAACAAATAAACCTATTCATTCATAAACGAAATTTTATTTCTGCTCTGCTTTAATCAAAGACGATGACCCAGATATTTTGATCAACGTCTTTACTTCCAAAAAGGCAAAGCCACAACCGCACACAAAATAAAATATGTGTAAAAGCGTTGTGTATAAGACGCCATCCCAAATGCTCATCACGCCTATTGTACAAATACACGTGTAAAATTTCCCAAAAAAGAGTCAAGAATCCCAAACACCCAGTAAGTCAGCAACTTGACAGTAGAATTAAATCCTAATAGCATAAGAAACGATTGATATTTAGATGTAGGAGAGTTAGACTCATTATTCCCCGTCAGTATCGGTGTCGGTGTCCGTTTCACTTTGTTCATCAACTTCTTCTTCAGTGTTGCTATCCTCGTCACTGGAGTCTCGTACGGCTTGCTTCTTCTTTTTTGGTGGGGCGCCGGTCTTCATGGCTTGCATTTGACCTGCTAGGGAATCTAATGTGAATTTGTTAGTATAGATTCTGTCAAAAGTGATGAAATTGTGTAATAACATACCTTCGTCTGGTTCACTGATATCGTCATCTGCATCTATTTCCAATGCTTTACTGGCATCCTCTACAACCAGAGTGGCCTCGAGTTTGGTATCGAATCCAACATATGAATCGCATATAAGATGCATAACGAAGGTATAGCTTCCAGGTTGTGGGGGAGCCTGGAATTGTGCCTTGAGAGTTTGCATATTGAATGTAGGCTTTCCACTTTCGTCAAATATGGGCTTGTCGAAAGCGAAGAATGTGAAAGGTGGTACAGCGATCTTGCCTTGCTTGCTGTCGGTGAGGAAAACATGCCATTTAGGCGAGTGGTCACGTGTGTAGTAGGGGGCGAATGCAAGAGGTGGAAAGACCTGCTTGCTTTCAGGCTTTTCGCCTTTGGCAGTCTTCTTGGCGCGACCAAGAATGGCGTCGAGGTCATCCTCATCTGGGTCAATGTCTTCCAAATCGAGTTCGTTAACCTTAGGGACATTTTCGCTTCCAGGGGGGATAAATCGTCCTTTCACAACAAATGATACTAATGAACTAGGAGTGATGAATTTCTCGCCTGTGACCTTGAAGAATGCCTTTTCGACCTGTAAACGAGGTAGTTGCTTGGCGGTAGACATGGCAGTTTTGTATTGGGCTTCTGTGAGTAAGTCATTTCCAACACTCAACTTCTTTCGGTACGCGTTTGGTAGTGCCATATATTGTTGAAGGGTTAAGTGAGTCTTTGAGTCGCCTTCGATTGCCTTTGCAATAGCCGGGGTAATATATGGTAACTGAAGAAGGGGTGAAGCATTTGGTGGTAGAGCTTGAACGATATTTTGAGCAGTCGCGTACGATGCTAGAATAGGGCCGGTGGTCGCGAAAGCGAGAGTGATTGCCGTAAATGCGTTGTTGAGGTCATGGGCGATAGGAGCTACTTCGTATTTCGCTTTATTGAGTTCAGGGTCTTCAAGTTCAGTTCGACCCAAATATGCCCAGAGTAAGGCGAGAGCCTTTCGTCGAGCACCGCCATCTAATTCCTCCAGCTTTGTTTTGTCCTTGGTTGATAATCCAGCGGCGGCAGTTGTTCCATCGCCCTCTGCGAGAACTCTCGATTCCAGCTTGCCAAGCCCTGAATCAGCTTTGTGGCCTTTCAAAATTTTCTTGTATTCAACGCCACTGCTTAAAGCGCCAACAATTCCGCCCTCGGTGATGTCTTCTTGGTATTCTTGGAACAGGTTGTTTGCACTTTCGATTAAAACCTTCTCTTTCGACATGCGCTGGGTGCCATACCACCAGGATCCGACAAGGTAAGGAAGTAAAACTCCCAAAAGCACTGCATATACAAGTACGACATATTTCCCGTTTCCTTCAGAGACAATCCAGGTAGGCAAGGCAATTCCGATGCTAAAGCTCTGTTTGCCGTCTGGATGTCCGAATTGTATATAATTATTTCTGACCTCCTCATCGGTAAGCGCCTTGTATGCCTTCGTAATCTCCACGAAATGGTCGTTCAATGACTGGAGTGTTTGGTTCTTGGCTGGGTCCGGTCTAATCTTGTCAGGGTGGAATCTCAGCGAAAGTCGCTTGTAGTGTGATTTGATTTCTTTTTCTGTGGCGGACTGTTTCGAAATTAGCCAATGTCCAGACAATGTATTCTGAGCCTCAAATTACCTCTTTAATATCCAAGATATCATATGGATTCCAGATCTTTGGTATCGTTCTGGCTGTGACTTGAAATTGATATGCCATAACAGCAACTATCACCCACCCAACAACCATGGCGATCATACGTTTTATTTTCCGCTGCTTTCTCCTCTGTGCCCTCCTTTGACTATCTATCAAATCGGCATGTTCAGGCTTATAATCTGTCTTTATTCGGGGCGCCGTGGCACCTGGGTCTGATCTGGGTCTTAAAACATCCCAAGTCAAAGCTATAGAAACAATGCCAGAAAGGGTACCGACGAAAATTGGGAAAAATTGTCCCTACAATATGTTAGTCAACTCTTTGGGAATTTGCGCAGATGTTGCGTACCTGTTCATCGTAGGAATAATCCGTTCCACTCATCTTGAAGTTGTTTTTTGGTCCTCAAGACCTTTTCCCCCTAAAGTTTACTTGCGCGCAAGTGAAATGATTAATTCGACTTTTTCCTCAAAAGGGCGTTGGAGAATATGTATGTAGCGAAGGACATGAAAGGAATTAAAGTTCTTCAATGAAAGATGTGTTATCATAACTTTTGACTTTTTGGCTCTTCGGCTCTTGATATGTGGCTCGAACTTCGAGCATCACTACCAAGAAAAGCTAGCTTCTTCGGGTATAGTCTAAAGCTCCCCACCAATTGGACCGCTGAATACGAACTCCAAATTCAACTGAGATCTGGACAGAGAAGGAAACAGAAGAAAGGATTTATAAAGGATTTATTTATTTCCCTATGTAGCCCCTAATATAGATAATCAACAACCAATTCGAGATGCTTTAGTTTATTGATTATGTATAGACATTCGTATAGATTCACCTCTAGTCAAGCCATTCTTATTCTTAATTATCTTCTATATATCATAGCCTCTTCATGAAACGTTTCATCATCGTTCAGACATCTAGCAACTCTAGCATGATCTATATAAAATCTATCTAATAGCGCCTAGCAATGCAAATTAACACTATCTCCGAAGAAGAGCCCCGGTCTTGATATCGAGTCTATCCTTTCTTGGTGAAAACGAAGGAAACTTTACATCTTTCATCCTCTAGAACCGTAAGTAGGACTTCATCATCTAGTGACTGTTTCACCTGGTCGACCTCACTAGGAGTGATTTTCGCCGGACTGGTGAATATGGAAGTATCAATGTGTCTATACTCCATCAAAGCCTGCATCTTCTTGCCTTTGTTGAACCGCCGCTTTCCTTGACCGACTTCTAGAGCAATCTTTTGCTGAGCTTCTACGTTGGCTCTGGTAGCTGTTACCAGTGAACATGCTGGATTTACAGGAAATTCGTCGTCATCGTCTTCAACTTCCTCACTGGCGTTCAGTTCCTTGTCAACCAACAAAATTTCAGAGGTCATTGCAGTCGACTCCTCGCGACCAGTGCCTTCACAGCCGCAACCAAGTAGTTCGTGAGTTTGACATCGCGCATTCACATCTAATCTAAAGAGATCTCGTAACTCATCGGCCGAGAAACTGGCCTCGTTCTTTTTGCCATCCATGACACTGTCAGCGAGTCCCATCTTGGTGACTTGTCGTTGATAAATTTTTTCATCCATGCCTCCTGACATCAAAAACCTATATATCTTTACTGGTCGTTTCTGACCATCACGGTGAATACGTGCCATGGCTTGAAGGTCCGTTGCAGGGTTCCAGTCAACATCAAACAATACGAGGCGCGATGCCCCGATCAAGTTAATACCAGCACCGCCAGATTTTGCTGAAAGAAGGAATGCAAAATATTTAGATGCAGGTGTCTTGTTGAATGTGTTCACCAAATCCTGCCGCTTTGCCTGAGGAGTGCTACCATCGAGGCGCAAGAATGGCAAATTCAATGACGAAAGGTGAGACATTAGTAGATCGAGAGTAGACGTATAGTTGGAGACAAGAACTATCTTTTCAGTAGTTGTAGTGGAAAGCTTTATCAGCATACGATTTAGGACTCTAAATTTACTGCTTGCCACAACAACGTTTTTCCTCAGGATTTCAGGAGGGATGCTTTCAAGAAGTTGGGCGACATTTGAATTGCTAGGAGTATCTGTGTCGTTCTTCTTGACTAATAGGCTTGGGGCATTACAAACTTTCTTGAGCATAGTGATAAGCTGTAAAGATGCTTCTGAGCTACCAAGGACTCTGCCGAAGACCGGGGAGGCAAGAACATGCTGATAGACCTCAGCTTGAGCCTGCGTGGGCTTGCAGAATAACACATATTCTGTCTTTGGCTTTAAGTATTTGGCGAGTATACTCGCATTGCGGCGTAAAATGAACAACTTGGTCAACTCCGCCAATTCCTCTTCTCGGGCCGTTCCCTTTTCCATATCACTCTCGGTAGCACCTGGCTGTCTGCTTTTCAAGATTGGAGCCTCAAAACATTTTTTGAAAGTATTGTAGCCATTGAGGAGGCCGGGATTCACAAAGTCCACCATTGTAAAGAACTCAGACAAGTCATTCTGTATTGGTGTTCCAGAAAGGATTACTCGCCTCTCTGTATTCAAATTCCTGATTGCCTGCGCTGATTTGTTCGCAGCTGTTTTCAAGCGATGTCCTTCATCAGCAACGACTATATCTATTCCACCTCCTTTCTTCAGTTCTTCCTGTACTGTACGTAGCTTTTCGTATCCGATTATCATGACGCTATAGCTCTTGCCATGAGTAAAATCGGTGAGTCGAATATTTTTGGACCCATCAGCGACAAACACTCCTATTCTCTCATTCCCGAGCCACTTATTAAATTCTGCTTTCCAATTGGCAATAAGAGTGACTGGACAGACTATCAGAGCCTTCTTTATGACGCCGCCCTCATTTGGATGCTCCGGATTTTGCTTCAATAGTGTCCATAAGAGCGCAATTGTCTGCAGCGTCTTTCCCAGACCCATCTCATCAGCTAAAATTGCACCCTGTCCATTGAAAGATCGGTAACCCATAACGCACTCATACAAAAATTTAACCCCCTCCTTTTGATGGTCGCGTAAATGCCTACCTAGAAAAGGATCCACGACAACATCCACAACTTCCTTTCCTTTAGCAAGGTGCCTGGGATTGGGACGTTGCATGACGATGGCACCTGGTACTGAAGGATCATGACGGGGAGTCGGAAGACCGTTCTTGTTCTGTGGCATGACAGTTGTTGCTAGTAGAGGATTCTTAAATTGAGACTTGACTGCATCGCTCTTTGGGGCAGATGCATAGAAGCTTTTAGCGGGGATAGCTGAATTTAAGCCACCGTCCTTCCTCTTCCCAACTGTGCTCACAGTGTTACTTTTCGAAACACTCGATAAGGTAGTATGAGACGGGGTTTGTGCGACTGGACTGTTGCTCTCTGGTACAGAACATTTATTGCTGTTATTGAGAAATGGTCGGCCAGCAAGAAAGTCTGCCTTTGTAATGGTAGCATCAATCTCTACTTCTTTTCCCCCAATACTCAATGTACTGCCGGGTAATAGAGGCTCGTTGTACATGCAGCGCCCCATCTCCCTGCCATCGATATTCTGAAGCCGAGCGTAACCTCCAGTAACGGCGAGTACTCCATCTCCATCCCATGTCTTGTGCTTTTTCATCGTGAATTTGCGCCTAGGTCATCATTAGTATGATTTGTCAAGCAGAGATGGGAGCAATAAATTACCATAATACCAAATAATATCCGTCGACCCTGGATGTATTTTCAGACGAACTAGCGGCTTGATTTGCTTCAGTGGGGTTTCTTAAGACAACCAAAGGTTTCCGACGCGCATTGGCAGCTGAAGATGTAATTGAGGCTTTACTCTTTGGAGCCTCTTCGACATCATGTATTAAAAGTCGCCTCTTCTTTGCCACTGGTTTGGTCAAGATTTCCTCCTCAGAATCCGATATGACCTGGATGTTGGAGAAATCATCTACGGGCTTAGTAGATTTTGGCACACTTTTCAAAAGTGGAGGCCGGAATGGTTTAAACATTTTATCTTCGCATTTGTTGTTGAGTGCAAATGCAAAGACGCGGCGGAGATAAAGTTCGTGTTTATCACGTAAAGCGTGGGACGCGACCGCACGTGATATTTCTTCACTTGATAGTTTCACCTACAATCAAGCAGTTCAACCCCATGATTGATGCTAAAATAGTACAGGGCGGCAAGAACATGCGATTCAGTTGTCAGTTCTAATTATCCATTCATTAATTCCCGGGTAAACTATTTAAGCTCTTAAATAACGCCTGCATTTTTGTTCAGGTATATATCTACATTTATTGAAGCATTGAGTCTAAACTCTCTCCCAGCACCCCTTCGATCTTTACAATCCAGCGATTTGTCTCCTTCTCTACTACATCATCGTCATCTTCCTGGAGTTCACTGATGAATGGCAACATTTCTGGCAACATAGCCAACCATTCCTCTCCCAATCTGTCCGTCAGTGCTTGCTCACATTTGACAGCTGCGAGTCTGACACTTGATACCTCAGAACGAAGGTGTTTAAGAATCATTCCGTTGAGGTCTTTATGATGATCCGAAGAATCAGCGGCGGCAGCGAGTTCAACGATAGCTGGGATAAGTTCTTCGACCAAAGCCAGTCCGGGGGCGTCCTTAAAATGATCACACAAGACAGGTGCTATTGCCTTGAAATGAGCTGGAGATTGCCAAAAGTCGTCTTGATCATGCTCAAAACATGGTATCAAAGCTCGAAGAACTCTCGACCATAATTCTCTTGAAGCGTCATCTTTGATATCTGTCTCTTTTAAGACCTGTACGGCATTATCAAGCAGGTATGTGGCATAGCTTGTGACGATTGACTTAAGATTGTCAAAAAACACGGCCATGAAGCCATAAACACTTTGCAAACGCAAATTTCTACCAGACTTGTCTTTCTTGGGTAATGATGACGACGCCCATTCGACAAGGTTGGAGAATATAGGTCTGAATGTCGAATCGTTGAACTTGTAGATCATCTCCAAAGCCACTGCGTTAACTTGTCCCTCTATGATCGAGATAGTCTCATCGTCTTGATTAGAATTATCCACGTCAGAAAGCTGTCTTCGAAGGTCGAAGGCATTTTGGAATATTTTTGCAAGTATGGTGGAATTTTTAGAGACGACACTCTTTGGATGAGCTTTAATAGCCATGCTAAGCATTTCAAGTTGTTCACGAATTGCCTATAAAGTATTAGCAAGATAGTTAAAAAGTCTCTTAGCAATATAGAACTTACCCAAGTTCCTGCGGTTACTGCTGGTGCCCAATTTTGCCCCAAAGCCATAAACATACTCTTGGCATCTACGCGTTTCGCGGCCAAGTGAAGACAGTTTTCTCTGATTTCATCTGCCTCATCTTCGAGCTCGGCCTCTGCTGAAGTGTTGGATATTGAAAGAAGGGTATCAAGGTATCCGCCTGTGATCATGTAGGGTAGATGTTGTACGAGAGCGCTTATAAAAGTGTACCCGGCGTTGTGAAGTTTTTGAGCCTCAACAGTATCTTCGATACTTGATTTGATGTACTCCAAAGCCTTGGGAAGGGCAACAGGTAAGACGGAGACAATACCTTCTCTCAAAATCTCTACTAAAGAAGCTAAAGATAGAAGAGCCATTATTTGCAAGCCAGCATCACCCTGGCCCAAGCAATGATTACTTGCGATAGTCTCTGCAGCAGCAGATACTGCTTCAAGATCCTTTTTGCCATACTTCTCAGAGATTTTCTCGACACAAGCAACAGCAGTACGTTTATAAGGCATGTCAGTAGACTCTCGAATAATTGAAGTGAGCTGGGGTAGAAATCCAAGCATTGCCGCTCTTGAAACAGCATCTGATGGACTTTCTTGGTCGATGCGAAGTTGTAAAGAACGCAAAATTTTTCGTCGCAAGTCCTCGTTAGGTCTATCCAAAAGTCCTTCAACTGATTTGACAAATTCACTTGTGGAAAGGAGACCCAAAATACTTTCTAGGATGTCCCCACAAGCATTGTGCATTGCCTTCTTGTCTTTCAAAGACTCTGTCAAGACCAATAGGTTCTCCAATAATGTGGAATAGAGTTCGCGAATTCTAGCAGCATCCATATCGTCTCGGTCAAGAAGTTTTGCGGTTTGTGTAATCAATCGTCGTTGAGAGAGAATATGTGGAAGAAGCGTAAGCTCATTGAGAGCTGCGCGTTGCGGGTCAAGCTTCTCGTGGGCCCCAAGTAGAATTAAAGAATATGTTGGCTTGGGTTTCAACAAATCATCAATTAATTCGAGGTATTTGATCGAGGATTGGAGCTGAACCTCAACACTGAACGCGTTTGTTAATTCGGCAGCGAAGGATTTGATATCATCGTTGACTCCATACTTATCCACCAGCATTGTTAATAATGCAAATAGGAAGTCTTCTGCTCCTAAAGTCTGAACTAAAGAGATAAACAATCCTTTTCGACGGTGGACAGGAATATGCTCATAGGCTGCAACAAAACTCAAGAGTAACTCGGCTGCTCCTGTAACGGGGTTGCCTTTGTCTTTTCTAAGCGAGCTAATAAGAGGTGGAATGACCTCACGGATAGTTTGACTAATGACATGTGCAGAATAATCATCATTTTGTCTTAATACTGAGCTTCCCATAAAGGTAAAGATGGGCATGACACTATGAAGAACAACTTCTGGAGCGATATCCGCAAGTGCAGCAATCATCAACAAAGCACCGTTTTGTACTTGTGGACTGGCTGTTTTCTGAACGCAATCAACAAGTAAATCGGCACGAATCTCAGAATGGTCTAGTTTCATCTCCGGATCTGCCCTGTATGCCTTCAAAATTGACAACAGGCTGTTCAGGACTAAATCTTGTAGATATGCAAGCTCGGATGAAACTTGGGCCTTGAAGTGTTGAAGCTCTGCTAAAGTGTTGAAAAGACCCTTGAGAAGTTCTGGATGACTTCCTGGATCAGAACTGTCGATAAGTTGCAGCACAAATGTGACTTGGCGTATAGCAGCAGCGAGTTGTTTTGGATCCTGTAGAGAAGCTCTGGCAACTTCACCATGGCTAGTCCGCCGTCTTTTGCTGGCTGGCGGAGCATCGGTAAGCTTTGCTGTCGTAGGTAACTGGTCGAGGAAGGAAAGAAGGATTTCAGTTGAAAGAGGGGCGTTTCGCAATAGTTCTAAAGCTTCTTCCGTCGATTTACCCCTGTAGCTAGATTCCTCAGGAGGGGACTGGGAAGCATCTATCAACATTTGAGCTGTCTGCAATTGCACATCGCCCTTTAAAGATGTCCACATCTCGCGCAGTCTTGCGAATATGGCCTCAAGTAGAGTAGGACGATCCGAAGCAATTTCGCCATGCACAATTTGAGTGAAGAATTGCAAGCCATCTTTGTCGTTGGCTACAACGATCGCAGCTGCCTGTTTATCGAAGTCTGCCATGGCAAATTGTTCATCTCTCGAGTGTTGCAATGCCGCTTCTGGACTTAAAGATGCCCATTGTTGAAGTGCCGGAAGTAAAACTTTGGTTCTGGTAGTGCTGGCAATGCTACGAACGTGGTTAAGAATAACTAGAAGTCTCATCTTGACCAAATATACAGGGGTCTGAATGACATGACTTGACAGAAATGACAAAATCGAGGCTCGGGCAGTTTGAGTTAGCCGACCCTCGTTCTTCTTGCTAGGCTCTGCAGATGCACGAGGACTATTCAAAGACTGTTCCAATACGGACTCAATATGAGTTTTATCGAGAACACATTCCTCCAAAGCTGGAACCAATACCTCTTTCAAAAGACGAACTGCGATATCGACTGAAAGCCATTTTGTCTCTTGAGTCTCCACACCTGGACCATAGATATCATCAAATGCCCATTGTCGCCGGGAGCTCGAGGCTTTCTTGGTACTTGCGCTGACCGGGTAGAATGTCTCAATTGCGAGGATAAGCTCCGCTGCTGCACGACGAACCTTCAGCGCAGGGTCGGCGAGTGCTGAAATTGCATAAGGTATGATTCCTTGAATATCTACGCTCGCATTTCCATTTCCTGACAAGTATCGAGCTACCATGTGAAGTGCTGATACCCGGGCCATGACCGGATACGCGCCACACCAAGTTCTTATATAAAATGTGAGATACAACGTTTTTTCTAGAGCACTAGCACGGTCCAAGACGGGTAGCTCATCGAATACATCCAAGTCATCGCCATTAACTGCGGCAACCGAAAATACCTGACACAGATCTTGGTAGATGTGAGAAGTAACATGTGCTAAGAACGAGGTCTCCTTAGCAGTACTTTGTGGAAGTTTTCCAATCAGTTGTCGGAAATCAGGTCGGGTTTCTGCTTTCGTGCCTTCATCTCCCATTATTACATCCTCATCTTCCGCCCTTGGCATTTCGATCCGTCTAATTGTGGTAGAGAGCTTCATTTCTAATTCATCCATATCGACATCTGTTTCCTTTAGTGCGCCTTGAACAACAGCCCCTACATGACCAGAAAGTTGCGTCAGCGCAACAAGAGTTGACGCGAGATGTGCTCGGGTATTTTTCTCGGAATCTGTAGCATCATCCACACGATGCGCTACCAGCAGTAGATGTTTCACAACTACAGAGGTCTGCGCATCGCTGAGAAGACCATGCTCCACGATTCTTTCTATTGTGGAAAGACCTTGGACCTCTCCGCTTTTGCTTATTCTGTCAACAAGCGCAAGACACAACCCGTTAGAAAGTCGGTCGATTCGTCGTTCTTTTCCTAATTCAATCAACTGGGCTGGTAGATCCGGAACTTTAAGCAACTCTTTGGTTACCCGTCTCGTAATCTGCTTAGCGCCTCTGTGTTGTGCCAAAATCGAGAGACAGACCAATCCAGGACGAAAAGTTTCAGCACTCCAGCCAAGAACTAATGCTTCCATCATCGCTGTCAGAAGTTTGTCGTCCAGTCCTCCTTTAGAAGCTAAGATTGACAAAATCATATAACACCCAATTCGTAAGTCCGGGACCTTTTGCATGGAAAGACCTTCATTGAGAGTTGGTAATAATCTCAGTATCACATCTTGTTCGTTTTGTTGCTGGACTCCTCTTCTTCCTGAACGGGCTTTGTCCAACATATTACTCGTAGCTTCGGTCATGACACCAGCCCAAAATGCTAGAATAGCAGGGTAATGCTGCCGAGCTTTACATACATGCAAAACATATGCATT